TGAGCCGAGAGTTCATGTTGTCTGGTTGCGAAGGGCTGGAACTCCGATGCAAAAGGCCCTTGTGGCCACCCCCTCCACACCCAGTTGAGCACACGGCTGATGGTGCGATCCTGGGCAGATGCGGAGGCCACAGTGGCAGCCGATACAGGGGCTGCTGGAAGATCCTCAATCAGGAGGAGCGATGAAGCTGGAGCTGGGTCTTCCACAAACACTGGAAGAGGGCAACGGCTGAGGGCGTCGGCATGGCCCATCGATTTCCCCGGGCGATGGACGAGCCGGTAGTGGTAGGCAGCCAGGAAAACAGTCCATCGCAGCATGCGCGGTGAGAGGACCGGTGGAGTTGGACGATCACCGGCGAGGAGGCCCAGGAGCGGCTTGTGGTCAGTGATGAGGTCAAAAGTCCTGCCATAGAGGTATTCATGGAACCTCTTCACTCCAGCCACAAGTGCCAGTGCCTCCTTGTCGAGCTGGCTGTAATTCCGTTCCGTTGGAGATAGCGTCCTGGAAAAGTAGGCGAGCGGTGCTTCTCTTCCGTCTGGAAAACGGTGACTAAGGACAGCGCCGATGCCAAAAGGTGAGGCGTCACAGGCAAGGACCAGCGGCCTGGCTTCACTGTACTGTACCAGCACACTGTCCGATGAAAGGAGAGCCTTGACTGCGTTGAAGGCCGCCGATGACACCAGGACCAAGGCGTTTTTGTGCTGAGGAGTCGGTGAAGAGGCTCAGCCACTGTGGCTTTGTGGGGCAGGAACATGTTATAAAAGTTCAGCAGCCCCAGGAACGCCTGCAACTCTGTCTTGTTCTTTGGGATGGGGGCCTGCTGGATAGCGCGGATCTTGGATGTGGTCGGGTGAAGGCCGGAGGCGTCGATAAGATAGCCCAGGAACTCTACCTGTGGAACGGCGATCTGGCACTTCTCCCTCTTTACCTTGAGCCCGGCCTCTTGGAACCTGGTCAGCACGGCACGGAGGCGCTCGAACAGCTGCTGGTGTGAGTCTGCGGACACCAAGACGTCATCAAAATATGGTACCACGCCCGGAAGCCCTTGCAGGAGACGCTCCATAAGGCTTTGGAAGATGCCAGGAGCCACACTCACCCCGAACTGCAACTGGCGGCAACGGAATGCCCCTCGGTGGGTGACGATCGTCTGGGCTTCAGCAGTGGCATCATCGACAGGCAGTTGTTGATAGGCTTGGGCAAGGTCCAGCTTAGCGAAGACCTTACCCTCACCCAGGGAATGCAGCAGGTGTTGGACAACAGGAACCGGATAAGCGTGCTGCTGAAGTGCCTTGTTGATCGTGCACTTGTAGTCAGCGCAGATTCTCACCGACCCGTCTGGCTTGACAGGCGTGACGATGGGGGTTTCCCACTTGGCGTGGTCAACCGGCTCCAAAACTCCTTGGGCGATCAGCTTGTCCAGTTGTTCATCCACCTTAGCCTTGAGAGCAAAGGGAACCCGGCGTGGCTTTAGCTTGATGGGGGCGACTTGTGGATCAAGGCTAAAGGAGATGGGCGTACCTGTATATTGCCCCAAAGTGCCGTCAAAAACCTCGGCAAAGTCTTTGACCAGACCCTCAGTCTCTGCGTTAGAGATGCAGTTGATGCCGGTGACTTCCAGGCCGAGGGCATCAAACCAGTCTAGCCCTAGGAGGCTTGGCCGCTGACCTTCGACCACCACCAGTCGGAGCAGGCCCGAAAAATCCTTGAAGGCGATCCGGAACCGGCCAACGCCTACCACGGGAATGTCGTTTCCCTGGTAGTCTCTCAGGTGTACGCGGTGAGAGTCGAGTTGCCTTTTGGACACTCTGGGTACCAGTCTTTTGATGGTGCTCCAAGACACGATGGACAGGGCAGACCCGGTGTCGATCTCCATGTCACATGGAGCTCCTTCAATGAGCACCGTGACGTTCAGCTTGCGTCGCGTAGGCGAGTCGGTTTGGCCAATCGTGGTTCCAGATGGGCAGCGGCAGTTGGTGAGAGAGAAACAGCTTTCCTTGACAGACTGGAGTGAAGACTTGGACTTGCGAGTCGGTGAAGGGGGGGTGTCAGATGGAGCCGATCAGCAGACCTTAGCGATGTGGTCCCTTCTGGAACACTTCCTACAGATGGCGTCTCTGAATCGACACTTGGCATGGGAATGGTTGCCTCCGCAGCTGGCACATTCCGGTTGGCCCTTAGACTTCTGTTGGAACTTCCTGCGCTCCCGCTTTGTCTGGTGCACGTCATCGTCTTCACTGGAGGATGCCTCATCACTGCTGGCCTCTTCATGATGCACTGGAACTGGCTTCCTAGCAAGACGCGGGCTGCTGGACTTGCGGATCTCCTGGGCGGAGCGTTCAGCAGCTTCCGAGGCCACAGCCTCCTCAATGGCTTTCTGTAGCGTGAGGTCTGGCTTGGCGAGGAGACGCCGTTGCAGATGGATGTCCTGGACCCCGCAGACGATTCGATCCATCAGGGCATCGTCTAAGTCTCGTAACTCGCAGTGCATTGCAGACTGTCGCAGGGCGGTGGTGTAGCTGTTGATTGACTCCCCCTCTGCCTGGTTCCGGTGGTAGAACGCATGGCGGGCAGCAATCTTGGACGGCTTTGGTGCGTAGTGGTTGCGGAGCTTCTCTTGGATCGTGTCCCACGGTGTTGCCTGGACTGCTTCAGGCGCAACCAATGCTCGGGCCGTCTCAAACACCTCAGGCCCACAGAGGCTGAGGAATAGGCCCCGCTTACGCTCCTGTGATACTTGCGTCAGCTCGTTGGCTTGGAGGTAGCAGTCGAACCGAGCAAGGTAGGAGTCCCATGATTCAGAGGCTGGCGCAAACGGCGGTAGAGGCACAAGTGAAGCCATGATTCCGATGCCGGCGTGAAGGGCGATGGATGGAACACCGTGCTCTAGCCAGAACAGTCAGCTCTGAATTGGTTCTGTTCAGTGATTTCGCTCAGTGATTCAGCTCAGTGATTCAGCTCTGCTCAGAGGGTGGCTGCATCTGGCTGTGCTCTGATGTCCATCGATCCCATCCTCGTCGCCAGTGTTATGTTGTGGGCAAACATAGCAGACGACACAGTGATTTCTCCAGAGCAGCTCTTTATTGTAAGCTGGACAGAACTGAACAGCAAACAGCTCAGCCGGCCGGCTTTTATAGGCAGCTGGCTGTCAACATTGTAGCAACAACAACCCAGGGTTTCCCGCCTAAAATAACGGACGTGGACCTGAGTGAAAACTATCTACAGTATCCCCCTGCTGGCCCAGGGTGAGAACTTCAGTACATAACACCTGGCATGTCCCATATGGAACCTCTGTGACAATAGGGGTCCTCTGTTTTCATTTTCCTTTCTGTCTCCCTGGCCCTAAGACAGGCAGGGCACAGAGGCTGCTGTGGTGCCATGAAGAAGGGAAGGCCACCATGTATAAAAATGGCATTTTGGAAATTGTGGTATGTTAATTCCATGGGGAATCCATTCCCCACATGTGTCAGGAGGTTGTGGCGCCAACCTGAGCAAACAGGGCTAGGGAGGAGGGCAGCAGTACAAGCTAAAGCCACCATATAAATAGAACAGGTAAGAGGAAGGGAAATTTTGCATGGAGCGGAGAGAACACCTTACAAGTTGAGTATACGTGTTTATGCTGTAGAGGCATTTCTGAAAAAAAGGCTTACACTAATAAGACTGATTTGAGAACCGCCACTCAGGACCACGAAATCGCTTCTCCATGCAGGCATGGCTCCTTCCCAGCCCTGCTTGGCGCAGAAGCAGCAGCCAAAGTTTCCTCCCATTAAAAGCACCGCCTGAGTTATTCCAGAGCCGGGGGAGACTTTCGCTGCTGCCTCTGTGCCAGGCCGGCCGGGACGGATCCCAGACTCCCGTACAGAGGAGTTCAGGGTGGGGCAGCTAATATGATCAGGTAGGAGGAAATGCCCCTTCCCAGGCCCCCCCTCCTGCCCCAGACTGGGGCTAGTGTGGCTGGGAGCCAGGCACCTGCTGATGTCTCTGTTTCCTTTGCAGGGAGGGAAAGACTCAGCCTGGCAGCCGCTGCATCCCGGGAGGGACTGGAGCCCAGACGGCGGCCTCTCGCCCCTGAGGTAATGGGACAGGTGGGAGGAGGGGGGGGCTTAGGAACACACAAGAAGGGCCAGCAGGATCAGGCCAAGGGCTCACCTGGTCCAGCCTCCTCTTCTCCCAGGGGCCACCCAGATACCAGTGGGGAAGCCACAAGCAGGATTCGAGCGCAAGAGCTCTCTGCCCACCTGGGACTTCCTGCAACGGCTTTTCTGAAGCATGTTGTCTCCATCAGGACTAGCAGCCTTTGACTGCCCTCTCCTCTGTTCAGTCGCCTAATCCTCTTTCAAAGCCATGGAACACCTACTTCCGGTTTTGCAGCGTTCAGGTTCCAAGTTGTTCGTGAACTAAGCTGTTCAAAAACCGAGGTACCACTGAACAAGAATCTTCACACGTTAGGCGATACTGAACAATATTACAAATTCCACACTTAAATATAGAATATTTATTAACAAATGCTGGATTTTACATTTTAGGCAGCAACCGAGTATAAATGTAAGTAATATTATTTAAGATTGCAAGAGTAATAAACCTTTACAAAAAGGCTCTCAATAGTGCTACTATTTTGTCAAGCAGACAGGATGCTGTAATTTTGAGCATACTTTTTTCCTTTCCAGAGGAATATACCAAAATAAGGAATTTATTCTACTTAGCCTCAGCTTGATATATTTTCAGGCTACTAGGACTGATATTATAGAATAAATTAGAAATATAGTGTCTTAAAATAGTAGTACAAAGTATATTTTTGTTGCTTCCTCTTTTACCTTTGCTGATCAGTTCAATAACTCAAATTAGACATTTGAGGTAATATATGTAAATCACATAATCTATTTTTACATGTGCAAACCAACATTTTAAAGGATAAAAACCAAGCATAGAAACTTTATTCAGAAACAGTTATTTTGCAAACTTTTTCTATTTGTATTAATACTGTTTAATCACTTAAAAATGATGCTAAAGATATGAAGATCATAGAGCAACCGGATAATATATTTTATGAACAGTGAGCATGATTAAGCTAAAATATTAGTTGATCACTCTACGTTGTGCATTGTAAGTCTGTGCTCCTTCAAATAAACAGCTGCTACTTATTTTCATTTGGTAGTGAAACTGTCTTCATAGTGAAAAATGGTCTATAATTTCTCCCCTATTAATACATTTCGGGAACATGAAAGTCATTATTCTCTTGATAGAGAATGTGAACATTTGATTATGATTCTCCCTAAGGAATAAGTCTCATTAGCTGGTATTCAACTAAGTTTTATTGAGAGTAGACTTGTTGAAATTAATGGACCTAACTTAATCATGTTCATTAATTATGATCGATCTACTCTCAGTAAAACTTAGTTGAACATCACGCATTGAACTCAATATTCTGAATAGATATGGATCAGATTACGCTGTAAATTAGTAGCATATTTTTTTGTTCAGGAAGGCAACAGGACACATGAATGACTAGGTTAAATATCCAGTGTTAGTATTTGGGTTTATAAAACAAAAAACAAAACAGTGACTTAATTAAATTCAATGTACGTTGCCCATTAGAAGCTTTGCAGAGATGCAATTGTATATTCCATATAAAATATGACTGGAAAGCAAAGCATTACAATACAAATGCAAGCAAGGAGATATTCAAGTTAAATCATGTTTTACAGTTCTGTATTATCGTTCACGCCCCACCCCCAGAGCCCAACTTTGTCTGCTGGTTGCATACTCCAACAAACTGAAGCAGCGCTAACAGTTGGACTTAACACCTGCCCTCATGATTCATCGAAGCACCAGGCACTTCCAACTGGAAGGAAATAAACTGGGGTTTCCTGAGCAGCATGCGTAGAAACAGTGCTAATCACCATTTATGCCACTGCAATATGTTGATCTGTAGGATCAGGGGTTCCAGACACAAATTACAATTTAGTAAAAGGCAACAATAATAGCCAAACATCCTCAGCAGCCATAAAAGCTGGTCCAGGCAGATTAGGGATCTTCCCTACTCTTATGCCCCATCTCCAGTTAGGATTGCAGTAATCCCCTACTTTGTGTCCATAGAGACTCTGTTTCTTCTGATACCCACCTTCTCTCTTTTTTAACTTCTCCTGCTTGGAGCCTAAAAGACTGGAAATGGAGAAGTATGCCTTTTGCATCCCTGTTGTTCATATGGAACTAATTTTTTATTTTTGAATAGCACAAGAGAGATGTTTGAACTACCTGGGAGCTAAAGAACTACCAGCAGAGAGAAATTAACATGCTATGTTGTTTTATGCAAACAGTTTCTTTTTCTTAAAACAGACATTTAAATTGGCCTTCAATTTCAGTAGGGAATTGTCTGCAATAATATTGTACAGTGCTTTTATGAATATTAAGGCCACTTCTCTGTCATGTTTTGTGGATGTTTGGTACTATATATATGGGTACCTATCACACACTATCCTTAAGTTAAGGAGGGCTAACCATGGCTAGGACACTGTGTTGCCCCAAAACAATGTCAAATAGATCCTTAAATCCCTGTAATGGGGAGTGCCCTATTAATGAGAAACTTCCTCTTTCGTCCCATCTCTGCACTAACAAGGCAGTTGTGAACATTTGGAAGCACACCTATACCATTTGTTGTGAAAATGCACATCCCATTATTTTATGAGGTTGAGAGCCGGCTAATGTGCTTTCAGGAAAAGTAGTTTGTACTCTGCCAGACATGCGAGAAGACTCTAAGGGCTCGTGTTTGACTGTCTGAATAAAGCTGGGGTTTTTAAATTCGCACTGCATCTTCAGAACTTGCCTGTTCAGCCCCCTCTCTTCTACTAAACTGGGATTATAAAATTCATTCCAGTAATGAGTGTCTTGTGCACCCTCCACTGCTTCTGCACAGACTGAGTTTTGGGAGCTCAGAGGAACTATCTCCTTGCTGTGAACTCCTTTGCCAGGTCCACTTCTGCTGAGGCTGGGATGGTTCATCACAATGTGTTGCCAGTTATACGGCGGATAAACACACTGCTTTGGGGTTTGGCAAGGAGACAGATGCTCACTGAGGTCCAGTTCTGTTTTGAGGTGAACCCTAGTAGGAAAACGGATCGCTTGCTTTTTCCTTGTGCTGTTTTCACCAATCCAGACCCGACTTGCTGAAACAGCATCTATATTTTCAGAATCTGAATCATATTCAGTTTTGATGTTATGAGCCAACCCCGTGTTGTACGGAGTTTCTGAGGATACTAATGGACATTGTAACTTCATGTATTCTCCAGAATAACTTTGTGTTGTGTACTGCTGCAAGCTTGGATGAGGCTGGCAATTTTCTGTGCCACCCCAGGGAGAAGGACAGGTTGATGATAAACTAAAGAGCCGTTGGTCTCTATTGTAGAAAGGTCTAGGAGTTTTGCTTGAACATGTAGTCTCATTACGCTGACTTCTAGAACAGTAATTTGATGGATTCACTGAAGTCGAAATGCCATTTCTGTTGTTACTGTATTGAGTACCGAATAGCGATGCAGTAGGACCGACAAGTTCTTGCTGAATAAAACATTCTTCGTCATCCGTACAAGGTTCAAACTTGACTTTTATGCTGTCCTGCTCTTTTTTCCTTGGGGCCCACTTACTATACTTCATCTGTACAAGGTTTTCCCTGTTCCTTTTTGTGTTTGCGGTGCTGCTTGCTATCTTCTGATGACAGTCTTCCCTTTCAATAAAGGTAGAAAAAATATATTTTAAAAAACTTATAAAAGCTTTTCCCCCCAGCAACATGTGAAATATGGTGATGGAGAAGAGCAAGAATTCATTGGCATATCACTGCTATCAGCTGCCTGTTTTTCAATTTTGATTGAATGGTGCATTATTGTTTATTATATGTTATAAATTTACCAGTGTGTATGTTGCGCAGTATCCTCTCATTTATGTGTGTGGATTATTCCATTAAATATTAACTTACGGTACATTTTCCTGCATGTTTCACAGTTGCAAAAGGTTGACTCCAACACTAGAAAAAAACGTGACTAACAGGTCTTTTAATTTCAATGTGTCTACTCTAAGTAGAACTTGACTGGGAAGTTCTGGGTTTTATCCAACTATCAGTTAAAAGTGTTTAAATATACCTACATTTATTTTGAAGAAGCAAAAAGGTTTCAAAAAGCTTCTCACTAATTTAAGAATTTCCGCTGGATCAGAAGTTTCTCTAATCCCCCATTCTGCTTCAGCTGTAGTCACATGACTCTTGAAGCTCATAGCCAAGGCATGAAGGTGAGGAACACCCCCTATTCATTTGGAGGTATACAACTTATTGGCATGGGGTTCTAGTTACAGAGATGGGGGCTTACAGCTACTGACAGTCGTCTCCTCCATGAATATGTTAAATCCTTATTCAAAGCGAATCAGCCTATCTTCTAGCAATGAAATCCCACAAGCTATAGGTTGCATGAAGACCTTCCCTTAATGTACTGTGTTTTATCACTGAGATTAACAATTTATTTCCATACCGTTACCCAGATGTCCAATTTGGCTCCTTACGTTTTGCTCTACAAGTGGCTGTGCAAAGCATGAGGCTTTGGCAAGCGAGACAGAGTGTGTGCAGCTGGCTGTCATTGATAGGAGGTAAACTTGCTCTCAGTGTCAGGGAGGAGCAACAGCTCTAGATGCCTGTTTATGCCTAATTCTCTGGCTAATCTATTTGTTAAGCACCAGAATGCATCTCCAATTGACTGATAATCAGCCCACTCCTGACAAGAATGAAAGCACCTCTCCAATAAGTCATTTTAGGAATGAGAGAATAGCAGATAAAATAACTCTACATAGCTCTTTGATGTTAATTTAATATCATTGTGTAAACTATTTCCCCCAACATTCTCTCTCTCTCCTTTTCCACTTTTCTTATTGTGTTTTGCCTTTCATGCTATATAGATGTTTGTAGTTTTAAAATTTTAAAAATAAAGTTTTAAGAAATCATGCCTGTGTATGGTTTGGTGGTCAAATATATATAGCATGCAATGTCTGATTGGCACCCTCCTGCCATTTCCAGCAGTGGGTATTCAGGAGCACGCTTCTTCCTGAGACACCACCGTCAGACTATAGATCTCATAAGCCTACACAGTAAACCCACAATTTATGTGGGGATTACGTTCCAGTGTGCCTAAAGTCAAAATCGTGTATAGTGAAAACACACTGGGTTGAATGGCAGGTGGGATTCCCCAAGTCCCCCCCCCCCAATGCCCACGGCCCTTTTAAATTTTTTTCCCAAGCCTGTAAAGCTGAATGCATAAGTTGTGGGCTTAAAGGTAAAGGGACCCCTGACCATTAGGTCCAGTCATGGCCAACTCTGGGGTTGCGGCGCTCATTATTGGCCAAGGGAGCCGGCGTACAGCTTCCGGGTCATGTGGCCAGCATGACTAAGCCGCTTCTGGCAAACCAGAGCAGCGCACGGAAACGCCATTTACCTTCCTGCCAGAGCAGTACCTATTTATCTACTTGCACTTTGATGTGCTTTCGAACTGCTAGGTTGGCAGGAGCTGGGACCGAGCAATGGGAGCTCACCCCGTCGTGGGGATTCAAACCGCCGACCTTCTGATCGGCAAGCCCTAGGCTCTGTGGTTTAACCCACAGCGCCACCCGCGTCCCCAGTTGTGGGCTTACAGTATGTAAAAAAAAAGTTTTTTTAAGCCTTATTGTGTATGACCAAAACCTCTGGTTGCCCTTGGTAACTAAACCCTTGATCCAGCATCAATATTTGTATGTAACAAATGAGGGTGAGTTAGCCTTGTTATGAGAGGAAACAGCTAACAAGCAGTTTGTATGAGTGCTCATGTATCTATCTATCTATCTATCTATCTATCTATCTATCTATCTATGAACTCCAGCATGGGAGAAAGGGAATACATAGCTTCCAAAAAAATCGAAAGTAATAATTGAATCAAAAACATTCACAAAATGGCTGGCTCCCTGTCTTCTAGCACATGGAGGTAAGCACATTTTAAACATGCTTCCAACTGTATGGAATACTTGCAAAAGTAAGAGCTTTGCTCATGGCCACTGAGACATCTGCCCACAAGCAGATCAGAAAAGATGTGATTACAAATATTGACATTATTGACCAGTAGAGGGAGGCCTTGGTAGTGAGAATAAAATTCTAAACTGTGTTTAGAAACATGCCAACCCAAGCAATATTGGTCTGACTTCAACTCTCACCTCCATGTGCCTGAATTGTTTAAAAATTCAAAAGGTAGATCCAACAAAAATCAGCAATTGTTTAGGCAAGTAGAAGCAGCACCAGATGCTTTTGGTGAGATGCTAGAGGTTATCCTCGTAAGCAACAGTATTTCCAAATTAGTGTATAAAGTACAGCATGTCAGAGCTTATGGGAACTGCAGCCTCCATGGGCCACACGAGGAGGGGGGGGTGTCACCTGGAAACCAGCCAGAGGTGATAGGGCACGGATGGGCACAGGGACCAGAAAGGAGCTAGGAGGCAAGAGGAGTGGATGGCATTGTGGTCTAAAGAACTCCCTTGAAACAGAGTCCCATGCTGCAATGGCACAGGGGTCCATGCCCAGACTCACTGTCCAACCAGCATGCCAGCTCCTGTCACCCACTCAGTGGCTGGGGAAACCCGGCCAGATGGGCGGGGTATAAATAATAAATTATTATTATTAAATTATTATCATCTGACTCCAGAAACACTCATGCTCATGAGCAAGTGCTACTTGGGTGCCCTTAATTCCATTCATTCTTTGGCCATGAGTCCTTAGCTGAATGTTGCACTTTCTACACCAATCAGAACAACAAAAAAGCAATCTTTCCTCTTAGCTTATTTCTCACACAATATATTTATATTTTGAAATGCTTATGTTTTAAGCATACTTACTTGGGAGCTTGCTGTAGAGCAATGGCATATTCTGAAGAACCATTTCGGTATTGAACTTGAGTACTGGCCTGTATCCAAACCCAATGGTCTTCGTTTGCTTGCAGTCTCTTCAGAGAAATGCCATTTTCTCTATTATTCTTTCCTATAAAATTTGAGGGACAATGTTTTTGGTGGAAAATACTTTAAGTATGCTACTTTATAAATGCTTTAGCATCTGATAAGTATGCAATCTATCTATTCAGTGAAGCACTGAACACTCATTCAGGATAGAGAAAACATAAGTCTGTCATTGCCTAATACAGTGGTACCTCAGGTTACATACGCTTCAGGTTACATACGCTTCAGGTTACATACGCTTCAGGTTACAGACTCCACTAACCCAGAAACAGTGCTTCAGGTTAAGAACTTTGCTTCAGGATGAGAACAGAAATGGTGCTCCGGTAGCACGGCGGCAGTGGGAGGCCCCATTAGCTAAAGTGGTGCTTCAGATTAAGAACAGTTTCAGGTTAAGTATGGACCTCCGGAATGAATTAAGTACTTAACCCGAGGTACCACTGTATGGGAGAACCATTGCATGAAAGCACACTGCTTCGATTTAAACCCTTTTCAATAGCACTGTTTTGGCACTACACATGCTTGTTCAGCCAGCCGGAATAACTAGATAGCAACACCTAGATGTGTGAAATCTGTACACAAACCTCTAGCTAGCTAGTGCAAAGGCAGTCTTTAATTTCACAGGGGAGCTAGGGCAGTTATTTTTGGGGTAAGTTACTGTTATATCTCTGGGACATTTTAATTTAAAATGGCAAAAAAACACAATGAGTAAAGCCCAAACACTGCAGACCAGTCAATAAAGCAAAGAAACTTGAAGGAAAAAGCCTGGCAGGCTGACAAAGCATAATCTGCGACTAGAGATGGGGAGGAAACTTGATCACCCCCAACCTCTTTCTCCAGTGAACTGCTAAATGCAGCCCTCCAGTTCTTGAGGGGGTGGAACCCATAACACCATTTGTGTGAAATCTCATGGGTCTCTGCTTGCATTAGATGGATTAAAAAGGTAAAGGTACCCCTGACTGTTAGGTCCAGTCGCGACGACTCTGGGGTTGCGCGCTCATCTCGCTCTATAGGCCCAGGGAGCCGGCGTTTGTCCGCAGACAGCTTCCGGGTCATGTGGCCAGCATGACTAAGCCACTTCTGGTGAACCAGAGCAGCGCACGGAAACACAGTTTACCTTCCTGCCAGAGCAGTATCTATTTATCTACTTGCTCACCCCATTGCGGGGATTCGAACTGCCGACCTTCTGTTCGGCAAGCCCTAAGCTCTGTGGTTTAGACCACAGCACCACCCGCGTCCCCATTAGATGGATTAGTAAACAGCTAAAGAATGGCAAATGTTTCAAGAGGACAGCTGCTGCAATCCATTTATGTATCAGCAACCTCAGCCACAATAGCAATGGCAAAAAAATTGGGGAAGTTTTACCTTGAAAGAAAAATTCAAGCAAGCACCACATAAAGTTATTACATGGATAAATGCAGAATAATGATTTTAAAAACCACTGGTGAAAATGATACCTTCTTGAAAAGCATTCCTTCTATGAAGATCAGCCATATACTGTTCAGAAATAGCCTTTGAGCTGCAAAAATTAAATAAAACCAAAACGTTTTTATAAATTACACTATGGATATGCATGCCTGCCACTGTCATAGTAAATCCCACAAAAAAGCACTTCAAAGCAACTTCTGAATTCTACACTGAAAGAGTTTGCACATCGATACATCCATTATCTTACTTGGGTTCGTAGCAGAAGTCATATGACTGGATTAATCATTCTTAGAATGCTACAGAATAGGTTTCAAGTACTGTAGTGCCATTATATGTTTGGGCATGTCCCTTTATCCCATTACAGGACAAAAAGTATTGATGGAATGTAAGATGCTACTCGTTTGACAGGTATTGTATTGACGTTATTTACTGGCAGGTTGTCAGTGCAGCATTTGCCAGATCATAAGTGATTTGAGCGGTAGTATTCAGCATAGACAGAGGAGATCTCCCGGAGACTGAGTGACATTGCCAGACAAGAGGACATAGCCCAGGTAAAACCAGGGATGTTCCTAGGGGACCAGATTCACTGGACCATACCAGCCCCCTACCTTGCAGAAATCCACTATGTGGAATACCTCAGACTCCTTACAGCGGCTAGATTAAATGTCCTTGACTCTGCGATATTGTGGGGAAGGTACAGGGGAGTACCCTACGCCCAGAGAACTTGTCATTGTGCCATGGGTGTGGTTGAGTCCACCGAACACATTCTCTTGACTTGCCCTTCTTATGCAGAGCTTAGACAAAATTTTATAGACCCTCTCCTATGTCAATTCAGCTTCCTACCCGGAGAAAACCAGGTTTTACACTTGCTGAATAACGCCACTAGAGCTATACCTTCCTTGGTGGCCAAATTTCTCTTCTTAGCTTTTAAGCGTCGCAAGACTATAATTGACTGTATTGATATGGGGCTATCTGTTTAGCCCATTTTAGTGTTGGCTAAGTTTTAAAATCTTCCTGGATGTTTTTAACTGTGTATTGACAAAATGTACTTTTTTCTGACTGACGGTCGAATAAAAAGGATGATGATGATGATGATAGACAGAGGAGAAAATTCAATATATCTGAAACAATGACAAAAAAGAACCTTACTCTTATGTGTAGCTTTACAGTGCTTTGCCCATTTTTAGCCTTGGCGTCACCAACTGTTACCTGCCTTCCTCTTTGCCCCCACCAGGCTGTGGACCGGATCTACCCCCTGCTCTGAGCTTCTATTGCTCAGGCACTTTGAGAACTTAGGGTCTGGGGCTATGACAAATACTAATAGGAAGTCTCAAGATGCCTTTGTACTTGCTTTGCATCTGATGTGGCTGCTTGATCAGATCTGCATTTTGATTTCACAAAAAGGCTTTTTAGCTTCATGTCAGCCACAGAAGGAAGCAGAAGTGGCACCACTATGCAGAATAAGGACAGCTGAGGGTGTAATATTGCTCCTGAGGATGACTTCTTTTTCTGCCCAAAGAGAAATTTCAGTTTGCCTTGAAAGTGCATCGCCTGGAAAACAGGAAAAACACGGGAGAAAGTCGGCAAGCATTGTTCCACAAAAAACCCATTTGAAATGTGTAAACCTTATCAAATTGTAATGTTCTGACTCTGCTTGCTTGGTTCCTATCATTGGGGAGAGTCATACGTTGCCATAGCCACTTGGATGTAGCTAGAATCCCTACCACTACCTTGAGAAGATCCACATGGATAACATAGTGGAGACAACTCTGATGTGGCAAGGAATCATATCACGATCCAGTGAGGTGTATCAGATGGAGTGTAGGACTTTGGGATGACTTGGGCTTCAATAACTGTTTAGCTGTGAAGTCACTAGGTTTATTTGGGCTGGTCTTCCTCTCATTTGCCCAGCTCACAAGGAAGGAAGCAACTCTACAATTCTATGGTCCTATGAGCTGAGCCACATGAAAGTATGAGAGTGGAAATGTGCTTTAAAAAGTAAGAAGTGTGACCCACCTGGCTTCTCCCTAAGAGTCATTCTGAGATCCAGCTGTGCAGAAACAGCTGCCACCACTTTGGTTCTCAGAAAAATTGCATCCAAAAACCTGCAGAAGTGCCATGGCTCCCTGGCAGAGGATGTGAGTTGCAATCAAATGTTTCCGAGCTCAATCCCTGGCGTCACCAGCTAATGCTAGGAGACCTTTGTCTGAAACCCTGCACAGCAACTACCCCCGACTGTGGACAGTAGAAGGCAGCTTCCTCTGTGGAACCAGAAAAGCCATTTTTGTGCAAGGGAACCTCATGCACCCCATCAGATGTGAATGGTTGTATCCAGTGATCCTGTTCCACTGATGGAAGACTTCCAGCAGCAGAAAGGGGAGGGAAGCAATCTTTAACTCTCCCATTTCTCGCCTGCCATATAGTTCGCTCCTGAAGTGTAGGCATTGTAGTTGCAATATTGCACCCCTTTACTGCAATGTTGCAGCAGCAATACTTTAGGAAAATACCATATTTTTCGCCCCATAGGACGCACCGCCCCATAGGACGCACCTAGGTTTTTTGGGGGGAAAATAAAGAAAAAAACATGCTATTTCCCCCCCAGGCGTGGGGCTGGCGCGGGGGAAGCCCGAGCTTCCCCCGACCCCAGCCCCCAGAACAGCCTGCTATCCGCAAGCCTAGGGAGCCCGGCGCGAAGTCACGCCGGTCTCCCCAGGCTTGCGGAGAGGTGCGCGAAGCCCGGGCGCGCTCTTCAGCGCGTCCCAGGCTTCGGAATGCAGGCAGCTCCGCGCAGCCGTCAGGAGCCCGGCGCGGAGCTGGGCAAAGCCCGGGGCTGCAGGCACCTCCGCGCAGCCCTCGGGAGCCCAGCGCGACTTTGTGCCGGGCTCTGGATCGCTGCGCAGAGCTTCCTGAAGCCTGGAGAGCAAGAGGGGTCGGTGCGCACTGACCCCTCTCACTCTCCAGGCTTCAGCGAAAGCCTGCATTTGCCCCATAGGACGCACACACATTTCCCCTTCATTTTTGGAGGGGAAAAAGTGTGTCCTATAGGGCGAAAAATACGGTAATTGAAACTTACATGGGGGTTATGTTCCAGGCCCCTGTGGGCATAAGCGAAAATTGCGTAAAGCGGGGAGCACCGCCTAAACATCCCATCTGCTGCTCTCTCCAATCCAGATCAAAAATTATGTATCCCAAAATATCCACAACTAGGATTGAAGCTCTGGAGCCGGCAGGAGGATGCGCAGGAAAGTTGTTAGCCAAGGAGGCTGAACAGTGCAAACAAAGCCCTGCTGCACCTCCAGACGCTTCAAGGCTTCATCCACCCTCACTGTCGTCCTCTTCAGGCTCCAGGGAGGGTCTGCTTGCGAGCCATGAGGACATTTCCAGGTATGAATTGGATTATTTACTTATTTCCTGGCACTGCATGTAAACGAAGTTGCGCACGAGTAGAACATGCATAAGGGACGTGGGTGGCGCTGTGGGTTAAACCACAGAGCCTCTTGGGCTTGCCGATCAGAAGGTCGGCAGTTTGAATCCCCGCGACGGGGTGAGCTCCCGTTGCTCGGTCCCTGTTCCTGCCCACCTAGCAGTTCGAAAGCACGTCAAAGTGCAAGTAGATAAATAGGTACCGCTTTGGCGGGAAGGTAAAAGGCGTTTCCGTGTGCTGCTCTGGTTTGCCAGAAGCGGCTTAATCATGCTGGCCACATGACCTGGAAGCTGTACGCCGGCTCCCTCGGCCAGTAAAGCGAGATGAGCGCCTCAGCCCCTGAGTCGCAACTGGACCTAATGGTCAGGGGTCCCTTTACCTTTACCTTTAGAACATGTATAAAGGGGGGGGATGCCTTTATAAAGAATGCTCTGTTTCCAGATTTCTACATTTCACACACGTCATTATTTTGAAATGAACTAATAACACGTATGATTTACTTACACGGAAGCCAGAAGTACTGTCTAAAAGACAGCGAATTCGACAAGTGAAGCACCGAGTTAAAAAGGATGAAAAGTCTGATGGCGTACTGTTACCCTCCTGTGCTTTAAACATTTCATTAAGGATGAATTCTTCTCCTAAAAATTGTGAAACGAAAGTTACAATTCCAACAATGACAACAGATAAAACAGGCACGCATCTGAGGAACAGTGCGTCCGTGAGAAGAGAGTGAGGGAAAAAGAGAGAGAGAACTCACATCCACACCACAATCATTTAAAGAACTTTGGGAACTAGTTTACCCCTCTTAGAACTACAATTCCCAGTACCCTTAAACTACAGTTCCCAGGATTCCTGGGGGCGGGGCTGCCTGTAAGGTGGGATCAGACTGAGATGGCAGGGAAGAGTAGCAGTGCACAGAGCAAAGGATGGGGGTGGGGGGGTGGAGCAAAGCAAAATGGAAGCAGAGAGAGGGCATGACCAATGGCAAGTGGGTGGGTAAATGAGATAAGGAAAGATCTCCCCACCTCTGCCCCATTTCTTCCTCCTTCCCTCCACACCATTATCTTGCAGGTATCTATTTGTATTGACAGACTGTTAACCAAACATACCTGACTCCGTTGGCATATGTTGTCCAGAAATGAGTTGTGGCGGATTCATAGCCCAGTGTAGTTGTTTGCAGAAATCCTGCCGGTCATCCACATGAACGTAATCATATATATTTTGATGCATTACATCAGTCTAAAATAGTAATATTTGATTACATTCATACTGTCTTTGGCATCTGATCGCTCGCATTTTTTTAAAATATAGCACAAATAAGTTTTGGGGTTTGTTTCTTTTTGGAAAGCTAATACCTTTTCTCATAGGAAAGAATCAGTCTACTCAAACCTACAGCATTTAAATTGAACAAGGGGCAACGAGGGGAGGTTTTGAGCCCAAAGGACAACAATTTGTGTGTAAGTGAGCCCAACACGGTGGGCAACTGAATGCTATTTGGGTGGACGTACTATAATCAGAGTTCCTTTAACACACAATACCATTTTGAGACTGTATACAGATTCTTCTTAGTGTATGCTTATAAAGGGATATGGAGTACTGGTGTGATTTTTAGAGTTTTTGACCAAAAAAATGGAGCAAAATGGAAGACTGAATACAAATACAGCAAAATATGTAAGACTCCACATATTTAATTTAATCCCCTTACCTGGTGAAATCCTAGATAATCCACAATTGTTGGTGATGCATAGAATATCATTCCATCAGCACTCACCACCAGAACAAAACCACTCAGTGACTATGGAAGAAGAAAAGCAAAGGAAGAAATGATGAAACAAAATGGCCAGAAATATACTTTACTCATTCATTAGAGGTGTCATGTTTTTTCTTAATCTGCCAAATAGTGAATATACACACATTTAAACATACATGGTAAATAATAAGGATTTTTTTTGGGGGGGTAATATTATTACCAGTGCTTTTTTCCAGGGGAAAGCAGGGGTATGCAGACCCCTAAACATTTTGTGAATCTTTGTACTTTTGTCCATTTACTGTATTTATTTTTCCCAATTTGAACTATAAAATGGTGGTTTTCTTCAGTCAAAATGAGAGTACCCCTAAACTTTTTTTTAGAAAAAAGCACTGATTCTTACTATCATCATCAGCAGCAGCAGCAGCATCAGCATCACAGCCTTCCTCTCAAAGGAGACCAGGGTGATGAAACGTGATCTTCATGTGGTTTTAAAATGTCTTCATGTGGTTTTAAAAATATACCGGTATATCTAAATTAGTTCAGCAGGATGCCCTAATTATGAGCTTTCCTTGAAAAATCTAGTTATAAATCACTGTGTGGTATGGTACAACAAGCTGTATGATCCAAACCCTCTGGACTGGGAGCATTTCAGTGATCTTGATAATGCTTGTGCCTCCATATTTCATCAGGCTTTGGAGATCCTGGATGACATTTGTTAATCAATGGCATACAATATTCTATGGCAAGAGCCAAGAAGGTGCCAGAGCCATCTTGTTCTGCTTCTTGTTCTGCACTGAGCTACTTCCCTCTTGATCCTTGTTTTCCAGAGTCTGCAATGTTTACCTTGCAGAGAAGCCCCTGCCTTCAGCCTCCACAAAGACTGTTCCTTTTGCATTCAACTTGTACTGTCTTTCTCCTGTAACCTCTTATAGGAAATACTATGTGCAGTGGTTCCTTGGGATTTTCTTCTAGAATGCAGATCAACACTAAGGGTTCACCCACACTTCCACTTTCCCCATTGGGAAAACCCACTGTTTACCAGTTTTTCTCCAGATTGACATTTGCTGCAATTTGGCACAAAAAAAATATGGGGATCTGTGCCTAGAAAGAACGTGGCATGTGGAAAACCAGTCAGACGCATGTTTCCTAGGCATGGGTCAAGTATGAACCAGCCCTACGCATGCAAGCTCCCTGGAACTGGTATTTTAGAATCTTATGTTGCTCTGTAACTTGCCCCATACATTGAACAGTCTGAAAAAATAATAGGCAACACAGCCAAACTCTGATATAGTCAACTCTGGCCCTTTCCATTTCCCAGATTGGGACCTGATAATCCGGCTGCTAATTTTTAAGGGGGAAAACAAATACTGTATGATCAAAACTCTTATCAATGTGCTATGAATCCTATATTTGTTTTGTTAATAAAACAGCCTAGCTGGCTTCTAAAATGTTTTTAGAATCCTTTTAAAAAAATGATGTTTATAGTACCAAGGAGACTTGCAAATAAACAATGCTACTCTTTAGTCTATGAGAATAAATGACAGCATGTTGTATATCCACATGGATTCAATTACTGTACAGGCAAAATTTCTATTCTAGGATAAGCACTTGAAACAAATATGCACTGTAAACATTTGTTGATGATAAAATAGAATGGGATTTTTTTTTTAAGTCTCAAATTTTGCAGAAGGAACAGAATAATTTTTTCTCTCTCCCCCACCCGAGAAAAAAAAGTACACGGCTTGAAAATGTACTCTGTTTTCTTTGCTCAATGTGTAGATCTAATTACATGGTCACAAAGTTCTACTTAACGATTAGCCCATCACAGTTCACAGTAAGTTTAATGTTCAAAGTATTTGTCAGATTAAAGTTATCATTTTCTTGCAAGAAGCGTGTTTTAGAAACATTAATGCAGACAAATATTGTGAGGTAGCCCTAACCTCTCTTGGCAACAGCTTTTATAATAAAGAGTGTATTTTCTTCCAATGCTTTATCTGAAAGTCTGCCAAGAACTACTTCAAAGACGTCTTGGTCAAGGTCACAGTTAGTAAAAGGTTTTTTGTTTTTTTTTTAAGCGAACTCCATAGCCACATTTATTTCTCTTACTATTGTTACTTGAAATAAATAAGCGTGGACTGTATTGCAATCTCCAGCAAGGAAGTTGCTATAGCTACCAAAGCATAAACCATCAAAGCCTTGAAACATGCCTTGCTTTGACATATTTTCAAGTCACGCAACATGGTACTACATTTTTAGACCCTGAACTTTTAGTTTATCTGGAACAGCTTCATTTATGAGCACATTGCCCTTTTTCTGCCCATTAGGGTGGGCCTATTTTCCAAATGGCTATTTTCAGAATTTGGAAACAGAACACACATCCCTGTTATTTCTTTCACAAGGATGTGGGCTTGTAAACATAGAGATGGGAAAGGCAGACAGGCTAGAGAAATGGCCTTCCATTTGTACTAGGGCACACAGCTCTGTGTGTGTTGGATCCATTTTACAGTGAGGAGAAAAGGGACTGAGCCCCTGTACAAGAGGTCAGTCAACAGGTATGGCAAGTAAAGTGACTCAGGGGAGCTGAAAGATGCATGTTGTTTCAGCAGCTACCACACCTCTTCTGAAGGCTTATATAGTGTGGTCTCACAGATCCTTCCCAGGACCAGCTGCAAGTATTTCATTTTGCCCTTGAGGAGTCCTTTATTCCCAATGACCGACTTAGTCATGAGTCGCCCTGTTCCCTTTCGGGCTTACGGTGCTTCACTAAGGGCTTGTTAACGGTTCTCTTTTGTACCACTCTTTCCAGGCAGAGTAACCTGTACTTGTGCACTGACCATTCACCCTGGCAGTCAGCTCCACCAGATGGCAGCCCCAGCTGAAGATTTGTCTGAGAGACACAGAAATAAGCAGCAACTGCCCAGTTGCTGCTTAGTGAATTTACTTTTGAATGAAAGCCACAAAAACTGCAACATGCCAGTCACTCACCTGTTTTCCTGTGATGGGTAGGAATCTACTACAAACAGAAACCTACATGCATCTTAGAAAAGCTGGATTTGTTTTTTTCTTTCAGGCCATAACTAACATAAGTAAATGTTGGCGATCGGGTTGGTAAAAATGTATGAGAGGTTGGAGCTTTAGCAGTCTTATTTGCCGCCCTGTGTTTCAGAAGTTCAAGAAACGCTGTCTATCACTCACCTCCAGTAAGAATCCGCCTTCTGGTATGGCAGGCTCCTTGAGCATGCCAACTTCCTTTATTTCATGACCTGTGTGCTTTTTCAAACACTTCTCCTGAACAGCTGTTGGAAAGGATGAATCGGTACATATTTAACATAAGTGGCAATGTGTAAAACAACAAGAGCAACCAAAATTTTATTGTAAGAAACTAATAACTAATACTAATAACTAAAACTAATAATTAGTCACAAACTAATCCAAATTATCAATAGCCTGTAGGACCACAAACACCCGGTTCACAATGAGAAAGAGACAGCCTGCACTTTGTGTTGGCAGGGCGACACAAGGCAGATGGGGATATGAGGCGGCCTGACTTGTGTTCTCCTCGTTGCAGTTCTCACGGTGCTCCTGGGGAGGGTGTCCTTCCCCTCGGTGGCTCCCGTGGCTCCACCCTAAGCTCTGTGGAAGCTCCCATGGCTGCGGCTGGTTGCTCAGCCAGACACGGGGCTGGCTCTTTTGACAGCTGTTGCACCCACAGCACCCACAGCATGATATATAAAGGGTTGTGGTGTCTAACAGTGTCAGGCTCAACAACGCCAGCAGTAATGCAGTGCCTTTTTCTCCCCCATGTAAATGTCTCCCCCTCTCCTTTTCCCCCTTGGGAGAAGATTTGAATGTTTCTGTTCTTTGGTGTTTCAGATGCACAGCCAGACATTTAAGATACAGAAATCAGCAAGATACAACCTTCTCTTTTGAATAAAAAGGTAAAGGGACCTCTGACCATTAGGTCCAGTCGTGGCCGACTCTGGGGTTACGGCGTTCATCTTGCTTTATTGGCCGAGGGAGCCGGCGTACAGCTTCCGGGTCATGTGGCCAGCATGACTAAGCCGCTTCTGGCGAACCAGAGCAGCGCACGGAAACGCCGTTTACCTTCCCGCCAGAGCAGTACCTATTTATCTACTTGCACTTCGTGCTTTCGAACTGCTAGGTTGGCAGGAGCAGGGACCGAGCAATGGGAGCTCACCCCGTTGCGGGGATTCAACCGTCGACCTTCTGATCGGCAAGCCCTGGGCTCTGTGGTTTAACCCACAGCGCCACCCGCGTCCCTCTCTTTTGAATACTTGCCCCTTAAAATAAGCCAAAATTGCTCTCCCATTTGAGCTTTATATTTCCACGAGGAGGTACCATCTTCCAATAAGCAACTCCAAGCGTTTTGCAGGTTGCGTGATCAGAGCTTGCCAATGTATCTTCCCTGGATGTGAGCAACTGCTGGGCAGTCAGCCACCTCCGCAATTGAAAACCCCACCCTCTGCTTCCTTCCCCTCCTCCCCAACAGAGCTGTGTGTTTTTTTGTTTTGTTTTTTTCCAGAAACACCAGGGGGAAAACATGCCTTTGGTATAAAAGAATTGCGCTGAGTAACCAAGGCTTTGCTGTCACGCTATGAGAACAGACTGTCAATCTTTCCATGCAACTGACAGTGGCCTGGCTCTTGTTTAAGCCCTTGCGTGCGAGCAGAGAGCCCACATTCCCCCAAGAAATGCCTCATAACAACAGCTGTTAAATATTGATGACGCCTGGCTCGCTCCGAGTGCTCTTCATGAAGGTTAAGCCTTCATGTAATGGAACCTAATTCTGTATTTTTGTCTGCTAATAATAAAACCCAAGTAATGGACTTTTAAAACAAGATAATAATGCATTAGAGGAAGAGAGGAAACCAGCAAATTAAAATAATCTCTCTTTCAAGTAAAGTTTTTCATTGCAGAATGGAAGAAAACTGAAGCTAGTACAGCAGTTGTGTTTGCCGGGATTTTCTGTAAGCAGAATATGTAAAGCTCTATAGCCCGAGGAATAGTAAGAATGGGTATAGAATTATGCCTGCAACACAATAAAAATTATGAAAAATCGTATTCTGCTGTGCTGCCTCTAGCTTCACTTTCAAAGGGCCCAGTGGGTTAATAAATATGCAAGCATATTTTTTTTTAAAAAACAGCTTTTTCTGCCTAAAAGGAAATTGTGTGTGAAGCTCAGTATGCTGAAAGTAGATTTGCACATAGCTGTAACATGTCAAAATAGTTTGACATATACTGAATGCATTGCTACTCCTCACTTGCAAATTACAGTTCCACGCAGGGTAGTTTCCATTAACTCTCATCGGAACAGACAACTTGCATACACGAACACTTAACTGACAGTGTAACCCACAGTGGCTTAGAAACATTTCTAAGACAAGAAAGTCACTTAAATGTGCAGGAAATAAAGATGTTCCAAGTGTTAAACACAAACATGGGGGCTAAGCCTGCAATGAGAAGCATTTATACAGGGAGCGCTTGATTCAGGATAGTAGATCTGGGACCCAAATGGTTTTTTCAGTGCTGAAAGATTCAATTAGGCCTTTATCGCTAAAAATACATTAGAACAATGTATTTAGCCATCACATGAATTGACCTGGCGATGCCTGTCTTTAGCCATTCAATCCAGATAAAGGGCTGGCCACATAGTTTAAGTGCAGGAGGATTACAAGTTGTATTATTGGATCTCAAAGTCTTTATCATTATTCATTATGATTTATTAAATTTGCATACTACCCTTCCTCCCTAGATCTCAGGGCGGTTCACAACATAAACATACAAGATAAAAAAACAAAGAAATACGTAATAAAAACTTCACTGCTTAGCCAGGGGCCAACTCCAAATCATACAAAAGAACAATTAAAGCAAGTAGACTGCTCAATATATAATTAATTAAGCAAATTAATTAAGCACAACCTATTGCAATATCCAATATATTTCACAACTACAACAATAATGACACCAATAACGCTAACAATAAACAAGATCCTACTCATTTGCAATTCAACTCAGCCTTTATATTATTTATCCATTTCAATTCTTTTTGTTAAACCTGTTGTACATTTATCACCTGAAGGTCTCCAAGCAACTTACAGCAATACACACATAATCACTCAAACACACAAGTACCATAAGGGAAGAAAAAAGAGGGGGACATAGAATACATTAACATAACATTTATGGGGAAAAAACAAAAGCAACACACCTGCCATTCTATTTTGCACCCATCAAGATACTTCTCCTCCCTGGACTCAACAGAGACTCATTTTGCATGCGAATGTCATTTCTGAAGACTGGTTCTATACCTGCTGACTGTAAATTCTGGATATACGACATTGCTGACTCTGTTATAGTATTGCAGTTTGGAAACTGAACTATGAAGCTGGATAGTCCCGTTTTATATTCAACCTTTGCCCTGAGGCTTAGGGAAGTCATTCTGCTGCAATACTCCATTTGCAATATGGAAAAAAACAATATTGACCTGTCTTACATGACGTATGATGCTGCCTTATCTCTTGGTCTATCTAGCCAAGGGCTGCTCAGTCTCCCCAGGTGAGATACTTTTAACAAAGTTACACTTGGGAAAACTCCGTCAAGGCAAATCTTCATTCCTCCGAGCAGGTAATCAACACTATAAAATGCTATAAAGTCTGTCAATCATCTGGTGTGCAGATTTGCGTTCACAAGCACACAGGAAGTGTGGAAGATGTTTGAGTCGGTGGCTTTGTTTTTAGTATAATGCTCTAAATTTTCCAAACACAGATTTTAATTTCCATTGAACCCCACTGTCTATACATATGTTTATCACTCAATGTATAAAAATGCTAGCCAGAATGATATAAACAGGAGGAGAATTATACAAAATACTAAGGAGCTACGGGGAAATAATAGGAATTTTGTAAACTAGATTATTAATCTTTCCCTCAGAAATTTTCCACTCGTGACTGACCCAAAGCGGAAGGTCAGGTTTATAGCCAAAGACATTTTGTCTTAGCCAGGAAGAAGGCTGAGGCAGTAGCTCATTTACACACTGCAAGTCTACCATAGATCAGAACTCTATTCCTCAGATCAAAAGATCAGTTTCATAACCACTTTTTTTTTTTGAGGTTGCAACTGAGTCTGCCACAGTCACGCAATCCCTAGCTCCAAATTGTTTTAACTCTTCATCTATAGAAAAAATAATAAATCTGTATCAACGTAATACCAGGAATCATATATACCCCAAGAAGCCATACAAATAACATACATGGAAGAAGTATTACACTATTTACTAGTTAATAATGATGATAATGATAATGATAATGATAATAATAATAATAATAATGTCTTCGTTCAGACCTTTCCTTCTCTAGTAAAACAACATGTTACCAGTATCAACAATACCATGTAAATTAAAAATGGAATGTTTATAAACATGAGAAATATCATGTTTAATATCAACATAACATGTAACATAATTATAACAGAACAACAATAATGAGTTGTGAATTACCAAGACCTTGCAAGCATAGCGCATGATGCTTGCACAATCACATGTCTTCTTAAACTGAACAGACAAAACAGTTAAATAAAGCACATTTGTTGCTGTGATCTCTATCTATCTATCTATCTATCTATCATCTATCTTGTTGCGTCCACCTTTCCTTGGTGTCAACTCTGGCAGACAATACCAGTTCTGAGGCTGCATCTCTTGATGTCCTAGGCAGGTTGGGTATATCTCTGTACTCAACCCCGGGTTTCACCAACTGTAGACCTCAGTCTATGAGGAAGAGATGTCTTTTGGGATTTTCACATCAGCTTTCAAAGAATGTAGCCTTTTAAGAAGGCAATGACTGGATCAAGCACTGGGTGGGCATCATCTGGTCGCAAGTGCCTATGACACTTTTAGCTTTATTATTTAATAAATGTGTGTGCCACTTTTCAAGCAAAAGTAGTTCCCCAAGAAGTTTTCAGGGTCTGCTCAGAAAGAGCCCTGAAGGATATGGCTAAGAATTTCCACACAACTGTATATTTAAAGCCTAGTCACATCAAGCACACAACAGGCAAGTGAAAACTCAAATCAGAACTCATGTCTCTCACCGCAACGCCTTCTCTTTTGCTTCTGCTTTTCAGTTACAAAGTGGGGTTTTCCCTATGCTATGGAGAATTCTTTAGTGGTAGACCATTTGTAGCAATTGGAGAAATATTCAAGGAGTGAGAAGGATTGAACAGCGATTTCCTGCGCTTGCCTACGTTTCTCTTGCTGCTGCTGCTGTTGCTGCTGCTATACAGGTTTGCAAACCCCAAACATATGGACAATATAAATACATTTAAGGGTACCCCCCTGCCCGTACGGGCCAGTCTTGCCAGACTCTAGGGTTGTGCGCTCATCTCACTCTATAGGCCGGGAGCCAGCGCTGTCCGCAGACACTTCCGGGTCACGTGGCCAGCGTGACAAGCTGCATCTGGCGAGCCAGCGCAGCACACGGAACGCCGTTTACCTTCCCGCTGGTAAGCGGTCCCTATTTATCTACTTGCACCCCCGGGTGCTTTCGAACTGCTAGGTTGGCAGGTGCTGGGACCGAATGACGGGAACGCACCCTGCCACGGGGATTCGAACCGCCGACCATGTGATCGGCAAGTCCTAGGCGCTGAGGTTTTACCCACAGCGCCACCCGCGTCCCATAAATACATTTACACATGCCATTAACCATCTGGGTATATATGCATCTCACTGGGGCCTCCAGATGTGCAGTTCGTCTATACTCTATGTGCTGCCAAAAACAATGGTGCACGTGTATCAAACATGCCTGCCACATGAAGTATGGAACCACTCTCATCACAGCAATGAAAATGAGTGCAATAAGGGCAGGTTCAAAGTACCAGCATCAGGTTTTGTGGTGGTACACAACCACCAAGTGTAAGCTATCACTTAAAAAATTAAAAAGGAGTTTGGGCCGTATTCTCAGAACGTTGCCAAGAAAGAAACAACCGCTGCATTATCAATCTCAAAACCTTTATTGGCATATAAACAAAATTCTTAAAAGTTTGGTACAATAAAATCACTCAGCCGAGTTGCTGTATTATCATCCCCTTTGAATAAGGGTCATGGGAGGCGGGGTATTGTTAAATGGGCATGGTTAAGAGGATGGGGCTACAGCAACAGCGCCTACAAGACTGACACTGTTTTTAGTTACACCACTGTTCTGTTACTGAGTGTGCCAAGCAACAAAAAGCCTTGCTCTTTCTTGGTGCCCCTGAAGTGGGAAAGGTGGTGCTAAATGCCGCAGCCAGACTGTTGGTGGGGGCAGGCTGACTCCTGCCAGAACATTACTGCAACGGCTGCCCATATGCTACTGTGCAAAGCTCAAGGTTCTTGCATTACTTTTAAAGGTCCTTAGTAACTGGGTTCTAGCACGCCTTAAGGGCGGCTTTCTTCCTTATATGCCTGCCAGATCCCTGAGGCCTTTGGGGAAGTCACTGCTCACCAGCTTCCATGGCTTGGACACAGGGCCTGCATCCACCAGGAGCCATGGGTTCGGTACTGTGGGCCCAATCCTGTCAGACTCCCTCCTGGCCCAGGACAGGCAGGCTCCTTTCCTGTTGAACCTCCCTTGCTTGGTGAAGATCTTCTTATTTCGGCAGACATTCTAAGTAAGTTTTCTGATTATATGATCATTTTTACTGATTTTATCTTTATTATAGCTGTTGTAAGCTGACTGTGAAGACCACTTAAAAGGGATAGAAATTATTGAAATAAAAAGATAGACAGAAGTCATTCACTTTTCATGAAAATGCCAGAAAGATTTCCTTTGCTTCTGGAAGGTGATTTTAAACACACGAGGCTTTTAAAGAATTCTTATTTCTAATGAACTGAACTATTTTCCTTTTAGAAATTACTCTGAAGTATTTGCATTTAATAACCTTGTCTGATACTGTACCTTGTTTTGATATTAGCAGCAGCTGCAGGGAGGACACCTAGTGGTGATTATACAGCTCTGCATAAAAACCTCATTAGCAGCATTAGCATACAGCATTGGGCAGTATTCAGAACGCTATAATCTCTCTCCCAACGAAGTGCTTTCCAAAAATACACCAGCATAAAAATGCAAATACTTCAAAAATTAGTTTTATGAAACTTTTCATCCACACTATTTACATCTAGAGCGCTTCAAGTCCCGGCAGACTGGAGGAGGGCAAATGTTGTCCCTATTTTCAAAAAGGGGAAAAGAGAGGACCCAAATAATTACCGCCCAGTCAGTCTGACATCAATACCAGGGAAGATTCTGGAGCAGATCATTAAGCAAACAGTCTGTGAGCACCTAGAAAGGAATGCTGTGATCACCAATAGTCAGCATGGATTTCTGAAAAATAAGTCATGTCAGACTAACCTGATCTCGTTTTTGACAGAATTACAAGCCTGGTAGATGAAGGGAACGCAGTGGATGTAGCCTACCTTGATTTCAGCAAGGCATTTGACAAGGTGCCCCATGATATTCTTGTAAAGAAGCTGGTAAAATGCGGTCTTGACTATGCTACCACTCAGTGGATTTGTAACTGGCTGACTGACCGAACCCAAAGGGTGCTCATCAATGGTTCCTCTTCATCCTGGAGAAGAGTGACTAGTGGGGTGCCACAGGGTTCTGTCTTGGGCCTGGTCTTATTCAACATCTTTATCAACGACTTGGATGATGGACTCAAGGGCATCCTGATCAAATTTGCAGATGACACCAACTGGGAGGGGTGGCTAACACCCCAGAGGACAGGATCACACTTCAAAACAACCTTGACAGATTAGAGAACTGGGCCAAAACAAACAAGATGAATTTTAACAGGGAGAAATGAAAAGTATTGCACTTGGGCAAAAAAAATGAGAGGCACAAATACAAGATGGGTGACACCTGGCTTGAGAGCACTACATGTGAAAAGGATCTAGGAGTCTTGGTTGACCACAAACTTGACATGAGCCAACAGTGTGACGCGGCAGCTAAAAAAGCCAATGCAATTCTGGGCTGCATCAATAGGAGTATAGCATCTAGATCAAGGGAAGTAATAGTGCCACTGTATTCTGCTCTGGTCAGACCTCACCTGGAGTACTGTGTCCAGTTCTGGGCACCACAGTTCAAGAAGGACACTGACAAACTGGAACGTGTCCAGAGGAGGGCAACCAAAATGGTCAAAGGCCTGGAAATGATGCCTTATGAGGAACGGCAAAGGGAGCTGGGCATGTTTAGCCTGGAGAAGAGGAGGTTAAGGGGTGATATGATAGCCATGTTCAAATATATAAAAGGATGTCACATAGAGGATGGAGAAAGGTTGTTTTCTGCTGCTCCAGAGAAGCGGACACGGAGCAATGGATCCAAACTACAAGAAAGAAGATTCCACCTAAACATTAGGAAGAACTTCCTGACAGTAAGAGCTGTTCGACAGTGGAATTTGCTGCCAAGGAGTGTGGTGGAGTCTCCTTCTTTGGAGGTCTTTAAGCAGAGGCTTGACAACCATATGTCAGGAGTGCTCTGATGGTGTTTCCTGCTTGGCAGGGGGTTGGACTCGATGGCCCTTGTGGTCTCTTTCAACTCTATGATTCTATGATTCTTCAAAGAAGTAGTAACTTTCTTACTATTCACACAGAGCAAATATTCCTTAGGTCAGTGGTTTTCAACCGGGGTGCCGTGGCACCCTGGCATGCCTTGAATGGTGGTCAGAGGTGATGCAGGCAACACTGGTCTCCGTTTCTCCTTCCTTCCCTCCCTCCTCTGTTGCCCTCTTGTGTCTCTGCCTCCCAAAGGCTTGCACAACTGTTTGTTGCAGCAGCCCTGGCTACAAGTCCCCCAGGTGAAGGGTGCCTCTGGGGGTTGGTCAGGGGGTGCTGGTTATCAGGAGTTGAGGTGACCTCGACAAAGCAAGCAAGCGGGTGAGAAAGCCTAGCCAGCCTTTGCTGTTGGGAATGGACAGACAAGTCCCAGGCCCCTGTGGGGCAGGCTGGAGGGCAGCTCAGAGACCAGGGGAGGCAGCAGTGGCTGCCCAGAGTACTCTCAAGGAGAGGAGGCTGAGGAAACATTCCACAAGGGGGGGTATTCGAAAAAGGGTGAGGGGCTGCCTGCTCTACAAGCAAGGGGTGACATAACTGGGCTCCTGAGCCCCGCAGGGGAGCCACATGAAGAATGTAGTTGGTCAAGGGAGCCGTGGACACAAAAAGGTTGAAAACTACTGCCTTACGTCACTGGGAGGCAATCTGTGTCCTGGGGGCTATATGTGGCCCCCCAAGCCAAAAATAAATAAACAGAAGAGAATGAATGGATGATAGATTAACAAGGAGAGAGATGGGGTATGGGGAGAGAGAGAAAGAAAATGAAAATATGATGGGTGGATGAAGGGGGCTGCTCTCTGACACTCTTGGTGTCCCCCCAACCACTCTTCCCGCACAATGAACCCCAAAATATTGCTAATACTCGTTAGGCAAAGTGGGACAGCTGTACGGGGAGAGCAGCCCTTGTTGTCCCCGCAGGCCACCTAAGCTATCCAGCTGCCCTCCTAGATGATGGAGGACGTGGACCTATCCTCAGTGGAATTACAATTTCTTTCCCTCAAACACACATCCACAATTGTGGGAATTTTAAGACTAAAGGAGGCATGGTTTTTACACTGCTTGACTGTAGTAAAACTTCTAAGTGGACTGCAAGAAATAGGAAAATTATCAATAAGAACTTAAAATTATTTAAATGTTTAAAAATAATTAAAAGTAAAAAGAGACTAATATACACTGATGTCAACATGTCTGGAGTGGCCCATCTAAAAATGTAAACAGGCAGGGAGTCCCAGTGTGTAGGTACCACCGCAATAACTAACAACTGCAGATTAACAAATCAGTTCCATAGACTGAAACTGTCAAGTGGGCACATAAACTGACCTGTTAAGGGCTTTGCATACTAATAGTAATGCCTTGAACTTGGCCTGGTAACAAATCAACCTCGTGCTGATCTCTGAGCAAACGTGCCTTACTTTAGGCAGCAACTATGCTGCAACATTCTGGACTAATATTCTGCACTAATTGCAGTTTCCAGATCAAGTGCAAGTGATTATTCTCAAGGTACTCAAGGATACGCAGTAGCAGCAACTCGTTTTGTTGCTGTTAAAAAGTGTGGCACTTACTTGCAACAACTTCATGGTGAGTACCGGTACCTATTTTTCTAGGAAAAGTACTGCATATAGATATTAAATAGCTCTGGGATAAAATAGTGCTCTATGGCACCTCAAATGGAGTTTGGATCTAATGTAACTTTACTCCAGCTTAACTTATACTGGCTTGTTTTGCATTCATTTCTTGTGCATCAGATTGCTTCCCTAATAATTATTAAATTCTCAAGGATGAAAATATGACAACACATTTATGCTGTGTAACGTGCCCCCCATCAAATGTGGCATGTAAAATACACTTAATATCTCAACATGTATACTTAATGCCAATAACCTCAAAGAAGAGAATAAAGTTAAAGCATATTGGTTTTTCTTTTCATTTGTTGAGGGGGGGAAGTTATGTTTTTGCAACTAATATATCACATTCAACCAGCTTAAGTTTCATTGTCTTGATTTTGTCCCTAACATAACATTTCTTCTCTGTACACCAAACAAGGAAGCAAAACGTATCAATACAATAAGGGCTCATTAATCTATTCTCTCATTTTCTTGAAGAGGTCTTCAACTGAACTTTACCAAAAAAATTAAAGAAATTCTGAGGCAACGTGCAGGACATGCTTCATGTACTGCTCATGTGTAAATTGCCATTCTGAAAACCTGTTGCCAGATCATGAAACTCTGGAAAATTATCTTTAAAATGATATAGAACACCTTAAGTATATAGTAGCCTGCAACACACATGGGGTTACATTCCAGGGATCACGCTTAAAAGCCAACATTATCTTTCCTGGAACCCCCCTCCATCTCCACCCCCTTTTAATTATTTTAATTTTTTGCCCCATGTGTAAAGCTAAATGCGCACAAGTTAAATGTGCATGAGTTGCAGGCTTACTGTATATGAAAATGAAAATTGTGTCTGTAACATGACATTTTCATGGAATTTACCAAACACACAAAAAGCAAAAAACGATTAAAAAATTATCACAAACCTTTAGCTCGTCCCACAAATTTAATCAGGTGATTAATCAACAATCTAATGTTTTAAGCCCTAGTATCTAGTAAAGAGAAGGTAAAGGTAAAGGGACCCCTGACAGTTAAGTCCACTTGCATATTGTCCACTCCGCAGACAGTTTTCCCAGGTCATGTGGCCAGCATAACTAAGCTGCTTCTAGCACAGCGGAACACCGAAACCAGAGCAGCGCACGAAAACGCCGTTTACCTTCCCACCAGAGCGGTATCTATTTATCTACTTGCACTTTCTGGCGTGCTTTTGAACTGCTAGGTTGGCAGGAGCTGGGACTGAGCAACAGGAGCTCACCCCATCGTGGGGATTCGAACCACTGAGCCAAGAAGCTCAGTGGTTTAGACCACAGCGTCACCCGCGTCCCCATGAAAAGAGAAAACTTTAACCAAAAACCCTCCCTTCCTTCCATTCTGCAACCAATCTTTTCTCTTCATGAGGATACCTCAGAGGAAAAGTCTAGGGCTAGCTAAGACTTCCTCCCAAGCAGCAGTGAGAGGAGTCTGCCATTGGCCAAGGGCACAGTTTGGGACCAGGGTATTTGAGAAACACCTCTTCCACATGAATCTGCTCACTTGTTGAGATCAGCAATGGAAGTTCTGTGCAACGTTCAGACGCTGCCAAGAGGTTCAGCTAGTGCTGAAGTGAAACAGGGTTTCCTCGATGGTGACACCTAGGAATTGCAATCCTCTCCCCCAGGACACCCATCAGGACCTCATTTTACAGACATTCTGAAGTTCAGCAAAAATGGTTTTGTTTGGAGTAGGTTTTTTTAAAAAAAAAATTGCTGCTTTGCTTTTCCAGTTTTATGGTTTTTCCTGCCAAGTTTTGATTTATCATTTTATATGCATGTTAATTTTGAAGACTTTTGGTGAAAACGCCATATAACCATATAAACATAAAGAGATGAATTGGCCGCTAGGTAGAGAAGAAGGTAACAGGGAGGCACTGCTGTTCATCCCCACTTCTGTGCATTATTATCTGTTTATCCTGAAACAGTTGCTGTCTCAGATCAGTCCTGATTATAATTATTAGATATATACGTGCACCTTAACAAGAATTCTGGAAATACACCTGCCAGGGCACAAACCTTTAAAAATTAAATTGCATTGGCAAAGGATTAAGGATTGAGGATGAGACAGCCAGTACTATTGGTTGGAAAGGTGAATGATCTTGGATGGTTAAGGAATAATGATCTTGGATGCAGTTTGTAATGATTCAATGGCGCATCCTCTAATTGTTTACTCCAATTGTACATAACTGATACTATTTTGTAGGCAGCAGGAGATAATTTTGTGCATGGCAACATTGCACATATTGTTGTAATTACGTAAGCCTGACGTGTAAGTCAACACTGGCATACTTCAACTTCTATTGAAAATATTTTCAGATGGTGAAACACCAGACACTTTATTAACAAAATATTCTAAATTGTTTCTAAATCTGCAAGATGCACATCATGCACATCAATGAACATTTGATTTAAATTATACAGTGCGCCAAAATGTAGCTCATTCCAACATTCAAGACAGTAAAGTTCTGTTTGTTCTGAAACAAAATCGTTGGCTTATTTTTTAATTGCAAGATCGTTGTTTATGGAGAACTATAGTCTGCCTCTGTATGTGCTATCACCAGCTCTTGCTAACAGATTGCAGGTGGAATGGGGAGTTGTACAGTTTATTGGATTTAGAAAATCCTGTTGGCACCCTTGCCTATGCTTGTCAAATGTTGAGGACATCAACCACCTACCACCTCCATGAGTATACAATCTCTGGACCTTAATAAAGGCCCAAGCAGAAGACACCAAAGAAAAAAGAAGAAAACAAAGAAGAGAGATGACAACAAAAAAGAAAGAAAAAGAGAAAAGGAGAAAGAGAAGCAGGAATACGAAGAGAGAGAGTAAAGAAGAAAAAGAAACAATAAAGAAATATAAAAGGACCTCTGATTTTCCATCTGCAAGTTACATAAAAAAGGGGGGGGGATATTTCTAACATTCAGTCCATGGTAATATCCATCTTCTCCACTTTCTGTTAAACAATATTTCTTTTACGTAAATGTGTCTCGAATTCATTCCCACTCAAGTCCAAGAGGGATTCCCAAATTGTTGATGTTGTTGTTATTGGTAAATGTCATAGAATCATAGAATCATAGAGTTGAAAGAGACCACAAGGGCCATTGAGTCCAACCCCCTGCCAAGCAGGAAACACCATCAGAGCACTCCTGACATATGGTTGTCAAGCCTCTGCTTAAAGACCTCCAAAGAAGGAGACTCCACCACACTCCTTGGCAGCAAATTCCACTGTCGAACAGCTCTTACTGTCAGGAAGTTCTTCCTAATGTTTAGGTGGAATCTTCTTTCTTGTAGTTTGGATCCATTGCTCCGTGTCCGCTTCTCTGGAGCAGCAGAAAACAACCTTTCTCCCTCCTCTATGTGACATCCTTTTATATATTTGAACATGGCTATCATATCACCCCTTAACCTCCTCTTCTCCAGGCTAAACATGCCCAGCTCCCTTAGCCGTTTCTCATAGGGCAACATGTGACATCCTTTTTATATATTTGAACATGGCTATCATATCACCCTTAACCTCCTCTTCTCCAGGCTAAACATGCCCAGCTCCCTTAGCCGTTTCTCATAAGGCAACGTTTCCAGGCCTTTGACCATTTTGGTTGCCCTCCTCTGGACACGTTCCAGTTTGTCAGTGTCCTTCTTGAACTGTCAACTGTGCTTTTTGTTTAATATCAACTTTAACTCCATTAATTCCCACCGCTATTCCTCCATACTGAGTACTAGTAAATTCTTTTGTCCATTTCCATGTTAAAATCTCTCTACTGTGATCACATATTGGAATAATATTCCACAATTCTTTTCTTGTTATATATCCCTTAGTTTATGCCCAGTTCCATAATTCAAATTCCATTTCCTTTTGTGCTTCCATTCCCTGTACTGTTTAGCATAGTATTCCGATCTCCTCCTCTAGGACTATCCACTTGCGTTTCTTCCATTCTTTTTCCATACATATTAGTAGCATCATTCTATGAATTTGCTCCAAATCGTATGCAGAATACTTTCTCTCTGCTAGAACTGAAGAAAGGCCAGGACGGAGGTTTTTCTAAAGATTTTCTTCTCTCTCAACATCATCGATACGATTAATGCCAGATCCAGATGACCATTCATGGTTTTATCTTCCCCTTCTCCTCCACGCCTCTGTATGAAAGGCATTTCCATTTCACCATCTGCTTTCTCCAATTTTGCTGTTTCATCATCCAGTCCTGCCACGTTTTCATCAATTTTGTTTGAAGCCTCTAAGTAATCTCCAGTTCCATTTTCTATTTCATCTCTCTCTGGTTAATTTTCTTTCCCCCTTTCATCAAACATTAATCCAATCATTTTTAGTTGTTCAGCCATCAACTATTGAACAATACCAACAATCACTGGAAGATCCAAAGGTACATTTGCCACATTCGATGCAGACAAAGAAATATCTCTAAGCTATATTTTTCCTTCCCCAAAAATGTGTAAGAAAGAGAGGGTGCAGACCTTATACTCACAATGGGTTCTTACGTAGTGTTTGGGTGAGATGTTGGTTCCTCAGCTCACCACCTTGTTTTAGCCCCTGACTAAGCCCCCAGGCGCAGACAGCAGAAAATGGCTTTGATCAGAGCATTTGAGGTCTTTATTTCAGAGTGCTTTGATAATCAGACATTCAGTCTGATTACCATAAATCACATAATTGTCCAGGACCTTCCCAATAAATTTCACCTTATGCTTCTCCCCCAACTATCCCATCCCCTGCCATTTCTCCTTACTCTGGACATGTTAACTATGTTGGACTACAACTCCCATCATCCGTAGCTACCAGGACCAGTGGTCAGAGATTATAGGGGTTGTAGTCTAACAACATCTGGGGACCCAGGTTTAAGAAAGGCTGAACTAGCTCCATGGCTGTTGATTCATCACTATCTGACAAGAACTGTCAAAGCCTTTGGTCTAGGGTACCCAGGGCCAGACCAAGACAATTTGTTACCTGAGGCAAACCTCAAAATGGTGCCCTCCTGCCAGGGAGGTGTGAGTTCATATCTGCATCGGAAACGAAGGAGGAATAAAGCTCTACATTGGGAACAAGGGTGGGAGGAGACCAGTAGTGGCTCCTATTTGCCAAGCGGTGGCACTGGGTGGGAGCAACCGAGGAGGTGGCAGATCCAACCTCCAAGGAGCACGCTGCAGCCATTGTGGCTTCTGCTGCCTGAGGAGGTTGCCTCCCCTTTCCTCATGGGTGGGCCGGCCCTGAGGACAGCTGCTAGGATGTATACATGTGTACATGCTGCTGCTTGTTTTGTTTGCAATGCGGTTTTTAAATTTGATTTTTAAGCAACTGTATTAGTTAACTGTGAGGTTTTTAAAATTTTAATTATGGTTATCTTATTTTCCGGTATAATTTTGTAACAGGTTGTAAGGCACTTTTGTCTAAAAGTTCTCAAAGAGCAACTTAGAAATGTGAATATTAATATAAAAACCAAGCAAACCTGTGTGTGTACTGTGCTTCTTCAAACAGACACACACACACACACACACACACACACACACACACTCTCACTCCATACCGCAGGTTGTGGCTCACATTATCAAGTGCTCTCACTTACAAACTTTAATAAGAGGACACAAACATATATAGCACTTCCAAGTATTCAAAGCACTTCACAGATCAGCAGTGTGATCTTTATAGGAACCTTTTAGTACAGGGCATGATGATCCCTCTGTCCACACTGCACGGCTTTTATAAAAAATCTGCCCAGTTTCAGTTGTGCACGTTGTTATTCAGCAGCCACAGATTATAAAATCTCAGCATAATAATATGAAATATGCATGACCTGCAGCAAGCAGTCCCTTTGCTCTTCCTTTCGTGCAAGTGGCAAAGCAAGCCAGGAAACCGCAGTAACCATAACTTCCTGTTATGTCTGAACCAGAAACTGTGGTTAATGTCTTCTAAACAAGCTAAGACTGAGAGGCAAACTTTAAACCATGGTTTCATACTTAGGGCTTGTTTGAAAGCTATTCATCGTTGTTCCCCAATTCCGATGCGGCAGGAAGTTAACTGCAGCTCCCAGCCTTGTTTGCAGCATGTGAGAGCCTGTAGGCACGCATATCGTGGCTTATTACCTACTTATTTAACCAAGATTTAATTGTTCAGATGCAGCTAGCCTTGCACAATGCAATGCTACGCACATCTAATCAGAAGTATGAATTCAGTGGCATTACATTTTTATTTATACCCTGCCCTTCCTGGTTCAGAAACCGGGCTCAGGGTGGCTAACAACAAATTTAAAACACTTTAAAACACTTAATTATAAAAGCAGCATAAAATAAGGTATAAAAACATGAATAACAATAAAAATCAAAAATCAATTAGAAAATCCCCAGGGCTAGCTGGCTGAATTGGTCCTACTTGGGCCAGCGAGGAGGCCAGGGGAGAATTAGCTGTGGGGTCTCAGAGCAGGTGATCTTCATAAAAGGGGAGAGGGAAGGAAGAGAAGGGAAATAAAAGATCAGGCTGAATTCAAATTAAAGGCTAGGCGGAATAGCTCTGTCTTACAGGCCCTGCGGAAAGAGGTTAAATACTGAAGGGCCCTGGTCTCCTGGGACAGAGCATTCCACCAGGTCGGCGCCATCACTGAGAAGGCCCTGACCCTGGTGGAGGAGAGTCTGACTTCCTTAGGGCCCAGGACTTCTAAACTATGGTTATTCATGGACCTTAAGGTCCTCTGCGGGGCAGACCAGGAGAGGCGATTCTGTAGATACAAGGGCCCTAAGCCACTAGCATCATGGAGCAGGTCCACTCTTCCTGGTAGAGGTCTGGGTAGACATGGTCTCTGAGAACTTGTGCAATGTTCCCTCAGACACCAATAAAAGATTATTACGACTTGAAGCCTTACCTTGAAAGAAGCTTTTGACTCTAAGGTAACTGACGCTGAGACGCAAGACAGAGAGTTTGTCCAGTTTAGCTATTATGTCTGGTGGGAAAGGCAGGAGACTGGCCAGGTGATCTAACTCAGCATTCAAGCGATCTCTGTGTCTCTTTGAAGGATTAGACTTCCCATTCCCATGCACGGGCCTCCTGTTCGGGGAGAAAATGTGATATGAAAAATCCGCTGTCTTAAGCTCACTGAGTTGCCAGTATCCGCTCTCTAATACCAAAACAGAAGAAAATGATGGCATCCTTGAAAAATGATTCTTATAGAATGTGTAAATTAGGGGGTCATACACAAACGGCTTGGAGTGCCAGTTCTCTCGACCCAAACATTTCCACAGAAAAATCACCAGTTTTGAAAGAGGTGTTAAACTGATGCTTAACTGGCAAAAATTCTCCCCGCTACCTTTATGTGTACCATCATCTCCCACTTCTTGTGTCACCAAATCCTTTCACAAACCCCTTCACTGCTCCCAGGCCCCAGTTTCTGTAGCTTCCAACAGAGATATTCCATATAAAGTGATCCATTTTTTTACCTTGTGTATTTGAATTTTCTTAATATTTTGTACACTTGTTGAATGATCAAAAGTAAGTTTAAACTAAAATTTTAATTTTTTATCTCATCCTGTTTTTGAGTTATGAGGGTTTGAAATTTCCAAAAAGAGAGAGACAATTTTGGCCTTGCCAGATTACACAACAGCCTTAAAAACTAAGTCCAGAATTTCAAAACTAAATATACTGATCTCTTCAGAACTTCATGGGCTTTAATATGATAGGTCACATGATGTGCTTACCTTAAATTTTAAAGTTACAAAATTTAGAATTTTAAAAAGCGATTTTAAAAAATGATTAAAAATTTCCAAAATTTGTATTGATTATTTAATATTTCTAAGAACTATCCTCAAAATTTCATCTTGGGATCTCAATGGGATCACATTCAAAAAAATATTTTGAATATACATGTCTGCTTTATTGGGTTCTGTTTAGGATAAATGGGTCTTCTTGGAGTAAAATATAACAGAATAAACAAGACATCAAACTACAGTATCAGTTACTTCAGGCATTTCTTTAGAAAGTTATTTAATAATAATAATAATAGTTTATTATTTATGCCCCACCCATCTGGCTGGGTTTCCTGAGCCACTCTCTCCCAACAAAACATTAAAACAGAATAAAACATCCAACATTAAAAACATCCCTATCTGAAAAGCTAGTCAGGCTTTTCTTTTTAAAATGTATCCCAAAGTAGAGTGATAGCTTGCTGTTGCATGATAGAATTAACACTCTGAAATAATTCTTGGTTAGTACTTCATTTCATGAAGTCTGAAGATAGTCCAGTAACTTGTATTGAGTGTTGCTGTACAGTATGAGGGAACTGGATCTTCTCAACAGCGCTGAGGTAAATGATGTAGAACATAATAACTTTATGAGTTTAGACAACCACTATTCTATTCTTACCTACACTCTGACACATAAAAGAATCTTACAGTAAAGTACGCCTTGGGTTAATAAAAGATATGTATTTGCAAAATTCAGACCCGAGCTGCAAAAGCTTTGTTAGTGGCTGAAGCATAGACTGAATTCTTTAAAAATTGAGTTAGCCTCAAAATCCTTATACATTTTAAAGATAATGATAGAGAAATACTTGTGTTAAAGGAACAAGAAGAAAAGTATGGAGAAAATCTAGACTACGCTCTTACACCAATTTAAAGTCTGGCGTGTACCTTTAATATACAGGACACTAAGAGAAATTAAAAGACGCCTGCTCCTTGGGAGAAAGGCGATGGCAAACCTAGACAGCATCTTAAAAAGCAGAGACGTCACCTTGCCAACAAAGGTCCGTATAGTTAAAGCTATGGTTTTCCCAGTAGTGATGTATGGAAGTGAGAGCTGGACCATCAAGAAGGCTGATCGCCGAAGAATTGATGCTTTTGAATTATGGTGCCGGAGGAGACTCTTGAGAGTCCCATGGATTGCAAGAAGATCAAACGTATCCATTCTGAAGGAAATCAGCCTTGAGTGCTCACTGGAAGGACAGATCCTGAAGCTGAGGCTCCAATACTTTGGCCACCTCATCAGAAGAGAAGACTCGCTGGAAAAGACCCTGATGCTGGGAAAGATGGAGGGCGCAAGGAGAAGGGGATGACAGAGGACGAGATGGTTGGACAGTGTTCGCGAAGGTACCAGCATGAGTTTGACCAAACTGCAGAAGGCAGTGGAAGACAGGAGTGCCTGGCGTGCTCTGGTCCAGGGGGTCACGAAGAGTCGGACACGACTAAACGACTAAACAACAACAACAACAAGAGAAATTGTTCACTCTATTGCCTTAAAGCAGACTGAAGCTGTTCTCTTCGTGGGGCATTTCCTCTGCTTGTTCTTCACATCAGCACAACTTCAATTAATTACTGTTTGATGGAGCAGGGAATGTCTTCCCCAGGCCTAAGAAATGGTTTTCACACTGTAGCTAGAATCAAATCAGGAACTGCTTAAGGACTCCAACTGGTGTGAAGTTGGTTGGGGAAACAACACATCATATGGTAGTATTTTGTAACAAAGTACAGAATACCTATGCATTTTGAGTAAGCCATATGAACACAAATGGAAAACTCAGCATTGGAAACACAGTGTTTCCAATGCAAATGGGAGTGTGGACACAGCCTGTGTTGTCTGCAGTCAAGTCATGGTTTTTATTTTATTTTACTATTTTATTTATTGCATTTATATCCCACACTCTTCTCCATGGAGCTCAAGGTGGCTTAGATCAGGGGTTTGAAAGGTTTACCTCGCCTGGGCCGGTTCACTCCCGCGGAGATCGCTCTATGGGCTGGATTTTCGGCTCCGCGGAAGCGAGGCCCCGCTCCGTGCTGTGCTGGTTCAGCACAGCGAGCTGGTGGCTTGGTTCGGGGTGGCTCGTGGGCCGCAGGTTGCCGACCCCTGGCTTAGATGGTTCTCCCGCTGCTCATTTTATTTCCACAACAGCCCTGTGAGGTAGGCTAGGCTAAGAGGCAATCATAGACTCAAGGTCACCCAGTGAGCTTCGTGGTCCAGTGGGGATTTGAACCCTGGTCTCCCAAGCTGTAACCACTGCACCACATGGGTGCTTACTTATTTAATTACAGGTGCATGGACAAAACAATGTTCACTGGAAATACAGGCCATGAGCAGAGGCTTAGACCTTCTTCCCACCATGACTGGTAAAAATGAAAATGAAAATGGATGCCACTTCCCTGCACTGCAGCAATACTGATGCCAACGGGATCTTTCTTCTAAGCCTCACTGCAGCACATGCAGGGTGTGTTTGCTCCTTGCAGCTGCAGGGTGGGGATGGGTTAAACCAGGGGTAGGCAACCTAAGGCCCAGGGCTGGATGCGGCCCAATCGCCTTCTCAATCCGGCCCGCAGCCGGTCCGGGAATCAGCGTGTTTTTACATGGGTAGAATGAGTCCTTTTATTTTAAATGCATCTCTGGGTTATTTGTGGGGCCTGCCTGGTGTTTTTACATGAGCAGAATGTGTGCTTTTATTTAAAATGCATATTTGGGTTATTTGTGGGGCACAGGAATTCGTTCATTTTTTTTTCAAAATATAGTCTGGTCCACCACATGGTCTGAGGGACAGTGGACCGGCTCACGGCTGAAAAAGGTTAAACTGGGTTAAACTCCCTTCCCCACACTCTACATTCCCAATGAATATTGCTCCCCCACGCCTACAAATAAAGAAAAACCACAACAAAGAGATTAAAAGGAACTCAACTGGTGACATCCTGTGTAGTTTGGCTCTGTCGGGCACTGCCCAAAGGATCTTGGTGAGGCGCACATAATTTTGTCTACCCCTCAGAGAACTTCCATTCATAGAGTTGAAGGAATTGCAGTTAAATCTGCTTAAGTGTAATGATAACATACACAGGGAGAGCACAGAGCGTGGCTTGGGTTTCTGCTGCACTGCCACTTTGAAAATATACATCCTCCATCAGGCTGGGACAACACTGTCCCAGTTCAGATCAGGGTAGCTCAGTCAGGAGAGTATGAGACTCTTAATCTCAGAGTCGTGGGTTCGAGCCCAACGTTGGGCAAAAGATTCTTGCATTGCAGGGGCTTGGACTAGAATCCTTGTGAACCCTTCCAACTCTCTACAATTCTTTGATTCTATGGAAGAGGGACATATTTAGGCCACAAATATGTCTAAATATTTGGGCCCTTTGTTGTTTCTTGACAGAACTCGCTGGGTTCTTATGAGAGACAACAGAGAAGAAAGAGAGCTGGCTGGCACCATCAGCTTGTTGGAGACAGGTAGCAAGATAAATGGGTTAAATAAAATAATAATAATAATAATAATAATAATAATAATAATAATTTATTTATACACCGCCCATCTGGCTGGGTTTCCCCAGCCACTCTGGGTGGCTTCCAACAAAATATTAAAATACAATAGTCCGTCAAACATTAAAAGCTTCCCTAAACAGGGCTGGCTTCAGATGTCTTTTAAAAGTCTGGTAGTTTTTTTTCTCTTTGGCATCTGGTGGGAGGGTATTCCACAGGGCAGGTGTCACTACCGAGAAGGCCCTCTGCCCTCAGTGCTGGACCTCAGTGTCCGGGCAAAACGATGGGGGTGGAGATGCTCCTTCAGGTATACTGGACTGAGGCCGTTTAGGGCTTTAAAGGTCAGCACCAACATTTTTAATTGTGCTTGGAAAAGTACTGGGAGCCAATGTCTTTCAAGTCCGGTGTTAAGTCTTATGTGGTCTCGGCAGCCACTCCCAGTCACCAGTCTAGCTGCCACATTCTGGATTAGTTGTAGTTTCCGGGTCACCTTCAAAGGTAGCCCCACGTAGAGTGATTGCAATAGTCCAAGTGAGAGATAACTAGAGCATGCACCACTCTGGAGAGACAGTCTGCGGTCAGATAGGGTCTCAGCCTGCGTACCAGATGGAGCTGGTAAACAGCTGTCCTGGACACAGAATTGACCTGCGCCTCCATGGACAGCTGCGAGTCCAGAATGACTCCCAGGCTGCGCACCTGGTCCTTCAGGGGCACAGTTACCCCATTCAGGACCAGGGAGTCCTCCACACACATGCCCGCCTCCTGTCCCCCAAAAACAATAAAGGTAAGTCTTATGTCAAAGGCTTATTGTGAGAAGAATAAAATAGAATAAACAGACTGGATGGGATAAATACTTAACTGTTTCTGGATGGGTTTCCGTCTTTTCCTCCCAGCATACAGACATTCTCCTGGAGGAATCATTGTCCTAGGATGGAAGATGAAAACATATCCTTTTACATTCAGTTAAAGCAATGCTCTTCCTAAGATATGCAATTATAAAGAAGAAAATTGCTAATTAAGTTGCTAACTGGTGTTAGCTGATTTCCTAATTAATACTGCACATAACATTCATATATATATAAAAAATAATTGATCCTGTATAGAATAGATTTTTTAAAAAGCATAAGGTTTTGCGCTCAGTATCATTCAAAATCTGAGAAAATTCTATTAAAGGTCTAACAGCCCATATTTCTGTGTGTTATTTCCAAAGTTCCTCTCTTCTCCTAGCACAGAAAGAGACCACACGTTTGGTATGTTAAAAGTGGTTTAAAAAAGGAGACACCCAGAGAGCAGGAAGCTGTTGGGAGAAAAATTGGGTCAGATTGGGTTAATCACATTTTAAAACGTGTTTTTGTTTCTTGGGGTGCTATTGGGTTGTTGTTTTCATTTTTATTAGGTGTACAGTGGTACCTTGGGATGCAAACAGGATCCATTCCGGAGCCCTGTTTGCATCCTGAATAGAACATAAGACGCGTCTGCGCGTCTGCACGGGTCATGTTTCACCACTACCACGCATGCACGTGATGTCATTCACAAACGGCAAAACCCGGAAGTAACACGCTCCGTTACTTCCGGGTAGCCACAGAGCGCAACCCGAAAATACTTATCCTGAAGCATATTTATCCAGAGGTATGACTATACAGTCATATCTCGGGTTACAGAAGCTTCAGGTTGCGTTTTTCCGGGTTACGGACGCGCTGAAACCCAAAAGTACCGGAACGGGTTACTTCTCGGTTTCGGCAGTCGCGCATGCGCAGAAGTGCTAAATTGCGCTTTGCGCATGTGCAGAAGTGCCGAATCGCAACCCGCTCGTGGGCACACGCTGCGCTGTGGGTTGCGAACGTGCTTCCTGCACAGATCACATTCGCAACCCGAGTGTCCACTGTATTGTGGTTTTATATCTTGATTTTATTCTGTGAACTGCCCTGAGACCCCGGGGTATAGGGCAGTATATAAATCCAATAAACAACAACAATAACAACAACTGCAGCACCTCCTCCTCCTATGGATGTACAACCATCCTCCACTGCCTCCCAGGTAAGCTGCATCCCTCCCCAGAATGTGGAAGAAGCTCTCTTTGTTCTGAGACTGGGACTTCAGAGTCACTGAGGTACAGCACCACTGGACAGATGCTGCTGCAGGGGCTTCCTGGTTTGGCCAGTGGCGGAACATATGCCTGCACTGCCCAGGGCAGGTGCGATCCGGGGGGGGGGGGCAGGACACGGAGGGTGCCCTCCCAGGTGCGGGATAGCCGCTCGGGTGCACAAGCTCCCAAGCCTCCCCCAGTTGCGTGTCGAGATCCCCAAGCCACCCCCTAAATAAATCACAATTCACACAGAATTTTTGTTTAAGGTTTTTGGCATAATTTTGGCCACAACTTTATTAAAATACATAATGTGAGTGGTTGCTTAGGCATTGGTTGCGACTATCTGACCCTGCACGGGGACAGAACTGATTTCCAGATTCCAGCGAAAGCCAGTAAGGGAAAACAATATTGGGGAGAGAATGGGGCTGGGCACCATACCATCACCCCTCCCCACATGCTCCCAGGGGCTTGCGCGGCCCTAGCCCCACGCCAGGGATACGGACAAATGTACTGCAAACCCCTGGATTCCTTTACTGGAATTCCCTTGCAGCAGCAGCATTGGAGGGGCAGGCACAGCCAACCACATCCCCTCCACCAACCAAATTTTAACCAATACCTAACCGTAACCTTACAAGTTGTGACGATTTGCTACGCAGTAGGCAAAAAGCAAATGGCACCAGCCAATCTGCCAAATGGACAAAATTCCTGCCAGGCCCCTGCCACAAAAGCAGACGACCCCATGACAGGCATAGCAAGGTCAAACGCAACAGCCCTAAATTAGGGAGGGTGGGTGGGCGATCCGATGCACGCAGCAAAAGAGACTGAAAAAAGCTGCGTGCCAAGAATATATAACCTTTGGGCCAACCCTCTAAATGGTAACATCAAAATCTCCCCAACAACCCAAATTGGCCCAATCATAGTCATGGCCGTCCAAATGGAACTGCCCAGTAACCATGAGGGGGTGTCCTGTTAGACCCCACTGCAACATGTGCTCCCCATGAAGGAGAACACACTCTGTCATAACGAAGGGGTAGGCTTGGGAGTCACCCCCTTCAGCGAAGACACCCAGGGAAATCCGTCCCCACCGCACCCCCCTTCCTCCGCCCGGGGGTTCGGCAACAGCAAAGCTGTGAGGGGAAGCTGCTGGGCTGCTACCTGACCATTGTAATTAAGGACTTCTGGGCTGATACCAGTGGAAATAGGATTTATTCCACTAAATCCAGAACATCCAAAGATATTAAAACAGCGCCGGTTGGTTTTTTTTGAGACTGTGTATGTAAAATCCTAGTGGAAATTACAGAGGCTGAAAGCATGGGATGGATATAGCAAGTCGAGGTCAATCCTGGGCTTAACTTGTTTTTTTAATTTATATCAGACTTCTATGGTCCATTATGTCTTCCCAGTTTATTTCTTTATGCCAAATCAAACTCCTTAAATATCTGTTCAACACTTGACCTTCAGCTTCTGTTATTTTCTCTGGGAAGTACCAGTCATAGAAATGTAGAGTTGGAAGGGAGCACAAGGGTCATCTAGTCCAACCCCCGCAATGCAGGAATCTTTTGCCCAACATGGGACTTGAACCCGTGAGATTAAGAGTCTCATGTGGCTTGATAATAACACATCATGCTAGGCACCCCCACTTCACATTCTTTTAACATATAATCAGAAACAAGCCCTGCTGAATTTAGTGGGAATCATTTCCTGGTAAGTATGGGTAGCCTTGCAGGACAAGGAGGAAATCCAGAAACTGTGGAAACTATAAAAATGAAGCTGTTCCAAGGGGTGGGGTTGGGAGCAGAGGCCTACTGTTTTTAAAAAGCAACACTAAAAGCATTCTAAATCAAATAAAAGCCAGAAATAGGAGCATATAGAGATACAAGCCCTATTTAGGCACCCTGTTTTTAAGTGCAGTGAAAATCCTGTGAAGGAGGATTCTCACTCCAGCCCATCATCTTCTTTGACACACACCCCCAACCAGCCTTCCATGAGTTGGAAGGCAAATTTCTTAACTGATCAGCCTCTTGGATCTCCAGGATCTCGAAATTTAATATAATCAAGGTTCTTAATCTTGTAAGGAAACTCCAGGCAGCTCCCTGTTTTAGGTGGCCTGGGTAAAATAAGATAATTTAACACCAAAAATAATCCATGTACAATAGCAGCTGAGCCTACCCCAGGGAGACAACTGAGGGTGGGGGCAGCACTGAGGCAGAACCTCGGAGGAAGATCTTAATAGTCAAGAAATTTAGTGTGAGAAAATAGGTTCCAGCCATGCGGGAAATTTTCCAGTGCTTCATTTTTCCATAGGAAACTGTTCATTTCATTAGGAATGATGAACGGATGCAAATCACAAATAAGTATTAAGCAAGTTTTAAAGTGTTTAGCTTTGTTGGTTAAAAACAAGTAAAATAAACATGCTAAATTAGATCACTGTCTAATTCTGATGCTAACTGAAAATTTCCCAGGGCAAATTACCTTAACTTGTCATCCTTGACAGTGACAAGGCGTGAATTGCCATGTAGTATTTCAGCAGCTGCACACTGGGTCATCAAGCTATCCACTACGGCCCCAAGAAATTATAGATTCAGGAAATGTGAAAGCCTCTTTAAGCATAATGGTTGTGAAAACAGCCTAACTATGCCACACCTTCAAGAAGTGTTGGGTGAGGAGGAATGAGATGGCATCACAATTTAAAATTATATTGTTTTTGTATTTTAGCATTTTTTATATTGTGCACACTCGATCAAGGACAAAACTTAAGTTATATTTTAAACACGTTATATTTTTGTAAGCATATATTTTTTGAGCAGCCATCCCAATACAGTATTTCATTTTTGAGTGTGTGTGTTTTTGTTTGTCCAGAAACATGCTAGAAAGCAGGTGCGGCACTTGGGATAAGAAATGCACTCACACATCCAGATACATATAAATATGGAACAGCGTGAACAAAAATGTAACTCAGAAATTAATCCCTATTCTCATTTTTAAGTGCAAGTATTTCCTCTTTTCTCTGGAAGATTTATGCAACTGCAATCCTGGTGCCGAAAGCCACCGAATAAACATAATCACACAATGACATCACTTGTAAGAACAGTAAAAGGACAGTAAAATGAAGAAGCCCAGCAAAAATGCCGTATCAGTAACTTGTCTGAAAAACAGTTTGCCTGAACTTCCTCTCTTAAGGCGCAGCCCCAGAGGAATGTGGGAGATGCTCTTTCCAGGCAAAGGGCCTGGCTCAGTGGGAGAACACTTGCTTTGTGGGCAGTAGGTCCCAGGTTAGCAAGATGGACCAAAGTTCTAATCCACTATAAGCTTTCTGTATTTCCTGTCTAAAAGCAGACCTGCCTTTGCATCACACACAAACGGAATGCCTGAACTGCCATTCCTTTTTGGGTGGGATTCAATAACATACTGACAACTTTAAAAGGTAAAGGGACCCCTGACCGTTAGATCCAGTCGCAGATGACTCTGGGGTTGCACGCTCATCTCACTCTATAGGCCGAGGGAGCCGGCGTTTGTCCACAGACAGCTTCCGGGTCATGTGGCCAGCATGACTAAGCCGCTTCTAGAGAACCAGAGCAGCGCATGGAAATGCCGTTTACCTTCCCGCCAGAGCGGTACCTATTTATCTACTTGCACTCTGACATGCTTTTGAACTGCTAGGTTGGCAGGAGCTGGGACCAAACAATGGGAGCTCACCCCGTCGCCAGGATTTGAAACCACTGACCTTCCGATTGGCAAGCCCTAGGCTCTGTGGTTTAGACCACAGCACCACCCGTGTCCTGAGAACTTTAGGATCCACAAATAAGGTTGATTGCGCAACAGACCTACTTCCCCCAAAGATCAGGTATTTTGTGATAAGGACACCATCAGGGCAGTGTGAGGTAACATGCAGTAGAAGCACCATTGTCTAACCTCCCCAGAAACAGACCAGAACTATCAATAAGAAAGTCATTTAGAAAAAAAGTGACTCTTTACATCACACCTCAGAATTTTTACAATGCAGAGGGGTTCCAGGCACAAAGTCAATGTGATTAGGACTCCCTGAAGATTGGAAGTTTGGAAACCACAGTAAAAGATGATGGACTACTTTCACCGACAATATTAATTTGGTGACTTTATTTTAACCATATTTCAATTGGAATTTTCTGTAGGATGAGTGTGAATGGCACTGCTGCAAACTTAGTTGTGTCCATCTCATTAGAAGAAATGTTTAAGGCAATTTTCAAAAGGCCTACACTATTTACTCAAGAAAAATCTTACACAATTTCAAAGTTATCTTAAAATTAGCCCACTGAAGTATATAAGTTCACTTAGCTAGCAGTTTAAAAGGTTCATCAGTCGTCTAAGAGCCTGACTCACAGTTAAGTGTACTTGGATTTAATTTAATTCTGTCTGCTAATCAAAGCACTCATATGGAATTATAACTAAAATTATTTTAAATTAATTTATTAGTAAAGTATTTAAGGAATCTGTTCCAGACCCGAGGAAGTCAGCAAACTTGAGGAACTCCTCTGTGTGGTTCTAAATGAAGGCTAAATTCTCGTAGGATGGAGAGCATTTGTGGGCTGTAGCCCTGGGTCCAGGAAGTAGGTAGACTGTTCTGGAGTGGGTAACCCCCCACCCAAAGGGACACAATCTGGGGTGCTCTAGATTCCAAGCTGCCACTGAAGGCTCCTGGAGCCTCCATGGTAGAATTGCCTATATCCACTATGGGCGTTTCATGCCTTGATAATCAGGACCATCCCAAGACATTTTGGTACCTGAGGCAAACCACCAAATGCCTCCCCACCAGGAAAGAAGGGGATCTACATCAGGAACGGGGGTGGGTGTGTGTGTGTGTGTGTGTGTGTGTGTGTGTGTGTGTGTGTGTGTGTGTGTGTGTGTGTGTGTGTGTGTGTGTGTGTGTGTGTGAATTTTCTACACTGGGAACAGGGGTGGGAGGAGACCAGCAGCGCCTCTATTGGCCAAGAGCTGACACTGGATGGGGACAGTGTAAACCATGGGTAGGCAAACTAAGGCCCAGGGGCTGGATCCAGCCCAATCGCCTTCTAAATCCGGCCTGCGGACGGTCCAGGAATCAGCATGTTTCCCCATGAGTAGAATGTGTCCTTTTATTTAAAATGCATCTCTGGGTTATTGGTGGGGCATAGGAATTCGTTCATTTTTTCCTTCAAAATATAGTCCGCCTCCCCCCCCCCCAAGGTCTGAGGGACAGTGGACCGGCCCCCTGCTGAAAAAGTTTGCTGACCCCTGGTGTAAACAAACAAATAAACAAGCAAAACTTAACTGGGTTATGTAAATATAACTGCATCTCTGTGCTCAAGCAGAGCCATGGCTATGTATCCAGGCTTTTTGCCTTGCGAGAAGCTTCCAGAAGGGGCCATTGAGGCTCCCAGCCTGTGTGCATGGGGGGTGCCAAACTGGGTCTGTGACCGGGGTGGTTTCGCCCCTGGCTCAGATGCTGTGGAATTTACTTCTGAGTGAATATGGTGAACATTTACCTGGCTAGCGTCCTGAGATCCACATAAATAGTTTAGTCTTATTTTGAAGCAGAAGGAACTTAGAATCAGAATGCAACACTCTTTATTTGCCCTAACAACCTTTTACTAGCGTACACCCCCCTCTTGAAAGTCACCTACTCAGGCTATTGCACCATTTTTTAATAAAGTTGTGCAAATAGCAGGGAGCATCCTATAAAGACATTTTCTCTTCTCTCAATCTTTTCGGGCCATGACCCCGAATAATAATCTGCAAGGGTTTTTACATACTCACTAGAGTAGAGCGAAAGAGCAAGCACACAATGAGTAAAAGAAGAGTTAAAAAAGGCAATGTGACGCAGAAGCAAAGAATCATAGCTGCCAACTATTAATTTCTAAAATGACAGATGTTTTGCGGTTTAGAACCCTTGTTCCGAAGCTCAGGTGTGTCAGTGGGGAAAGAAAGGCACTTTGTATATTCTCAGAGTCTCTCTTAACCTATGTGTTCCCAAACTAGCATTAAAAGCAGGTTCCAAATAAGAATAAACTTTACCAATATAAATATGTTTCGAAACAAATATTACTACTGTGTCTCGCACTATCCATGTTTACCCAGAAACAAGCCGATTTAAAATAAGACCGGGAAATAAGTCCTATTTTATAATTTGAAATTCCAGTTAACAAATATTTTTCGTTTGTTGGGGGAGGCAAAGGGTTTTGAAGGGTGAACTCTACTGCAACTCAAATCCTGCCAGTAGCAGATCGAGTTGCCGGATAAGAGACCCAGGACGGATCCTGCACCTCGGAGGACGGCGCAGAAAGGAGTCCTCCGCCACTTCTATTCGTCTGCCAGCAGAATTGTGCTGGGGAAAGTTGCTGCACCAACCACTCTATCCTAATAAAGGTTCACCAGTCCTACTAAGATCGGAGGAACTTGGTCCCAGGTAATAAGTGCGCATAAATAACTCTTGGGAAAAGTTGTCCCTTCTGCAACAGGGACACAGGAGCTCTTCTCAGCAAACAGCAATGGGTGGCGGGCGAAGCGCCCACTGAGCCCAATCCTGCCCGCTGAGCTGCGAAAGCCCGCGTTTGCTTTCTTTCGTCCAGAGACACCTGTCCAAGAAAGCAGGCTTCCCAAAAACAAAAACCGCTCCTGGTTAGCAAATCTGCGGTTTTTTTTTTAGTAGCCAACAGAAAGCTGTTGCAAAGCCAGCAACTGAAGGGCGACCCGGCCTCTTGCCCCCTTGGGAAGATTGCGCAGAGGATTCCTCGTCCCCTTTGCAAAATCCCGAGCCCCCCGAGCCGCTTCGAGACTCACCGCACTTGGCAGCCCCGGCGATGCCCGTCTCGCCTCCGCGCGCTCCGCGGGACTGGAGCCGGAGCTTTCGCCGCCGCTTCCCCTGCTGGAGCCGCGCCTGGCGGGGCCGGCGCGCAGGAGCGGGAGGGCGAGCGGAGCCTCCCTGCGATCAGAGCGGCTGCTTCGCACGCGATGTTGTCGTCCCTCCCGCTGCTGCTGCTGCGACGCGCAGGCGGCATCGGAGGGCGCGCAAGAGCCGGACTGCGCCGCCCGAGGCCGCTGCTTTCTGCCCCGGCAGAGCTCCGGCCGCGGGACTGCTCCGTCTGGCTCGGGATCGGGCCGACCCAGCCAGGAGGCGAGAGCAAGAGCCGCAGCGGCTTCCCGGGATTTCAGGCGGGGAACATTCCCGGGCCCTTTTCCCTGGAGGAGGTGAAGCGGGACCTTTCTGTCTGCAAGCGAAACTGCCCGCCCTAAGCCAGAGCAACGGGCACTCTTTATTCCACCACACACATAGCCGTGGAAAGGACTCTAATCGTGCAGGCACTTATTTTGGAATCGATTTTATTCATTCAAAATATTTTATCGCTAACGTTATTTATTTATTTTTAAGTTGTGCAGGTCTATGGTAGCATGTGCAAGAAGATCCAACCTCTCCATTCTGAAGGAAATCAGCCCTGAGTGCTCACTGGAAGGACAGATCCTGAAGCTGAGGCTCCAATACTTTGGCCACCTCATGAGAAGACAAGACTCCCTGGAAAAGACCCTGATGTTGGGAAAGATGGAGGGCACAAGGAGAAGGGGACGACAGAGGAAGACAAGGTGGTTGGATAGTGTCTTCGAAGCTACCAGCATGAGTTTGACCAAACTGCGGGAGGCAGTGGAAGACAGGAGTGCCTGGCGTGCTCTGGTCCAGGGGGTCACGAAGAGGCGGACACGACTAAACAACTAAACAACAACAAATGGTAGCATGTTAGCATCAACGCTAAGGACCACTTCCTTGCTGCAGGGTTGCATGAGCATAACACAGCAGAGGGAATAATTTATGTAACAGAAGATGAATCGCCCCACTCCTAAACCTCACCTTCTGTGACCACATCCCCTTTTCTCCCAGGTCCAGTATACCTGAAGGAGCGTCTCCACACCTCCATCGTTCTGCCCTGACACTGAGGTCCAGTGCCAAGGGCCTTCTGGCGGTTCCCTAACTGTGAGAAGCCAAGTTACAGACAACCAGGAAGAGGGCCTTCTCGGTAGTGGCACCCGCCCTGTGGAACACCCTCCCACCAGATGTCAAAGAGAAGAACAACTACCAGACTTTTAGAAGACATCTGAAGGCAGCCCTCTTTAGGGAAGCTTTTAATGTTTAACAGACTACTGTATTTTAATACTTTGTTGGAAGCCACCCAGAGTGGCTGGGGAAACCCGGCCAGAGGGGCAGGGTATAAATAATATATTATTATTATTATTATTATTATTATTATTATTATTATTATTTCTCTCAATCTGGCTCTGATATTGGAAGTGTGGTTGGGCTGGTGAGGCAACCGCTTCAAGTACAGAGCATTGGGGCAGCAAGGCAGGGAAGGATTCAGCTCAGCTCTCCATGTACCCTTTAGAAATCCTGCTCAGGCCTGGCATTAGCAACTTGGCACCCTTGGGAAACTGAGGGCCCCAGGGCCCTTAACATTATTATTTATTAAATTAGGTTGGACGGCGCCTTGTCTACCTCCTTCTGACAACTCCTGCAGCCAAGCTGGTGCCAAAGTCCGGGACAGCCCAGGACCTCCATACACACTGCCCACACTTGTGTCCCAAGAAGGTCGCTTCGGTGCTGCTAAGGCAGCAAAAACAATGCAGGAAGTAGCAGTTGCAGGTTACTGGTCTCTACAGCCACAGCTGGTGCTGTGATTCTCCTGCTGTTTGACTTCACCCCCAAAGGTGCACTCCATTGTCTCTGTAGACAGATGGATGCCACCAACACATAGCTGTCAACTTTCCATTTTTTTTGCGGGAAATTCCCTTATTCCAGCGCCGTTTCCTGCTGCTATCCCGGATTGTTAGATATCCCGTAGACTGTCCCCGGGACAGGTGAGGCTGCTGATCCCTTATTTTCGACGCTGCAGATCCCTTATTTTCAAATCTGAAAGTTGACAGCTATGCACCAACAACCTTATTTTATCTTTCCCAAGGCAACACAAAGCAACTTACAACCAACCAACCAACCAACTTAGATACACTAAGAACAAAGCAGGTGGGAATACTTTAACAACATCCTGCCCACTTCTAAAAGGCCACAGATAGCTAAAGCCAGTGCTTTTCTTTCTAAAAAAAATGTTTAGGGGTACTCTCATTTTCCTACTTGTATTGAAATACTGCCCCTCAATGAGGCCAAACATAGATTCAAAAAATGTTTAGGGGCCTGCGTCCCCCCAGAAAAAAGCACTGGTTAAAGCACAAAGACCTGGTTATAGAGGAGTTTTTGCCAGGCCCCAAAAGAAATATAATGAGGGCAGGCGTCCCTAGGGAGAGTATTCCATAAGCAGGGAGCCACCGCAGAAAAGGCCCTGTTCTCATGTTGCCATCTTCTGGACCTCCCGTGGAAGGGGCACACCACTCAGTTAAAGAATGAAAGAATTTGGGGCAGTGAAGGACAGAGCTGAAAGTTGATTAACAGTTGCAGTGCTCGTCAGTGAACTTCCCTGCTCCAAGACAGCTCCATCAAAGAGAGCTAAACAAGCCTGATAAAGTCCTCTTTCTGCCCACCTGCTTCCGGATGGCAGGGGCAGGTCTCCAACCATGACTGAAAAAGGAAGGGGGGGGGGAGAGAAAAAATTCCCAGTGAGGAACCTTAAGTGACAGCAGGAAATGAAGTGGCCCATGAGTTTGTGCATGCTGAGGGAAGCAAGCTCTGGGGGAAACGCCAGCAGAGAACTGAAACCTCAGTCAGGAGCCATGTTGAGATCAGTTGCAAGAAGAGTTGCTCAGCATAGAATCATAGAAGTTGGGAGGGACCGAGTCCAGCCCCATGATATGCTGGAACCTCAAGCTAAATCATCCATGACAGATGGCCATCCGACCTCTGCTTCTAAACCTTCTTGTATGTTCTCTTCAACCTACGCACGAAGCCCCTTGTCTCTCAATTCCATCTCTGCCATCTCCAGTTGTCCCTGGATTTCTATCTGATCATGAATCCATTCATTTCTTCCAGCATCCTTTGTAAGGATGTCCACTCCAACCCACCATCCACAGCTGTCCCTTTTCCCTTTACCTTCTCTTCTTCCAGCAGAAGAGGGTCCATATATTTATCCACAGGTCCTGTGCGTTCTTTAGTCTGATGTATGTCTCATCAGGGATGCGGGTGGCGCTGTGGGTTAAACCACAGAGCCTAGGACTTGCCGATCAGAAGGTCTGTGGTTCGAATCCCCATGACGGGGTGAGCTCCCGTTGCTTAGTCCCAGCTCCTGCCAATCTAGCAGTTCGAAAGCACGTCAAAGTGCAAGTAGATAAATAGGTACCGCTCCGGCGGGAAGGTAAACGGCGTTTCTGTGCGCTGCTCTAGTTCACCAGAAGTGGCTTAGTCATGCTGGCCACATGACCCGGAAGCTGTACGCCGGCTCCCTCGGCCAATAAAGTGAGATGAGCGCTGCAACCCAAGAGTCATCCGCGACTGGACCTAACGATCAGGGGTCCCTTTACCTTTACTTTATGTCTGATCTAAGCTCTTTTAATACACATCTCATCCTTTAATTCTGTCAGTCCAACAGTCTCTGCATGACTATGACAACATCAATCAATGAGGAATTCAATGTTGTTTTTGCCATATTGAATTCTATTAATCTGCTTTCAGGAACTTGTGTCTGTTCCTTTATATATGCATTCTTTTGCCACACCGGTAAGGTTCAGTTTTGTTTTCGCCGCTGAAACGGCATGTCCCCAATGGAGATTTATAGGTGATAAAAGGTTTAAAACAAATTAAGAGCTATCAATTGTATTCTTTTGAAGTCATTTCTAGAAATCAGAATACTTTAAGGAAAGTACCGATGTCTCTAGTTATGTAACTTTTTTAGTCATAAATTATGTGGGTGTAAGTGCCATTACCCCAGGGATAGGTTGTGGCTTGGAACTGGGTGCGAGAGATGAATCAGATAAAGACAAGGGTGAAAGCTGGAATTATGAATCCATTGACATAGCAAATTGAAAGGGGAAGATAAGAGTCATCTTCAAAAATAAAGTCGGGTCAGGTTATGGCAGGGATGGGAGTCACACACAGGGCAAGGAGGAAAGCGGGCAAGTACATGCACAACACTTGAAATATGCTCGCTGTGCCCAGGTCAGCAAACCCAGAGAAAAAGAACAAAGCCAATGCCTAAAAATACGGCCAAGAAAGTATAAAGAGGAGAAAGGGCTGTAGCTCAGGGGTACAGTACATGCTTTGCATGCAGAAGGCTGCAAATGCAATCCTTAGCACCTAGAGCGGGAATGGGGGACCTAGGGCTGCCCAGATGTTGTTGGACTCCAATTTCCATCACTCTGAGCCAGCAGGGCCAATGTCAAGGATGGGATTTGCAGCCCTGGAACATCTGGAGAGCCAGAGCTCCCACTCTGCATCAAAATGTACAGCTGGAAAGGAGTCCTGTCTGAAACCCTGGAGTTATTGCCAGACATTGTAAACAATATCAACTCCATCTCAGTGTACGGTGCTTTTTGTTTTCGTTTTAATTTTGAATTTTACTGGTGCCATCCCCGTCATAACATTGCTACCCTGTATTGCTTTTATTGCTGCACAGTATACTTTATGGATTGGTACTTAGGATAAAAGTAAAATAAAAATGACCACAGCACAATAGGATTTTTCAGTGAGGAAACTTTCAAGATTTATTAACAACTCATGATTTATTGGAACCAATTATGTGCATATACAATTTTTCCTACTAGCAATACAATTTTTATCAGAAATCCTTCATTTTGATTACACATTATACAATAAACAAGGCACTAAAATGTACACCTAGTAGTCATCTTATTATGAATTCTTTGCTTGACTTTAGTCTCTTCCTGATGAAAATAAATATTATTAAACAGATCCTGCACCAAAAAATTCCATCATGAAACTAAGTTATTTAATAAAGATCTCCTAATTCCTTAAATACATATATATGAAGTACAAGGTCACAGTTCTGTAAACCAAATGGAGCAAAAATCCATTATTTGGAGGTGGGGGCAGTTTTCAGTATTTTCCACAATGCAGTTTAGTAAATTAATCTGCTAGAAGCAGAAACGGCTTTGGTACTAAATTAGAAGAGCTCATAAATTTCTGTATATACAGATGTATGTGGGAGACTTTGAAGTAGTAAGCTCCGCACTGAAGTGGCTGATCCCCAGAAGGACTACATGAATCTGCAGAACAGGTGATCCAACCCAAGTCAGAACCACCCAGATCTACACTGTAGGTGAAAGTAAGAGATCATGACTGGCAGGTTTAACTTTGGTCCCTGTCTGAAATAGGAAGGTCAAGTTAAGAAGGGCCATTTGTTCCCAAAGTATGTTTTATCTCTCCAATAAGGAATACCCAGTAAGCAGAGGAGGGGATTGTTCTATTTGCCTAGATAGTGGGCCAACACACGACAAACTATTGGGTCCTCTGTATCAATCTACCCAAGTGTTAGTTTTACTACACTTCAGGTACAAACGTGGGGCAAAATTCTCATTTGTTTCAGCCTGGCCAGAGGTTTACGTGGGCAGAGGAGCTCGGCTCATGCAGCTAACCACTGAGTCTGCCTTGCTGGGTCAAACTGCATCTCAGCTAGAAAAAAATTCTGCAGGACTTGACTCACCACTTGAGAAGCAGAGTTCTAAACACGTATTTTACAATGGCCAGGAAAGAAAACTAAAGTTGGTTGTTTGTGGAAAAACAAACCTGCAGCACAAAACTCTTTTGAGTATAGGAGCCAACAATATTCTATATACTTTAAAAACTGTAATTATACCGTCAACTTTAAAGCAGTTTATTTAGGAGTATTCTACCTGATATCAGCAACAATACCCCGAAATATGTGTCTCACAGCAGCAAGGCTGCATTTCAGAATATGAACACGAATTGTTACCATCAAGAGTACACTGGAGAGTATGAAAGTAAAACGAGCCTGCAACAAAATGTTGTGACTCTCTCTCTCCTACCTGCAGCCCAGAATGTTGTAAGCCTTTAAGGACCCTTACAAGGGTTCCACAGCAGCATTAGAGTACAATAAGCCTCAATCTTCCCTTTTCCCACCTACTTAAAAATAAATTCTGCCTACTTATCTGTGGATGCCCTACTAGAAGTAACTTGCTTTGCTTTTAGATTTATACACTAGATTTTTCAAGTACTGTACCAATTTATTTACCATATTTGCAGATCACATTTAATAGATGCCACAGCACTCCCAGTTGTGAAATTTTTACATATTTTCAATACGTACCTTAGATTTGCAGAATTGCTTCCAAAAGCACACTGAAGTAGTACAAACCAATAAAAAGAAGTCCTAGGCATTGTTGGTGGTGATAAAGCTGTATAAGCTAATCTGAATTGTGAGAGTACACAACAGTGATAGCGGACAGAATCCAACAGGCCTGGAGTACCAGCAAAAAAGTTTCACTTGCATATTTCACCTTGCTTAGGGTACAGGTGTGGCGTTAATGGAGTTTTGGAAATGATGTGATGGATTTAATCACTGAGGACACCGACAGCTTATGGCGACAGCACCCTTTTAACGACAACATACTCTGTTTCTACATTTAGGCTTCATTTTCTTGGGCACAAGAAAGGGCATCCATACACACCCAACCCCAACTCCCCCCCCCCCAAATCTTGGCAAGTGGGGATTCTGCATGTTGGCCTTGCTACTTGAGAAAAGGTGCAAGCGTTGGGAGGACTCAGCCAACTAGATGAAACAATGTTGAGAACTACTCAGGTAGTAAACTTTAGGACCACTCCCTGATAGTTCTTCTGTGCCTAGCTTGCTCTCTCTGCATTCATCCCGTGGGGTTCGCAGACATAGCTGTCAACTTACAGATTTGAAAATAAGGGACCAACAGGCTCGAAAATAAGGGATCAGCAGCCAAAATAAGGAATCAACAATTACTTTTATAAAATACATATTTTGTTGCGTGCAAATGGCTTTAGATACCTATTAGGTCCATAAATTACCATATAGCATATATTCAACACCAAAAAACAGCAACAATTTGTTGCTGACAAAGCAAGCTGGACGTAGAAAGGGCCCCATTACCTTCAGTAGCTTATTTAAGAGACATCATCAATAAGGGACAGCAGCGGGACACGGCGCTGGAATAAGGGACTGTCCCGCCAAATAAGGGACGCTTGACAGCTATGTTTGCAGATGGGTACTTGGCACCAACCCTGGAAAAGAATCTACCACTTAAACACTCTTCCGTACACCCTTTCCACCACTCCGTTCCTAAAATGCAGAATTCCATCCTCCCTATCCCCTAAACTGTTGTTATTTCTTCTCCCTGATCTCTTTAGACTCTTATGCCAAATTGCCCGCATTACTGACTCTGACAATCCATCCCTGGGTTGGCAAATACTTGGCCCACCCATAATTAAGAGGTGGGGTGGGTGATAGAGCCTGTCATTTATGGCCAATGCTTAGAGGTTTTGTCTGGCATTACCATTATATATTTAAAGCAGGCATGTCCTGTATAACTAGGGCACATTGCTCAAACACAGCACATTACAGAAACCCACACAGGCAAGCAGGACGTTGGGGTGGGAGGAGCAATACTCAACAAACAGCTATTTGAAAATTTGACAAGTGTTAAATATTAAGGATCAGTCATGAAAATGGTATATAAGCATTCCAGCAGGCCTAAATAAACTTGTGACCCATCAAACAAAACACAGCTCACTAATAAGCCTCCCGTTTTTGCTGCTTACATGGAACCACAGAAATGGGGGCACCTGAAGCACATGGCAAGTCACGGCATCTGGCTAATCGCTGCAGTCAGCCTCATGGGTCACGAGTTGCAGAGACCTTAGCTGAAATCTGCCATGATGTTAAGAAGCCTGAAATATACATGGACTTAAAGCAAAAAGTTATGAGTTATGATTCTGAATGGCTAAATAAATTAAAAATCGACACACAGAGAAGTTCACAAGTATGCACATTTAACAATGATCTAACTGTAATTTTGTTAGGATATTTAAATGTCTCCACCAAATCACAGAAAGAACCAATTCTTAAATTTGTTAACCTCCATCAGATTTATCATAGCTCAGAATTATAAACTGCAAGCCATTCCATATATTTAAAGTTGGCTGATTAAATGTATGGTACAGTCCGATATTACTCAGGCCTAAGTTCCTTATGATGCAATCCTGTACATCTGCTCAGAACAGTCCCCTTACTCCTATATGCCTGCCCAAATCGTAGTCCTGTTACAAGAACTAAATCCCAAATGAAGGGGCATAGCATTGCACATAAGAGGGATTTTGTCTTGTGTTTCTTGAACAGGGCCTTTTTGCGTCTCATGGCAAACTACTTTTAAAACAGAGGGGAATTTCAAAAGCAGCTTGTGGTATGGCACAGGGCCCTGGAGCTTTAAAGGAAAAACCCTAAAAGGCTTGCCCAATCCCTTAGGGGTGATTAGGTAGCTCTCTGATTCTTGGCCTTACTTTATCCGGCATGGTAGATGAGACTGCCAAACTTTTCAGGCCAATGGGCATACTTGGAAAATGGAGACCGTGCTCTGCGCACCAATCACATAAAGGCTGTGTGGCGTGTGGCACAAAATGACCACCACAGCTAAAAGAGCAGGAAAAAAAGAAGAGCCCCTCAAAATGGTGTGAGAGCCCTGCCTTCCAATTGGGGGGAAAACCAACGACATTGGCCACCACCACATTTACGCAGAGACAGAAGCTCTTTCCCCTCTCCTCTGACCAGGAACTGAACATGAAGAGCAAACCGTCTCTTGTGGGTTTTTAAGGGACATTTTACGAGGACCTTGAACGGGTTCCACAGGGGGTACTGGTGGGCATACTGGTGTCTGTGGGTGACGCATGGGCACCCCTGAGAATTCTACTTGTAAACATTTCTATTTCTCCTCACCATATTGTTCAGGTCTCTAATGTTTATTTTCAGAACACTTGTCTGAATATTGATGAGGCTTTGGTTATTTCCCCCACGCCCCACCATCTCATTCATATATAGTTGTCCCTTGACATTTCTCAGTTCTGTATACTGTACTTAAAGAAACAAATACGAAGATTTTAAAAAATACAATCCAATTAAACAGTCCTATTAAACAAAAAACAGATTATGGACCATCATATAAAAAGTTGTTTCACAATAATCAAACATTAAAATGGAATAAAGAAGCTGAACCCCACATGAAAAAATATCGAAAAACAAAAGTCAAGAATGTGTACCCTAAAACTGATAGCAACATCTCAAAAAGGGGATATTGAAACTAGGCAATGAGAAGAGGAGATTCTGATTTGTTGAGCAGAAACTGGTCCATTAAATTTTAGATCAAGCTTCCTCAACCTCGGCCCTCAACATGTTTTTGGCCTACAACTCCCATGATCCCTAGCTAGCAGGACCAGTGGTCAGGGATGATGGGATTTGTAGTCTCAAAAAACATCTGGAGGGCAGAGGTTGAGGAAGCCCCTTTTAGATGAACTAGTATTTTAGACAATAGCAAAGGCTTTTATTTCTCTTTGTTCATACCAGATCAATTAATCAGGGCTGTGTGTATTTGCAACTCAGCACATGTGCAGAAAAGTAGCAAAATTTTGTATTGAACAGAGTTCAGAATTCTCAGCATGCCTTTAAAAAGAGGTCCTAGCCCTTATCACGAAAAATATAACTTTGGTGTGTGGAGAATGCATGGTGAAATTTCTAAAGTAGGGGGGCAATTTAATATGAAGCACCAGGAATCAGGTGGCGGAACATTTGTCCTTTGCTGTAGCTCATTCCTTCTACCCCAGATTACAGCCGAAACAAAATGAATTGTACACGCTAAAGAAATACAAGGCACAATTCATACATTTCACAGTATCTAGATTTTCTTCTTGCAGAATTTGAATGAGGAATTCATACAGTTCTATATCCAATATACCAGGAAACTACTCTATTTAGACAAAAGCAAAGAGGATGAAATGTTGAGTTCTACATATTATCTAAATAATAAGAATATAAATGACAGGGAAGGGGGAAATTCAAGGGAGAGAGTGAAATAAATCTATTTAACATGGTAACACTGAACAGAAGACATAATAGGAATAAAAAAATATATGATAAAGTAGTATTTTAAAAGTTCAGAATTTAGAACGTGAAAGAAATGGAAATATCTCAAGACTGGCAGCAAAATTGCAGTGCAACTTGTGTCCCTCTCCCCCGAAAAATAGACACAGGAGCGGCAGTTGAAAAAAACTCCACTCTGAAGTGCTGAGAAACTGAGGCTCATTGAAATGGGAAATACTATTGGCATCCAAGGAGAAGGGGGAGCTGGGCAGGGGCTAAACCTAAACTACTATTTTCTGTAATAAAATATATGAACGCATGCTAGTTTCTCTTTACTTCTGACAGCTAAATTCACTGCTGAGTTTTATGCTCTCTGCACTGCTTCATGTTAGAATTAAACTGCCTGCCACACACGCTTGTTTTAGGAATGGAGGATGGAGAACGTTATCCGGGTATAGAGATGTCCACATGGGTGACGCCTCTTTTACAGGTAGTAGTTTGTGATAATTTTGGCAAGGGCAACTTGTCATGCAGAGGTGAGAGCACATGCACCTTCTGAAATTCCCAGTTGCACACAGGAACAGGAGCCCCATTCTAATTTGGACCAGACAACCCTAATATGTACCAAAGACACCAAAATGAGGAGGCAAATGAGAAGTAGCCTAACATTTCCCCTCAAAATACTTTCAAAAGGGCTTGTGATTTCCTGAGGCTTGGGGCTGCAATTGCTCCCTCGTTTTCTATTGGATTATGCTGGAACCTCCATTTATTTTTGTAGTGGTTTGAATTCAGTATTTAAGCTCTACACATGCATTAACTAACATAATTATTTTCCCTTTGGAAAATTATTTAAAATACTAAGTTATAAACTCATTTAAGAACCACAAAAATCTCCACAGTATAAGCACAGCCCTCTTTCCAGTTATCTTCCCATTCCCTTTCCCCATACTTCTGACAGTTTCTTGTTTGCCTGGGAATCTGTTAACTGTGAACCAGTGTGCACTTTGTAAGATGTTCAATAAGATCTGTTCAGCAGTTTGAACAGAGCTCCTCAATAAGAAGTTGCACTAAAAGCTACATTACCAAAATACACAAATTTTGTTTTTCCAGAATGAACGTATTTCTACCCGGTCTTATAGTCAAAGGCACGCACCAGAAAAGACCTGAAGCGACTCAATTTCTTTGAGCTTGATTCTATTTGAGAGGAGTGAGGTAGAGCAAGGATTTCATGTCAGCATGTAAATGATCTGCACCTATGAATAGTAGATCTCCTTCTCATTCCCCAAGTTGGTATTTCAGCACACCATCCTATCAACAGGAAAAAGAGGAAGCCTTTATGGCTAATTCTGTGCAGTGCGCATGTGCAGCACCATAAACCATGCTCATCCCCTTTAGTTAAATCAGAGTAATTCCCACCACTGTACTCCGAACTCACAATTATATACTATTTAAAATCTCAACCCTAGCCACCCCCATGCCCTGGAAGACAAGAGGAAAAACTCCTTACCCTTTTCCTTGACATACCAAGATGGGAGTGCTGAAAGCAATGACAAACGTATGGTGCTTCACCAACATTAAGCAACAAGCTTGTACCCTTAGTGTGGGAACCTTTGGTCCTCCAGTTGCTCCTGAACTACAACTCCCATCAGGCCTAGCAAGCATGGCCAATGACTAGGGATGATGCAAGTTGTAGCTGCAATGTCTGGACACTCAAATGTTCCTTATACCTGCCTGAAAAATTGACTATGCCTCCCCCTACTTTACTGGTAACCCTCTGCTACTGTAAATATAAAAGAGGGGCAACTCTAATCCACTCATGCTAGTTTTGCAACAGATTTGACAGCACTCTTAAGTAGCTTCAGGTCTCTGTCTTAGAAGCATCTGAAAAGATTTACCTGTAAATCCAACTGAAAACCACCTGAAGCCCAATGAACACAGCAAGATTGCCCCATTTTGAGAAGAAGAAAAAGCTAATATCACCATTTGCACTTATTAGTCATAACTGCCAAATCTACATATGAAATCGTGGAAATTCATGGTTGCTGCTTCATTAAAACAGAAACAAGCCTGCTTCTCCTTTGTCACGTACTTAGAGGGTGGTGGGTTCTCTCAGTCCCTTGCCTCCCATCAAAGATGAAAACTCTTCAAGAGCTCAGTCACACATTGTGATGCTCAATGCGTTTGCCAGTTACCCATTCAAGGAGCCACAGCCACTCCCTGTGTGGCGGCAGAATTATCTGCATTTGCCATGTGCACTCATTACATTTTTACAGGGACTTGCATGTAAAAATGCAATGTGTTTAAATAGCCCCGAGTTACACAGTAAATCTACACTTTAACCTCCTTACATTTGGCTGGTGCTCACTTCAGATCCCTGGCTCATGTGGACTAGGACCAAGAGATAGGTGAAGTACGGAGAGGGTGATCCTGTCATGCAAACAAACTGGACCTGCATCGTATTAGATGGACGGGTGGCTCCTTCCTGACATGACGAGAAGCCAAACAAGCTGAAATGAACCAAACGGAGAGGTGCCAAGTATCCAAGTGATGCTGCAATCCTGTATACACTTACTGTGGAGTACACGTGCACAGCTGCAAATCACACACAATGGTAATTTTCTTGATGCCTTCTTCAACCGCAGAAAAGTGGCCAGACAGTAGTAATTTTGCCCTAAATTATATAGCTGGCAGGTGAGCCATGCCCTATAGTGCAAACTGAGTGCAGCGTCATTAATGGTTAGGGGCAGGAGAGAAATGTGGTGGTGGTGAACTTCCCTTGTGGCCAGAGAGCTAATCAATTGTTTGAAAGCTTTCCATGCCCTCTTCTGAAGCTGTTCCTGCTATGATGCTGCCCTTTCCCCACATTCTATTAATAAACGGAAAACGTATTATGTCCTCTGGCTCAGTGATGCAGCTGAGTCACTGCGCAACTGCTAGCAGCCCCACCTCAACAAACAATTATGGAGGATAAGTCAGAATTCTTGCTTCTTGGAAACAAATTTAAATTTCAGACTTGAAATTAAATACTAAAATGCCCAGCTACGTATCTGCTGTTCAGAACTTTCTAGAGAAAAAGTGTGCACCACAGAATATGCCTACTGACTTCCTGTGTGTATAAGGGGATGCTCAAAAAATGATAATAATTGAGTTATTGGGCTTAAAAAACAACAAATAGATACCACATTTTTCTTAGCTCTTCCTTAATGTTTGTTCACAGCCTAGTGGGAAGGCATTCTCTCAACCTAAAAATACAAAACTAGCAGAACTGAACCCCTCCTCATTCTCTTCTAATAAACCAGTGACGCCAGTCCATTTTATGGCTGGCTGCTGCCTTCTCTAGGGCGAATTAGGGAACGGTCTGTTGAAAGATGAGACGGGCCACTCTTTTGTAACAGTTTGAAGTTTCCGCTCCCAGTACATTTTTTTTTTGTTGAGCACCTCCATCTTGATTCTGTGCTCCTCTTCCGCCATCTCACACTCCCGCTCGATTTGCTGAATCTTGGCCACGTGGACCTCATTCATCTGGATCAGCTGCAGTTGCAAGATGGACATTTGCTGATGGTGCTCTTCTTCATGCATCTTTTTCAGATCACTTTCCTGGGCAGCTTTACTTCTGAAATTTTTACTGCCTGTTATTCTGACTGCTGAACAGGAAGGCTCCGATTGCGAGGTTCCTTCACATACCTGGAAATGTACAAGATCTTTGTCTTCATCGCACAGTTCTCTGTTTATAACGGTGAAAGGTTCTGGGGAAATAAAATAAGAAATATGACCATTATAATAATTTTCAATTTTTTCCAACGCAAGAGCCAGTTTGGTGTGGTGGATATAGTGTTAAACATACATTGGGAGACTTGAAGCCCAAATTGAAGAAGAAGAAGAAGAAGAAGAAGAAGAAGAAGAAGAAGAAGAAGAAGAAGAGTTTGGATTTGATATCCCGCCTTTCACTCCCCTTCAGGAGTCTCAAAGTGGCTAACATTCTCCTTTCCCTTCCTCCCCCACAACACACACTCTGTGAGGTGAGTGGGGCTGAGAGACTTCAAAGAAGTGTGACTGGCCCAAGGTCACCCAGCAGCTGCATGTGGAGGAGCGGAGATGCGAACCCAGTTCCCCAGATTGCAAGACTACCACTCTTAACCACTACACCACACTGGCTCTCAGCTATCAATGTCACTGACTCAGCTATCAATGTCAAAGTGCAAGTAGATAAATAGGGACCGCTCCGGTGGGAAGGTAAACGGCATTTCCGTGTGCTGCTCTGGTTCGCCAGAAGCGGCTTAGTCTTGCTGGCCACATGACCCGGAAGCTGTCTGCGGACAAACGCCGGCTCCCTCGGCCTATAGAGCGAGATGAGCGCGCAATCCCAGAGTCGGTCATGACTGGACCTAATGGTCAGGGGTCCCTTTACCTTTACTATCAATAACTGGCTGGTCGCTATCTTCAGCTTAACCACTTTATAGAGCTGTTGCAGTGAGGATAAGCTAGGATAACCCCATGGGCTCCATCTTGACAGCCTTGGAGGAAAGATGGCATATCAATGTGATTTTTAAAAACGACAGTAAATTACTGCACAGCCAAGCTTGCGTCATCTTTCCCTGAAGCAGATTCAGGACACTGGACATTGTGACAGCATCAAACTACAAGCACTACCATTATAGGGTGGAAGAGGATAGGGCGTTCAGAGTTGAAGGCAGTCTGAAAGAGGAACGGCTGCCCTGGGTGTGTAGGCATCCCTCACTTCCTCTCTGGTGCACAGGTATGGGTAAAAAATGTTTGGCCAGAGAAAAAGACGAGGAAAAGGAAATTCGGCTCTCTTTAAAGCTCTACCCTTTGCCTCCACCGTCAAGGCTTTTCTCTGAGAGTAGCTCTATAGGGGCCTTCACAGTTAGGATGACTGACACCATGTTGAACTTTGTAGAGTACCTCCAAGACACAGGAGGTTTGATATGATCTTTCACTTTCCTCAGAGGACTGGAGGCTGCCTGGGCCACATGCCCTTTGAAGGCCCTCAAGCACCTCAAAGCACAAGATTAACCCCTGCTCCAAAGTTCAGAGTGGGGGGCTTGAATTCAGCAGGCTTGAGAAAATAGGGAGGAATGCTCAGAGTGGCCTCTTGGAGTTCACCCAAGATGTCTTTTGAAGTGCTTGTACTGAAAGAAGCAGGCAGGGAAGAGAACAACAGAACTACAATTCATATCCTCCTGCTAAAAGGTCTCTTTCAACTCAATGATTTATTTTGAGATGCTATAACCCACAGCTGGGCAACCTGCGGCTCTTCACCTCCTTTGGTGCAGCCTTGAAGGATGTAGAAACAGATTGGGACAGAGCACAGGTAGGTTTTTTGAAAAAAGGAAGATGACAGCATTGGCCAGAGCACAGATTTGACTCTTTTCACTGAGCTCACCTGCTCCAGTCCATGTTAAGTAGCTTGCCCTACAGAAAAGGAGAAGGTTTACTGTCCTTGAAACAGGTGCTGTTTTTGTACGCAAAGCTTTGCAAAAAGTTTCTCAACTTGCAAAAAAGGGAGGGGGTCAGAAGCATGAGGGAATGGAGAAGTTGTGGGTAAAAAATTCTTTCAAGAAGTGCTGAACTGCACTGAGGGAGCAAGGGTTGGGGTGTAGAGGACAGAATCTTTTGCTCATCATACTTATTGCAACGTTGCTGGAGGAGAAACAAAGCAAAACAGATTCTGAGGGTAAGAAACAGGTAGAAAACATAAAGTGTGGTGTGTTGTAATTAAGAAGAGCAAGGATTTTGACAGGGGAGAAACAGAGCTGAGGTTATTTTTGCTTTCCACTTTCCTTCCTTCCCTCTGAAACTCCAGAACATTGAACCAATGCCGGTATTAGAAATCTCCAAGTGTAATTTGCTTTTTGCTCGGGACAGCCGTGCCCCCCCCCATCCCTTGTCCTGGCTATGTGGATGCTCTGTGGACTCCCTGGAAGGGTGTGCGACAGGTGTGGATCCTCTTTGATGGCGCTTTGCACTCCTGTGTCTGTTTGGGCTGCACACTCATGTCTGCAACAAATGCTTTGATGTTTCTGTTGGAGTGCGGTACTTTGGCATCAGTGATGCATGAGTACGAGGCGTCGTGAGGGGTCCCAATCTGTGTGTGTCTGAGGCGCCACTGTGCCCACGTGTGTTACTTAACGGTGTCCGCCTAGGGTGTGTGCTTTTCTTCTGTTGGGTCATGCATGTGGTGGGCTGAGCAGCGGTCCTTGCTGGGAGCTGTGTGAAGATTGGCTGATGCAGAAAGCTTGCTAGGGGCATCTACACTTTGCAGCTTCTGCTGTGTTCATGGCCAAGCCCAGTGACTGTTCCACTGGTGGGTTGACTGATATCCATACTTTGCACTGCTTTGCTGGTTGGCAGCTTTGCCTGTGTGACAGCCACAGTGGCTCCTTGTGAACTTGCATGAATGGGACTGAATGAGAGAATTAAGGGATGGTGTACGAATGGGAGAGAAAAGGAGCGGCTCTGCCCTGCCCAGGCTTTGGTCCTGCCACTGGTTTGTGGCTTCTGAGCATGTTCCTCTGAGGAAATGTGGCTGTTGACCACAAAGGGTTACTCTCTGCTCCTCTAACCTGTGGGCCTCCCACAAATGGATACAAGCATGTTTTTGATGTGTTAACTAAGATATAAACAGTTTGAATGGTAGGTATTATTTTCATGGCTGTACTGGAACAAAATGCAGTGGTCTTCAATGTTCTTACACCCAACCTAATTGCAACCTGAGGCTCACATATAAACTCACATTTATGAAGGTTAATCTGAATTTATAGTCAAACCTCTCAAAATGGCTTAAAAATAAAATCATGATAAAGTGAACTTGTTAAAACTAATTATCCCAAATAATTAGAAATGCATTCACACATATACCAGGCATGGGGTCAAATGGTAAGTTATAGGTTTTTGTTTTTTTTAAAAAAGATTAATGTCTCATTCTCTTATTCCCCCCTATCATTCACCTTTTTCTTCTCTTCAGGAGAAAAATGGTGCTGCTATGACACACCTGAGGGAAAGGGCATGATCCTATCAAGTGTCATGACTCACCAGTTAAATCCATATAGATTGTGTTCATTTACTTATACTGGAAAAATCATAGCACCACAAGAGGTATCACCAGGTAAGCAAACTGCAAATTTTCTATCTACTTTTGGAATGTAAAGCTACGAGAATAGTTTACTGTAGATCACTAGAAAACAACTGTACCTTGGCTGGAGGCTTCTGGCTGATATTCAGAATCCTCTTCTGGTGGACTCTGTAAAAAGTACACCTGCTCAGGTACCATGCTGGCAATCTTCTCTTTTCCCAGGATGTGATTACTCAGAAGTGGACTAATGCTCCTTTTTACCTTGTCTCGCCTTTCATGTGCCATTATTTTCTTTGTCCGTGCTTTGATGTTCTCCCAGCATTTTTTAAGCTGCTTGAAATCTCGTAGTGATACACTTGGTTGAGAATTATATTCATGAGCAAGTGCCTGCCAGGTCCGTTGTTTCAGTGCAATAGTCCTTGCATCACTTTTTTTACACTCGAGTACATATTTGTATTTCTCAACTAATGCCAGCAACACACTCTTCTCCACTTCAGAGAAGTATTTGGCAGGTTTTATCACTTCGCTGTTTTGCATTTTCTTTTGATTCTCCAGAGTGCCAAAATAACCTATAAAAACAACAACAGACAGCTTACTTTTGCAAGCATGATTGATTTCACAGCAAATAACATTCTGCTCAGAAAATGTTCTTTTTCGTCACACAAAAATGTTAGAATATTACACTATCATCAGTCAGTCAGTCAACACAATCACCAATAGCAGAGTTCAGGACAAACAAAAGTGCTACTTCACACAATTCAGAATTCCCTACTACACAGTGTTCAAAATTAGCCAGGCACCAGGCGCATTTTGCACATGGCTTTTAGTCACTTGCAACCAAGTGAAGAGGCCTGGGCACAACGGGAAGTGCATGCCTGGGGATCATTGGGTCTGGACTGTTTTCACACACTATTACCGCATCTTACAGAATTCTATCAGTTACATTTTGTCTGCACAATCAGAATGAATTTCAGGAACCAAAATGCTTTTTTTCTGTGCAGCTGGAGCAGGAGCAGTGAACAATGTTATAGTTAATTATTGCCGCTTGTCTTAAATTACCCCACCCCACTGTCCTGCTCACAGTTGTGAAGAATATGGTCTGGGTCACCATGAAGAAAAAGAGGTAAGAATAGGCCTATATATCTGTGGGTTGTCCCTGGATAAAGTGACTTTTCTTCTTTACGTTCTCAAAGTGCTTAACCTGGCTCAAGGTTGTCATATGAACAAGTCAAATGTTTAGCTGATAATCAAACACAGTCAGTTCATCATTTGAAAAATAAGACTTTAGAGCCATCTTGCCCCTAAAAGACAACTAGACATTCTGTTTGGGCAACTGCAACCAGGGGTGCCAACTGGAATAAAATATTGGGGGGGGGGAGCCCAGGTAAGCCCTGCGCTGCAAAATTGATCACAAGACACAGTGCATGGGCACCATTTGAATGGCAATGCCCAGTGCTATTTTTCTAGATATTTTATTGGAGATCTGGGGGAGCTGGCTGTAACCTTGGTTTAAGGAGCCTTTTGCCACCTAAGCTTATATATCTGAGTTTCTAACAGTGATAGCCCCTCAAAGCCACTAAGTTAGATGGCTTGAGAAAAGAGCAAGAGCTATCATTTCCTACTCGTTACCACGACAGCTAATTGGAACACCCCTGTGTAGGGGCAGCATGCCTCTACGTGCCAGAACCAAACAGCAAAGGTTGGGCATCATCTTCATACTCTAGTTTATCCAATTAGTTATCCATATTGATAGCAGAGTGGCTATCGGGGTGGCTTTAGGGGGCTGAGGGATGCAAGACCTGATAGGGTAGGGGTGCTAACACGTTGTCATTGACCATAAGGAATGGAGATATGGAATGTAAATGTGATTTGGTAAATGGAATATGGTTTTTTGAATTCAGAATGACAGATAATGGGTCTCTGCTTTTTGCTGGAGTCCAGCCCATGTGGGAATTATTGGTAATGAGATGGCAGAAAAGAGAACCTTTGTGAAGTTTGTGGGGTGGAAGTAACAGCTGACTATGTAGCATAGGATTGTTTGAGATACAGGGATGAAAGGGAAAGTCCCCCTCACAAACTGAGTAACTGTGGGATTCGCTTTGGGGTTTGGTTTGACAATTATAACTGAGTAACAGCATTATAGCCAGTAGGTAGCAATAATAGGGTTTCTTCTCTTGCTTTGCAGCACTAATAAAATCAAAGAAGAATACAGGTATCCAGCTTCTTGACTTGATTGTTGCTCCTGTGTTGCAGATCCCTGGTAGATCCATGGATCAAGCCATATCACTGCCAAAACTCTCTGCTAAGATCTTGGGAGCACACGATTGCAGTTCCAACAAACATACCTTAAAACCAGTCCATTATAATGGATTCATTATATCTCAGATAACTCTAGGCCAAATATTCTTGTGAAGCAGGAATGGTTAACTACAAGGATGCCTACCTTTCAAATCCACAGGGTCCTGACTTTCCTCCCCAGAAGAAGTCTTGAAGATTATGATTAATAAAAGACAGGAAATTTCATTGTAAGTACCTCTCTCTCTCTCTCTCAACACTTAATTATGTTAACCCCTCAAATATTGCCCCACACTCAAAAACATGAAGGCAGTGGAGGATCATCCTAAATTGCATTATGCTTTTCCCATGTGCATATTCAGCAAAAGAAGCAATTCCCTGCATTAATAAGGATAATTCACAATACATTTCAGTTTATAGGTTGATCTGTATGCATGTTTACTTCCATATATGTTACCTCAGAGTAAACATGTGTCGATCGGCCTTACTGAAGCTAAGCAGGCCTGGCTCTGGTCAGTGCCTGGATAGGAACAAGGCAAACACTGCTTTGGCTTCTGTGACACAAGAAGGTCTGGAGGTAAACATAGGAATGTAAACGTACAAATGACTTCTTGAAAACGCCATGGAAGGCCGCAGAATCTATAGAGGGATAAGTGCAGGCTCTTCTGCCACAACCACCCCAAGATGTACAGAGATGGGAAAACCTATGGTCCGCCAGGTGTTGGTGAACTGCAGCTCCCATCAGCTTCCGCCAGTAAGATCAATGGCAAGGGATTGTGGGAGCTGTAGTCCAGCAATATCTGCAGCTACAGGTCCCTCATCTTCCCTGCACTTGGGGGTTAGCCAGGCTCCAAATGGTGTTTTTGAGATCACTTCATTTGAAATGGCAAAAGCTGGCAGCGCGGAGATGTATAGCCCATAAAACACTCCTTCGGTATTCCCTCATCAGGATTTTACACAGGGAAGCAACTGAAACAGCCACAGTGGACTGCAATATTCTCAATCTTAATTCTAAATATTTACAAATGCTGCCACCAATATTAGATGTCAGAATGCCTCATCTAGCCCAACTTCTGAAATCAAAAATCCTTAAAAAGCGCAATGCTATCCACGTTTACCCATGATCCGGGGGTTTCGCCCCCAGACGAGGGTGTAGAGGACTGCAGCCCTGCACACACTTTGCCCGAGAGCAGACTTACTCCGGAGTAGACGCAGGCAGGGCTGCACAAGTTACACGCGACGATGTTGCGCCACAAGGACCGGGTGGGGAACAAAATGACCATCTGTGGCCCAGCGAGCCTTTCCCCTCAGCAGAGAAATACAAATTCCCTCAACCTGTTACACATCTGGGAAGGCATCCTGGCCGCTTTTCTGGGGCAAAGAGGTTGCAGAGAGACGGGGGAGCATTTTCCTTGGAAATAAACACCATTTTACATATGCATTTTAAAGACACGCACACGCACAATTACCAGGCTTGGGTGGACCACGGCCTCCTCAGGCTTCCTCCCCCTTCTTGCTTTTCCCTGGATGCTGCCGGGTTTTTCTCTCTTATTTTGGAGAACAGGAAAGCACAGATCCCAGCCTGACAAAGGACGCCCCGCCACCCACTGAATGCGCATCGGCGGCTGCAGGTTTGCAAATGCAGGCGCGCAAGCGGCGCTTCAGACAATAACGAGCAGCGCTCATCTTGCCGTTTGCCGTTGCCCCGGCGGAGGGGAGAGAGATAATCCCCGTAACGTGTGGATAGATACGGGATCGGCCTCCAATCCCAAAGGGCAGCGCAACAGCCCCTGCTCTTAACAAAAGCCCCACCATTAATTGCCAATCTCTCTCTCCCTCCTCTCTCCCTCTCCGCGGCTGGGTTTAGAGAAGGCGGGATCCGTGTCGCTTCCACCTTCCTCCCCTTCTTCCCCGACCACTAAACCACTCCCTCCTGCTCTTCCCAAGTTCCGACGCGGGTCTCAAAGCGGCGGCCACCAAGCGAAGCGAGCGCCCCGGGTGGAAACGTTGCAATCCCATAATTTCGCGCTCGGGGCACGAAGCAAAGGCGAGAACAAATGTGTGCATGCGTGTTATGCATGCATGCATGCGAAAACTGACAACAAGCGTTGCTTTTTCTCCCCGCCCCGCTGCACTAAAGACAGAAGGCTTCCTTCCTTCTTCTTTTTGCAAGACTCATTGCAGAGAGTGACCGAATGGAGCCGCTCCCTCTTCTCTCTGGAAATCCAGTCCGGGTTTTCTCACCCGACAGCGCCGCCGCGGCTCCGACCGGGAAAAGTGGGTGGGGCGCGCACTGCGCACGCGCATTGTCACTTGCGTGGCGACAGCCCAAGAGGAAGGTTGGCAGCGGCGGGCTCTGTGAGTAGCTTGAAGGAGGCGAGGCGGGTCGGGGGCTGGCGGTGGCCCGGGGGTCGCCTTCGCCTGCGGAGGGCCTGCCTTTGGCGGCGGAGAAGTCGGAAGAAGAGTGCGGAACGGCTGTTGCTGGTGTTGTACTGTATTATGTATACTCCTCCGCCTTTCCCCCCTGACAGGGACTCGAGGCGGCGCACGGGGGGAAGTAAGAACCATTTCCCCCTCCGGATATGGACGAGGAATCACCTCTGAGCGTTGGCTGTGCTGGCTGGGGACTGGTGGAAGTTGGAGTTTAGCTCTCTATGTGGAGGGCTAGGGAATCCCAAACTACAACTCCCATCGGTCCCCATTCAACAGATTGTTGCTGTTGTTGGCATACAGTGGTGCCTCGCAAGACGACATTAATTCGTTCCGCGAGTTTTGTCGTCTTGCGATTTTTTTCGTCTTGCGAAGCACGGTGTCGGGAAAGTTTTGGAAAAGCTTCAAAAATCACCAAAGTCTTTAAAAACCTCAAAAAAGGCTACCACACCGCGTTCTATGAGTTGCTCCTCGAAGTCAAGTCGCAACTGTATTAACGGTGTTAAGAAAAAGGAAAGCAAGCCCATAGGGAAAATCGTCTTGCAAAGCAGCTCAAAAAACAAAAAACCCTTTCGTCTAGCGAGTTTTTTGTCTTGCGAGGCATTCGTCTTGCGAGGTACCACTGTATTTATATATGTCTCTCTGGAGGGCCGTGGGATACCCCAACTCTGATTTCTGCTCCATGTCCTGTTTCCTACAGTTGCTGGCTTCTGCAGAGTATTTTGCTTCCTTGCTTAATTATTTACCGTATTTTTCTCTCTGTAGGACGCACCTTGTTTTAGAGGGGGAGAACAAGAAAAAAAAAATTCTCCCCCTCTCTGTGCAGCACCCCTTCAGCAAAGCGGCAGGAGAAACGGAGCCCCTGTGGGGGCTCACACGGAGCCCCTTCCATTTCTCCTCCCGCTTCACGGAAGGGGTGCTGCGCAGCTCTCCCTTTCCCATGTTGCCTTCGCCTTCAGTGAAGGCTATCAAAAATAGCCACCTGAAGCCTCCGGAGCACGGCGGAAACTCCCACTGCGCTTCTGAGGTTTCGAGTTGGTATTGCTGAAGCCAAGGAGCCTGCATTCGCTCCGTAGGATGCACACACATTTCCCCGTAATTTTTGGAGGGGAAAATGTGTGTCTTATAGAGCGAAAAATACGGTACTTATTCTTTTTTTGCAATTGCACTTGATGTAATGCACCCTTTCCCCGCAGTGAGCTCAAGGTGTCTGCCTTCCCTTCTCATGCGATCCTCAAACAACCCTGTGAAGGTTGGTCAGGTTGAGAGTTGGTGTCCAGCACGGGGCTGCCCAAGTGGGGCTTTGTCTTAACGTCCTACTTGGACACACTCAACCCAGACTTCACCAACCTGGTGCCCTCCAGATCTTTTGGACTACAGTTCCCATCAGCATCAGCTGCTACCAGTAACTGGCTAGGACTGGTTTTTATTTACTTACTGCACTTTTATACCACCTTTCCTCCAAGGAGCTCGAGGTGGTGCACATAGTTCTTCTCCTGGCCCTTTTTATCCTCCCAACAACACTGTGAGGTAGGTTAGGCTGAGAGTGTGTGACTGGCCCAAGGTCACCCAGTGAGATTCATGGTTGAATATCAATCAATCTTTATTACGGTCCAGAGATCCAACAAATCGTTACAAAGCAATGCACAATTCAGACAGCCTTCCTCCAGGTTAAACAAACATTTTGTTCAGACTTAAAGATAGGGATCATTGGTTCTTGCAACCACCGATAAAAACTTTGCCACTGCTAATGTTCTAGTGTTTGTCTGGTCTTCCAATAGGAACCTGACATAGTGAGCCTCTGATTTTCCCGGGAAAGGTACCAGTAAGGGCAATATCAGTTCAGCCCTGGCTTGCTTGTATTTCGCACAGTGCAGCAAAATATGTTTTATAGTTTGCTCACTATGTCAGGTTCCTATTGGAAGACCGGACAAATGCTAGAACATTAGCAGTGGCAAAATTTTTATCGGTGGTTGCAAGAACCAGTGATCCCTATATTCTGAACAAAATGCTTGTTTAACCTGGAGGTGGGCTGTATGAATTGTGTATTGCTTTGTAATAATTTGTTGGGTCTCTGGACCGTAATAAAGATTGTTGTTGTTGTTGTTGTTGTTTTGTAGAATCTATGTCTTGGGCACACGAGCAAAGTCTGTCCTGGTAGAGGACTCCTCTCCACCTGCCAGAAGGAAAACTGCAGAAGGAAAGACGTTTAGTCTGGCTTTGGTGAAAAGCCTTCGATAGTTTGGTACAGTCAGGTTTTTAACGTAAGATGTTAACTTAAAGACATGCCCATATTGTACTCCTACTGCCAGCGGACTACAGACTGCGTGTGATCGAGATCGCAAGTCACTGTGTGTATTATCCCATAGTCTTTGCTTTAACGTCTTTAGGGCGCCTTCATAACCCAGGTAATAAAGTTGGGGGGGGGGGGTGACAGACCAATAGAGGTGGCTTTTCTAGCCATGGTTTTCTGCCATTTGCTGACAGACTCCTCATTGGTTAGGTGTTGATACAAACCCTCATGGCTGAATAAGCATTAGAACCCTGGTCTCCCATGTCACAGTCTGACACTCTAACCCAGGGGTAGTCAACCTTTTTATACCTACCACCCACTAATGCATCTTTCTTGATGGTAAAATTTCATTACCGCCCACCAGCGCTCGATGGAAGGAGGATTCAGCTTGTGCCGTAGAACCCCCTACCACCCACATAGAATCCTGAAACGCCCACTAGTGGGCGGTAGGGACCAGGCTGACAACCCCTGCTCTAACCACTACACCACACTGGCTCTCAAAACTGGCTCTCGCTGGAGGGCATCAGGTTGGCCAAGGCTGCTTTAGCCCCATGCTATGCTCTAACCATTAGTCTCCCGCTTTCACTGTTGTTTATCTCCAGTATCTGGTATTCAGAGGAATATTGAACAGGAGGCTCCAACATAGAGGCTTATAACTGTTTATTGTTCTGTCTGTCTTCAGTATAAAGATGCACAAAAGTGTGGCTAATTAATATTAGTAATAGTGGTAGTAATAATAATAATAACAATAATTATTGCTTATGGGTGATGAGCTGAAGAGGCCCTCATAATTTTTCACTTTCAGCCCCTAGACCTCAGCAAAAATAAACATTTATGGGGCCATGGACACACTTGGAAATTTGAGAAAATATCCTAGCTAACAAAAAATTACTGCCATGTTGGGACCACCCTCCAGCTTCCCCAAAGCAATTCCTGTTGGTTTAACTCCCAGGCTAACCACTAGACGGCACTGTCTCTCCACTTGGACTGGAGCATTCTGGTGCTATGTTGCTAAACGTGGCAGACAATGTGGTCTAGTGATTTGATCCTTGGGCTGCTTAAACACATCACTTGCATCTTGGAGGGAGCTGGGGTAAATCATGGTCCCACAGCAGTTTTCTACTCAGGTTAACTTGACTGTAATGCCAGAAGGGTATTATAAGGAAGCCCTGTATAGGGAAGTTGTTAATGTTTGATGTCTTGCTGTGTTTGATGTTTTCATTTGCTGGAAGCTGCTCAGATGATGGATATTATTACTATTATTACTGCCATAATTTGAACATATTTTGTCAAAATAAAGACTTTTTTCATATATTCTTTAGTTGTTATGTGTGGATTTCTTAACTCTTGACTCCTTCATTATGGGAAATGAAAATCAAGATACCTCAACTTACGGTACATGCGTACAATGTCACTCCGTTCTACTATAATGTAAGTATTGTGTCTCATGCTATTGAAAGATCTATGAATTATTTTTAGGTATACCTGAAAGGATGCTGGAAGATGCTCTCCATTAGATAATGCTATCTCTTGATGACAGTACACTGAATTTCCTGGAGAGAGGGATTGACTCTTAAAGTCTGTAACGTAGATGTGTTCTGGTAGTGTCTTCATTGAAATTTGGCATCCTCTTATAAAACAGTCCATCCTGAAGAATGGCATCCACCAGAATCGCAAACTGGACTGATCCATTCCGCGGGAGGAAGGGGGACAAGCTGGAATGTGGGGGAACTCTTTGTAATTGTGTTTATACACTGAAAATCAATAAAACTCCATATTAAAAAAATAAAAGAACATGTGAAGAGTCATTGGCCCATCTTGTCCAGAATCCTGTTCTCACAATGGCCAAGCAGATGACTGGGGGAAAGATGAAAGCAGCACAAAGCATTCTCTTCTGCAGTTTTGCAGCCATGAATTTGTCTAATCCTCTTTTAAAGCCATCTGAGTTGGTCGCCATCGCTGTCTCCTGGGCTTGACCACAACAGAGTTTCCTGCATGTTTGCAGCTGTTTACATTTCCATTTAATTTGCATAGTTCACATGACATTACCCCCAAACAACAACAGTCTAAATTATCTTCCTCTGTAAATTCGGGTTCACCTGATACAGGGATGAGCTGCAGGAGAAGTTGGGCTCCAAACTGCTCCACATTGGGGGTCACAGATTATTAGTTTTGGTTTCCGGGGGTGGATGGATCAACTGTCACTTTCTACTCTCCTTTCCATTCTCACCCACCGCTTTCATTTCTTTTCTGCCTGTGCTCATAGCTATTTGCAGTGCACTCCTGAAAGGAGGATTTTCCCCTCTTTTGATTCCTCAGATTTGCACAAAACTGTAGAATGCTTTTTCACACTTCTTGGCCCAGGAATGCCACTGAATAATAATAATATGTTGTGTAAAATAATAATTCTTTTGTTCTGTTCTGAACCTACTGTGGGTCAGTATAATTTGTTGACCTGAAGGTTTTGTGATCTTAATGGAAGAATGTTGTTCTAGCACATCTGCTTTTAATTGCTGAAACATTTCTACACAGATGTAAACTGTGTCTTTTCTTACATGGAAGCTTCAATTTGGAACATTTAAGAAACAGGATTGGCTTGAAACATGAACCTTTTCAAGTTTCTACCTTGTATCCTTCAACAATGGAGTTAATAGATTGTCTTTCTCTCCCAGGTTTTTTAAAAGAAAAACCTCCTGTTCAACCTTCTAGTGATGATATGGGAACAAAGTTGAAGTTCAAGCCACGATTTAAGTGAAAAGCATCACAGTTGAATGCAAACATCAGTACTAGCACACATAAAATTGGTTAGTTTGTGTCCACAATTAAAGAAGTACCTAGTGAATAGGCCTCTCCTGATGCTGAAACACAACATCAGCTGTGTTCTAAGGAACATTTATCAAATCCTACATCAGACAAGGGCAGATTTGAGGGTAAACCATACACAGCACGGGTCTGCCCTTGTGGCTCGTTGGAAGTTGAAACTGCTTCACATGTACTATTACATTGTCGTCTTTATGAGGATATACGTTTGACTTTTATTACACCTGTTTTGCAAAAGTCCAGGAAAGAATCGGAACACCATAGTTTAAAACTACTGCTAGAGGACAAGAATCCCAAGACTACATTAAATGTAGCCAAATTCTGTGCGTCTGCAATTAATCGCAGGAAGCAAGTGGTATCCCATAATGACCAAACCCCTAAATGTTAATTACAGGGGGCATGCTAATAATTAATTTTAATTTTTTATATTTAAATCCTTGTTATATTCATATTGTCCTCTGTATTTCTGATTTTTTTGTTTGTTTGTGGTTGTGTGTGTTGATGCTGGTCTATGACCGTATTAATAAATTCATTCATTCATTCATTCATTCATACATCAGACAAGCCAGAGAGCCCGGCAGCACCCACTCAGACTCAGACAGCTACACCCAGTATCTCTCTTCCAGGATCATCGGCAACATCTGACAATGACATAGCTGCAGAATTTTTCAGAAGTATAAGAAACATGGACTTTGATGAAGTTGCTGCCATCCTACACAAAATAACAGCATCAAACCCATCATTCAGTGGTAATTTTTTGTCTGTAAGCCACTTTGCAGCATATAATTATATTTAATATAATAGATATTAATGAATCAAATCAAATTTGAACCTTAGTGAGGCTGCTGAAGACATTTCTGTCAATCTTCCATTCTCTGACTCTCTTCACCACAAAGCCAATGTCAATCCAAAAGTATTCCTATAGCCAGGAAAACCCAGCCATCTGTCTTTAGGGGTCTTCGCCCTGGCTGTGCAGTTTCCCTCTGTGGTCATGATAGCAATCCAGCCACTCAGTTCCATGTTAACCTGAAAGGCTGCCTGAGATCTGTATAGACACATAGACTATCTGGGGAAATAATACTATTTGTATTATTTTCAAAATAATTGCCTATATTTTTGAAACAAAAGTAACCCATACCCAATAAACCCAACAGTTTTCTCCAGACACCGCCAAATGTCCATTATGAAAGCGTATATTTCCATCCAATGACCACCACTTAGAGTATAAATTTGTAAAACAGGTTTTTATTAAGTGATCCACAAGTTCGTATAAACCCTTGGAGCGGGACTTTGGTTTTCCGGGGTATTTGCGAACAAAATAAAACTCCACCAAGTGTCTTTGTACTTTGTTCCTCTTGTCAGTCTCAACGTGTGCACCAACTTTTCTGCAAGAGCAAAAAACTAAACTGTCTTGTACCAAGTGTTCAAGTTCACAACTTTTGGGAAATTCTGCTTTTGGAACTTTGGCCCCCCCTAATATGGAAGCTGTTCATTCTTAATTTTTGTTTATGAGGAGCCAGTTATGGCATTCTGCACATGTGTTGTAGCACATGTTCTTAAATAAGTGCTGCACAAGCCCCATTTTGAAGGGGAAACAAGGTTATAAATGGCAGCCCTACCAAGTCTAAATGTCATCAGCCACCACAGCTGATGTGTAAGTGTGCATACAATTGCAGCTGTTATAGGAAAACCCTTGGGCTCCCTTGGATTACCAAAGACACCAGCCAGGAATAGACGAGCAAAATAGCAGTCAGTAGGCCTGTTGTTGTTGTTGTTTAGTCGTTTAGTCGTGTCCGACTCTTCGTGACCCCATGCACCAGAGCATGCCAGGCACTCCTGTCTTCCACTGCAAGAAGATCAAACCTATCTATTCTTAAGGAAATCAGCCCTGAGTGCTCACTGGAAGGACAGATCCTGAAGCTGAGGCTCCAAGACTTTGGCCACCTCATGAGAAGAGAAGACTCCCTGGAAAAGACCCTGATGTTGGGAAAGATGGAGGGCACAAGGAGAAGGGGACGACAGAGGAAGACAAGGTGGTTGGACAGTGTTCTCGAAGCTACCAGCATGAGTTTGACCAAACTGCGGGAGGCAGTGGAAGACAGGAGTGCCTGGTGTGCTCTGGTCCATGGGGTCACAAAGAGTCGGACACGTCTAAACGACTAAACAACAACAACAATCGGGTAGGCAACCTAAGGCCCATGGGCCAGAAGCGGCCTGCGGAGGTTGTTTGACCGGCTCACGAGCCACCCCTGAACCGAACTGCCTGCTCTCGCACTGCGCTAATCTGGCGCGGAGACTCACTTTTGTGGCGCAGGAAATCGCATCTGCGAATCCACATATACTGAAAATCATGTCTGCGCAGACGCAGATGCCGAAAATCGTGGGCACGCTCACGTTCGTGTGCAATCCGGCCCACAGTGGGACCGATCTGGCCCAGGCAAGATAAACCTTGCTGACCCCTGGTTTTAATGATACTCTCTGTGTGTGTGCGCACAATGTTTTAATTCTATCTATGTTTTATTTTTTTCTTAAAATATATATGTACAGTGCAGGTACAGTGGTACCTCAGGTTAAGTACTTAATTCGTTCCGGAGGTCGGTTCTTAACCTGAAATTGCTCTTAACCGGAAGCACCACTTTAGCTAATGGGGCCTCCTGCTGCTGCTGCACCGCCGGAGCACGATTTCTGTTCTCATCCTGAAGCAAAGTTCTTAACCCGAGGTAATATTTCTGGGTTAGCGGAGTCTGTAACCTGAAGCGTACAGTGGCGTAGCGTGGGTTGTCAGCACCCGGGGCAAGGCAAGTAATTTGCGCCCCCTGACCCGTGGATTTTATAGTTCAACCTTAATTTATTTTCTTGAGAGATTTTTTGTAATGCATTTGTTTTCAAAAATCGATCTACATCGATTTTTTTTTTTAAAAGGATTTTAGTAGGGGCAGAGAGCTGCGAGTGCGAGCGCGCCCCCCACCCGATGTTGCGCCCGGCCCCCCCTGCACCCCCACGCTACGCCGCTGGAAGCGTATGTAACCCGAGGTACCACTGTATACGCATTTGCTTTTAGCTATTCTCATTTTTATCTGCAAGATGCCTCGAGTCCCTGTCAGGCTGCTGTTCCACCTCCGCTCCTGAAGGCGGCGCCAGGCGCGCAGCCTCCCTTCCCCTCACGCGCTTTCCCCAGTCCGCGCTCCGCCTCCCTCTCCGGAGGAGGGTTCCAGGTGGACTTCGCAGCTGCTGGGGTCACGTGCTCCACTCAGCCGCCCTGCTGATTGGGCGGGCGGGCGGGCGGCTTCTGGAAACCGTGGCTCCTCGTGACCCGGAAGGACTCCCCGAGCGCGTTTCCGTCGCTGCCGGCCGCGCGTGCAGGAGGTTGGTAAGTGGGGCGGGCGGAGAAGCGGGCTTTCTTTCTTTCACTGCGCCGGCGCCGCCCCCGCTTCTTGCTTTTCCGTTGGTCACCCCGGTCCGTGACAGCCCCTCCCCCCCCCCGCGCTGCTGCTGCTGCTTCTCGCTTGGCCGCGGGAGGCCCGCCAGGGACGCGAGGAATCCGCCCCACACCGCGTCGGGACAATGCTTCCCTCCGCCTCAGTACTGTCTGCACTGGCTGGCAGCAGCAGCGGCGCCGCTCCGGGTTTTAGGCTTGGAGTCCCTTCTCCAGCCCTACCTGGGACGCTGTGGCTCTTCGCCCTTAACGACAATAGTGGTCGTTCCGAAAGTCACTTTTGGCTAATTAAACCATCTATGGCCTTTTAAAGCGGCGCGCGAAGGGGGGGGTGTTTTGTTTGTTTGATACTATACTTTTGTGCTTTTATATTGTAAATCTGTGTCCTGAGATCCTCAGAAGGAAGGACGGTATGGAAATAGTAGTAGTAATAATAATAATTATCCTGATGATAATCATGCTTAGGGGAGAGCCCTGAGACGCGGGGGCATCACACACACACACACACATAAATAAAGGTAAAGGGACCCCTGACCATTAGGTCCAGTCGTGACCGACTCTGGGGTTGCGGCACTCATCTTGCTTTATTGGCCGAGGGAGCCGGCGTACAGCTTCCAGGTCATGTGGCCAGCACAACTAAGTCACTTCTGGCGAACCAGAGCAGCAGACAGAAACGCCGTTTACCTTCCTGCTAAAGCGGTACCTATTTATCTACTTGCACTTTGATGTGCTTTTGAACTGCTAGATTGGCAGGAGCAGGGACCGAGCAACGGGAGCTCACCCCGTTGCTGGGATTCGAACTGCCGACCTTCTGATCGGCAAGTTCTAGGCTCTGGTTTAACCCACAGTGCCACCCGTGTCCCATATCTATCTAATTTTAGAACGTTTTTGTTTACATATTGCATTCATTCCAAAATACAAAACAATATCTTTTAAGAGGTTCCCAGCCACTGGACTTCTCCCCACACCCCTCTCCGGTTTCAAATCATTATCTCTTTTCTTTTCTGCCTCTTTGTACCTTTATCTGATTTATTCACCTCCCTTAATAAGGGACAGGCCCTGTCCTCAGGCTTGCAAGCTTCACACACACACGCACACACACGGAAGTGAGGGCAAAAATGGTAAAAAAAAAAGTTTTTGCAATGCCCAGAACAAAGTGATGAGTTCTAAATAAGCCTTTATGTGAAAGTTCCTGCCAGCCAGGTCTTTCCTTGCTGGTGGTTTTTGCATGCACAGAAGTGATGCTTTTGGCCCATCCACCCTTGTTCCTCTGGGCCAATGTCCATGTGTGGCGTTCCCCTTCTGCTTCCCAGTCCCAGGCCAACTGGCCATTGGGTCCCAGTGTTCTGGCCGGGAGGTGGGAAGGCAAGCTTCCTGCAGCAGTTGCTTCATTGGTTGATATGGTGGGGTTAGGTTGATTATGGTGGAGTTGTTCCTGAGATGCAGGGGTGTAACCTCCCAATGGCTCTAAGAAATATGGCTGATAGTTGGGGCTAGAATATGCCTCCCTATTTTATCTTTGAAACAGCCATGCGCTCTAGTTATCCAAAAAGGTTTCCTTTATATGGAAAACCGGTGTGTCAGGTTGAAGGTTAGTCTAAAACCCTTCCTCCAGGCACCTTAACTTCCTGAATGCTGATAAATTCTGTTTTTATCTGGTTGAGTTTTTGCTTATGTGACCTTCCTCCTGTGGTCTGAAACAAGCAGCCTAATTACAGATTTGCAGCTTAACTCTTAGAGGGAGTGATTTTGGCTCCGGGGTTTTGAACCAAAAAGTTCCCAGTTTGCATTCAATACCGTTCACTAATACAGGCATCGTCTCACGGGCAGTCGTTAGGAAATAATAAAAAAATTCAGTTCAAACCCAGAAATGGCAGGAGAGAGCTGGAAAGTCCCTGTGGCTTGCAGGGAGACCTTCCCTGGAGCCCAAAGAGGATGTCAGTAAGGGCAGAGGAAGCCCCGAAGAGACCAGCTGCTCAGCCTCTCCGTCTTAGCAGCTGATGTGCAGGGTAGTGCAGTAGTAGCAGCCGCCACTTTCCCGCATGTCCTCCAGCCTCCTGATGGAGGTTCAATTCTAGTTGTGGATATTTTTGAATGCAGTCTTTTTTTTGTATGGATTGCAGAGAGCATTTAAAGGGTGCTCCGCACTTTATGCAATTTCAGTTATGCATGCAGGCGCCTGGAACATAACCCTCGCTTCAGTGGGGGGGGTGCATGTAAAAGCCTTCAACTGTTAATACCTCTTTTTTTAAATGTGAAGGTGCTAGGCTATGTTGATATTGATGTTGTGAACCCTTTGTATGTGGAGATGCACAGAATTTCTTTTGCCGTCCATCACAGTACCTTACACTCTGAATTTTCAGAGTTGGATCTATCGTAACTTCATCTTGAACTCAAGAGAAACTTCATCAGGTAAGCTGCAGTGCCATGAAGAAGGCAATCTTTTCTAGATTTTCAGGTGACTAGCATTAGGGAGTAGAGCATAAGGGTGTACACTTTGCAGTTTCTTTTTGGATTATGTTGCGGACCCTGAAGAAAACCAGAAATTGACTTTGATTTCAGAAACTGAGTCTGAGTAATTGTTTGCTCAGTTTAGTTGCAGGAACCTTTCCCCCTTAAACATACTTGTTCAACTGTCTATATTTTTCTACAGTGGCTTCAAAATGACAAAGAAAAGGAAACATCAAGAAGATTTTCACAAGGTGAAGCTAAAAGTTGGAAAAAAGAAGCCTAGACTAGAAAATGCAACAGATACAAACTTCAAAACAAGAGCCATACATCTATCCGAGCAGCTTAGAGAGGATGGAGTGCTTCCAACAAATAATAGAAAGCTTAACATAAAGGTACAGTGAAATGCGAATTTATATGCCACCAATTATTGTTGCACTTTTGAGTTCATTAGCATCTGTGAGACTAATTTTGATATAGTGTGAGCTTTTGTCAAGGGTTAACATACTACTGGAGATGCCAAAACATCGTATCTAGGAATCTGGACAGCTACATAGATAAGTTGGAGAAGACAATAAATTTCAAAATACCTAATCTTTTTAATTTTATCATTATTGTTAAGCTGAAATCAGAGTTACAAGGACCCTTGCTGAATACCTTACAACCTCAGCTAATAATCTCTTACTGTGTCTTTGTTGTCATGAGGTGAGCTTCCTTAACCCAAAGCTATATCAGTGGTGGTCAACATCTCCATCTCATGAGTTGTATTGTTACAAGATAGATGCTTTTAAATACTGCTTCCTGTCACAAAGTGTCTTCATCATGTGGCAAAGTTCCAACAGTGGTGAAGCCTTCAGTGCCTTTAGAAGAGGGGAGTTCCATAAGAGTTGATTTGCCCAAGGTAGCACCATGAGTATGCTCTCTCCTGAAATTCATTGAGATTCTCAGGTACTTTGTATTATGTCCATCTTCCAGGTCTAGTCTATCAAGACTCCTTGTTATTTGAATGACCCTTGTGGCCATTGTTGATAATCAGCTGATTATCAGCGGTTGCAGAGCGCTAGGCACAGGGCTTCATAAGTGATGATGTTCAGCTGATTGTCAGGATTTTCAAAGTCCAGGGCATGGTGCTTTGCACAGGACTTTGCAGGTGTTGCCAATCAACTAATAGGTGGTGCCTATTTGGTGTACAGCGCAGGGCAAGTGGGCATGGCTTGGCCAACATGGGCTTGCAGACCAAATGGCAAGGCCTAGTAGGTCTGATTAGGACCGCAGGTCAAAGGTTCCCCACTACTGAACCAAGTCCTACTCCAAATAGACCTACTGAAACCAATGAACTTAACAGTACTTGCATCCATGGATTTCAGTAGGTCTGCTCTGTGTTTGACTAATGTTCATTAGTTTTATTTTTAATTGTTCTACTATGATAAGATTTCCAAGCAACTGGGTTGGATTTTATTTATATTCTGATTGTGTACTGAAGACCTATAAAGTTACATTCAATCTTAGCATTGATTGCCTTGGATTTTCATTGATTGCTTTGCATTTTAAAGCATAAACACTCTGTCATTTACGTAAATGCAGATTTATGTCTCCTGCTTGAATTCCAGTAATTTCTAAACATTGATTAAACAGCAAAGGTGACATCTAGCTCCGCCTCTGAGAAATGTTTGTTTTGATGTATGCAGCCTAAGCCTGTGCAGAAATAGGTACAATTAACTGAAATATGTGAGCTTATTTCCCCCAGTTGTGCAAAAGAAGGGGCTGATGGTTTCTTAACGTTGTAATGCTTTGTTTTTGCTGTGCTGGTGTGAAGGTTGCTTTTATTTCTTGCTTTGGAAGTGTATAAAACCTTTCAACCACAAATGTAATAGTTATAAGTTTGTGATGTAAATAGTTATTCAGGCAATTACCAACTCTGTATTTCTTCTAGGATCTGCTTTCACAAATGAACCACTATAGTGCAGGAATTAAACAAAGTGCCCTTTTTGGACTCAAAGATCTGCTGTCCCAGTATCCATTCATCATTGATGCACACCTTTCAAATATACTAAGCGAGCTGGCAGCTGTGTTTACAGACAAAGATTCTGCTGTACGAGCAGCAGCAATCTGCCTCCTTAAGTTCTTGGCTCCCAAAATACGAGCTGAACACATCTCTCCATTTTTCCCATTACTTAGTGCACATCTTTCTAGTGCCATGACTCATATCAGTGAAGGAATTCAGGAGGATTCTTTGAAGGTATTGGACATTCTGTTGGAGGAATACCCTACTCTCCTGACGGATCGCAGTAGTGTGTTGCTGAATAACTTTGTAGAACTTATTTCTCATCAACAACTGTCAAAACAACTGAAAAATAAGGAGAAAATATGCTGGATGCTGTCTGTTAATCCTAATCGTAGGGTAACTTCACAGCAATGGAGGCTTAATGTGTTGGTCAGGCTCCGAAAGTTCCTTCAGGTGCTGGTGGAAGGATCCAGTGAATTAGAAACTGACAGCGAAGGGCTACAAGAGCCAAATGACAACCCACAAGTACCAAGAAACTCCTTGCATGTTAATTGGCAGGAATATGCCAGTGGCCAGCAACACATCCAGTTGTATGAAAATGGTGGCCCACAACTCAGAATTCATTCATCCTTCCGGCTAAGGTAAGAAATAGCGTGCTTACAACATGTTTGAAGGTTCATGCTTTGTCACTGATGTGAAATGTAGTGAGCTGGTTGCTGCTGACCATGGCAATATAGTGAGGCTTATTGCAGTAATGCTGTGCAGTCACACACGTGGGTTTTGTGCAGAGCCTCTTTTGAGAAGACTGCAGACTTGGGCTGCCATTCATATGGGTGGCCCATGAGTTATGCTTATGCATCAAGGAGTGTGGCTCCCACCTTTCTGCACCCAAATGTGTGTAATTGAGGAGGCTGGGTTTTCATTGGCTACTGCCTATACATGTTTCTCATGAACCACTCACTTTCATGGAGCAATGTAAGAATAATAGCACAATTATAACTGTAAATAACCTGTACATGGTCTCCTCCAAATTGACATCATTTTGTATAAATGGCTGTTCTCCTGACCAGCTTTCACACATGCTCATACAGCCGGGTGTATACGACTTCAAAATAAGTCTTACTGTGTCAAACAGGGCTTATTCTGGGTCTGTGTGTGTAGAATTATAACTGTAAATACATTTCTTTCTGTGCAGTAGTTTTGTAAAGAATGTTTTGGCCTTTGTTCTAGGTCTTTGGTAAGTATGACAGGCAGTGTTGAAAATGGCCTGTCATCTCCTGAGAATTTAAAACGATTTATTCAAATTATAATTCCATTGCTGCTTAATTGTTGGATTGAAGCATCGCCTGCACAACTTGCGACTCCCATTCTTGGAAATCTTCTGGAACCTGGATCTCAGCAGCTAATGGAGCAAGTACTTGGTATCATATACCTGTTGTGGAAGCTTGTAAAGCAAAATGAAGATCAGGATGAAATGGTAAGAAACGGAAGTTGCTGAACTGATATGTCACAGGAAATTATTTGCATCCTTGTCCTCTTACCTAATCAAGTTTGGAAAAAATCCATAAATTAGCCCCTTATGATCTTTCTATTTGTATACCTTTCCTTAAAACTCTTAGCACTTGGAGAAAATTATTAATGTGTGGTGTCTTTCTTACAGGAAGTGTGGCTTCGAGCAAATTACCTGAATGATTTCAAGCACCATTTCATGTCTCATTTTCCTTATTCTTTCCAAGAAACAAGCAAGCACCGAAAGAAAGAGCCCTTGAAAAGGTATTGCTTATAAGACCAGGAGAGTCAGAATTGAGCGGTTCCCTTTTCAGATAATCAGTAGGTTGTGATCCGAGTTCTTAAATTTTCACAACCATAGAAAAATCCTGGAGTAGCAGTGGAGAAAGCTCAGCAGTTGGTTGATCGACAGGCATTTTTCTCCCCCCCCCCAATAATCCTCACTGTAAGGAATTTTTGTTGTTGTTAACTCAGAGTAACAGTAATTCCTTCATAAGTAATGCATAATGCAGTTTTGTTCATAAGAGAATATTTTCAGACAATTAATTTGATTGAGTTCTGTTTTTTTTTATGTGTTTTGATGTATGGTATTGCATAAGCCAACTAACTGGAGAGAGATACCTGTGTACTCCATAGTAATTTGTGCTTGTCCTATGTGGATGAAAGACTGATAGATGCAACCAGCACTTTTCTCTTATACTGGCATTTGTTCAAATATGTGCTAAATTATAGTTTTCCAGGAATAGTCCCCAGTGAGCCTTGGGTTTGCAAGTTTTCCTTCTGCTTTTTGGCATTGCCACCAGGAGAAATTCAGAAGCTTACTCTTCTGTGTTCATGTTGCAGTGGAACCTGTTGAAACTTTTAATGCTTTGGAGTATATGCCTTCTTATTTGAACTATCTATAGAGTAATGGGCCCCAGTAGAATTCTTCACTATTGAATAATGCTTTGTGCCAGTTTTCAAAAACTGTTTCTCTGTCTTTCATTTAGCAACAAGTATTGTATGACGTCGTCAAACATTGATCATCTCATGTTGAATTTAACCTTATGCGAAATCATGGTCTCATTGGCGAGTGCTTCAACACTACAAATGGATTCTCATTGGCTAGATATGATTAGAAAGTTTGTGATAGAGACCCTCCACGATGGTTGTAAGCTCCCCCTTCACAATGGCTGTAAGTTAAACAGTAAGCAATTGAATAAATTGCTCAAAGTGACTTGGAGACTTCTACAGATACAAATAAACAAAGGTAAGACCCACTGAGTGTACAGTCTTTGCTTATGAATTTACCAATATGTGGCATTTTTCTAGGCTATTTGCATTTCTTCCCTTCAGTGAGACAATCCAGAAGTGATTTAGAGCAGTTTTGTGCCTTAGATTAATACAGTTCACCTCCTCTCCTGACTGTAAAAGATATGATCAGAACACGCACCCTTTTTATATTTCAGAACTCACTGTGGTGCCAAACCACTGTTTGTAGCAAGAGTTAGCAGCAGAAAAAAAATGGCTGCATGCATAATTTTACAGTGATAGATTCTCCATTTGAATATGCTTATAGGTACTAGATTTTAGAAATGTTTAGATTTTTCCCCTCTCATGATGTTCAATAAGGAAGTTACCAGCAGTGGATTTTATTGTTAGCTTAGAATTGGAAGACAAGGTAAAATTTGTAAGTTTGAGATATGCAAGACTGACACAGCTATGACATTCTTATAATGAATTTAGCCCTGGGTGATGTATCAAATACATCACCCAGGACTTGTTTGAGGGCCAGAGCATGATGGCACCTTCGCCTGGTGGTATATCACAAGTGAAACAACCACCGCTCCTGAGTCCCTCCACCGCTGGCGCATGGAGGGAGGAATAAGCTATGCTGGCCCTCGTCTCACGCTGAAATTGCCACTGAGGAAGCTGAGGTGGTTTCACCCCGGTGCCTTGTAGAACCAGGGCGAGTGCAACTTGTTCCCCTCTTATTTTTCAACATGTGTTTTGTTTGCTACTTTGCCCTTTAGCATGTTCATGCTTTAGCATGAAGATACAATAACAGCCACACAATTACATCTGATGCCACACTGGCCTTTGCTATAGTTTCATAGTTACCCATTTTAGATGTGTGGTTTGGTGCAAGAAATTGCTGACTACCTGTTCCAAAGTATGGAGAGGAGGTAAAACATCATTTTTCATTTGTCTTCCCTCTTAGTGGCAGCAGAGACGCTAATGAAAGCCGTGTATACTCTTTACCAGCAAAGAAACCTTTCTTTCCCTATTCGTACATTGCTTTTGAATTTTTTTAGCAGAGTTTATCAGAAGGAAGAGTTGAACCTTCATACGAACAGGTAACAATTTTTATTATTTTTCATTTCAGCTTTCAGTTCAATTTCCCAAAGTCTAAACTAGGCTTTATCTTGATTTTTTTAAAATAAAAAAATTGTCCATATAATCCAAATAACAGAATAGAACTTTATCAGACAAACACATAAAAGCTAAACCAAACCAAGGCTGGCATGGATGTTTATATTGTAAACTGCCCTGTTTACCTCGGATGAAGGGCTTTATATAAATTTAATAAATAATAGGAAGAAGAAAGTTACATTCACAAGAAAAATGATAAAGCTGGTTTCCCTCCCCTTATGGTTTTGACTTTTAAAATGGGGCTTTTATTTTAAATTGCATTTTAACCTGTATTTTAAATCCCCCCCCTTATTATGCTTTTACTGAAATTTTATTGGTGTTAGCTGCCCTGAGCCCGGCTCTGGCTGGGGAGGGTGGGGTATAAATAATATTATTATTATTTATTATTATTACTATTATTAATAATAATAAGATAGGAACAAGTAAGTGGAGAGGATCCACAAGAGTCATGTGGTGCACACGACTTAAAACGTATACAGAAGTAAAAAACCTGTATTTCTGTACATAAAGGCTCTGTATTACATCAAGAAAAAAATTCAGTGATTTAGATGTTGCTTAACCCAGATTTCTTGAGAGGCTTGTGGAAGAGACAAATGTAAATTTTCTTTTTTTTTTATGTATTCAATAAAATCCCACCAAACTGGGACAAAAGAGGTTACACTTGTTTTTCCTTTCAAAAAACATGTGTACCATGTTTATTCACTCATGCTGGGAGAATGGAGGGGGGGTACAGCAGCGTACCCGGGGGGGGGGTGACCCCTGGAGTTTCGCTTTGTGTCCATCAGCTTGTGTGCTGGTGGTGGAGACAATTCTCTTCAAGCGTGGCCCTGTGGAGGAAGAAGGACTCGGTATCCTCCTGGCAGAGGTGGGGAATGGATGCCCAATGCCCCTGCCCTGACATTGCTCCCAAAGAAAGCTTGGCCCACCCACTTCAGGACAAGAGCATCTCCCATTCTCTGTTGACACTCAACTTGTAGGGTGTTCTCCCAGCCCCAGGCAAATCTTTCCTTCCTCCTACCTGTTCTATTTACACAGACTGCTTCTCCAGGAGCCACATGTTCTGATGATCTTCAGAAAATTGTGTTGTTTAGAAAAAAATATAAATGGCTTAAATCAAAAAAAATCCCTAAGGTGGCATACATAAAACAATTATCAATGATACACAAATGAAATCAGCGGAATTTAAAAATCGGTATACAGTGGTACCTCTGGTTGCGGACGGGATTCCGCAACCTGAGGACCGCTTCTGCGCATGCATGTGCGGTGAAACCCGGTAAAATACTTCCGGGTTTGCCGCATGCGCATCCCGAAGTTTACATAACCAGAGGGTTACATAAACAGTGGTATGACTGTACGTAACTAAATTATATGTCCGGATAAGCTTGCTGATTTTTTAAAATAAAAATGCAGGTGTCCGAAATAGTATAATGCGGGTGCCTGTGTAACGTTAATAGATGATTTCCAGCAGCTGACTGGGTCAAAAGTGTGGCAGTGCAGAACAGAACACTCCAGAAGTAGGGATAGGAATTGGGTGGGAATACTAAATATAAAGGTATGCTGAAGGCTTAAATTGTAATTTTGTTTGTTTATATATGATACGATCAGCCTTGAACACTTATGGAAATGTGTAAATCATATGTACTTAATTAGGGCAAGTTCTTTTTTTGAACCTTCCAGCTTGAGAGGGGAGGGTGGGTCTCAGTGTTTCCAGATGCTTCTTACTGTTTGCAAGTGGCAGTCGACTGGCAATGGGTTTTGCTTTTTCGTTTCTTTTATATCGTATTTGTGTTGTCTCAAAGGGGGCAGGATCCCTCATGGTAGCAACTGGCCATCAGCTACTACTGCCTGCCCCCCCCCCAACACCCCAAATGTCCATAGAACAGAATTGTCCTGCAATTCAGCATCATTCCAGGGACACTTGGGGGAGAAAGAGTGGGGGCTGCCATCATGCAATAAATAAATGCAATAAATCAACTTAGGCCACAGTAAAAACACATTGTACAATTAAAAACCACAGAGGGAAATTAAAAACCACAGAGGGAATGAGTACCTTGAGAAACAGTTTTGACACTCTTCCACTGAGGAAATCCCTGCCAAAATTTGCCATGTGAAAATGGGCTGATGAATTGGGGTGGAGGGGTTCCTCCTCTTCAAAACAAAGTTTCCCATTCTCTGAAACGATATTCTAACACGTATTACTTTCCCTTTCCCTTTTTCTCCCTTGCACATACTAGAAGCAGGAGCAAAGTATTAACTCGTTGGCTGGCTGGTCTACCTCAACAACTTGTTCTTCTTGGTTTGAGAAATGCTGAGCTTTCGGACCAGTTGATTGGTACTATTTATTCGGCTGCATCCCGGGCAAACAAAGAAATCCTGCAAAGTTTGCAAGCTGCTGCTCCTCGAATTTACGGTACCTCATTTGCAGAACTTCTTAAATTAGCAATAGGGAATAAAGACTCTTGGTTTCTGAGGTATCCCAGATGATGGGTATTTTTTGGTTTCTCCTCTCATAATAATAGGCTGCTTCCTTCATATTATGGTAAGCCATCACAGGAGCTGTAGTGTTCTTTGGAAGTGAGAAGTACATGTGCCAAATTAGTTTTGTGGAAAGAAGAAATCTGGAGATAATGCTATCCACATATATATTTCATTATTTAAAAAAAATATATGTACTTTCCCAGGCAAAGCCCTTCCAAAGCTGCTTACAAAAAAAGTAGTTTCTTTTTTTAAATCAATATTGCTCTATCGCAATGTGTGACAGCTGTGGAAAAGGTGGATTTCATGCTAGAAATCATTAGGAAAAGGATTGAAAAGAAACCAGCCATATTTCAATGCCTTTAGTGTGCTGTTGTGCTCAACTACATGGGCCTTTGGTGTGATCCAGCTTCAGGTCTCAGTTGGCTTTAGTTACACCATGTTAAATGCCCCTCAGATTTCCTGATTTCACACTTGATAATTGGAATCCTGTAACCATCACTCAATCGTATCATGGAAGAAATTCTGGAAAGGGAGCAAGAATTTGATAAATTTGTTTCAAGTGAAGGATTGGATAGGTGCAAAGGAAGAAACGTGCTTTTCCCTCTCCATTTGAAGATGCTGGCTGGATCTGGGTGATGAATGAACCTACATAATTGAGCTGTTCTTTGAAGAAAATGCAGTGACGTGGGTGGCACTGTGGGTTAAACCACGGTGCCTAGGACCTGCCGATCGAAAGGTCGGCGGTTTGAATCCCCGCGGCGGGGTGAGCTCCCGCTGCTCGGTCCCAGCTCCTGCCAACCTAGCAGTTCGAAAGCACCCCAAAGTGCAAGTAGATAAATAGGGACCGCTCTCCAGCGGGAAGGTAAACAGCGTTTCCGTGTGCTGCGCTGGTTCGCCAGCTGCGGCTTCGTCACACTGGCCACGTGACCCGGAAGCTGTCTGTGGACAAGCGCTGGCTCCCGGCCTCTTGAGCGAGATGAGCGCGCAACCCTAGAGTCGGTCACGACTGGCCCTGACGGGCAGGGGTACCTTTACCTTTGAAGAAAATTGAATAGTTCTTTGGCATCGTTCATTTTTAGCTGGTGTGCCTTCTTCCTGGGCTCTGTGCACAAGCAACATCCAGAACTTCCTAGAGCTAAGTGAACGAGTTCTGGTGGGACCCTACGCCTCGCCCCAGCCCCATGGACACGCTCAGAAGGGCTCCTGCTTCTCTCAGGTCCTTTTTGAAATCTGCAGTGGGAGCATCAAGCAGAGCCTTCCCTTCCCTTCCCTCCATTCCTTTCTCTCTCAACTGCTCTTCTGACTTTTACATTGGTGTTCATTTTCATTCTGTTCCGTTTCCAGCGGGTGCCATTGTGACTCTGGTCTTTTCATCTTTTATCAAGGCCCCCCGAGGGACTGCTGCTGCCCACTCAAGTCTTTTTCCTGCTATTTCCTGTCACCTGCTTCCCAGTGCCAACCGCCGTCACAATACCCCGTAGTTTTCTGGGAGGAATCTCTGTCCCTGAACTATGCAGCTTGACACGTTGATTGGACCTTGTGTGATAGGAATCTGGGCTCGAGGAGATAACTTCTTTGGGGTGGACAATGCTGAATCTGTTACTGCTTTGGTACCACCTGCCCTGGCTCTTTGTGTGTGGGATGGCATGCACCATGAAGAAGTGGGTAGGATTGCCTAGCGGTAGCTGTGGTTCTCTGGGGTGGCCCCCGTGCAGTTACACAGCCCACCCTCTTTCTCCACAGTAGGTGAAATTTCAGCCTGCTCTTGCTCTGGGATTTCCTGATGTGGCTCTTGTGGTAATGCAACCAGTTTCTCCTTTACAGTAGTTTAGAGTGGAGCGCAGAAACTTGTGCCAGCTGAAAAAGCACCCCATTTTGAGGTTTTCAGATGATGTAAGCTGCTGATTCTTTTTTTCAGATCCACTAGATGGTGCTGTCGCTATTTTGCCAGAAGAATCACAGCAACGTTTAGTCCAGCTGGTCTATTTTCTGCCACATTTACCAGGCAATCTGCTTTCTTCTCTCAGTCGCTGCTGCATTATGGGAAAACTGTCGGTAAAGTTATCGACTACTCTTATCGGGATAGTGCGTATGAGGTAAGCAACCTATTTCCATGGGCAAATTTGACTATTGAAGGAGAAGCTTAGTGTTGCATCTTCTCAAACCATAATTTGTCAATATAATTTTGAAGGTGCGTTCACATGAAGTAAGGAAGAGGATGTGGAGAAACCATTGTGAGGGAAAGAGGGGAGCCGCTGTGGATGGGAAATGGAGGAGACGACAGGGAAGGATCAGGAAAATAGATGAAACGGGTCAGTTGCATAAGGAAGGAATAAGCGATTAGAGGGGGGATATATTCAAACACTGAAATGCAGTTGAAAAATAGGGATGGAGGTTCATTGTGGTGGAAAGAAGTTGGAAAGGATATAAGGAGCAGGCTCTTGCTGTCCCAGTGAAAGGAAAGATACACTGCGGGCACTTTGACAGTCGTGCTGCTGCTATATGCCTCACAAAATGGCATGCTCTTAAAGGCAATCTGTTGTGACGGACAGCATTGACTGTGCCTAAATGCTATTACTTCTCTTCTTGCAAGCTCCTGGGGAACGATGACAGGAGCGCTCCCTCCCTCCTATGGAGATCTTGCAAGCTGGCGATTTTGCTGTGGGTTTAGGCTAGTTGTTAATCTGTCCCAAGGGCGCCCGTCATTCAGGCATCATGTCTTTACATGTCTTTACCCATACTTTTGAAGGGGGGGGAGTTGCTGATTGAAAACGTTTTTTACTTGTATTGGTTTTGGATTGTGTTGCCCGCTTTACTTTTGAAATATTGTTAATTGTGGTTTTAATAAACTTATATTCCCTACCCTGGAAGGCTTAAAATACAATCTTATCTCTGACAAAATACTGTTTCTAAAAAAACCGGAGTTACTGTAGCAATCTGTTTTTACAAATAATACATTACAAAATGAAAGGTTAGTAACAAAATATAAAAATATTTAAGCTGCAATTTTGTAGGGTTTATAGAGGCCAAATCCCCATTGAAACATATAAATATGAATGTTAATAATGAAAGAGCAAACACGTTTCAACATTGAGTCCTTTTCAGGAGCCAGATATGTTTACAGTTAAAATAGACTCAAATCACTGTGGTTGGTACCTTGGAGGAATATGCACAGTTTTTTACCTTAACTTCATTGTTCCTGCCCTGAGACCATTTGGTGAAAAGTGAGTTATAAGTATTTGAAATAAAAGAAACCACACCACAACGTTTTCCCTCGGGAGAGCTTAGTGGTTGCTTTCTGTGTGATTTCATTACATCTCCATCCTGCATTTCTTCACCATGGAATCCAAGGTGACAGACATGTGGTTCTCCCATCTGGCCACTGACCATACCTGGACCTGCTTAGCTTCAGGAGGATGGTGGCCTTCTGTACTTTCAGAGTACAGTGGTACCTCTGGATACAAACGGGATCCATTCCGGAGCCCCGTTCGCATCTAGAAGCAAACGTAACTAGCGACGGCACGTCTGCGCACGCGCGCGTCGCTTTTTGCTGCTTCTGCGCATGTGCGTGACGTCATTTTGAGCGTCTGCTCATGCGCAAGCGGCAAAACCTGGAAGTAACGCGCTCCGTTACTTCCCGGTTGCAGTGGAGCGCAACTCGAACGCGCTCAACCCGAAGCGCATTCAACCCGAGGTATGACTGTATACCCTGGGACTTTATTTGAACGTTACAGAAGAAGTGGCCTAAAAACCTCCTTGCAGATTCATTTCTGTTCACAGAGCTGACCTCTCCCAGGTAGAAAACAACAAAAGCACCTTAACGATCTTGGGTCAGTACATTCCTCTGGAACATCTGGTTATTTTTCTTTTACAAATATATTGTAGGAATAAAATAGCCGTTAATTAAAGACATGTTTGGAAGAAAGAATTGTCATACTGTTCCTCATAAAACATAATAAAAAGTGGTATTTTTATTTGGCCCTCATTTTGTTTGGTGAAATAATGATGTTTTCAAAGATGGAAATGTAAAGTTCACTGGCTCTTCACACAAAGGAAGTAAAATTGCTGCTACTGGTATTCTAAGCCATGGGTAGGCAAACTAAGGCCCGGGGGCCGGATCCGGCCCAATTGCCTTCTCAATCCGGCCTGCGGACTGTCCAGAAATCAGCATGTTTTTACATGGGTAGAACGTGTGCTTTTATTTAAAATGCATCTCTGGGTTATTTCTGGGGCATAGGAATTCGTTCATTATTATTTTTTCAAAATATGGTCCGGCCCACCACAAGCTCTGAGGGACAGTGAGCCAGCCCCCTGCTGAAAAAAAATTGCTGACCCCTGTCTAAGCTATATATACTCAAGGGGGAGAAGCACTTTCATCCAGCAAATCTGATCCAACATTGGTCATTCTTCCACAGGCCATTTTTGGCAGGTCATCAACCTGTGACATCAGGTGAATCTGCACCCGCTGGAAAGCAGCAGGGCTGGCATTGGGCACAGTGGGGAGGGGCTGCTTCGTTGCTCCCCATTGATTCTAACTTGCAGGGCTTGCATTTGCCACTGTTTAAATTGGCCATCAGATGCAGCCCCTGTTTTCAGCAGGGGTTGGTTCTACGGGAGCTGCTACTGTTGTTGTTGTTCATTTCATTTCTATACCACTTTAAATGTTTAGGAAAAAATCACAAAAGTGACTTACAACCCATTAAAATATCGAATACAACAATCCAGAATAAACCATTACTGAATAAAGTCAAATGTAAATTATACATTCAAAGCAACATAATTAACAGGAAAGTAAAATATTATCTTGAAGATTTCAAAACATTACAAAGGAGGTCAGCTACATACTGCCTATTTAACGCAGCAAAGTTAACAACAACAGAATCTTAAACATTTCAAAAGAAAACATTACTGAAGGAAGTAAAATATAAAATGCACATTTAAAACCGCATAATTAACAAGGGAACAGTGTATTCAGGCACATCTTTCCAGCAGATGGAGGTTAACATTGTCACTAGATGGCACTGTGTGTCTTCTGTGTAAACAGACTGGTTGAACGGAGATGTATATTACTCGTATTCTAAACCTCATCCTTCATATTTTTCATGCTTTTTAAGCAACTTGAAATAGAATAATAGATTCTTCTACTGCGTAGCTGCTATTGCCATTGGGTTTTTTACATTGCTATGTACAAAATATTTGTTTAGAATTAAGTTTCGGCAGTGTAAGTGTCAAAATTATAATCTTGATAATTTAGTCAAGTGGATCCAAGCAGTTAGTGAGGAGATCTGTGGGAAAGTTTGTATTTTATCTTTATGCAGGTATTCTGAACATTTGACACACCACATATTTACATAGCATTGCAGCACAAACATGATACATTGCAACTCATAGTTAATGAAACAGTATTTCACTGACATTGATATAATCTCTATTGTAGATTAAAAAGTGACACCTTTTAGGATGATTTTGAAGTCATAATCACATTGCTGAATGTGATTATTAGCTTTATAAAGGGTCATGGATGAGGTTTTAACTAGCTGTTGGATAAAATTCATGATTTTGCTTCATCAGAAGAAACTAGTTGAAAGCAGAACAGGTTAGCCAATGTCTAAATGCAGCCGTGGTTGAGCATGTTGTTGTTAGCAAGTATTAGCAAGCAGTTGGTGGCGTAAAGGTAAAGGGACCCCTGACCACTAGATCCAGTCACGGACGAATCTGGGGTTGTGGCGCTCATCTCGCTTTATTGGCCAAGGGAGCCGGCGTACAGCTTCCAGGTCATGTGGCCAGCATGACTAAGCTGCTTCTGGCGAACCAGAGCAGCGCACGAAAACACCATTTACCTTCCCACCAGAGCAGTACCTATTTATCTACTTGCACTTTGTGCTTTCTAACTGCTAGATTGGCAGGAGCAGGGACCAAGCAACGGGAGCTCACCCCATCGCGGGGATTCGAACCGCTGACCTTCTGATCGGCAAGGCCTAGGCTCTGTGGTTTAACGCCACCTTTATTAAATATTGTCTTCAGACACAATCTGCAGTTCCTTGAGATGAGCCAGTGGACTCTTGGCAACATTTTGCATGCAGGTCTTGCTATCTAAACACATTTCCTGCGTTCTTAGGAAATAGTTTGTTAGGCAAGCGTTCACATAACCAGTCAACATTTTCCATTGATTTCTATGGGGAAATTTCTAATGCGGTCTTGGCCATGGAATTTTGGCCCCACCTTGGTTTCTGGTAAAATGGCTGCCACAGACCAGCAAAACACAAAAAAGTAAGGCTGTCTATTTGTTTTTAGTACTGCACAATTGTCCTACTCTTTGAATATTTGATCGTGCTGTGTGTATAGCAAAGTTTGGGTACTAATGCCTCGTGTTTGAATAAGTGGATTTTTGCAGAACGAGTGTTGAATAGTGGGACCTGTGTATTTTCATAGCTTTCTCTTTAGATGCTGGTTTTGGCATACCCTTTAGTTCCTTCTTGATCAAGAAGAGTCCATATACTGTGGTATAGATTTAGTATAATTTAGAAAAATATTTTGAGCTCATTTACCCTCCTGACTTTTAAAGAAACTTTTGAATGACTGCCAACTTGATTTCATCTTTTTCTCCCCATTTGGCAGGTTCACAATCGTATAACGAAAGCTCATGTTCACGTTTCATTCAAGAATGCATATAACTATCATTAACCCTTATTTATTCTTCAAAAACACTTTTACAATATGAGGTTATTAAGAATGGGTTGGATGCTTTGAAAACATTGTATTCATATAAATATTCCTTGCTCGCTTTTTGCATTCTTTCCAACTTAGATTTTTACTTTCATTTTGTAGAAAACAAACCCTAGTAAACACCTGAAAAAAGTTACAAGACCTGCTTTCCTGCTTATCTCTGCAGTGTTCCACCACCTGAGCCAGGCATATTTTGGATATTTAGCGGTTGGCTGAGGGAAAAGGGCTGTGAGATGACAGGCATGCGTGGAACAGTTCTACCCCTCCCCTACCATCACATCTCGTTTGGACTTGAATTTTCATGTATCCTAATAACCCTTCTTTTAAAAAAAATTAAATAGATCCTCTTTTGTGGGATGGAAGTACCCAGTGCAAGGCAACTCAGTGACTGATCTGGATTACTTCAGCTTCTTGTTTTCAACTCTTACAGGTAATCTGTGTGAATTTAATTTTTTTTTTTTATTTCAGCATAATTTTGTTGAATTTCATTTAGGAAAAATGTTGCGTTAAGTAGATTGAAGGCAAACATCCTGTAATGCCTTGTACAAACAATGGCTAATCATCAACATAAAAGCGAGAATTTAAGAAGCGATTATTATGAGTGATCAAGCACCCTGTGACTGCTAATTCACCTACCTGCTGTCAGATTTCAGTTGCCTTCGTTTTTTCACTGGGGAGCTTCTCTGTGGGCACCACTGGTGCTGCCTGGCATTGTTTTCTGTTTTAAGACCTTTTGAGATGTTTTATTTCCACAAGACCAGGCGGGTATCCTTTTGCTCTGTTCTCCCAATTACCTCCCAGTAAAGTTTCTGTTTTTGAAATAGTGGTGAGTCCACTGTTTCAGCAGTATTCTAGCAGTATTCTAGAACTATAACTAAGCTCAGCAGTATTCCAGAACTTCCCAAATAACTGCCACCAGTATGGTTCTGTACACCTGTCTTGCACATGTATAAAAGCTGGCTGGATTATGGAGACAGAGGACCAGTAGCTCCTGAATGTCATAGTAAAATTATTTTTGTTTCCAGCATCCCCTCCATTCTTAAACTTTCCTTGCTACCAAACAGCCTCATCAGTCCTTGATCCTCTTTCTTGTGTGTCCAAAATCCTGTACTGCCCAAGTAATTCTTCTCACGCCCTTGTATGCCAATATTATTAATATCTTCCTCTTAATCATACTGTTCCCTGGCTTGCTTCAGACCTTCATAATCTACAATATAAATATTAATGTGCAGCCACAACACAATCACAATCTTTTTATATAAAGCTTCAAATACAAAACACTTTAAAAAACACCCCTAAACCACTGATAGAGGTTAGCATCAGATCTGTTTGAAGGTTTATGTTTGTCTATCACTAGTATTGTTTCTAATTTCAGCTTAATTCACTATTAAAACCTGATTGTTAAGAAGTCTGGTTGTGAATCCACTTACCTAGTAGTAATCGCCCTGTTGAATTCAGCAGTATTTTCTTCTGATTAGTTGTGGCTAGGACTCGCAAAGTTTCATAGTGAGACCAGACTTGTCTTTAAAATGGCAAAACATGAGAGTGAGTCATTAAAACTGAGCATTAGTAATGAATAGTTGGCTCAGTTAAGTAATTTCCCCTAGCTTTTAATAACACCCAGGCCCTCAGAAGTATGGGTAGGATCCAAAGACACATGAAACTCGTCCCATAAACCCTACGAAGCTCTTCCTAAGCAGTAGCCAAATGATGAACTGCTTTTGAAACAAGAATGCTTCAAAGCATGGGAAGCTCAGCTGCTCAAGAAGTGGGATGTGGAACAACAATTCTATTTGTCGGGCACAAGCTACCAGCAGGAACTTAAGCAGTAGTTATCCCAGTCATTCTAAGGATTGGCTAAAGCTAATTATTTACTGAATTATCCCATGGAAATCTATGCGATTGTAAACACATACTTAATGCTGTCTCATGGAAACTAATGGAGATTGTAAGTGCTTAACTTGGATCGTGTCCAGGGTGTAATACTGCTAGCATACTTTCCTCATTATGTTTGAAGATTTGTTTGTTTGCATGTTTAAGCATCATTCTGATTTTGACCGCAAGTCTTGTATATTTCCCTTTATACTTCATAAATATGAACTGTGGGATAGAATGTTTTTAATGAGTTGTTAACCAGTATTTTTTTATTATAGATGGAAAATAGCAGAATGGTAATTCCCTCTGGGGTCTGCTCCTAATGGGCTTCTCTGTCAACTTTTTCCAGGCTTCTCCCGAGAAGAGCTGACTAACTTGCAGAGCATCAGAGGGAGGCCACACATAAGCCAAACACAACTCTCCCCGGTCCAGATCTACTTGACAGATCTGGATCAGTTTTCATATCACTGGGCAATGACAGAGGTAAGACCGTCTGCACGGAGAATTCAGAGTTAAAATATCATAGGCTGGCATGTCTGTAGGCTCAGTATTGGTGGTAAATGTTCTATAGGGAGTAAAAATATATGTTTTTCCCTGACTACGTTTCTCGTGAGAGAAAAAGGATGCCAGTGTGGTGGCTAAAGCTGAGTATTAGTGGTTTCATTACAGTCTCACTAAAGCCTAAGATCAGCCTCAGAATAAGTGGTTCCTCAATAGCAGGCATAGACGGCCCAGCTAGAGTCTTTCCTTTTTTCTGCAAGATATGGTGGCTGCACGCCCTCTTCACATCAGGGTGCATTGAAAGGTTTGCTGGCCATTGGTGTCCCCTAGGAACTCGGCAAGAGAGCCAGCGTGGTTAAGAGCGGTGGACTCGTAATCTGGTGAGCCGGGTTCGCGTCTCTGCTCCTCCACCTGCAGCTGCTGGGTGACCTTGGGCCAGTCACACTTCTCTGAAGTCTCGCAGCCCCACTCACCTCACAGAGTGTTTGTTGTGGGGGAGGAAGGGAAAGGAGATTGTGAGCCGCTTTGAGACTCCTGAAGGGGAGTGAAAGGCGGGATATCAAGCCCAAACTCCTCCTCCTCCTCCTCCTCCTTCTGTCCTTGAGGGTGGATTCACTTGATGCTCCTGTTAGTTCTGGGCTCAAACTCATAGGACCCTAGTTTTGATTTTGCACAGTCGTTCTCCAGTAGCTGAGCGAGAGTTCCATCTTGCTGGACTGCTCCCCAGGAAGCGTTGTCACATCTTCTGGCCCTGCCTTCTGAGCAGAAGTGCATACTGTTGAATTGTGCTTAGAGGTGACTCTTCTGTTAGAAGGCTGGCATTGGATTCAGAATGGGGAATGGGCTTTGTCTTGAATTTGCACTGCCAGCATTGCCATCTTCTCACAGCTTAGATAGCATTGCTTTTGCTTTGCTGTTGTGGTCAGTTTGAGGAGCAAGGTGAAAAACAGCCTATTTCACGTTTCCTTTTTGAAGTAGGAAATGAAAATAAGTGTACTTTACAAACACATTAAGGCGTTGATTACACTACAGTGTAACTATCCATATTTTGGAGTCTTTGCCACCTGGAATGTAAGCTTAGGTGATTCTTTCACTTTACGTACGTGATCTGCAGGATATTTTGTAAGAAATTATTTTTATTGAAATTTTTGCTGAATAAAGACTGAAAATAAAAGTGGCAGGGCACAGTGACACAGTCAGTATGTGTAACAGCAAAAGAAGTTACAATGGTAAGTTATCACAAAGATGCACCTTTGTGTGGAGCAAAGTTACATATAGCTTTCTTGAAGCTGTGTCAGTCCATTGAGCCTGCAGGATATTTATGGAAACAGAAGTAAATAAAAATATTCGGTTCAAACCAAGCAGTTCTTTGCGTTTTTAGAACTGCTCACGTGAGACATTGCCAACCGGTTGTAGGAAGATTGTAATGGTGTCTGGCTGGATCCCTTAGACACAGTGGTGCAAATTTTACTTTGTATGTTCTTTCAGAATAAAAATAGCAATGCTTTTATGTGATGTTATTTGCGTTTTCAAGCAATCCACAATCCCCTGAACAGTTATCTCTGTGTATCTGAAATACTCTGGGCATTGTTACCAGAGCTTTGAGCTTTCAGAAGATGCTTTTTAGCAGTGGCTTGGCTAAGCACATGAGGTTCAGAAGGGAAGATACTCTTGAGTCAATGATTAAAAGCCAAAAGAATAACATTTGGGGGGAAAGTTTAATATAGGGGGAAATATAAAAGTTGCACATAAGGCCATGTTGTTTAAGATGACAGTGGGAAATATAGGCTCATTTGGGGCAGATTACGTTAAAAAATATTGTCTATTACAGCATTCTTCATTTGAGCAAGTCCAGACTAGCCAGGCATTTAATTTTATTACTGGGTGATTTGGGAATATTCAGGAGAGTTCTTTTAGGCAAAGGGAGTTGTGAGTCTTTCGCTGGTCCTACTGTTTTAATTGTCAATATCCATTTTTAAAAAAAATAATAATAATCTAAATGATAGTGTGATCATTTCATTTGGGATGGAATCTTCATTGGCCAGTTTTTGAATGGATAAAATGAGCTCAACACCCACAAAAATGTGTTTCGTTTAGTGTGAACTAAAATGTGGAGAAAGCCAATTGCATATTAGGAGTAGTTTTTGTAAAAAGGAGTTTATATTGCTGCTTGGACTTACTTTATCATAGCAGCTTTTGCCTTATAACTGCCTTATGAACACTTTTGATACAAAAACTTTCCCTAATCAATGGCTAGAGAAGAGACAGAAGCATCCAGCACTATCGATGCTTGCCGTGGAGGCTTCTGCCTGCAAACCAATCCATTAAATTTATTTATTAAATTTATAAACAGCCGTTCATCCTAAGATCTCAGGGCGGCTCACAAGATAAAAATACAGGATAAAAGCACAAATAAATAGTTAGAATAGAAGCACAGCAAAACAAACACATTTAAAAGGCCATAGAATATTAATCAGCCCAAGGCCTGGATGAAGAGGAACATTTTCGTCTAGCACCTAAAGATGTATAATAAAGGCTTCCTGGGGAGAGCATTCCACAAAAGGGGAGCCACTGCAGAAAAGGCTCTTTCTTTCCGACCTCTCATGGAGGAGACACTCGAAGAAGGGCCTCAGAGGATGATCACAGAGTCCGGGGTGGTTTATATGGTTAAATCAGGCTTCCTCAACCGGATGCCATCCAGATGTTTTGGAGCTGTGGCAACAGTTGCAACCTATTTTTTAAGAACCACAGGGCACTAATTGTTCATATAATTTGTTTGAGCACACGCCTGGACTGTGTTGGGATTTTCTAAATCAGAAGGAAGGTAGTAAGTAAGATGAGTAAATGTTTTAAGTGTCAGCATAAATGGCAGTTGGGTTATGAGTGGGGAGCGAGGTTGTTTTCCAATTACAGGCAGGGAGTCTTCATTAGCATTGGATCTGTAGTCTCAATATTGACTGTAGCCAGAGAGCAATTTGATCCTTCTGTTGTCAGTGCTTTATCCCTCGAGGCTTCATGTCTACAGGTTTGTTGCCTTTCCAGATTGCAAGATAAGGTTTCTAAGGAATTGTCTATTTATGTCACTTAATTTTCACTGTAGCACTCACTGTTCAGTGCACAAAATGTTTTAGAGTTCTGACCTCAGAAAACAGAAAAAGATGTTATCCTTTACCTCTGTTTCGTTAGCATTTCAAAATATAGCGTTTAAGGCATGTTTGAATTCTTCTTTCCTTTGCCTATGTGACGCATCCATTCATGGGCTGTTCGTCTCCCATTTGCACAAGGCAGGGACATGTGACTTGATGGTTTCCTCTATCCTGTCCCCTGTTGGCTCTTCTCCCAGTTCAAGCTGACAAGATGGATTAAAGCTTGCATAGCTTTGATCTATGAAGCTCAGCACATACTTTTGCACACTGTCCCAACCGCTACATCTCCCACTTTCACCACTAATGCTTCCATCACAGAGATCTGATAGGCACAATTACATTTGCCAGGTGTGCCTGGTAAAGAATAGACATGCATACCTTGGTTGAAGTGGCCTTCAGGAGGATAGTACGGCAACAGGTACTTTCTTTGATTTTAAGCAATCCCTGTTTGCATCCAGGAGTACATGCAACCTGTGCGTCTGTAACAAACAAATAACAGAGCTCTAGTTGCTCTTGTGTGGTGTGTGATGGCATCCACTACCATACCTTGGATAATATACATGGTGGCTGCCCATATCCACTTAGCTCAGTTAGGCCCACACATATTTCTTTGTCCAGGTTGATGTTCCTTCCTCCTTTCCCTGCTATCTTGCCCTGTCTGAACCTGGTACTGTTGAGGGCCTTCTTCTGCCGCAGGCTCAGCCACAGAACTGGACTGGAGGGAGTCAACAAGGGGAAGAGAACGGGGGAAGCAATCAAGCCATATGTCCCTTCCTGGGTGACGGAGGCGACCCTTCGCCTTCACTGTGAGTCACTGGTGATGCTTTCAGATGGTGAAGAGGATTCTAAAACCGTTAGTTGTTAAAAAGGCACCCGTGTGTCTGATTCAGTTTGTCATATTTGAGTGTCTTGTAGTGTGAGCAGGAAATGGAAGCCCTGCAGGACTTGACTTCCTTGTTTGTTTTTGCTTTTACGTCCCACCTTTCTTCTGAGGCATTCCAGGCATAGTGTTTGTGCCTCCTCGCCATTTTTAGCCTCACAACAACCCTGTGAAGTAGGTTAGGCTGAGAGGTGGTAACTGGCCAAGGGTCAGTGGTTTAACCCAGGCATAGGCAAACTCGGCCCTCCAGATGTTTTGGGACTACAACTCCCATGATCCCTAGCTAACAGGACCAGTGGTCAGGGATGATGGGAATTGTAGTCTCAAAACATCTGGAGGGCTGAGGTTGTCTATGCCTGGTTTAACTTATATGAAATGATTAAATGCAGCTTTTAGAATTCTGGAATATGTTACTTTTGACCATGTATCCACTATGACTTTGTAGAAACAAAGATGTAGATGTACAGTGAATATTGGCATTAATATTATTGCTGTTGTAACAGGTGGTGACCCAGTGCCTGTCTACTATACCTTCAAGAAGCCAATGCATAGATATTGTACAAAATGGCATTTGCAAATACCTGGTAGGTGGTAATTCTGAATATATTCTATGTTGGTTTTATTTAATTATTGTTTGTGATTGAAACTGTGGGCAATAAAAAGAGTTTGGTATGTGCAGATGTTCCTGCTAGGCTCATTTCTGGCCTTGCAGTTATACTCACTATTCATGTCTTAGTCTGTGAACAGTATATAATAGCAGTTTTCCTGTTCATAAGCGGTTGCAGAAACATTTCATCGCAGTCATGAAAGTCTTCATACTGTGTTTAAATATGTTATATTCCATGTTTCTTTATGGAAATTTCAAAATGACCAACAGCAAACTGTCATAAAAATGGAACAAATGACAACAAGGATTTTTTTTACGATCAGTTGGCCATCATTAGAAACCAGCAACAGCCACAGGCCATGAGCAGTAATGGAGGCATTGGGGAGAAGGGGCTTCCTTTGCTAGAGCAACAAAAAGGCCTTTCCCTTCATGCCCACCAGCTGGCTGGCGCAACGCCTCCGATGTTGATGAGTGGACAGGAAGGAATATGTACAAATACGTTATCCTCGAGATAAATGGGGGCATTTTAGGGCTTTAAAATGAATCAATTACTAGTGAAAATAGAGCAGTACCAGGTAATTCTGTACTGACCAATGTAACATTTGCCATCACTTTTACATAATATTTTTTGTGTTAGCTAATATTATTTAACTCCAGTGAACTGTAAACTATTTGTTAACTGCCTTAATCTTCCCTACAAAAATAATCAAGAAGTATGCCACACTTAGTTTAAATATTTTCTTTTTCTTGTGTTTTAAAAGAAGTAACAGTTTTGGAACATCAGTAATTTATCTATAACTTGTTTTCTCTAAAAGTATGAATCAGTCCCCCTCATCTGTGGCAATATGCATGAAAAACTTCTGTTTCGTTGGCAAGAGCCAAACTTATGGTGTTATTTATTGGATACCCCGGAAAGAGAGGTTTTCCAGCAGATGACCTGTGTGCAATTAGATGTGAAAATTCATTTATAGACATCCACAAATGAATGCCTTCAAAGCAAGACCCTGGGCACATGACACTTCAGTATGCATTTGCAAGTTGCAGGTCACATGTGGGAAGGTGTAATTCGAATCAGAGGATGAAGTGGTGGGTTTAGCATTGCAGGTAACCTGACCCTCACCACTTCTGCTATCAGGAGCAGCACGGGGTCACAGAAAACAATAAAAGCTGCATTCCTAAGAAGTGTTTCAAACCCACCCAGAGCAGGCTGTACAGCCGTCTCTGAGACAACTGCTTCCAGGTGGACTGCTTTTCTTTTCACTGGATTGTTTGTCCACATCCCATCCTTTACTGTCTCCAAACGTTGATTCAGGGCGTTCAGTGCATTACTAGAAACCCATGGCACTTCAGACCAAATCTATGGATGTCCTCACCCAACAGTTTCATGTAGATGTTAGAAAGCATGGAAGACAAAACTCACTATGGTAGCACTCCCCAAGTTTAGGGGCCATGGTTCAGAGCAGCAGTCTCCCATCGTGACCTGCTGGATCCTTCGTTTCAGGAATGACTCAGTTCCAGGAATGACTTGCTACAGTACCTCCCAGCCCCATTCTGGCAGGGTGACCTAGGGTGATACATGCTCTTCAGAGCTGCACCAGAATCAAGCATTAATTGGTTCGCAACTTTTCAGCTGAAAAGGCTCTGCAAGGATTACAGATCAATAAAAACAAGACAGTTCCTGACCTCAGGTTTAAATTCTAAAAAATGGAACACAAAAGGAAAAAGGAATGGGAAGGGAAGAGGAAAAAGTGAACCAGGGCATTCATTATTTAAAGTTAGCAAGTTTTAAGACTTCATAGTTTCTCCCAACAAAAAAAATTAAATCCATCTACCAAAGTCAAACTGAAAGACAATGATAACAGAACCCTTCATGAACTATATTTCACTTCATTAGGACTGCCACTCTAGACAAGTGTTTTGTGAAAAACTTTGCCATGAATCCATAGCAACAGAATGGACATGAAGCTGGAGGTCCTGATTTCTTTGTCATGCCTCTGCTGCTGACTCCCAAGGCACAGACCATGAGTGGGGACCCTCTCAGCCTCTGCCCAAGCATGGTTTTCTTAGGCCTATCTGCCTAGAGAGACCCTTGGAACTGTTGCCAGGCCACTCTCCTCTCTGGCCCTTCTGTGCACTTCAAATGTTTTGGCCTGGCTGCAATGTGTCCGTGGACCCTGAGAATACATTTCTTGTCTGTCTGAACAGAGGCTAGAGCAGGCACCCCCAAACTCGGCCCTCCAGCTGTTTTGGGACTGCAGCTCCCATCATCCCTAGCCAACAGGACCAGTGGTCAGGGATGATGGGAATTGTAGTCCCAAAACAGCTGGAGGGCTGTTTGGGGATGCCTGGGCTAGAGTATGCAGGGGGTGTGCATCCTACCCACATAGTAACATTCTTCTGCTGTATTTTAAATCTGTGACGTGAGCTTAAGCCCACTGTACAAGGTAGTAGGGAAGGTGTTTTGCTTGGCTGTTGCTAAATAAATAAGATGCCAATTCATGGGATTAATGTGCTCAATCCTCAAAGGAAAGGAAGGGCAGGTTGTAAAATGTAACAGATTGAGGGGGAAATGAAGTTATTTTTAGAATTGTTCTTAGACACAGGCGCAAGCACAGCTATGGCAGAAATGAGTGTCTGTGTGAAAGGTAATTTATTTGTTTTGTCTCCTAGGCAGGGTTGACTGTAATACCTGACAGTGCTGCTGGATCTGTTTTGTGTGCCATTAGTAAGCTCTTGGATCAAGCGTGCTTGCTTAATGAAAACCTTGCAAAGTTCCTAGCGTCTTTGTGTTACAGTCTCCTTTATCTCCTCTTAACGATAGAGAGAGAAGATACAGAACACCTGCAGAAGAGGTAAGCTTTTAATTTGAGGACTTATTGGCATCTGTAAAAAGCACTTTAGAAATACATATGAAATTTGCTTGTTTTACTTGAGGAATAAAATATCAGTCTGTACCTGTGCAAGTTTTTTAATAAGGTTGATGGACTTCCATTTCGTTGCACCACATTGAGGAATAAGGCAGCTGTATACCACCAGCAGTCACACAGATCTTTGGGATTTAGACTGTTGCCTTACTTAGTTTTCCAGGCTCCTTACGACAGGTTTGCGTGCTATAGCTTGCCCACCGGGAGTCCAAATTTTGCCTGCAAGGCCATGTCCCCCAAACACTGCCCCCTGCCCCACATCTGATGCTATATATGTCAGCTGTGGAGCAGGTAGGGATGTGGGTGCTGGTGCACACATGGGAGCCTTAAAGTGCACTTCAAGTTGTGGTGTGTAAAGGGGTTCCCCTGCAGAAAGTAAGCTTTGGTTCTGCCGCCCTTGAGCTTATACGCGGGAGAGCCAAAGCCTGCTGGATTGGCTGTGTGCAGCGCTGTGAAATACTAACTTTGGCACTTCAAAGCGATTGTTGTGACAACAGGTGGGAAGCCACATGAGAATAGATCTTGGTGAGGATCTGACCCATGGAGCCAAAAGCAGGCTGGATTTCGAATATCAGCATTCTAAGACACTAGTTGCTTTAATTCTCTTCTAACCCTCTAGAGGGACGTGGGTGGCGCTGTGGGTTAAACCACAGAGCCTAGGACTTGCCGATCAGAAGGTCGGCGGTTCGAATCCCCGCGACAGGGTGAGCTCCCGTTGCTCGGTCCCAGCTCCTGCCAACCTAGCAGTTCAAAAGCATGTCAAAGTGCAAGTAGATAAATAGGTACCGCTCCAGCGGGAAGGTAAACGGCATTTCCATTTGCTGCTCTGGTTCACCAGAAGCGGCTTAGTCATGCTGGCCACATGACCCGGAAGCTTTACGCTGGCTCCCTCGGCCAATAAAGCAAGATGAGCGCCGCAACCCCAGAATTGGTCATGACTGGACCTAACGGTCAGGGGTCCCTTTACCTTTACCTAACCCTCTAGAATGTTATTCCCAGTAAGCTCTTCTGAAACAATGTGCTTTTTAAAAACAAAACAAAACTGATTTTAAAGTAAGCGAGAGATAAATCAGACAGGAATGTTACCTCTGCAATTGGGATTTCTTTGATTGACTACCCTTTGTCCAAATGGTAGAAATCTTACTGTAACTTGCAGCGCTGGAATCTTGAACTGGGTCACGGCTCCTGTGTGCATGTTAGATAGCAGGCAGTTTTAATTTGATAATCCGTTCTTTCTTGCACAATGTATTCACGGTTGGCTATATAATTGACTCTATGTAGTTGAATATTAATAACTATTTTAAAAATATTTTTTTAACTATAACTGGTGACAAATTGGTGGAAATGGTTTGCAAGTAACTTTAGTGTACCAGTTTTTGTCATTTTCTGTGCCATTTTCTTCCTAGAAACTATAGTCTACAGTACTCATTTTTGTTCTTCAGAGAGGTGGACTGAGAAAGTTAATTTGAGCTTAAATAACTCCTGTGCCCTTGGTTTCCCTTATAGACTCTCTGGCTGTGCTTTCTTCCTCTACAGGGACGCATTGTGGAGTTGCTGCATTTCCGTGCTCACCGCCTTGCCTCGCGTATTGAGGCTGATGTTGCAGAGTCTTCAAGTGAGCAGAGTCTGTCCGGAGGAATTGCCTGTCCTTGCCCAGCTCCTCCGCTTGCTAATGCAACACGGACAGCTTCGTAGTCATATGGTGACCAATGAACTTCTGGTGAAACAGATTGTCAAAGATATCACGGTAGGCACTTATGCTCAATCACTAGTTGCTCAGGCTAGTTTTCAGCGTCCCTGATGGTTGTTTAACTTACCTTGGCCTGACGCACACACCTTGAAGCAGACCTATTTGCAAGCGAAGAGCAATGGGCCCCTCTGAGAGCCAAGACTAATTTTCCTTTCCTCTCCTGGCCATCAGTGCTGTCTTCGGGTTGGTGGGGATTGTTTCCGAAATGCCTGGATAACATGTTGGGGGAAGGCTGCTTTAAACTGTAAAGGGGCAGTCCCCCTGTTGAGAAACAGGGATGAGATTGAGAAAGGCACATCTGAGGGGCGTGTGCATTCTCCAGGCATATCTCCCTGCTCCACTGGGCCCCTAGGCTGAGCAAGCAGATGTCCTTCCAGCTCCCATTTGCAGTGGGTGAGGGCTGTGCCGCCAAAGTCTGCTTGCAGCATACAAGCAGGGTGCATATGTATGCACCTCATAGTCCTTGCTGCTTTGAAGGGGACTTTCTTTAAAAATCAGGGTCTTTCCCCCCCCCCCCCAATATCTCAAGAATCCCCTTTATAAGGGGTGCTAGCCCTTTCCATGTTTCAAAGCTCAGTGTGTCCACATACAATATATCCTGTTGGAAAATAAAAGGAGTGAACTATTAGAATGAACAGATGCTGGTCGTTACTTCTATATGTGTGTGAACCCGTCTCCATGAAATCATTAGCTTTGGGTCAATAGCAACCAAAAGTGGTGGAATGTTATTTCTCCTTTAATAAGCATAGCCTGGTACGTTCAACACAGTTTGCATTGTAACACCTGAAGGGATAATTAGGGAAGTGTCCAAGTACAATGATACAATTTGGAAACATTGTTGCTTTATAAAAGCATTTTCTTTTAATTTACTAAATGCAACTGCTGATTAGCCTAAATAATTCCTCACAGCAAACCAGGAAAGAGCCCAGTTTATGTAATTCCAATTAACTGTGTTGCTGGAAACCATGGAAGGGGCAAGTATTGCTCTTGTGCTCCTATTTTGCCTGCTGGTTTCCCAGACGCATCTGGTTAGCCGCTGTGAAACAGGATGCTGGACCAGAAGGGCCAAAGGCCTGATCCAGCAGGACTCTTCTTACATTCTTACGTAACTGTAATCCTCTCTCTTCCCTGTCCTGCCTACTTCATGAGAGAAGCATAAAAAGTTGTACCCAGTGTTTATATTTTCAGAGATGGGAGTTCCAAGTTGTGTTTGAGAAAATAAATATGGCAATATTGTTTTCTCCATAACAAACCCTAGTTCATGAAAAGCATCTAAACTAATGAAATTGTGATATTTATAAAAATATATACTGCCAACTTGTACAGAACTAGTATAGAATTTCAGGGTAGTTTACAATAATGTATACAAGTACAATAAAACACCATAAAAACTATTCAAAATAATCATTAAAATGACTGGCTGATCAAGAAATGTTAAGCGGCTGCACAGGCTTTTTGGCTTAAAAAATGTATTCAGAAGACACTTGAAAGTCAGTCGCAAAACTATCCCACCATTGAGCTGGAGAGGCTGCAATAGTATAGGTACCACATTTCACATAAAGCCCTTCCGGCAGAGGGTGTTTACAGGAATAAGCTTTATTATGGGTCAACATGTGGAATGCACCCCAAGTTTGGGATTGTTAACTATTTTTAGAGAAGGGTAATCTGGCCTTTGTTATAAAGAACTAATTACTTTTAGTAGTGGCATGCCTACTAGAGGCACAGAATTGGAAAGGATTAGAACATCTGTGTATCTCCCATTGGAGGGATGCAGGTGGCGCTGTGGTCTAAACCACTGAGCCTCTTGGGCTTTCCGATCAGAAGATCGGCAGTTCAAATCCCCACTACGGAGTGAGCTCCCATTGCTCTGTCCCAGCTCCTGCCATCCTAGCAGTTTGAAAGTACACCAGTGCAAGTAGATAAATAGGTACTGTGGCGGCGGGAAGGTAAATAGTGTTTTTGTGTGCTCTGGCACTCATCATAGTGTCCCGCTGCGCCAGAAGTGGTTTAATCATGCCGGCCACATGACCTGGAAAGCTTTCTGCGGACAAACACCAGCTCCCTTGATGTCATAATAATAATAATAAATTTTATTTATATCCCACCCTCTCCAGCCGAAGACAATAAAATAGCTAACAACAATAAAATAGTACAAGATTCTAAAAACATTTCATTATAAAAATTAATTAAAATCAAATTGTTGGCAACCATTAAGCTAAAGTTCTGTGGAGATTGCCAAAGGAGGGAGTCAGGCTGTGCCCTGACCAAAGGCCTGGTGGAACAGCTCTGTCTTACAGGCCCTGCAGAAAGATGTCAAGTCCCGCAGGGCCCTAGTCTCTTGTGACAGAGCGTTCCACAAGATTGGAGCCACAGCCGAAAAAGCCCTGGCTCTAGTTGAGGCCGAAATGAAGCAAAATGAGCGCCACACCCCATAGTCACCTTTGACTGGACTTAACCATCCAGGGGTTCTTTACCCTTTTACCTTACGTCCCATTGGAAACAGAATGTATGGGCTGTTGCTGTATCAGAAAAATTAACAAAGATTACATGCATTGAATAATACAAAAGATGTAGACGATTTTGTTGAAATATGGCATCCTTATATAAAATACTTTACTGATAGTCCCGAAGAATGGCAACTACCAAAATCACAGATTGGGACTCTGGCAAACTTAACTAGATTGATCTGTCCAAGAGGAAGGCAAGGGGGATTTTGTTTTTGTATCCTCTCTCTCTTTTTGTAATTGTTATACAGTATATAGGAAATCAATAAAACTATATTTATTTATTTTAAAAAGTCAGAAGCAAGGGTATGTTGAAAAATTCCAAGCAGTAACTCTGTTTTCTGATTCTAGGTATTGAAGAGTGGCGAAGCTCAAGACCAGTGGCTGACAGACCTCCATTACTATTACAATATATACTTAGCCACACATCCCCCAGGATCTGGTGCAGCTGACACAGTATATTAAAGAGAACGACTGCATTTGATTGCGGGTCTCAGTGCAAAATGTCAATTTTCTGTGGAAATTGAAGTTACATTTCATTAAAAAGACTTTTTCATGTAAAAAGCTACTTTTCCTGTATTTTTACCAAAAATTCAAAAGCAGCTGGCTCTGAGCAGCTTGCTGCCATCACTAAGGGCCAAACTATACATGATGTAAAACGTGTCTTTGTGTTTCAAAGGCGGAAAGTGTCTGCTGGTAAGACTGACAACTTCTGAAATTGCAGCAGGCCTGGAGGGGAAGCTTCCACTTCCCTCCTGCTGTGATCCTGAGGAAAATCCCTTGTCTGAAGCTGGTGCAAAGGGGGATTTCTTTCCAGTGCAAATAGCAGCTGCCCCATAAGCGTGCAGGGAGGAACTTTCACGGGGATGCTGCTAATGCAGAGGCCAGAAGAGAACTGTGCAGGAAGGTTCTTGCTCTACCCCTTAAGGGATATAGGGCATTTTAAAAGCTGCTTCTGGAGGAGAGTGAACACTACGTTGGCTAGAGTGAATGAAGAGATTGTGGAAAAATGCCAGTTTCATTGGGTGGCCTCCCAACTCCCGCCCCAGGCAAGTTTTGTAACACATTATTCTTGATGTATGTAGTAAAAAAAATAAAATCCTTTTGCATATTATTTTTCTTATAAAACTGAGGATTGTCTTAACTATCTTTTTATTATTAACCTGAGATTTTGCCATCCTTGCTCATTTTCATCATTCACAAAGTTCAAGCCAGAGTTGTCCAAACTAGCAGAGAGCTGCAAAACCTGTTGGATATTTTGGCGAATGCAGTGGTTTGACAAAAGATAATGACTTCATCTGTCAGCGTGGAACTGCTGACTTGTGACTACTTTTGAGCAAGGTGTCTTGAGTACTGTTGGTTCAGATCTGCTTCTTTTGGAAGGAAGGAAGGAGCAAATCATTGAGGATTTCAGCTGCCAGGCTGATGTGAACCTTTTGGGCCTTGTATATTTTACTGATTAAAAAAAGGAATTCTACTCAAACCTTGAGAAAATTGGTTGTGTGTTTTTTCATTTTATTTATATGGTGACGGTGGGAGCATTCTAGTTGTTGCTACTTCACTCAGTAAGCAGAAAGTTTTCAATAATGTAAAGTTTAATGGATTTTATTGTTTTTCGAGAGTGGAAGTTTTCAGAATCTGGAACTGTTTATGATCACTTAGGTGAATACAATGATGAAAATACTATTAAAGGTAATTTTTAATATGTCCATATATAATTGATAGGTTCTCCTCTTAGGCTATAGGTCAGTCTTGCTTTCATGCCTTGATCTGGTGTGCTTCATTTTTACTGTTGTTGTAGGTTTCATACTGGATGAAAATGGTCTAAATTTCCTTTTGTTTTCCAGCAGGCAAAGGTACTGCAATCCATTTTCTGCAAAGCAACTACAAATTAGTATGTTTGGCCAACAAGGAGTGAAAATACTTGACAGTTCTCTCATTAATAAACTTGTATTGAGCACCAGACAGAGCTACTTAAAGCTGCCTCATCCAACCAAAAACCATTAAACCATTCTTGAGGAACCTACATTTATTTCTGCTTGCTCTTTAGGTTAGCCTATCGTGTTCAAACACTACCATTATAATACTCATCTGCAAAGTTTTATTTAAAACGTTTATTTACCACTAGGGCTTTTTTTCAGCTGAAACTCAGTTCCAGCACCTCTAAGGTGGTGCCATTGCCATTATAAGAGAACAAGGGAGGCATTCATGGCGAGTTCAAGCACCCCTTTTTCTAGAAAAATAGTACTGTTTACCACTATTAGTTATACTGCACCTTGAAATTTTTTATCACTCGAGGAATCATTACTCCTTTGCCCAGTAAGAAGTGCTGTATATAGGTATTGGAAATGCAACAAACACAACCATATTTTTTTCAATGTTTAAAGCTAAGTATAGTCAAGTTGCAATATATTCTATTATAGGTCAAAAATGTGTAAATTTTTATTACATTCTTATGAATCTTGAGTTACCTTTTAAGGATTCTCGCACTAAGTGTGCGAGGTCTGGGCTTTGAAAGCATGTTCCAAATCAAGCTTAGCAGAAGTTTAAAAGAAAATTAAGCTGGATTTTTATTGGTATCTGTCCCCTGCCTTTGGCACTTACACACCAACTGAATTCTTCCACTTCTCAACAAGATGCCTTACTTTTAAAGGGAATTCTGGTTTACCTTTTAGATCACTTCTGTGACACACATCAAGTAGAATCAAATTCGCTCTAGAAACGTGTCAGATACACCCTATATAGCTCTGGTTGCTGACGCTTCTGAACTTCTTTGAAAAACCTCATGCTTAAAGGAAAATGTACCGTCATCTTTAGACAGGGCAAAAGTTTCCTGAGTCACCATCTGGTGAATGAAAGTACTGTTCTGAACAGACTGGGCAAAATCCCTATCACTGTCTTACTCATCACCAAGTTATGAAAAAGCAAATGCATCGAGAAATTGCAAGGCCTACAATTGGACTGTATGGAAAACTCAAGGGGGAGACTGGGGAGGGGGGCACAAGTTGAATTAACATTTGAGGAAGTTTTAAGGTCCTGCATAGATGGCTGTGTGAAAGTTGGCAGGTGAAAAGTCTTGATAACTCCCCAAGCTATATTCAGGAGGGCACAACAAAGAACCTTTCTGAGATTACAAAGGCCTCCAGTCACAGCAAGTTAACTGGGAGGGTGAAAACTAGAAGGGAGATCAACATTTCAGCGTCATCAAAATCAGTTAATACCCTACACTACAATTTAATAATAAGGAACAATACCACTGTAATTTGCAGCCATCTACAGCATATTGTTAAATGTTCATCCCAATTCCAAATAATCAACTGACCAACTTTTGTTGAGGAAGGTTTCCCGATTGTTGGTTTAATCCAAAATCTACAAACTTTTGTAGCAATAAATAAAGAAAGTGCAAGTCCACCCCCTAATCTAGTGAATGGATCTGATCAATAAAACCGAAGGAATGAAGTTGTTTCTGGTGTTGTTTGGCCCATTCTGATTCTAAACCAAATATATCACGTTTAATTAAGGATACATCAGCTATCGACCAATTTTGATTTTTAGGCCAACAAGCGGTACCTGATAGTATCTGTAGTTCAGAAAGCTTGTATTTTGAAGAAGGAGGTCTCACTGGATGATACACTCTTCCCTCTTGAGAGCGCCCTTTAAGAACAAGTTTTCAAATCAAGTGTGAACATTTGTGCTTGTATTTCTACATTTTTCACTCTTTGTTCTACTGTAGTTATTGTTTAGCTTTAGAGAAGGGGACATAACAAAACTGAACAGTGTAAATACAACTGCTAGCATGCTCATTTAACCTTTTGTTGCCACCCTTACTCTTAAGACCCGCTGCAATGCCCTCTGAGAATGCCACCTGAACAGGAAGACAGAACAGCTTAAATGACGCTTGGGTTTTTATGTTGTTGGGGGTCTCAGTGTGAGAGGCAGGGAAGAGTTAACTTCTCAAAAAACCCCTCCCAACACCCTGAACTCCAGTTAGGTTTTTACAAAGCTTCCACTGGCACCAATGGAGCCTTTGTATTTTTTTTTAAGCCTAATTACTTCTCAGGAAATGGCCAGGGTGAAGAGCAGGAGGTTCCTGTGAGCTGTGGGCAGTGGATTCTCAGCTCTGTTTCAAATATATTCAGATAGTGTACATCTGCAGGACAAATATATCCATTTCTGATGATGCTGGAGTTGCATTATGTTCCAACATTTTTAACTGGAGAATATGACACAAGCAAATGCAATCCTTAACTCCTTAAAATAAGTACCCAAGAAAATGCTTTCCTACCGTATATCTGCTTCAAGGTGGATGGCTTCTGTGTAGAGTTTAAAGCTGAGTTGCTTTTGTTCGTGGACTTAAGGCTTTTGCTGGAGGAAATTGATTTCAAAGGGGTTTGGCTCAGCTGCTTCCTCCAAGCAACCTCAATGCAAAAGGCAGCTGTTTCTTGTTGCCACTTCTCTTCATTGTCCTTGCACAGCCGCTTGACACTAAAAAGCTGAAGAAACCGTCGCCTTAACTGGTAGCTGGAAGAAGAAAAGAAAGAGGGGAATGCTCATTTTTAAGTGTCCTCTTACCAACCCTAAAGTTTCCCATAAACCTCTTCACTTCATTATCAACTGGGAAAACAAAATTCCCCCTTAACTGGATCCCTTTTGTGGGATAAAGAGGTTTCTTCAGCAAAGGAAGGTCTGAGTTAAGTAATAAGATCCATTAATTTGATATAACTAACATCAAACTTTAAGCTTGCCAGGCACGTATTTAAGTTTTGTCTTAATTACGAAGAACCTCTAATCCAGAAAGGGGGGAAAACTCAATCAGACTGACAGCCTAGCAGGTCCCACCTCCTGAGGGTCTTTTTGGGGCGTGTCCATGCTGCGCTCTTCTCCCAGACCTTTGATCTACAAACTATTGGGTGATTCAGGTTTTGAACCACATTTGTGCCATAGGAAGCCTGTTAGTCTTTAAAAGTGCCAAAACATGGTTTGCATTATTTTTATTAAAATAGTATTATTTCGGTTTTGTTGATGCTCATAAATCTCTACTAATTATGTTTAGTAATAGAGATACATGCCACCTTACTCAGTTGTTACACCACAACATGTCTACTGTAGCTAACTGGCCACCCCTGCTTGCATTGTGGATCTCCTGCATGGAAACATTGCTCATGAAGTTCAGTTTATTTTGGTAGTTGTTTAGCTCAGAGGAAAGGCAAAGATGAATAATAAGGACTGGACAACACATAGATTTGTGAAGATCTGGATCTATATCACCCATTAATTTTGTATTTATGATGGGATGTGGTAAAATAATGTTGATAGCTGTTTTCTGTGACCTGGTGTTCGTTTTGCATGCATTTTATATCTGCTTTGCTACAATTAAACTATTGCCAAGGGCAGGAAAGAACAGGGACTAGGAAGCTTGAAGGAAAAAACCACGAACTTAGACATTAACTGTGTGTTTCATCTATTGATAGGCCCATGTTTGGATTGCAAGGAATGAACTTAGCTCCTAGTTTAGCCAGCATGCCACAATGTCACCTTAAGGACATGAGACTATTCTCACAGTGGCCTAACAGATGCCCACAGGGAGAATTCAACCCCCATGCCCTCTCCTCTCCTGTGGCTTCCAGCAGCTGGTACTTGGAAGTATTGCTGCCTCAAACTGTGGAGGCAGAGCAGAGCCATCATGGCTGGCTGCCAATGGCATCCCTCTCCTCCATGAATTTGTCAAATTCTCTTATCAAGTCATCTAGGTCGGTGGCCATCGCTATGCACTACGTGAAGAAGCAATTCCTTGGCTTTGTTCTGAATCTTCCAACATTCAGTTTCACTGGAAGTCCGTGAGTTCTAGTGTTACCAGAGGTGGGGACTTTTCTCTATCCACTTTCTCCATGCCAGGCATAATACTTCTATCATACAAGTCTTATTAGAATAAAGTTATAAAATTGAACAAAAAAGGCAGCTGGCCCATGGCGCCCCCCCCCCCGGGCCAGCTTAGTTCTCCGAGGCCCAAGGCAAGTGTACAGTGGTACCTCTAGTTACGGACTCAATCTGTGCCATTTGCACCCCGAAAAGTCCATAACTAGAGTGCCGCTTCTGCTCACGTGTGAAGCGCGCAGAACGCTTCTGCACACACACGCGTGGCGAAACCCGGAAGTATACCAACGCGGTTTGCCACGTTTGCAAGCCGAAAAGACGCAACATGAACCTAACGCATCACGAGGTATGACTGTACTTGGCTACCCTGCAAAGGCCTGCTTTTAGCATATCGCCTCTTACCTTTTCTCTAAACAAACAAGTCCCAAACGCTGCAACTTTTCTTCGTAGGGGAGTCGCTCCATCCCCTTGGATCATTTTGGTTTCCCTCTACTGAACCTTTTCCAACTCTACAACTATTATTTTTTAGGCGTGATGACCAGAACTGTACACAGTATTCCAAATGCAGTTGCACCATCAAATTGTATGATAACAGATTTAGTTTCAGATGCTTTCTTAATGGAAAGCATGGAATTTGCCTTTTCCATGGGTCTACATCTTCACTGCGCTACCTATTGTGTCCTCTTGGTCTGTCACCACCAGTTCATGAGCATACACACAGATCCCACTTTTTGAGCACAATGCACTCCCAGGAAATCATTTGTTAGGCAAGCATTCACGTAACAAGCTAGCAATTTCCATTTATTCCCCATGGGAACGTTTATCTCCCTAGTCCTGCCATGGCTTCTTCTAAAATGGCTGCAGCCAACCAGCAACAGAGAGACAACAGAAGATTTTGGACAGATCCCAGTGCCTGAACTAACTTGCAGGAGGCAAGTCTTAAGAACTTAGGCAGACAATTGTGATGAGGGAAGTTTTAGGCATAACAGACAAAATTAAAACAGACAAATCAATGGATCTGGACAGCATCCACCTGAAAGTTCTTTAAGAACTCAAATATGAAATTGCTGACGTTCTAACAAAAATATGTAACTAATCCCCCAGATCCAACCTCCATACCTGAAGGCTGGAAAGTAGCCAATATAACAAAAAGGTGGATCCTGGAAATTATAGGCCATATAGCTTAACATCTGTTCTGGCAAAACTGGTGGAAAGTATTGTTAAACATAAAATAACCAAGCATATAGAAGACCAAGTCTTGCTGAAGCAAAAGCCAGCATGGCTTCTTGCAAGGACAAGTTCTGTCTCAAAAATGTATTAGATGCACGTTCCCCTTTCACATGATATCTGAAAACATGGAAAGAGGATATTTGAGTCATGCATCCTTCACTGCCAAGTCCTTTTAATACATGAAGTGGCTAGATGATGAAAAGAGATGAACTAATGCATTCGGCATAGCGGCTTGATTTCTACTGAATAGGCCTCCATCCACTGCCCTTGATATATCAACTGCAAGCTTGGCTTCATGTTGATCAAAGAATGCCAGAACTTCAAGTATAGCCACAACTGTATAGGATTTGATGAAATGAGAAGTGGTAATTAAAATGAAATCCGCTAAACAAGAAGAAATAGCCAAGTGTCCCCGCATTTTGAGTTTTGTAAGCTGGGTATTGTTCAACATTCTCTGTTGCTTTTTCTGCTTTGTTTGATGGTGTATTTTATTGTGTACTCTTTATTTTACGTTTTGGTTGGTTGCCTTCATTTTGTGTTCTGCATCCCTCTCTGTATCTATACTGATGAAGGGTCAAAAATATTTGTAATAAAGCAAAATAAATGAGTACCTTCTCCAAGCCCGTTGAATTATTTCAGCAGCACAGTTCTTCTTTTGGAAGAGCTCCTTTCTTGCCCTTTCCTTCTCAATCACTTGCTTCAAGACCTCTGAAGGGACAGGTTCGGTAGCTGGGCTCTTGCAGTGAAGAAAGTGCAATTGATGTTCTGAATTCCTGGGTGCCATTAGAGCTTGCCTGCTGGGTTTTGCACTGTCTCCATGGCCATTGTCCAGTGCCCGTCTGCTGGGTGTTAGCTTTGCAGTCCTTGCGTCATTGACCAGCAAAGGACAGACTTTGTTATTTGCCACCTTACCGGTTTGTGTAACGGCAGCACTTGAAAGGTCCTTTCTGATATTCACGCCTCTCACTTTGGCACTCCCAGGTCTGCTGAACCCAGCTCGGGACCATTTCTCGTCATCTTTGCTTTTTGCCTTCTGCTGCTGTGGGGTGCCTTTAAGGGCCAGCTCAGAGTGTCTTGAATTCCTTGTGCTTCCATCAGTGCATTTACTATTCTGAACCCAAACTCCTGTTTCTTCACAATGGTCTATACTGTTGTTTAATGACTGACTTGGATTTTCTGATCTTTCCCCAGAAGAGGCAGCTTTAGCACTAGAGTCGTGTCTTTTCCTGGCGTGTGTGAAGGTGGCATTTGCTCTCACAGTAGGCTCCTTGTGCTTTTTACCATTCTTGCTTGAGCCAGCAGATACAACTTGATGCCCATCATTTTCTCTACTGGAACGGGAAGGGGCGCAGACAGTCTTGCATTTGCTGTTTTCCCTGGATACTTCTTGGGAGACAAAGATAAATAATAATTTAAATAATTCTAATTTCCTAAAAGCAGTTAGTCAGATTGACGAATACTGAGACACAATACAGTTAGGATAAATGTAAAAGCTTAATTGTATTCAAGGGGAATCGTTTTTGGAAGTCAAGGTAGGGGACCCAGTTTTACAATTAAAACATTGTTTAAATGTTTCATAACTAACTAAAATAAAAAGACCATGGAAGTTAGAGAACAAAGCATTCAAAAGGTCAAAACTGTTTTATGTACAGCTTTCTGCTAAGAATTTAATTCATGCTCATTGATAATGTTACCTGCAGATCTAATAGTTCATGGAACAAAGTGCATTATCAAAACTATTCAATACAGAACTTATTCATGCAATCACATATTCTCCTTATTCTATTCAATAAGAGCTTATGAAATGTAATTATAGTTTTATTAATTATATAATTAATGAAACAATTATTTAATTGTTATGGCACTTATTGAGCATATACATACAAAGTTTCCAGGTCAAAAATCACCCCCTGGCTTGTATCACCCCCAATAAAGGAACATCCTTTGCAAGGGAAGCTCACAAAATTATGAAAAGGAAACCCATTCTTCTGGAGATGCCAGGAGTGAGTTTCACCCTCTTTTGATATTAAGGTAGCAAAGCAAAGAAACGGAAGTCTTGAAACTGGAGACTAGCTACCCACGACACCCTGGGCTCTCACCAGGCACCTTGCTGGAGTGGGGAGCTGTAGGCCTGCTCTCTGCTGTGCTGCAACACAAGCGCTGCAGAAGACCAGGGGATGGCATTGCACTGGTCAGGTGACACAACAGCCCAATCATTTTTCAGCTGATCCTATAAAGCAGTGGACTCTGCCCATGGGCATAGCCAAGGGGGGCTGGGATCAGCCGTCCCCCCTAAATCAAGTAAATCAATAAAAATGCTTAACCGATGTTTTCTCCCCCCCCCCCCCCGCAACATAAAGCCTGCCTCCCCTAACAAATCCGGGCTACACCCATGAGTCTACCCTAATCCTGAGCCTCAAAAACTCAGGCCAGACAGTGACTGAGCTGCTCTTAGACTGCCCATCCCTTACTCAATGGCAACCAGCCCTTATCAATGGGAGGCCCAGAGGATGGCAACATGGGAACGGGCCTTTTTGTGGTGGCTCCCCACCTGTGGACAGCTCTCCCTAGGAAGGCTCAGCTGGCACCTTCTGCGCATATCTTTAGGCACCAGGCAAAAACATTCCTCTTCCCCCTTTGACTGATTATCTATGGCCTTCTTAATGTGTCTGGGGTGTGTGTTGTTTGTTGGCAATGTTATATTATGGATTTTGTCTTTTTATACTATAAGCCACCCTATGATCTTCAGAAGAAGGGCAGTATATGATGATTTGTTAATTATTCTATATGATTTATGCAGTACTTGTGATGTTCTATTATATTCTATCATGCTATTGTTATTTATTGCTTTGGGATTGATTTGAATGAAAAGCAGCATAGAAATATAATGAAACAAATCAAATATATAAATTTAATAAATAATAATAATGATGACAACAACAACAACACTGAGATTACAAACCCATTTCCTTTTTTTGATCTTCGCCAAACAGCTCTTCGGAGTGATGTTTGTTCTTGCTAGTCACTTTGTTTGGCAAGACTGTGGCTGAGTTTCTCTTGACTTTCCCTGCTTGGGTTTGACACAGGCTCCCAGAGGGAGGCCTTTTACCAAGGGCATCATCCCCTTGCTGGGTGCAGCCTTGCGCTGTGTGAAGTCTCAAGGGACTCTTCTCCGTCTCAGAAGTGAACTGCTGCTGAACCTGGCCCTTGCTGGACCTGGAGTTCCGCATTTCTTTCTGCAGTTCTGTGGCTTTCCTTCTGTTTTCCTCCTCACGTTTCCTATAAGCAATAGTTTATACTGTTCATTCAAACTGTCTGAAGCACAGTATTAAAATGAAAGGCACTCCTGGAAACAGGAGAATTTACAGCAAACAAACAAGAATCCCTCTTGTACCGCACTTTTCCTCTAGTGGATGAACAACCCTGTAAAGTAGTTTAGCATGAAAATTATAACACTGAAAACACACTATTGAATTACAAGGAAAAAACTAAAGGGCCTTACCCGTCTTACTTTCCCTGTACCGACTTGCCCCCTAACCAGTAAGAAAATTATGAAAGGCCAGGAGCAATGCAGGAAAACAAAGAGATGTTTCCTTTTTAAAAAGAAGCCTGGAAAAGGAGAGAGAAGGTGCAGGATTGCTCCTCTGTTCTCGGTTCAATACTGCTGCTGAGAACTCAGCAGGAAGCTGGATGGAAAAGATGAACCCCCTTTGGTTCTCACCATCAGCTTTAGAGATTTTGTAACATTGGGTTTGTGCTTTCGGGTGCCACTAGGTGCCATCTTGTTCTCAATGCTATTTAACATCTACTATATAAGACAGTCATTAGGAAACTTGGGAGGACAGTATCACCAGTATTCCCCTTGTTATCTGTATCATCTGAGTCAGGTGTGTTAATGAAGGTTCTGGACCAGTAATCTACTGGATCGGAGCCAGGAAACAGAAGGTGAATCTTGTGGGTGGGTGGTTCCTGTGTCTGGGAATTAGGCACTTTGCCTGCTGTGGATGGGGTCATCATCCTTCTGTGGGAACAGTTTGGGGGGTGGTAATAACCAGAAAAAGGGCCTTTTCTCTGGTAGCACTCACATTCTGGAACAAACCCCCCCCCCCCCCGCTTCAGGCAAAACGTACATAGTTTGCAGTTCTTAAGTAAATTTTGATGACTTGATTGTATTCTGGTTTTCACTATATTGTATATTTTGATGCTGTTGTTTTATATTTCACCCTATGTCGAGATGCTCGCATATTAATATTTTAATTTAAATAAATAAATTATGCACCATGACCAAAAAAACCCTAGCTGCAGTAAAAAAAAAAAAAGACTATAAAATGGACATGTAGCCCTGATATTTTAAACTTTTAATGCTGCAACATGGGCTGTAGACTGCTGATAAATGACAGGCTAGTTATGTGGCATGCCTTTATCGGTTGTTGTGATTCACAAGTAACAGCAAGAGGTGAAGTCAGTACAAGGTGTCAAGGAAGAGTCTGAATTTTATCTGTCATTGCTATCTTATCAAGCAGTTGATTGAATCTGGGTGCATGAAGAGCTGCTGACGGAGCCACAGACTGTACTCTGGGCAGGCTGAGGCACTTCAGCATTCAGCCTTTGGCACTGACAGAAGTGGCTCATTCTCAAATAATAGTATCACCAAACAGAAAGCATATGGGTGTCTGTCTCATACCCAGTATAGATCCGTCTGCCATTTTGATCTGATAAATTAGGCCTTGCTATTCACGGCACAATTATTTCCTTCTCTTTCAAAGAGGCACACAGACGAGGGCTCCCCTCATCATTCCATAAAGGAAACAAGACAAGCAAGGTACATTCAGCTGCAGTAGAAGCCTTAGCCTTGTCACTCCAAAGTCCATCTGGCAGGCTGGCTAACAGAGCAATTCAACACAACGAAGAGCCACGTGGCTTCTTAAAGACCACAAATAATTAGTATTTTGCTACAAGCTTTTGTGAGCTAGAGCCTCTTTAACAGAAGCATGAAATAGGAAAACAGTAGCCTCAGTTGAGGTGTGTTTGTGATATATTCTCTCTCTCTCTCTCTCTCTCTCTCTCTCTCACACACACACACACACACACAAAAACACACTCTCTCTCTCTCTCTCTCCATACCCCCACCCTCATGTACATATGTACACACAACCAAGCAATCATCGCCTGGTTTGTGTGGAGGAACGATCAAGTAGGCCCGATGCAAGAAATAGCTGTACAGTGGTACCTCAGGTTAAGTACTTAATTCATTCCGGAGGTCCTTTCTTAACCCGAAACTGTTCTTAACCTGAAGCACCACTTTAGCTAATGGGGCCTCCCGCTGCTGCTGCACCGCCGGAGCACAATTTCTGTTCTCATCCTGAAGCAAAGTTCTTAACCCGAGGTACTATTTCTGGGTTAGCAGAGTCTGTAACCTGAAGCGTCTGTAAGCTGAAGCGTATGTAACCTGAGGTACTACTGTAGTAGGTACGTCACATTACTGTGCAGGTCATCAATAAATAAGATACCCAATCAGACTGGGCGTGATGCATTCCCAGGGCTAGAGGCCCCTGCTGCTAAACTGGAACACGATTATAGCCCTATTTGGGCCTTCTGTTTGCTCATGTGTAACTATGGAAGGATGAGCGGGAGAATATTGCCTATTGTGTTTCCCTGATCATTACCTAATTTACATGCCCACAGGCTTCAGGGCAAAGGTCTGGAGAGCCTCCTGTACCCATGAAGGTGCGCTGGATGAGTCAGAAGCCTGACTGTGCAAAGTTCTAAACTGTGTGGAGAATCTCTGCCTCTCTGCTTCAGACCTGAACCCTGAAACTCATGGAAGGCTACTGTAAATATCCAAAGTGGAAAAAATAGTTTCTGTATTGGGTCACTCCTAGTGTCTAGTGAGTCACAATACAACAGTATCAAGATCTGTTAAATAATTCTAACTCAACAGCTTCACTGAATTCAGATGCATTATTCCCAGCAAACGTTCCTTTATTGTTGCTGTCCTTGCCTAGTACATTGGTGCTAGGGAAGCCAAAACATAAAGATGGATCTATTTGTGTGGATCTCCACTGGTTCAAAGTCACCTCGTGGCAAAAGAAAATGTGGGAATATGCCTAATGTCCACAATCCAATATTACAGAAAACAAAACAACCTTAAGTCAGAGTGAAGGCTAACAATGAGTAAAAATACTTACCGTATATACTCAAGTGTAAGCCGACTTTTTCAGCATATTTTTTCTGCTGAAAAAGCCCCCCTCAGCTTATACGTGAGTGAGGTGGGCGGTGGCGGAGGGACGAGCGGTGAGAAAGGAGCCCTTTCGGGCTGTCAGTGGCGGCGGCAGAGGAACGAGCAGCCTGAAAAGGCTCCTTTCTTGCCACTTGTCCCTCTGCTGCCGCCTCTGCCCCTGTCGGCGGAGGAGGATGAACGAACAGCCTGAAAGCACCCTTTGGGGCTGCTTGTTCTTCCTCTGCCGCTGCTGCCACTGCCGCTGCCACCACCAGGTTTGTGGTGTGGTGAACCGGCTTATACTCAAGTCAATAAGTTTTCCCAGTTTTTTGTGGCAAAATTAGGTGCCTCAGTTTATATTCAGGTCGGCTTATACTTGAGTATATACGGTATTATTAAAATTAATAAAATGTGTAAGTAACATAGGTGCAGTTATTTCAAAAGTTTATATCAATAGGTGGAGTTGATGTTATTTATTAGTTTGTTAATATTATTTCATTCTCCATTCCTAAAGCTTTCTGGCACTCCTAGTATTCTATTCCACTAATTCTACAGAGGCATTCCTTTAAAACCATCTCATTATTTGCTGCTGTAGCTTTTAACTTGCTTCTTCTTGTCTCCTCCTTATGCCTATCCTTTTAAAGCATGGGTAGGGAAACTAAGACCCGGGGGCCGGATCCGGCCCAATCGCCTTCTAAATCTGGCCCACGGACGGTCCAGGAATCAGCATGTTTTTACCTGAGTAGAATGTGCCCTTTTATTTAAAATGCATCTCTGGGTTATTTGTGGGGGATAGGAAATCGTTCATCATTTCCCCCCCAAAATATAGTCCGCCCCCCCAAGGTCTGAGGGACGGGGGACCGGACCCCTGCTGAAAAGGTTTGCTGACCCCTGTTTTAAAGTAATGAATCCAGAGCCAAAGGGAGAAAACCTACAGGAAAAAGCAACAGCAGAAATAGCAGATTTTCTGTACAATGGTATTCAGGGATGACTTCATTTTAAAGAGGTTATTTGTTGGGGTTTTTTGCACATGTGCGCCACTTACTTGGCAGCGGCATCCTTCCTCAGCTGTTCGTGCTTCATTAAAAGATTTTTCCTATCTTGGAAAGCTTTCCTAACTTTGTATCCTTTATAGACGGCCTGGATTTTTACAGCTGCAATGTCCTGTATGGCAGCTATGGATAGCGCACTGTGCTCCAACATGAACTGAATTACTTCATGATGAGCTCCCAGCAAGGCGTAATCGAGTGGCGTGTACCTAAAAGTAATAAAACATTAGTGCATATTTGAACCACAGAACAAGGAAACATTGTAATTAACGAAACAAAAAACACTTTCTCAAACAGTACATCAGCCCCACTGCTTTGCTGGATTTGGAATATTGTAGTATTATATGATTAATTATGCTGATCTGATGTTGCTTGCACTTGTGAGGGGAAGAGCAGGGGAAATGATTCGCTGACAAAACAAGGAATGAGGGCAACTGGTGTTGCAATTTCCTTGTTTTCTCTGGCAGATAAATTGACAGTGGTGCAGCAGGGGTGTCTGGGCAGGTGGGATCAGGCTCTCCTTGCCATGTATTTGGGGCACAGGCTGGAAAGGGGCTTCTAGCTACCCTCAGCTGTAGCAGCTGTTGGAACCATTGGCCACTACATCTTCAGACCATGTGGTCCATCATTAAATGGCAGCATAAACACTCCCCAATGGCCTAAACTGTCCCCATGTCGTATTTTCCCACAGCCAGTTAGCAGCACCCACAGGACAACATTAGAAATCAGTGCAGGTGCAATTTAATAATCAAGAGCCATTACATCTTCACTAGCTTCCAGCTTTCACAGCCTGCTTTCAAGGCTAGCTTTCTCCAAATGGACAGAATAGTATCATTTTATTCTACAGCAGCAGATATAAAAGAAGGGTGTGAATGCAGAGGTTTCAGTCTAATACACTTACTTCAGAGTAAGTCACATTGAAGTCAATGGGACATATTTCTGAATAGACATGTATTGGATTGTGCTGTGAAATGCCCAAATGCTTGAAACTTTGAGAAGAAGAGGTGAGAAATTCAAGAGCAGCTGTGATTTAAAAGTAGGCATTTATAATAATAATAATATTTTTGTTATTTGTATCCCACTCATCTGACTCGGTTGCTCCGAAGAAGTAGATAAAATGATTCCAATCGATACAAGAAGCTTTTATTAATCAAATCATTTGTCTGCCGTCACAGTACTCAGGAAGTGCTAACCAAGGAATCTTTTCAACTGACAAGGAATCTTCTTCATAAGGATCCTAAATGATCAGTTGGAACCCTCAGCACCCTGTTGTGACCTGCACCTTAAGGATAAGATCACTATCATCCACTTGAATCTGGACTCCTAACGGAATTCAGAAGAAAAACAGGATATTTCCTTAGCTCCATTTTGTACAGCTGCTTGAACGGTTTCCAGTTATTGCAGCCTAAAACGATTACAGTGTTGGTGTAATCCTGAGGGTGTACTTGTGTACCAGGCCCAGAGTCAAGAGGGACTGTGGACTCTGAGCTTTGCTTTTTAAAAGAATATCTGCAGCCTTTATAGAATCAAAGTTATGCGGCAAAATGCCCAGGCACCATTCAAAGCGACTGCATTGTGAGTAAGAGCCTGCTCCTGCCTTTCATTGTTTTCAGCCAATGAGAAAAGTCAGAGTGTAACCGATGAGTGCTAAAGAGTAATTGAGAGATGTCAGCCCAAGGGAAGACCCCAAAGCCACATGATCCAGGAAGTCCCTTCTCCAGACAACAAAGAAGGTACTTCCTGATTGATAGGGAAGCCGTTTTGGGGTCTGTTTTGGTGCATGTCTCTCTAGAGATTTCTCTGGATTCAGATAATGGAGAAAGACTGGCTCATTTTGAAAGGATTTCATGGCTAATTTTGAACTTATTACTGCTTTTCTTATGGAGATGAGAATATTGCCAAGAGAAAACACTTTAGAAATCCAGGATTTTTATGTAATGTGCAAGTAGCGTGTCCATCGAAAAGCAAAAGGTTGTAGCAGGCTCTTTTTCTTGAAAAAAAAATCTTGTGTTTTTTCCTGAAGTATGTAAACATTAAAATACAATTGCTTTACAAATGCAAATAAAATCCACCATTTGTACTGCAGGAGAAGTATTGTGGTTGAGAAAGCATGGGTCATGTAAGCCCTGAAAAGTAGCTTAGTGTTTCAAATAGACATGGTTGCAGCAGATGGTTTAAGGTGGATGTGGGAAGGTGATGGACAGATGACTATCAATGAGGAGATGTGGACCTCCATGTGGAGGAAATTTTCTGTGAAATCAGTCCTGGCCTTGATGAGAGGGGCAGTACTTGAAATAATGCAAAAATGGCATCTCACACTGGTATGGGTAGCCCATATTAGCCCCTCCTCCTCACTAAAATGTTGGAGAGGGTGTGAAATGTTAGGCTCTAATCAACACATGTAGTGGACACGTGGAAAAGGGGCTCAGTTCCGGGAGGAAGTATTTGTCCAATTAAAAGCACTTACTGGACAAAATGTATCTAAATATCCAGCTGGCTTCCCTCAATCTTTTTCATGGCGACAGCATTAAATTACAGTTTAAACCTTTAATGAATTCTCTTCTACTAGCAGCCAGCCTTATAATAATAACAAGATACTGGAAGAAATTAGATTAACAGAATTGTATAGTTGGAAGGGACCAAGAATCATCTAGTCCAAACCTGTGCAATTCAGGAATCTTCTTTGACAAATGGAAAAATAAAATAATAACATAAAATTGACTCAAGGTCTGAAAGCACAAGACTCCTTTAGAACTGAATGTAACAGCTTTTTCACGTACAGGGATAAAAATGAAAACAGAGGACTTCCCTCACATTATAAAACATTCTGGTTAACTTGAACTGTTTATTGCCTTCTGTGTAAACAGTAGTTTGGGATAAGAACTTGTGTTATTTGGCTGTTAAATTGCACACTTAGAAAACAAACTAACGGCCCAATGAGGATTCATTGGCTATGGAATGGGTTGGGTTGTTTTTTTTTGCAAACTGGTGTGTGTGTGTGTGTGTGTGTGTGTGTGTGTGTGTGTGGAATGACTGGGGTCTTCAACAAAAGCATTTTCCTGCTGGGCTGAATATATATGTAATATTTATATACATTTACATTTATTTTAAAGCTTACTCAATAAAAGCTGTTTCCTGCACACATTCTGCGCAAGTCCACTTGTCTTGACAATAGCCAGTACCCATTCCATAGATTTATACAAACAGTCATGCAAGGCAAAGGTGTCTACAAGCTTAAAGTTACCTGCTACAGACAAAACCAATCCATACATGATACATCAATTTGAACCGTTAGTGTCAGTGCACAAGATGGTCAAATTAAAGTTCTTCCTGATGGTAACCAGGAAGGACACAATACAGGAAAATACAGAAGAAAAGAGACAAAGCCAACCAAATTAGACTTGCCACATGGTGATTGGCTGATAGTCAGATTAGAGTGTCTCAAACTGAAATGTCAATAGAAATTATAAGACAAAGAAGAGAGCACAGAGATTTGAATGTCAAGATCCAAGATGAGTCTTGGAATGGCCTCTTCTGAAAAACAACATCTATAAACATTTATTACAGCTAACCAGTTCAATTAATAATTTTTAAAGTTCCAATCTAAAATGTGGTCAATTAATTTTATCACAGTACAGGTCTGCTTAGCTCTCTTTTTATCATTAATCACATTGCTTTCAGGAGAGTATTTTGCATATGAAAGGTTACTCATGGAATCTCAACTTGCATAATGTGACTTTAAAATCTAAGAATCAGGCTGTGAATTGTCATATTGGGATGCTTTACATAATTTGTGTAAATATAGTTCTCACCTAAAAACCCATCCCTTATCAGGGAAACAGCAAGGATCTGAAGGACTCAAGGCAATTCTGGTCCCCCAATAGACCCCCAAATTGGAGAAAAGTTGAGACTCACTCCTATCCAAGTACCTCCCTCCATTTTATCTCCCATTGATTCTCCAACTGAATTCTCTTCTCCAATGGAAGAGGAAACATTTTTAAAAATCATGAGGGACAAAATTCAAACCAGTGGCTTCCTAATCTGCAATGCTATACCACTTTGCATTAAACAAACAAGAAGATGGAACATAAAGATAGTAGACAAATTATTCAATACCTTTCTTCGTTGTTCTCCATATGGTTAGGAAAAGCACCAAATCCCAGCAACAACTTTATAGCATCAAGGTAACCATTGTTGCACAACCAATGTAATGCTGTCCTTCCCTATAATCAGTAGGGCAGATGAAAAGTATGTAAAATAATTGCTTTATATTCTGAAACTTCAGTGCAAATATAAAAATGATCTGTTGGTATGTCAGCGCTATAGCAAAATTCAAATCACAATATTTTGAATATATATAAAACCAGGCCAGCCGCCTGTCCATCACAAAATGGACAACCTGGACAACCACTCCAGAAGAATACCATGGTTGAGGGTATCAAAAGCGGCTGAGAAGCTGGGGAGGATTAAAAGAACACATTTTCCCGGTCTCTCTCCCAACAGACAATGAGAACTGCTGGTGCTAATTTCAAAGGATTATACTAATTGCAAACTGAATTATGTGCAAGTGGGTATCAATGATCTTGTAGCCATAACCATCAGATCCTGGTGTGCTGAGTTCAGATGCTCTTCATCAGATGCTGTCTTTAAAATTAAAATATGTACCTAATTAAAAACTGAATATAATTCTTAACTCGTCTAAATTGTTTTTAAAAATCCACAAGTCCTTCTCCTACTTATTATTAAAGGCAGTGCAACGATGGCAGGTTCAGGTGAGATCTCATGAGATTTCATGGAGTGCACATGATCTCACCAGAAACCACCACTGCTGCCACTTCTCTGCCAGTGGGGTGGGTAGGGTGCCAATGGTGGGGGGGTTGTTGCCTCTTGGGCTTCCGCTGCCTGAGATGGCTGCCTCGGCCTGCCTCATGGGTGGGCCAGCCCTGCCTATATTGTGGCTGCAGCAACTAGGGGAAATTATTGGCACAATTAAATGAAACTGCCCCTGGTCACTGTATGGCACTCATTCCATTTGCGTTTTCCACTACCATTTGCACGTAATGTGAGGCATCCCTATCATTCGCATCCCAAGTCACTGGTGGTGGTGGTGGCGGCTAGGAAAATTCCCTAGGGGGTTGCCTCAGTTCACGTGGCAAGTCCATCATGCAATGTCACAGTATGAGATGGGGACAGGGATCCCCAAGGAGACGCCATCTTTGGTCATATTCACATTTTGGTAACAACGCAAAGAGAAGTTATCTCTAACAGTGGTGGGAAAAGCAAGATTCAACAGCACTGTTTTGATCTCATATTACAAAGGCACAAAAAAGGAGACATGTACCTCATTATCTTGAATATTTGGATCTGCGTTATTCTCCAACAGCACCACCATGCAATTAATGTAGCCTCCGTAGGCAGCACACTGCAATGGAGTTCTACCTGCATAATCCTGTACATTTGGATTTATTTTATTTTCTATCAATATCTGGCAAACATCAGGGTTTCCTCCCAGAGCTGCCCAGTGCAAGGGAGAGTGGCCATCTTGGTCAACCAAATCAACTCTTGCTCCTCCTGCAACAATAATAGATTTTTTTATTATCCAGCGCTGTATGACGCCTGATTCTAGCAGCAGCTTATAAAACCATACAAAACACAAGAAACAGTCTAAAAAGGAGTGCCACAATTCCACAGCAACACAAAAGACAGAACTAGCCACAGAATTCAGCTTCCTGAAAACACTGGTCTTAATTAAAACACAGACATGCTTCTAACCTACATGGGCTTGGAAGCTATTCTTGAAAGTATATGGGCAATACCTGCTGAAATTTCAGAGGCAGCGGAGTAGCTGAATGAGATTTCCAGAGGTTGCGGCTTCATAGCTCCTCTTCTTCTCCATGATTAGAAAAATCAATATAAACTAGGTAAATAGTAACAACTACAAAATAAGCTAAACTATCCATATTTCCTTGATTTATATAAAATTCAGTTTTTCTTGGTGAAGAATTTTGATTGTATATGACTGTCAAATTCTTTTAGTAGAGTATACAGAGCTTTGCCTGTTGGCTCCAGAAAGGCAACACTACACCTAACACAATGACAGAAGATTTGCATATTTGTGCCCCATTAGGCAAAGACCAGAAAAAGTTTTAGAATTAAAGATTGCCTAACCAAAAATGCCTGGCTGGAAGCCAATTCCAGTATTATTTATGGGAGTTAATGGAGAGAGGGAGTTTTTCAGAAACAAATTGCAAAACTAGCTTTGTGTCAAATGTGAAGTTTAGGCTCAATGACAAACTGTCCCTCTCAGTTAGTTTTAAAACATGACATATAAATACTGTTCAAACAGCCAATGACAAACTCAGAGGCAACTTCTTCCACATTAATCTAATGTTATCAATCTAAAGGATCAGCATAATCCAAATTTACCTCAAATGTAGCTTTAGGAAGTATTTTGGTGGAAGATCTAATTTTCTGCCCTGATCTTTCAATGTAGATGCATGATAAATACCTTCTTTCAACTCTCTTCCTGTGCCAACTGGGGATTCACTTTCTTCTTGTCTGTCATTGCTGTTTATTTCATTTCAAAAACTGAAGACAGCAGTGTTTCTATGAACAAGTCTATAAATGTGTCACAGCTGACCTTTAATGAGAGTCTGTATCACTTCTTTATGTCCCATCTCACAGGCACGGAATAGGGGAGTGTGCTTCATGACGTCAGCAGCATCTACCTGGGCATCGTGTTTTAGCAGCAATTGCACGGTGCTGACATGGCCAGAAAGGGCAGCAGCATGTAATGCTGAAAGATGGACAAAAAACAGGGCATGTAAAAATTAGAGGAGAGCAGTTAGCATTGTGAATGTAACAAAACTTAAACACTATGGCAAGAAGGGGAATTTACACTCATCTTCCCTTATTTTCTAACCTATGCATACAGCTTATGTGTTCTTAATACTATCACTAAATAAATTGCACTAGCTGATGAAACAGTTTAAGCTACGTTGGTGAAAAGAATCTAATCGGGTTACTGGCTGTTTAGGAAAAAAGAAGTCTGGCAAAAATGCCACCTGCTGCAAGAACTTGGCTGCATGGTCTGACCCTACTGTACATTCCAGATCCTGTTTTTCAGCACTACACTTGTGGAGCACAAGGCAGTAAACTACTCAACTGGTTGATGCATGAGATGTTTGCAACAATACATTTAAATAAAGGAGCAGCTATGTCAGCAAGGCCTGGTTTCTCCCCCTCCATCATTCATTCTGACGCAGGCAACTTGCTTCCAAGCCTCTGTTCAGTATTTCCTAGTAAGCTCATTTTTCTTGAAGGGAGTCACAGTGACTGAAGAGATTCTTCAGCCAGCTGGTCACAATGAAACCTTTGTCCCACCAACACTTAGATCCCTCTCCATTGTATATAGTGACGGCAAAGTTATAAAGCTGCCCCTGTGCTGCTCCTACGATACTAATCGACATTCTTTTCCCTTGGTATCATTTTGCTAGACAATAACAAATGTCTTGCAATTCTATTAAAACTTGAATTGAATGGACTCAAATGCAATGGTAGATCTGGGTTCAACTAAGCAAATTTCTTAGCATCCGTATCACAGACCCTTTTGGAAACATGTGCAGATGGATAATATATACTTTAGCCCAACTTCTTCCAAATTTAAAATCGCCAAATGAGACATGATTATGGAAATTCTGTGTGGTTAAACAGTAAAACTTCCCCGAGAGAGAGAGTGTGTCTAATTTTAACAGCAAGGGTTGGCTAGGAGTGCAGAACTGCTGCACCTGCGGCTTGCCACTCCCCAAACATTGCTGGTGCTCTTGTTGAAGCTATGGTCTCACTAGAATGGTGAGATGGAAAGAGCCATGACAGGGCACCCTCTCCAGTGGTGAGAAGTCCAAAGTTCAGTGGTTTTCTGTGGAACTTTGAACTACGAAGCAGTTGGATGACAGAGTGCAAGACTCACACCAAGACCGACCAAACACAGAAAAGAGAACATAATTGAATCTACCATGTGACAGTGATGGCAGCAAAGGTGGCTCACTTTGCTACCAATATTGTGTCATTGAGCAACTATCCAGCAGCTTAAATTTTTTTTTATTGAGTTTTCAAGAATAACTAAATACATAAGCATAGGAAATTATCTGTTCAATAAAGTATGCAGATACAATTGCCTTACATTGTCATACTTGCCTCACTCAGCAAACATACAAATACAAATATACATATAACAAATACACTAACTGAAACAAAACTCTCTCTCTCTCTCTCTCTCTCTCTCTCTCTCTCCTAACCAACTGACACTTGGGTTCCAAATGTCATAAGAATATCCCATTACTCCTCAGCAGGTCAGCAGAGCTTTCAAGAATTTTGAGGGAGCTGCTGACTTTTGAGTCACAGCTAGGAGCTATCACAAACCTGATGCCTGCTGTGACAAATTTGCAAGGCATTTGGAGGATAAGACACGATTTTGACACTACACATAGTGCAGGTTCTAGTGAGATGTCAAATACAAGCATCTGATAATGTTCTGTGTGAAGCCACTGGATTTGGACAGCTAGAGATTTGGAACCTGGTGCCATCAAAATGCAGGTGACACCCAGCTCTACTTTTCTATTCTATCTGAACCAGATGAAGTGGTATCAATTCTAAATTGCTTTCTGGAGGCAGTACTAATGACCAACAAACTGAAGCTCAATCCTGAAAAGAGGGTAGCATTATTGGTCAGCAGTGTCTGTGTCCAGGAATTTGGTGTGCATCCTGCTCTAGATGGTACGGCAGTTCCTCTGGAGCAAGCCCATGGTCTGGGGGCATTCTTTGATTCAGAAAGTTTCATCCCTAATATCACCATCATGTTTAACATTCCTTTAATCATTAATCATAGCTATATTATACTTATTCTATAAAAAAGATTTATGGCCATCCAAAGGTTTATGGCCATGTTCATGTTGTATATCCAATGATTCTGTATATCAACCAGTCATAGTTTAGTTAGTAAACTTTATCTCCATTTATCGTCACATTTTTTGAATTTTCAGACCAGGTTCTGAAGAGCTGCCTTAGCTGTGTCCAAAGGCTTGAACGCAAAAATCGTTCCCCACCTCCTCAGTGCCATTAGGAAAATGGACTGCATTTGAAACTTCTATCAGTTTCCAAAACAGTTTTGCCATGCAGCTTGGAGGGAAACTGCTGTTCAAGACATAATAGTCCCTCTTGGATGGGGGTTGGGGGAGGGATTCTAGCATTAACCTACAGCAACTATTCTCCCTTTTGATTAATCTACAATCCATCCTATTTTGCTCAATACAATCTTTTGCTCATTGTACAATACTTGTACAATGCATCCTTAGAGAATCTAGAATTCATATTGCATACATGAGTGTTCAAAACAGTAGTGCACCTACCAAGTTTATAAGAACTTCAAAAGTATGTTAGTTTTCTTACCTGTGCCACCATATTTGTCTGCCATGTTGATATCAATGTCCAATTTTAAATTCAGCATTGTCTGGATGACATCGTTGCTGCCTTTCCCAGCAGCCCACATAAAAGATGTTCTTCCCTCAAGATCTGAATCATCTTTCACAGAAGGATGCTTCAAAAATGCTTCCACGGTTTCCTAGACCACAAATCGTCTCTGAATAAGGATGGTATTGAATTGAAAATAATATATGGCTCTAGGGTTCACAAATCAAACTATTGTCACATCATAGCAAAGATTTTTTGCTTAAGCAAGAAAACTTCATTCTTCCTTTCAAGGAAACATCACAAGTTTCACAACAGGTTGGAAATATTGCCATTAAAACAGCATTGGGGGATTCTGAGTCCTCAACACTATTTAAGCCTATTAGGCTTCACTCCTTTTTTTAAAAAACAACAACAACCCTAATTGTTTAGTATTCCTAATAAAGTGAAAAAGTGGGTTGTGGATTTCAGTCAAATTAGCCTCTCTTTCTTAATTTTTAAAAAGACTACCAAGCCTTTTAAATAATTTGTTAGGCTTCCATTATTGTACTTCACTGCTGAGTACAACACAAAATTCATACAAGTGTATAATACAGCCTCCATGATGACAAATGTATCTACAGCAGCATTAGTACTTCGTTCTGTTTTTTGAATTTAGATATTTTCACAAGTTCCTCAAACTTTATTTTTAAAGCTCTCTGAGGACTGGTTCGCACAATATTGTTCTGTACATGAAAAAGCATCCTCAGCTATAACTTAGATGGACAAATGTGCCACATAAACCATGTGATGGGAACTGCTGCCAGCCATCTCCATAATCACCTTGTACACATTTATGTTTGTCTGTAGGACACATGCCCGAGAATGGTCAGGACTGTTCACATGTACAAGTAAAATATTGTGTGAACAGATTCCGAGATGTTTCATTTTGTTGCACTGTATGGCATGCAACAAACCCTTACTTGTTAATATGCAATGAAGTCATCATGTTTTACTGAAAGACAGTTGGACTGCACCCCTGGTAAGCTACACCTTGATGGGAGAAGATGCAAATAAACTTCTCTCCCTTCTCTTATCTCTCTCATTCTCTCTCTCTTTTCAAAGACCAAGTCCTGTCCTAGATATTACTTCCCTGGCACAACAAAGTAGATGTGCATACAAACTTCTTGGCTTTTGACATATGTTCACAATACTGCTGTCTTCCTTCCCTGCCAAAAGGCAACAGAACAAACTGTTAAGGCTATACAAGCCCTTAATCAAAAAGGTAAAAAGCGTTATTTAAGCTGAGCCAGAGTTTCATGCTTCCCACACCGTATCCGATACACCAAACCTTCTCTTTAATCATGGAGTAAAAGACCTACTCTTCTTCATGAGAAAATGCATTTTGCCCCTCAGGCTCTCAGCAATACCAGATGGTTGATCCTTTTCTTAATCAGACCTTGACAGTTTTAGGGTGGATACCAAAACATGATATATTTCATGATGTATATTTATTCCTCAGTTGCTCCCAATCCAGGGCCAGCCTGCCCTTAAGACAGAGGGAAGCAGCCTGCCTCAGGCGGCAGAATCCTGTGGGGAGGGGTGGGGCAGTGCCCTGGCGGGAAACTTAACGGACTTGGGTTCATTCATTTCAGTGGGTCTGCTCTGAGCAACTGTAATTAGTTGGCTTAGTTGGAATTCGACAATAGCTTTTTATTTCAAAAAGTTAGCACCTGGAAAGCAGAGTTGCTATCTTTTGTTGTAAACATTTATTCCACTTTGCCTAAGGAAAACAGGTTTCCATATTGTTTCAAAAACATGGCAAAGATTGTTTGATCAAAGATAACAATGCGATAAAAGAAGTGTGTGCACACCATAAGAATATAAACATCACCCAAATCTCCATTTTCTTAACAATGTTCTTTTATCCATTGCCAACACACCTTAGTATAAGTGTTTTCACCAGAAGTCAGGCCAATTAATGACAGGACTTGAAAAAGAACAATTGGTGCTACCTGAAGTGGAGATTTGGCAGTGGGATGCTGGAGCCAATGGGGTGATGCGGGCAGGAGCAAAGCTTTGCGGAAAACAGGCTTGTTCCCCTCACCTTTTCGGATTCACCAAGCAGCAAGTATCGACCAAGTCCTGAAAGAATAAAATTCCCTGCCTATTTCCCTCTCTCTCTCGGCTCAATGAAGCGAAAGAAACAGTGTTAGGTATCTGTGAGTAAGGAAAATAAAGAACTGACAAGCCATAAACCTCCATCAGTGCAGTGTGAAGCACCCCAGGATGGGGCCCATTGGTTCCAGCATCCCACTCCCAAATCTCCACCAGGTAAGACCAACTGTTCTATTTGTATTGTGGGATGCTGGAACCAATGGGGTGAGACATACCATAACAAGTCACTACCACTCAAGTCTTTTGTCTGTGATGTCACGGAGTGGGGCGTCCCCCTTATGGGGAACCAGATTCCGAGAGGAAAGATTTAGTACGGGGTTTTAATATAAGCCAAATACTAAGGAATATAACTTGTTTGCCAAGATAGTATTCTTTTTAGAACGCATAGGAGCGTCAAGCTCAGCCTTGGTTACAGCCTTCAAAATAGAAGGAGCTAGCATAAAATTGGAAGAGGAGTGACTGTCAGTTAACAAAGACACATCACTCTCTGGCTTAGAAAATGTAGCTTTATCTGATTGAGAAGTTAACTCAAGAGCATGCATTATTTTGCGCTTCAGAATAGAGGCGCTGGCCTCTTGAAATAGCCTCACAGATATGGGTTCCTCATGGGTTGAACCCTCACTCCAATCGTCCTCCATTTCCGTATCTAACTGAAAGAGATAGGCACACACAGAGGGAAAGGAAAACTCAATACATTCTGTTGCCACCCGGTTAATTAGGAGGAGGAACAATAGGCTCACAATCCCTCTCTGTTTGTCAACTCCATGAACCAGGAGAGGAATGGCAGAAGCAATGCAGCTGTCCCTTAAAGGGCTAAAACTATTCAGGCTGTTTAAATAAGCTGCTGCGCAGGGAGTGGATGAACTCAACCGCCATGTTCTCAGTTGCAACAGCAGCAAACTGGAAGATTGTGGTATACTACTGCCAAGCCACACACTCCATCGCTGTTAAAAACGTACCGGGAGGGGGAGAAGAGTCTCTTGCCACTCACTCCTGTGCCGTTTGAGAGAAATGCAATCAGAGAGGGCTGGAGAGGGGAGGGCGGGGATGTCACGCAGGAAGGAACTGCTTCACCCAATGCTGAGGTGACAACGGAAGAAATTGTCATACAAGAAGTTTGTAGAAAATAAAGATAGGCGACCCCAGCAATGGAGGTGACCGAGTTAGAAATGGAGGCGGTGCGTGGGAAGCTAGACTGCACCCTGCAAGCGGTGGCCAAAAAGTGCCTCAGCCACAGTCAAAAGCCAGGGGCAGAAAAACTAGGTTTTAATGGAAAAAATAAACAAAATAAATAAGTAAATCCAACAGCGGGGTCGAGGCTTATCTGAAGCAGGAGAGCCGAGGAGAACGCTCTGCTGCGTCAGATAGCCTCGACCCCGCTGTTGGATTTGCCCATTTTATTTTTGTTTATTTCCATTCGCTGGGAGCCCCTGGCTGACCTGTGACTGGCACCCAACACCACTGCAGGCGGTGCTCAGCCCACGCACCACTCAGTTGCTCAGTCACCTCCATTGCTGAGATACTCTTTGTTTCTGGCTCTTGTATGACTGGTATCACGTGATCCCACCCTCCCCTCCAGCCTCTTCTGACCATTCTCTCAAGCAGCTGGGAGGCAGTGGGCAGAAGCTCTTCTCCCCACCAGATCGAGCTACCGACCTGAGCGATGGGTGTCAGCAGGCTGTAGCCTGCCACACACTCCATCGCTGTTAAAAACGTACCGGGAGGGGGAGAAGAGTCTCTTGCCACTCACTCCTGTGCCGTTTGAGAGAAATGCAATCAGAGAGGGCTGGAGAGGGGAGGGCGGGGATGTCACGCAGGAAGGAACTGCTTCACCCAATGCTGAGGTGACAACGGAAGAAATTGTCATACAAGAAGTTTGTAGAAAATAAAGATAGGCGACCCCAGCAATGGAGGTGACCGAGTTAGAAATGGAGGCGGTGCGCGGGAAGCTAGACTGCACCCTGCAAGCGGTGGCCAAAAAGTGCCTCAGCCACAGTCAAAAGCCAGGGGCAGAAAAACTAGGTTTTAATGGAAAAAATAAACAAAATAAATAAGTAAATCCAACAGCGGGGGTCGAGGCTTATCTGAAGCAGGAGAGCCGAGGAGAACGCTCTGCTGCGTCAGGCAGGAGAAAAAACTGAGGTGAAGGAGCCCATTTCCCACAAAGCGTTGCTCCTGCCTGCATCACCCCACTGGCTCCAGCATCCCACAATACAAATCAATATTTCAACATAACCTGTTTGTTTCACGTACAGCAAAGTTACTCTGGGCTGCATAGTGTAAAGGTGTTGCCCCTTGACTGTCAGATGGGATGGTCCCAAACTTGTTTCTTTCCAAAAGAAGGTGGACAATCTGCGCATGACCTAAAAGAGAGAGCAGAATACATATGACTTAGCTCCCTATATGTGCTCCAGATTTCTTCCCTCATCCTATGAGAATGCTGTTATCTCTCTTTCCACCAGCACATGTGCATCAGTGCAGGGACCTATCTATTTTAGTTATGGAGCTCTGTAAAATGCAGCATTGATACAAATAAGTAGGAAGTTACAAAAAGCCAAGCAAAGCTGGCAAATTTGGGCTGTTCAACAACATGTTATCTGCTCATTTCCCCTACTGAAAGAGAGATCAGCAGTATGACTGCTAAATCTAGAACCGTACAAATCTGACAAGCAACCGTATCTGTGTGCATCTTAATCAACCTCAAGATTCTCCTTAGCCAAGTCGCACTGCATGTTATGGGGAGGGCTGTAGATCAGTGGTACAGTCCGTGCTTTGCATGGAGAAGGTCTGAATCTCAATCCGTGGTATGTTCAGCTATAACTGGGAAAGACCGATAACTGGAGAGCCGCTGCCAGCCAAAGTGTGTCAACAATACTGAGCTAGCTGGACCAATAGTCAGAGTTAGGATAAAGCAGCCTTTATGTTCCTGTTTCCCCCTCTTTCACACCAGTCAAACTTCTTCAATGTTTCAAGCTCCAATTTAGCAAATTCGAGTTCCCAAAAATTGATACATATGCCCAAGAAGAAATTTAGAAATTTAGTCGTTCAGTATTTACCCAGTAAAGCTGCCCAGTGCAAGGGAGTTCGAAATAAATTATCGTAAGAGGTGACATTGCAACCTTCATAGGAGGTCAACAGATCAGCAACAGCTACATTCCCATCAGCAACTGCAAAGTGAAGGGGAGTTCGTCCTTCATAGTCTTGCCAGTTCAGCAGAGATTCAGTTGGAGCAGCATCCTAGTTGCAAAAGTGCCAGGTAGATAAGGTGCGATTAGCATTAAGAGATCGTAGCAGCTAAGAGAGGATGGTTTTACAATTAAGAGGTTACATTACAGCTGCATGTACTCAAGACATTTAAACCCAAAATTATGTTAGGGAGGTGCTTGCTGGCCAGGCTTCAATTTGACCTGGGGTGGGAGGGATGGCAATGGACTTAAAGAAGAGGCACCTTGCCCAGGGCTCTCTCAAATCTAGCAGCACCAGTGTGAATCCACGTTAATAAGTGAAGTTGGGAGGCATTCAAAAGGACATTAGAGTGTCTCTTGTGACAGAGACAACCCTTACGACTATGAGCCCTAAAACGATTCCAAGCACTCTTTGTGGTGCCCACATACAACTGCCACTAAAAAAAAGGTACATCAGATCAGATAGGTATTTATTTGAAAAGAAATCCTTACCAAAATGCACTTAACAGTATGAACTGCACTTGGATCCTTGTGGTTAGCAGCCCAATGAAGTGGAATTTTGCCTTCAATATCTGGGATTCCAATATTAGAATCATGTTTGATCAGAAGTTTCACATGCTCTGGATTATTGTAATAGGCACTCCAGTGAAGAGCAGTTTGCTGGGGGTAATTAGAAGAGATGCACAGTAAAATGAAATAAACATTCTGCTTTTGTGAACTTCAGAAACCATGTAAAATGAACAATTTACAAATTATGGAGACTGAGGACAGTTGAAAGTGAGGGAATGCTGGTTTATCAGAGGCCCTGGGTTTACTTCTGTTTAGTCTCTGGATGTGACCAACTGCACAGAAATGATCTCAAGTATGCTGTACATAAAACACAGAGGGGAGTTCAGGATTCATTCCAAGCACACAATGACATGAGAAAGTGGGATACAAAACGATATCCACTATGCATTACTTAGTGCAATGAAAAAGGGAGTTGATTCAAAGTGACAATCCTGAATCAGTAGTCTGATGGAGTGAGTTGAAAACTGATGGCTAACTGAAATGCTGATCCCACAGGGAAGTGAATGCTAAGTCTCTACCTTTCATAGCATGTGCAGCTGATTTGAGGAGGGGCACAAGTACCAGTTCCCTGGCAGTAAAGAAAGTTCCAATGTTTGTTCTGGTCAGATGACACAGAGACCATTAAGAGGAGCCAGAGGTTTCAGCAACAGTAAAAGTTACAAGTCTGATTTTACCTTGTTTTTGTCCTGCGTATCTACTTCTCCTGGTGCCATGTATTTAAGCAACAAAGCCAAGCACTTGGGACTCTTGTGCCGTGTAGCTAAGTGTAACGGAGTGATTTCTTCCAAATCCTTCTTCATCCAGTTTGCTCTACGAGCAAGTAAAAGCTTCATAAAGCGATAATTTCCCTAAGCAATGTAATGAGGAAGGGGAAGAATAAAGTTAATTTCAATGACTAAAAAGCGTTATGAAACCAACATGTAATAATTTTGAAAAGCAATCATTAGAGGTAATGGCAATATATAGTTTATAGTCCTGTGGACAAGTGACTAGAATCATAGAATTGTAGAGTTGGAAGGTTACCCTGAGGGTCATTCTGGTCCAACTCCCTGCAATGCAGAAATATCAACAAAAGCATCCATGACAGGTGGCCATCCAATCTCTCCTTAAAATCATCCAATGAAGGAGTCCTCAAGCTACTGAGGGAGTCTATTCCACTGTCGAACAGTTCTTATTGTTAGAAAGTTCTTCTACTGTTTAGTCAGGATCTCCATCCTTGTAACTTGAATCCATTTGTTCGAGTCCTGCCCTCTGGAACAGCAGAAAACAAGCTTGCTCCATCTTCCATGTGACAGCACTTTAGATATTTTAAGATGGCTATCATATATCTCCTCTCAGTCTTCTTGTCTCCAGGCTAAAAAGGTAAAGGTAAAGGACCGCTGACAGTTAAGTCCAGTTGTGAATGACTCTGGGGTTGCGGCGCTCATCTCGCTTTACTGGCCGAGGGAGCCGTTTTTTGTCCGCAGACAGTTTTTCCGGGTCATGTGGCCAGCATGACTAAGCCGCTTCTGGTGAAACCATAGCAGTGCACGGAAATGCCATTTACCTTCAAGCCAGAGCGGTACCTATTTATCTACTTGCACTTTGACGTGCGTTCGAACTGCTAGGTTGGCAGGAGCTGGGACAGAGCAACAGGAGCTCACCCCGTCGCGGGGATTTGAACCGCCGACCTTCTGATCAGCAAGCCCTAGGCTCAGTGGTTTAACCCACAGAGCCATCTGCATCCCGCCTGTCTCCAGGCTAAACACACCCAACTCCCTCAACCATTTCCCCCAAGGCTTGGCCTCAAGACTCTTTATCATCTTGGCAGCCCTCTGTGCACATTCCAGCCTGTCAATATCCTTCTTAAATTATGGCACCCAGAATTGGACACAGTACTCTAAGTGTGGTCTGACCAAGGCAGAACAGAGTGGCACTGTTACTTCCCTTGATCTGGACACTATACTTCTGTTGATGAAGCCTAGAATAACATTAGATTTTTTTTGCTGCTGCATCACACTGTTGTCTGATGTTCAGCTTATGGTCTACTAAGACCCTCTAGATCCTTTTCATATGTACTACAGGCAACCCCAAGTCAAAGTAGTAGGTTGTCACTACTTTCTCCTAATCAGCCAGGATCTAGAGTAACACAGTTTTTAGATTATTGTTAGTTTTTGAACAAGTTATCTGTCTAATTCTTTCTTATAGTTTTGTCCTGAGTGTTGAATGGCTTGCACAAAGTTTACATTTCATCCATTGAAAACGGTGGCGGGGGGGATTTTAAGCCACTTGGTTGGCTAGAGATAAGAGTTTTAAACCTTTCCCACATCAGTAATTTCTTAAGATTTTTCTTATCGATGGGGAGTTCATTCATTCAGATAAAAATTCATAACCATAGAAACCACAGTGAATGTTAACTATCACTTAGTAGGACGTGCTTCCAGCACCATCTTACTCTGGGATATACTTTTAAGGGACTTGATGAATACAGAAACGTAAGCAACTACTAGTGTTTCTCCCCACAGGTATAACACTTGCAGAAAGCCTTCGGGCAGGGGTGCCAGCCAAGCAGTACCCAAAATAGAAGAAGGTTTTGCAAAATATATACTGCATCTTGAGAAAGTACTCCAGAGGAAATTATTTGAATTGGGAAGCCTTACCCATAAATACTTTACCACATGTTAAAATCTAGGAAACCATCTGGTGGTAATTAGATTTATTAACCATATATGTGTTCTCCTGAAAATGTTCTATTGAGAGGGATAATACTTGCTTTGAAATTAAATCTAGCTACAGGAATTTGGATAAATTGAATAAATATTCCCAGAATGAAGCAATTTTCTGAATTAAAGATGAAATGATAAATTCTGTAATTAATTAAAATATTTTTAAAGCAAAGAAACTCTTTTCTAATGTCATTACTAAAATCAAACCAAACATAAAACATTTACTTGATAGATGCAAATTCATTATCATGTAAATTAAGAGATGTTCTTTGCTTTCTATTATTATTATTTTTAGCGCAAGTTTCCAAAATTATGGAGCCTCATCAAAACAAAATGTTTCCATACTTTGAAATAAGAGTTTTCTTGTTGAATATTTTTGTTAAGAAAATGACAGATAAATAAATAGATGGATAATATAAAGAGAAAAAGTGAAATTAAAAATCGAATCTGTCTATCAGTTCTTCCTTCAAGGAGAACCATGCAGTGAGGAGATTATAATAGGATATTATCTTAAGCAGGGGGCTGGAATTATTTTACCCTTCAAGTCAAAAGGCATCTATGTGAGGAAGGGTGACCCTTCAGCTAGAGAACTGTCAATGTTGCTCTGGGGGTGAATGTGAGTTGCCATAGATATTGAACAAAAAAGGATTGTAGATTTATATTCATGTGGAAGTATTCCCACTGATTTCAGTTTAACTTTTGAATAAGCATGATAGGAATTACAAAATTAATTTTCTGATTTTTAAATACACTCAGTGGAATTAATAAAATAGTACATAATTATATTTTTAACAATAATGGGAAGAATAGTAAAGAAGACTGAATTGTTCTTGTTCAGTCTGATATAACATCTTGGGAATTACCTACATAACAAAGTAATTCAGTGCCTAAGTAACTAAGTGTAGATATGGTTTCCAAACATTATCTACACTAATAATATAATATAGAAGATCTACACTGGCTCCTAGTACGTTTCCAAGCACAATTCAAAGTGTTGGTGCTGACCTTTAAAGCCCTAAATGGCCTTGGTCCAGTATACCCGAAGGAGCGTCTCCAACCCCATCGTCCATCCCGGACACTGAGGTCCAGCTCTGAGAGCCCTCTGGTGGTTCCCTCATTGCGAGAAGCCAAGTTACAGGGAGCCAGGCAGAGGGCCTTCTCGGTAGTGGCGCCTGCCCTGTGGAATGCCCTCCCATCAGATGTCAAGGAAATAAACAACTACCTGACTTTTATAAGACATCTAAAGGCAGCCCTGTTTAGGGAAGTTTTTAGTGTTTGATGTTTTATCATGTTTTTAAAATTCAATTCGAAGCTTCCCAAAGTGGCTGGGGAAACCCAGCCAGATGGGTAGGGTATAAATAATTATGATTGTTAAAATTATTATTAATTATCATCATCATCAGAGTATCGGAGCAGGACCTGGGAGCCCAGGATACAAATCCCCATGCGTTCATGAAGTTTAATGGGTGACACTGGGTGAGTCACAAACAGGGTCAATGGGAAGGGGGGGGGGAACCATATACATCACCTTCACCTCCTTGGAGGAAAAGTGGGGTATGAATGCAATAATAAATAAATGAACATATCAAGCCTCAAACAGACTATCAATCTGGATAGCCAGAGCCCCTGAAACTGGAGTTTGAGACAGCTTCTCCTCCAGGCAAATTCCTCTGGGAAACCTGCCCCAGTTACAACAGGGTCCTCATGTTCCCCAGGGCCTGACTAAAGCCACTCTAAAGCGTTTGTTGTATCGCATGGACTTCCACTGACACGTCATGTGTGAATTCGTGAACAGAGATGATAGTGCTTCCAATGAAAATTCCATATTGGAAAGCCATCTAATTCAATGGGCATCTGCTTGAAAATATGTATAACCAAAAACTGTTGTCTTAGAGTCACACATTACTACAAATGTTTTCTGGTTTCATTTGTACAGTACAACCCTCACCCTTCATGCACAGAAACAAATGCTACAGGATAAATGTTTGGTCATTTTTGGTGATCAGTTTATTTCAAATAAATTATTTTTCAAATCCATATACTGCTGTTCTGGGGCAGATATTGGTGCTTACTTCTGAATACAACTGAAAACTTACCCTGTAGTTACTTATTGATAGCATATTATTGGTGTGGTTGTTCCTGAAAATGATCTCATTTGCCCATCTTTATGCTTAGAGTTTAGTAAAAGCCACACTGCAGGTCACTGAAGGTGCATGCATGTTTAAATCCACTACAAACTAAGTATGTTTAGAAGTGAGTGACAAGTTGCCAGCATCTTCTCTGCTACTGTGGGATTTTATGAAGCCAATGCTTTTTCCCTTGACAGAACTGATATAACAAACACTATGGCCTTTTATAAGGCTGATAGAATATAGGACCTTATAAACTAAATCAGTGATGTCACATGTCAATTTAATAGTGAATGTGGTTGAATTAGATAACTAGTAGAATTGTAAAGCACCTTCTTTAACATAAATTGCTGCTTAGTGAAAGCATTCCATGTGCGGCTAATCCTTTTCAAGTCAATGATGGCAACAGCACCACCCATCTTAACAGTGGACCTACGGTAAATCTTAAGGAAAGTACCCTTTTGGCAATGTCACCTTCACCATCACCATCCAGGACACCAAAGACAGAACTCTCAGCACACAAAAGAAAACTCAGCTGAAAGGCAATTTTATTAGTCACTTTCCAAGTATAAAGAGTTTGTCCGTCTGGCAAAGCAACCTAGGCAGCAAACCAGCCAAGAACATCTGCGACTTGGAACCCATTCTGGTGATCAACTGTGGTTTCACTGAAAGCAAGGCAGCATGCTTAGCTGCTCTATGGCTGAAATGTTACAACATTTCTTCTACAAATGCCCACTGAAACCTTAGCTTTGTTCAGTTAGTTTCCATAGGAATAAGCTGAACTATCAAGTGGTGCACCGTGAAAGGGTACATGTACAAGCACAGTAAAAATGAGAGGAAAGAGGCCACTTCTCCATGTACTTTTCCTCTTTAAACTGAACCTTTGACTTTTGAGATCACTGAGCACAACTGGTGCAAGCTTTCCTTGTTCTGCTTGTTGTTCAAAAGCCTGTGCTGAAATTTATAGGAAACAATTGACTGCTTTCAGTTCAATTCTCTAACATAACGCATAAAATGTTTTCATTTCCAAGTCATTTTAGGTGCAGTTAGTAGTGGTTTTAGTAGGTTTCCTCCATTGCTCTTTTAGATAAGTTCAGGCAGAAGCTTCTAAAAACAATTAATCTTGCATGAATTTAAGACACAAGATAAAACACACATCCACTTACACATAAACACTTACAGTAGCTTCTACTGAAATCTGATTCAGAATTATTCCGAGCTAGTATCATACGTGGACTTATTACAAGGCTGACCCAAAGAGAGGGACGACTCAATACCATTTTGTTGCAGTAGTAAATACACATCATGTTGCTTATTTTTGGCTATGGCAATTGCTTCTGAGCTTATCACTCAGTATCACTGGGCTCAACATATATACTGGAGGTTTTCCAAGCAGCAGTGATCTTTATACACTTTGGAGAACTGACAATACTTGTCCCTATGCCAAAAGAATTAGCTTATATATAGCTTAGTGATTTAGGTAGCTATGCGGTAAACTAGGAGGATATACTGGAGCACTCATTTCCCAAAAGTGGCTTCTTCCAAGGCATATAAGTCTACGAATGTTTTTTCTGTGGCCCATGTGACCTACAGTTCTCATGATAGAAGCAGCTTATTCAGTGGAGTGTGCTGTGAAGTGTATTGGAGTGACTAAGTGGAGTGCCAATGTAAGTCTTGATCCATGTGGATAGAAAAGAATTAGATACTTTCTTCCTCATGGTAGAGAAGTGAATGGAGACAAACAGTAGCGGTTTGTTTAATGACCTGAGCGTGGGAGATGTAGATCGTCTTTGATGTCCAAGCCCACTTCATAGAGTGGGATGGTTTGAGGCAAAGGTAAGATCATTTATTAAGCCATACAGAAGACCTTGCGGATAAAGATTAAGTCTGGGTGAAAAATTACTTAAGCACTGTGGAAAATGGAACAAAGTCTTTGACAGAGAGATCACTGCATTCTGAAACCCTCTGTGTGGTAGAGATGGCTGCTAGGAAAACCACTTTTAAAGAAAGAATCTGGAGTGAAGCCAATATGAGGGGTTTAAAGGGTGAGGACTTTTGTAGTGCTTGGAGAATTTTGTGGAGATTCCAGAATGGGAATCTATGGATTATAGGTGCATTCAAAAGAGTTGTTTGTTGCAAAAATATCTTAAGTAGAAGCTGTCTTCTGATGGGACAGATGCACAGTTTTGACAGAGCTAGTAAACTGTATAAGCTAATAAAAATATTTTCCCAGTTGTGTTATTTTAGCATGCAGCCAGAAAGTTTTTCTACCGATATTCAAGTACCAAGAGCCAGTTCAGTTTTAGCTAAGGGACAGTCAGAGGAATTCATTTCCAAGAGGAGGACTGCATGCAACAGGATCAAAGAAATAACAGGAGTAGTTCTAGCACTACTGGGTCTGAAACCTTTCAAGTAAACACAACGTCTCTAACAAGATAATCTATTTTTCAGACATGCACAGGTACAGGGTAGCACTATAAATATCAGAAGGAGATTCAAAAAATTTTCAAGACAATGACTCAACAGTGGTATACTATATTTCAGAAGTACAGCTCTTGGTGACAGTGGTGGCTTAGAGGACTCCCAGATGAATGGGAGTAGAGAAAACAGGCAGGTTTCATTTTTATTGATATAATATTTTGGACAAGGGAATTAAGCCATTGACATAAGACTTTAACATTAATTTTCATGCATTAGGAGGGCCCTTAAAATTAATGTTTTAAGATGTCATTACTTTAAAACATTATTGTCCATTGGTTACAGAATCTGTAGGGAACCTACTGCAATTAGATTAACTAAGGAGGTTCCCTGAATGCAGGGCAAGGCTACATGCTGCCAATAAGCACAGAATTCCCAATGGTATGTTTTCTTTGTTAAGCAAGTGGAAATTCGGAAGACATCTCCAAATGAGAGACATGGAGGGTGTAGAAAGGTGTTTAATCCTTCCCTTGGAACAGCCTTTCTCAACCTGTGGGTCCCCAGATGTTGTTGAACTACAATTCCCATCACCCCTAGCTAGTAAGACCAGAGCTCAGGGATGATGGGAGTTGTAGTCCAACAACATCTGGGGACCCACAGGTTGAGAACCACCGCCTTAGAAGATGGATACAAAAGGAAATGTCCAGAGCATGAACCTTCATCATCTGCACATAACTTGGGTCTCCCAACACCTGTAGTACCAGGGACTATCTTGGGCAGCTGTGTGCACATGTACATACATAATAATTATTTATTTGGGATGGCAAAATCCTTTGAGCCACTTGAAAACTTTTGAAGATGGTGCTTCTAAAGTTCTTAAACTGACATACAGGCAAGACCTTCAAAATCTGCCTTTAAATGGAAATATATTTAAAAAGGGAGCGGGTGGCGCTGTGGTCTAAACCGCTGAGCCTCTTGGGCTTGCTGACTGGAAGGTCAGTGGTTCGAATTCCTGTAATGGGGTGAGCTCTGTCCCAGCTTCTGCCAACCTAGTAGTTCGAAAGCACACCAGTGCAAGTTAGATAAATGTTTACTGCACTGCTGTGGCGGGAAGGTAAACGCCGTTTCCGTGCGCTCTGGCTTCCGTCGCGTCAGAAGCGGTTTAGTCATGCTGGCCACATTACCCGGAAAGGTGTCTGTGGACATATGCTGGCTACCTTGGCCTGTGGACATTACTAACTTAGGTTTTTAAATTTCAGTGCTATATTCCAGGAGGATTGTACCACACCCTGTACTAGGTATCTATTGTCAGCCAATAATTTTCAACAAAATGGACTTGGTAAAGGCAAATAAAACTTTAAAAAGTATTTTGAGGGAAGACTTCTTAATACCTTTTAAACGGAAAAGCTGATTTTTAAAATATACCTTTCTTAATGGAATATCTCCTGACTTAATAGAATTAATATTCTTAATGGAATATCTCCATGAAAACCATAAGAAATCTTTCTTCAAATAATATCAAATGGGTAAAAAAAAAAAAGAAATGTTTCAACTACCAAAATGATGCAAAGGTGAATTCTTTATGTGCTTCATAGGAGCACACTGAAGTTCTGGGCATGCATTATTACTGCTGAGATCTCTTCAAATAATTATTATTTACAAAAATATCGTAGTTCTTTCTGAAACATCTCCTTCCTTTATGGTTGGTTTTAATATCTTTCAAGTTGAAAACTTTCAAATTTATATAACCTCCATCTGAGTAGTTAAAATTGCTTTTACTTAAGATATAAATAATCAGCCAGAATTTGTATTATGTTAACAGCAGAGTTTCCTACCAAAAAAGAGAGTATCATTTCAAGTTACACAGGTTCATTAACTACATGGACGTATAATTAAACAACAACAAAAAAGAGGTCAAAGCATACATTAACCTATTTTACTTCCCCCATCTATTACATTTTCAAAAGCTTCTGTATGACTTCACTCTGCAAGCTGTGAAAGACCAACCATCCACCTTCTTTTCAGTATGAATAAGGTTGACATCTGACAGCTTCACATAGCTGACAGGGTTATACAACAGCCCACCCTCCCTATTCTCAATCCAATTAGACCTCTAATCCTCCAGATGAAAGGCCCAACTACTCACGTTCTTCATGACAACGACAGCTATTGATTATTTGTCACTGCAGCTAACACCTTCTCTGTGGAGGCCACTCTGACAGAAGCAAACCTCCCAAATTAGACAGCACTTTATCTGCCCTGGAGGCCAAATGGCACAACAAGTAAAGGCTAATAAATGGTATAAAAATGAACAAATCATAACATTATGACAGGTTGATCGTTGCCAGTAGTTTCACAACTCAAGCTTGACGCTCTGCTAGACCTGCTCCTTCTTTTCTCTCTTCCAATTGTGCTCCAACTTTGACTGAATTAAAGGCCAGAACAATTAAGGCATTTGACCAGCAAGGGTAAGCTGGAATGGAAGTATTGCCAGGGGACACAGATGTCAATAGCAGACTACCCATTTGTCAATACAAACATTTGAGACATGCAAATGCTGATGTCCTGGTTCTCCACTAGGTTGCACTGATGCCCTTCATAAACAGCTCAAACGGGAACTGGTGAAATTAACTTCCCAGACTTGTAATTTTCTGTTAAGAGGAGGATTTTTAGAAATATAAAACGGAGTTTTCATTAAAGACAGTGCAAAACTATTTATAAAAAGAAATATTTCTGACTCTTTATAGTTGCACAGTAAAATCTGTGTCAGAAATGTTTTCTTAAAGCCCGAGAAGAAGGATTTATGTATTAAGAATGACATGATAAATTTAACCTGTCACAATAAATGACAAAGAAAGCTTGACTATTCTAGGGTTCTCATACCGTGCTCCTATAGAGCAATCCTATACAGTGTCTACTAAGAAGGAAGTGCCCAGGTTCAATGGGACCTATTTGCAGGTCTACAGGATTCCAGCCCTAATTTCTTTTTTTTGAATATTTTACTCAAGAAATTAGCAATTTAAAATGTTTTAGCTGCTGCTTCCGCCTCAACAATACTTATGCTTATAATGTTTAGACTTCAAAGAGTTACTTTAGACACATACAAGTGTTTGAGCATATCTAGTAGGATTTTCTGGCTTTTTCTTTCAACATCAGACCCTTATGCCCCATCACAAATGGCTTCTGGTATCAGTTTCACAAACTGTTTGCCACTGAACTGACTGGGTTCAGTCAACACTTAAGGCTCTTAATATCCTGCATTTCTCTTCCCCACTTGTACTCTAAACGGGCACATATAGCCCCAGAGACCAAACTTAAAACTGACCAATTATGAATTCTAAGTTATTTAAGAAAAAACCCCTGAGTTGGTACTATACTGAACAAAAAATCACCACCAGGGAACTTGCATTCAATAGATAATGTAGGGATGGTGGGAGAGTGAGGGTAGGTTGCTGTGGAGCTGCAGGAGAAGGCAGGTGTGGGATATAGCTCAAGAAATACCATATTTTTCGCTCTATAGGACACACTTTCTCCCCTCCAAAAATTAAGGGGAAATGTGTGTGCGTCCTATGGAGCAAATGCAGGCTCCTTGACTTCAACGATAGCAACGTGAAGCCTCCGAAGCGCAGAGGGAGCGCTCCCTCCATGCTCCGGAGGCTTCGCGTTGCTTTCGCTGAAGCCTGGAGAGCGAGAGGGGTCGGTGTGCACCGAACCCTCTCACTCTCCAGGCTTCAGGGATAGCTGCCTGAAGCCTCTGGAGCGCAGCGGGAACTCACACTGCGCTCCGAAGGCTTCGGGTTCCTTTTGCTGAAGCCAGGAGAGCGAGACTCTCCTGGCTTCAGCAGAGAGGGAGAGCTGCGCAGCGCCCCTTCAGCGAAGCGGGAGGAGAAATGGAAGGGGCTCCGTTTCTCCTGCCGCTTCGCTGAAGGGGCGCTGAGCAGAGAGGGGGAGAATTTTTTTTTCTTGTTCTCCCCCTCTAAAACAAGGTGCGTCCTATGGTCTGGTGTGTCCTATAGAGCGAAAAATACGGTACTTTTCTGAACCAGCACTTTCTGAGTACAAAAAGAAAGAAGTGACTCAACAGGGGGAAGGATTCATTTCTTTCTAGGCATGGAAGAAGACAAACAAAAAACAGTGGAAACTGGAAATGCCTTCACTATCAGGGCTGGCACACCCATGAGAAAAGGTGAGGCAACCACCTCAGATGGCAGGATCTGCAGGGGCAGCAGATCTGACCTCCAAGGAATGCATCAACCGCTGCTGCTGCTGCCACCGCCACCGGAACAGCAATGGCTGCAGTGTACTCCGTGAAGGCCAGATATACCACTTCCTCAGCAACCCCCCAATGCCACCTCTACACTGGGTTCTTGGCGAATAGGAGGTGCTTCTTATCTCCTCCCACCCTTCTTCCCGATGTACACCTTCCCTGGCAGGGTGATGGCATCACTTTGTGGTTTGCCTCAGGTGCCAAAATATCTTGAGCCGGCCCTGCTTCCTATGATCGAGCCAAACATATATTTTTCTCTCCAGGGTCAACTGTCGTTCTGCACCTTTGAAAATAAGCTCGCTAGTAAAAGCTTCCCCACTCCGTGATGTCACTGAGAAACCTCCCCACCAAACATAAGCACTTTAAAAAAGTTTCCTTTAAAAAAGAAAACAAATGCAATAAATGAATGACCACATGAGTTTGGATTTGATATCCCGCCTTTCACTCCCCTTAAGGAGTCTCAAAGCGGCTAACATTCTCCTTTCCCTTCCTCCCCCACAACAAACACTCTGTGAGGTGAGTGGGGCTGAGAGACTTCAAAGAAGTATGACTGGCCCAAGGTCACCCAGCAGCTGCATGTGGAGGAGCGGAGACGCGAACCCGGTTCACCAGATTACGAGACTACCGCTCTTAACCACTACACCACACTGGCTCTCTCTGTTTCTCTCCCTCCACCCAAGTGGGGCTGATAGCAACTTTGATCGGAAGATGGATTAAAACTACCTCCCAAACAGCTGCTTTGAATAAATAGAAATGGTGATTGAGTGTAGGTTTGCCATATTCTAGCCCAGTCTGGTATCCTAATTTGAATGCCATGCAAATTAATTCCTAATTATAAAGATCAGGTTGAGCTGGAAAATGGTTTTTCCACTCCAAATCTTTCCTTCAAAATTTGCTTAACAGCGTAAGCACAGATTATTGGGCTCTTAGAATACATGGTAAATATGTAACTGGACTTCCAAAGGATAAATAAAAACATTAAAAAATACTGCAATGTTACTCTAAAAAAGTAATCCTCAACTCACTTGCATAGGCTACAGTGTCCTTCATAATCAATCTTTTTTTTTCTCTCTTGGACTGAACTTTTCAAAAAAATTCTGTATGTGTATCTCTTTCGGTAATCTTCATTTACACTTTTAAGTGACACTTTTACCTCTAGAAAGGAGTGTGGGGTACAAAGGTCAAAAGTAGGCTATACGCAATTTGGCAATTTAACCTGTTGCATTTCTACATGGCAACAGGGTTTGGGCTGGGTGTTCATCAGTATGCAGATGATACCCAGCTCTACCTCTCTTTTATATCAGAACCAGTGAAGGCAGTGAATGTCCTGTTTGAGTGTCCGGAGGCAGTTGAAGGATGGATTGAGAATGAATCCTAACAAGACAGAAGTACAGTAGCACTGCGGCTTAAGTTACCCTCGGCTTACGTAAACTTCGGGCTGCAAAAGCGGCAAACCTGGAAGTGTTTTGCCCCGTGCGCATTCACAAAAACGCTCTACCGTGCTCCCTGCATGCTCAGAAGCAGTCCCCCCAGTTGCGGAAACCTCGGGATTCACAACCGGAGGTACCACTGTACTACTTTTGGGAGACAGGGAGTGGGCAAGGGTGGGGGACTCCCTGGTCCTGAATGGGGTAACTGTGCCCCTAAAGGACCAGGTGCTCAGCCTGGGAGTCATTTTGGACTCACAGCTGTCCATGGAGGCGCAGGTCAATTCTGTGTCCAGGGCAGTTGTTTACCAGCTCCATCTGGTACGCAGGCTGAGACCCTATCTGACCGCAGACTGTCTCGCCAGAGTGGTGCATGCTCTAGTTATCTCTCGCTTGGACTATTGCAATCACTCTACGTGGGGGCTACCTTTGAAGGTGACCCGGAAACTACAACTAATCCAGAATGCGGCAGCTAGACTGGTGACTGGGAGTGGCCACGGAGACTATATAACACCGGTCCTAAAAGCCCTACATTGACTCCCAGTACGTCTCCAAGCACAATTCAAAATGTTGGTGCTGACCTTTAAAGCCCTAAACAGCCTCAGCCCAGTATACCTGAAGAAGCGTCTCCACCCCCATCGTTCAACCCGGACACTGAGGTCCAGCTCCGAGGGCCTTCTGGCGGTTCCCTCACTGCGAGAAGTGAGGTTACAGGGAACCAGGCTGAGGGCCTTCTCGGTAGTGGCGCCCGCCCTGTGGAACGCCCTCCCATCAGATGTCATCAGTGTTCAACTGAATTTTTTTCTTATTTTCCCAAGCTCCAACTTCACATTTCATGAAAGAGCATGTCATTTTATAATAAAACACTTCTAAAAATTAATCTCAAGGTGTTACCAAATGCATTTTTCTCTTTATTTAAATGTACATTTACCAGAGCCATCATATGAAATATCTTAATCCTGAAGCACTTACTATACGTCTTGCATTTATATTATTAGTCATGAGTGTAATGCTTAATGCACACATGCTTTTAAGTAAACAATTAGTGATATTTTTAGCATTATTGAACTCCTGAGTGAATAGCAGATTCTTTGCAATTCTGGAAATAAAGTATTTAAAACTACGATCCGATTTCTCTGCTAGTGACATTGTCAGCTAAACATCTGGATACAAAGAACAACTTTGTGTGAATTCACAGACTTGTGAAATTTGATAGGTCTTCCACTTTGAACAGCAGACTACCCCGACATACCCAAAACACTTTTTAAAATCCTACTTAAATTTAAATAGTAGTTTGCCATATGGCGTGGTAGAAAGGAAGGCTACTACAGTGGTACCTTGGGTTACATACGCTTCAGGTTACATATGCTTCAGGTTACAGACTTCGCTAACCCAGAAATATTACCTTGGGTTTAGAACTTTGCTTCAGGATGAGAACAGAAATCGCACAGCAGAGCGGGAGGCCCCATTAGCTAAAGTGGTGCTTCAGGTTAAGAACAGTTTCAGGTTAAGAACAGACCTCCAGAACGAATTAAGTTCTTAACCCGAGGTACCACTGTATCTGAGAAAGGGACACTCAAAATTATTTTGGATTTACAGTGCTAGTTACACATTTCTTTGGAATCTGGTCTTGGAACATCATTTAGACTGCAATCCTATATAAGCAGTTACCCGGGAATAAGCCCCAGTGAACCCAACAGAACTTACTTCTGAGTAGGCATGTGAGATTGTATTGTTACCTTTTGTGCAGCAAGATGGAGAGCTGTTCTCTGGTTAAGGTCGACTTTATTTACATCTATTCCTGTCTTCAACAAAGCCTCAGCACAGTCTAGCCTATCCGCCAACACACAGTACATTAGTGGAGTTCTCCCAAACTGGTCCTCTTTGTCCTTCAGATCAGGATTACCTATAAGAACAACAAAGTGAATTGCAGTGCTGGCTCTACATAAGTTTTATTAAATATGTACATCTATTGTATATTTTGGGTAGAAAAAAGTTTGTCTGGTTTCTTATACATTTGGGCAACACTTAAGATCTCTTAAACAAATTTGACATGTTTCCTGAGGTCAGGGATCAGTTTTTTTGTCTGTTTTGGGATTCTATCCTAGATGACATTTTTAAAGAAAATGTCAGACAGTCTTTTAAAAACTGCAAAATATGGACACCACTAAGGATAGTAGTAGTAGTTGTTTTCTACACCACCTTTTTCCCTGACAGGGATTAAAAACACAGGAAAAAAGCATCATTAAAAAACAATCAAATATTGATATAATTATATATATCTATATATCTATCTACACACACATACATTTATACACATGCTATAAAAAATAGTTACAATGAAAACAGCACAGCACCAGCCCTTTCATTAAAAGCAGGCCGTTCCCAAAAGCCTGTTGGAACAAGAAGGACAAGGAAGGAGCCAGTCTGGCTTCTCTAGAGAGGGAGTTCCAAAGCCTGGGAGCAGCCTCCGAGAAGGACCTTTCCCGGGTCCCCACCAAGCTTGCCTGTGAAAGTGGTAGAACCAAGAGAGGGTTTTATCTACATTTAGATACCAATGACTCGTGAGATATGTCAAGCCTTTATTTGTTATAATTGTGATGATTATGGTGTACAGCTGATGAAAACCCCAAATTAACAATCTCAGAAAATTAGAATATTCAATGAAATCAGCAAAACAATGATTGCAAATAGAGCAATATTGGACCTCTGAGAAGTAGAAGCATGCATATGTACTCAGTACTTGGTTTGGGCCCCTTTTGCATCAATTACTGCCTCAACGTGGCGTGGCCTGGATGCTATCAGCCTGTGGCACTGCTGAGGTGTTATGGAAGACCAGGAAGCTTCAATAGCAGCCTTCAGCTCTTCTGCATTGCTCAGTCTCATGTCTCTCATCTTTCTCTTGGCAATGCCCCATAGATTCAGGTCAAGTGAGTTTGCTGACCAATCAAGCACAGTAATCCCATGGGCATTGAACCAAATTTTGGTACTTTGGGCAGTGTGGGCAGGTGCCAAGTCCTGCTGGAAAATGAAGTCAGCATCCCCATAAAGCTCATCTGCGGAAGGAAGCATGACGTGCTCCAAAATCTCCTGGTAGACGGCTGTGTTGACCTTGGACTTAATGAAGCACAGTGGACCAACACCAGCTGATGACATGGCTCCCCAAATCAACACAGACTGCGGAAACTTCACACTGGACTTCAAGCATCTGGCATTGTGTGCCTCCCCATTCTTCTTCCAGACTCTGGGTCCTTGGTTTCCAAATTAGATGCAAAGTTGCTCTCATCAGAAAAGAGGACTTGGGACCACTGAGCAACCAGTTCTTTTTTTATTTAGTCCAGGTAAGACGCTTCTGACGTTGTTTCTTGTTCAGGAGCGGCTTGACAAGAGGAATACGACATTTGAAGCCCATCTCCAGGATCCTTCTTTGTGTGGTGGCTCTTGATGCACTAACTCCAGCCTCAGTCCACTCCTTGTGAAACTCCCCAACACGTCTGAATGGTCTTTTCCTGACATTCCTCTCCAGGCTGCGGTCATCCCTGCTGCTTATGCACCTTTTTCTTCCACATTTTCCCTTCCGCAGAACTTTCCATTAATGTGCTTCGATACAGCACTTTGGGAACATCCAACTTCTTCTGCAATTACCTTTTGAGGCTTTCCCTCCTTATGGAGGATCTCAATGATGGCTTTCTGCACAACTGTCAGGTCAGCAGCCTTCCCCATGATTGTGCTTCCTACTGAACCAGACTGAGAGACCATTTAAAGGCTCAGGAACCCATTGCAGGTGTTATGGATTGAATAGCTACTGCACCTTTTCACAATATTCTAATTTTCTGAGATTGTTAATTTAGGGTTTTCATCAGCTGTACGCCATAATCATCACAATTATATCAAATAAAGGCTTGACATATCTCGCTTACATTACAGAAGGAGGTGGTCTGCCACAGAAATAATGGGAGACATGAGAGAAGCAGCACTCTCAAATTTCTGTGGGAGACCACCTGATCCGTCGTCACTGATTGCATTACCTGGGCAGAGTGGTCATTCCTTTCAGATAGTAAATACTTTAGTTCCTGGATCTCTTGCACAAATTTACATCTATTGACAGTTTGCTCAACTTAACAGAAACCTGCCAGACTAGATTTGCAGGAAGGGGGTAAACCCCCTAGATTCCAGGCAGTTTTGTTAATGGGATTTACGAGTGAAAAGACAATTGGAAAGCTTTCCCCATTTCCTCCTACTGAAGTGGAACATTTGAAGTCACTTGGGAGAGTAAAAATGGCTTCTAGATTGCTCTTGTGTGCTATTTCAGATGTGTGGTTTATATACTTATGTATTTATCTTTACCTTGTGCATTTATGAACACTTATTCAATATTTGATACCTTAGAATTCTTATAGCAATGGCCTTGTTTGTTGCTAGGGTGGCCAGCAGACTAGAAAAACAGACGAACACAACATGGAATTCTCCCGTACCTTTCGTTAACAGGAGAAATCAGCAGGTAAAGCTGAACATGAAGATAAGGATTATCATCTGCTCATATCTGCCCATAGAGGGGGAAGTCAGAAATGAGTAACTATAAATTGGCATATTTCAATGTAGCTGCACTATTAAAAATGCAAACAGATAAATCTGTACTAGGTTTTGAAATCATGAAGGATAGGCAACACAAAATAGGACCAGTTACATTTATCATTGTCAAGTGGTAAAGCTTTTTCTGGGCTAATCTGCTTCAAAGTGGGGATTACATGTCTAAATGTGCTGCAAGGAAGTGAGGACAGGGGACCCTGAATTTTTTTTAAAAAGGAAACACAATGGGGGAAGGCTAGGTGGAACCTTTCTCACTGATACAGTGGTACCTTGGTTCTCAAATGAAATCTGTTCTGGAAGCCCGTTCGGTTCTGAAACTTTCAAAAACTGAGACCCTGCTTCCCATTGGTTGCAAGAGCTTCTTGCACTCAGTGGAAGCTGCGTCGCATGTTCGGGTTCCGAAAAGCATTCGAAAATGGAAGCATTTACTTCTGAGTTTTCGGCATTCAAGAACCGAAATGTATGACAATGGAGGTGTTTGGAAACCAAGGTTCCACTGCATTTTAATCTTATATGTGCAGGGAGGGTTTTTTTATGAACAGGTATTATTTAGAATTTTTTTAAATCAATTTATTCTGCTGACTGTACAAACTGATCTTTAGTGTGTGGGGGGGTTATTGTAACTTTTATAGAGCTGAACAGAAGGGGCAAAAATAAAGAGCAGTGTACCCCCCCAAAAAAGATCCAATTAGTTCAAAAAAGAGAAATTTAAAAACAGTGTACTTCATGGTCTTGGTCACAAGAAGTTATTGCAGAATGTATCGTACAATCTAGCACAGGATGGAAACTTAAAAAATAATCACCTTGGCTTGAATCCTAACATTCCTTCTGTGAACATAATAGATTTCCCTCTTGTGACTTCTATTGCTAGTCCTTCTACATGCCCCAAGAATCCATTCCTGGAGTTGGAGAACCTATGTGATAGTTATGGGATATGGTACAGGGGTTGAAGATGAAGCGGGGAATTGGCAGACATCGCCCACCTCCTATTATTATCCTCAATTTATTAATCATCTTAATTGAGCCTTAATTAATCCTTAGTTTAGCAATCACCTCATGGTGATGAATAATTAAAAACAGCAAAAAGAGAAGATCAATTTATAACAAAATTAAAACGATTCAAAATAGACACTCCTCTCAAATACTGATTGATTCAGCTGGAAAATATTATTATTAGTGAATAGAGGAGCAACTTAGGATCTAAGGCATAGTTCATTTCAAGTACTATCTTACACTATTTATTTGGCTACAAATAATGCAAGTTGTGTATTAAACTGGTTGACTTCTCAGGCTACAAACTTAAGACCTGAAGCAACAGGTCCATGAGCTCTGCACTACTGAGGTGGCAGGATTCCTAAATGTGCAACATAACGAATGAAACTTGAAAGAGCCTAGGGCTCGCCGATCAGAAGGTTGGCGGTTTGAATCCCCGCAAAGGGGTGAGCTCCCGTTGCTCGGTTCCTGCTCCTGCCAACCTAGCAGTTCGAAAGCATGTCAAAGTGCAAGTAGATAAATACCTTCTCTGGCGGGAAGGTAAACAGCATTTCCGTGCGCTGCTCTGGTTCGCCAGAAACTGCTTAGTCATGCTGGCCACATGACCCGTCGCGGGGATTCGAACCGCCGACCTTCTGATCGGCAAGTCCTAGGCTCTGTGGTTTAACCCACAGTGCCACCCGCGTCCCTATTTGTATATATAGCTCAGAATAAATAATATTGCACTGAAGAACCTGGAACTCTGAGCGTTTCTGCTAAAGCGCCGCGAAGAATTCGCGACACAGTTCTGAACAAAAAACCTTGCTTAGACTACCCAAAAGACCACAATTCAGTAACTTTGACAGTGTTATCATATTTATGCTTTTGGAAGTATCTCTCCCTACCTGAACAGAGCTTCTCTACAGCTTCTATTGTTAATAAGGAAACAGGATACGCACCTCACCATTACAATCAAAACAGGTTTCTTAGATTGGTAAGGTATTTCTAGGTTATGCTACCAATCTTTAGGCTCCTCTGGCAACAATGTCCTTTGTCCAAGTATTCGTGTTTTGAGGGCCCCATTGACTTGGGGTTAGTACGTGGAGGGCTGCATGCCAGCAGTCAGCTGAACTAAAGCAAAAAATGTGCAGAAACAGTAATGGCTGGTGCTCATTGAGGCTAGTATGGTGGAAGGCAGTATGACCAACAGGAGGCAGAGCTACAGCAAATGGCAGGAAGAGTCAATTAACTCTAGTTTTGTCCCTATCTTCATCCCTGCTGAGTTCCACAAGGGCAACATCAGGACTAGCAGGAAGAAGCTGACAGGCAGTGCCACTCCTTGGACTGGTTGTAAAGTAGGAGAAACTGGCTGAGGCCAGGCTGACATTGTCCCTTTCTCTCTACTGGACAAGCTTCCACCAGTCAAAAAACAAAAGCATTTTTTATGAACTAATTTCGAAGAAAAACCACCACGCTAGTATTATGGAAAGCAACTGAAAGTAATTCCATACATACACACACCAAGACTTTAGAGTAGAGGTTCCCAGACTTCTTTGGCCTACTGCCCCCTTTTCAGAAAAAAAAATAATACTCAGTGCCCCCCCTGGAAATATACCTTCTTTAGGCAAACAAACAGAAAGATGCACCAACAAATTTGCATTCTTTGATGCATCTAGATTTCTACCTATGTCCTAAGACATAGTAAAGAAAGACATTGCTGTAAATAAGACACCTTGAAGCTTGAAATTATAAAACCATTTATTAAAATAACCATAGTAACATCTGCATTACACAGAGAAAATGATGATAACAAAGGATAATATTAAAACAACAAATTACAAATAACACTTCCCAAGCCTGGGTGAACCCAAAAACGGTTCACTCAAGCCTGGGAAAAACACACAACCGCCAGATCCAGGAGAAGCATTGCCGCCATCCTGCAACGGCGCCGACCTGGCGGTAAGTGTCATTACACAACAGATGAAACCTGTAAGAACAGTTCTTCAAAATGTTCTTCTCTTCTACCTTTATGCTTCTACCACCCCCTTATTTTTATCCCAATGCCCCCCAATTGCACCCAAGGCTACTACCACCCTCTGGATTGTTCCAGTGTCCCCCAAGGCACAGTACTGACCACTTTGGGAAACACTGCTTTAGAGTGTTACACACAAGAATGGAAAGAGGAAGAGAGAGTTGGCAGAAGCCTACCAGTCTGTCCTCTGATGGGCTGGGCAGGGGATCTTCCTAAGCCACAGAACCAAGAAAAAGCTAAAAACAGAACTGCAACTTAAATACTATTGCTTCTCATGGATTTGAAATTACATAAAAAGACAAGGATGGGATTAAAAACAGCATGAGGAGAAAGTCAAAGATAAATGCATAACTAATTTGGAATCTGGAATATATATATGAAGATTTTAAAGTTTAATAAAAATTTGACTCTGAAAAGCCAGGGGAAACATTTTTACCTGCTATCTGTTTTAGAAGAGCACTCTTATGTCCATTAACAGCAGCGGCGTGAACTTGAGATGCTAGTGAGGAGCCACTGAGCAGCCAAGCCTCAGAAACATTCATACTCTTCTCTGAGAGTTCAGATGTTAAACCTGCATTGCATAAAAATATTATTATTATCATTATTATAACGATGATGGTTACTATAACTTTGTGCAAAAAAGAATGCAGTTTTATTGATGCAACACTCAACATATTTTCATACTTTAATTACATTTTTTTCATTTTTCATTTTTGATTTTCAAAGCTTGACTCTTCTATACAAGCTTTACATAGCAATGGATTCAGTTCACAGCTACGTAGTTATCAATCAAGAACCTCTGCTATTATTTTAATGCAAACTACTTAATTTGTCCCACAATTCCACTTCGTTTCGACATACTTGGGAGTTAATTTGAACTCCCATACTGAGCATTTAGGACCAACAAGAGGCATTAAATTTGCACATTCAATTCTGTGAGGAAGAGAAAAATAAATGATTTATATTCACGGCAAACCTGATTCAAAAAGATGCTGCTACATGGCAATATGCTACAGTGGAAAGACTAACGCTTAGGCAGACAATTTTGTCACCATAGGGAGATGGGAAAATGATTAGAAGTCTTAAAGTCTCATACAACCACATGACTAATCATGGATCAACATGAATAGATATTAAATAATAAACTTGGGGGAAATAAGGACGTTTAAGCAATGTTTCAGCAGAGCCAGCGACAGAGAGCACTGTAGCTATTAGATGCAATGAGAATTTGAGACGGTGAGCACAGAAATGGATTTGGGACACCTATATAAAATTATTTCTTAGTCGTTAAGCTCATGGGCTGGCCTTTGGCAATTGTGCTTTAAGCTATCTCAAATAGGGAAATGGGAGGGTCGGGATTCTGGTTCCCTAGCACCCATCTCCTCTCTATGTAAGGCACACTATCCACCTCCATCTATGTCTATCTCTGCAATAGGACTTATTTTAAGTTTATTGTCCACGCAACACAGACTTGGGTAGCCTATGTAGTTTTCAACAACTAGCCACCTTGTTATTTTATATTTCTGTGCTGATACTTCATAACACAAGCCCATTTTTCCTTACTGTCCACCATTTTGTGTAAACAATAAACACTGTGTAAATAAAGATTTTATTTTGTATTCATCAGTTCTTGCCATTTCCTTCAAGCAAGCAAGACAATATTGGCATTTCTTGATTAGTAGTAAACTAGTGCAATAACCACTGCAATGTGATTATCATCTCCAGATTAAAGGTTATTTAAGGGTCAGTTTCATAAACACATGTGTATTTGAGAATACACACAAGCAGATCTATTAACAGCTTTTCAACAGGGCAGGCTGTTTGAAGCATTACTACCTAAGTTATGTGACAACTTCACTTCCATTTTGTTTCCAAGCCCAATGCAAAGTGTGTTTTGATTATTAAAGTCTTAAATGCTCTGGGACCAGGATACTTTAAGGGCCAATTTCTCCTATATAAGCTTGCCCACACATTATGCTCTTCTTAGTTTGTGTGTTTCCACACAGCTTGAGGTACAGTAGGTACAACAGGCAGAGTCTTTTGGATAGCGGCAAAAATGAATGAGAAATTTAATGTTAATCATTGTTGTCTTACAATGACTTCATTGGTTGACTGTCATTTTATCATTTAAAAATTCTTCTATCATACTATTAAACTTTCGCAAGCTACCATATAGATCCATTGTAACCTAAAGCAAATAAATGGACTTAAATAAATAAATTATAATTTGTGGCCCTTTATTTATTATACTGAATATATCAGTCAAAGCTAAGAAAAATGAATCTTCACTTGCTCAGAGGTTTTAATGGACAGGGCAAATTTCTACAATGTGACCAGGCAACTTTACTTGTAAAAACTCAATAGCACTAACTCTCTTAATGGACCTCATGTAGGGTGGCCAGATGAAAAGAAAAGAAAAGAAAAGAAAAGAAAAGAAAAGGGCTCCTGCAATATTAACAATTGTATGGAACTACACCTGCAAGCTGCACCAGCTGAAATGTTCACTTCTACACAACTTTAAAGATGAAGGAGTCCTGACCTTTTTCCCACCTGGCCACTCAACCCCCAAAACTTATCTCTGTACATATCACCAAATGTTGTGGTAGGAGCAATACTGCTGCGACCCAAATTGTGCACCTTCAGCAGCAGCAGCAGCAGCAGCAGCCCAATACTCTGAAACTGAGCATGTAAAGCTTTTCCAGGCATGAAAATAAGTCCTGAGCTGCTTAACTTTTGCATCTCATGCTACTATTAAAGTTCTAGGAATGGCACCGGGGGCGGGGGGAGAAACCCAACTTCATGTGATATTCATTCACACACCGTATTTATTCGAGTCTAACGTGCCATTAAATCTAAGGCACATCTCAATTTTCAAAACCTTGAAACCCAAAAAGTATTTGCTGGCAAATGTAAATGCACCATTGAATCTAATGTGCACCCTAATTTTCACAACATAATTTGGCAAAAAAAAATGTGCATTAGACTCGAGTAAATATGGTATGTGTTCTCCCATCTTTTTGTTTACTTTTAACAAAAGCAGCCATGAGAATGCAATATTGAGGTGAGAGGAACAGATTCTTACACTTTTTATCTCCATAGGGCTCCACAACAAAATGTTAGAGTGTATACCTGGTATGTGTTATCTGAGCCACTGGATCAGGGATTATTATTTTTTTTAACTACCAAATGAGTACCAAAAACACGAGTCCCTGCCCTAATGTGGCTTTTTATGCTTTGTGCAAAATTCCTTAAAAGGTTCTGAACAAGTTGAGTACAATTGTGGTTGATCTGGCCTGGGGGCAGAGGTTGGAGGAAATATCTGAAGAGGCAATTCAAGCAGACTGACCTCTGATACAATCTGAAAAGTATTAAAGTTGCTGGGCCGGGGGGCGGGGGGCGGTGACTGGCAATCCAAACCCAGCCTTACCTCTTGGTGTGCAGTATTGACCTTGCAGGACTGCTCTAAGCTTTTCTATGTCAGCACAGTCCTGCAATATGGGTGCAGACTGAACTACTCTGCTGCAGGGCTGTTGTATACTGCTCATTCAGCAAGGTGGGGATAATATAGGAAATAAAATGAACTGAATGAAATTGCAGGGCTTTTGCACTCTCAACATTTCAGGCCAACACTCAGTGATTGACAGGGATCAAATACCGGTAGACAACACTACATGTTTATTATAAACCACTTGGAGCCCAATCTACAATATTCAGTGTGCACTACACTACAAGGCTGTTTCCAACCTGCTATATGAATAATGAATTAATTTGGTGTGGAATGTGCATCTGAACATTTCTAAGAATCAGGTTAGAAACTCAAGAAACTTTTCTCTATGCTGTACCTTTTGGGATAGGTCACTGGGGTGTTCAAATGCATCTTCAGGAGCTGTGTATAACAGAGGCTGCTGAAACTTCCTCTTCTCTACAACTAGTTCTGCTGAAGGAACCATGCCTCCTTTTGCATCTGGTTAACCTATCAGATAAACTCCTGCTCATTCCTAGCTACAGTAAAATCTTGGATTTCTCCATTGAGTTCTACAGGTGAAACTCGAAAAATTAGAATATCGTGGAAAAATTCATTTATTTCAGTAATTCAACTTAAAAGGTGAAACTACTATATGAGATAGAGTCATGACATGCAGAGTGAGATATGTCAAGCCTTTATTTGTTATAATTGTGATGATTATGGCGTACAGCTGATGAAAACCCCAAATTAACAATCTCAGAAAATTAGAATATTCAATGAAATCAGCAAAACAAGGATTGCAAATAGAGCAATATTGGACCTCTGAGAAGTAGAAGCACGCAGTACTTGGTTTGGGCCCCTTTTGCATCAATTACTGCCTCAATGTGGTATGGCATGGATGCCATCAGCCTGTGGCACTGCTGAGGTGTTATGGAAGACCAGGAAGCTTCAATAGCAGCCGTCAGCTCTTCTGCATTGCTTGGTCTCATGTCTCTCATCTTTCTCTTGGCAATGCCCCATAGATTCTCTAGGGGGTTCAGGTCAAGCGAGTTTCCTGGCCAATCAAGCACTGTAATCCCATGGGCATTGAACCAGGTTTGGGTACTTTTGGCAGTGTGGGCAGGTGCCAAGTCCTGCTGGAAAATGAAGTCAGCATCCCCATAAAGCTTGCCTGCGGAAGGAAGCATGAAGCGCTCCAAAATCTCCTGGTAGATGGCTGCACAGTGGACCAACACCAGCTGATGACATGGCTCCCCAAATCAACACAGACTGTGGAAACTTCACACTGGACTTCAAGCATCTGGCACTGTGTGCCTAGCCATTCTTCCTCCAGACTCTGGGTCCTTGGTTCCAAATTAGATGCAAAAGTTGCTCTCGTCAGAAAAGATGACTTGGGACCACTGAGCAACAGACCAATTCTTTTTTTATTTAGCCCAGATAAGACGCTTCTGACGTTTCTTGTTCAGGAGCGGCTTGACAAGAGGAATACGACATTTGAAGCCCATCTCCAGGATCCTTCTGTGCGTGGTGGCTCTTGATGCACTAACTCCAGCCTCAGTCCACTCCTTGTGAAAATCCCCAACATGTTTGAAGTCTCCTGGCTGCGGTCATCCCTGCTGCTTGTGCACCTTTTTCTTCCACACTTTTCCCTTCCGCAGAACTTTCCATTAATGTGCTTCGATACAGCACTTTGGGAACATCCAACTTCTTCTGCAATTACCTTTTGAGGCTTTCTCTCCTTATGGAGGATCTCAATGATGGCTTTCTGCACAACTGCAAGGTCAACAGCCTTCCCCATGATTGTGCTTCCTACTGAACTAGACTGAGAGACCATTTAAAGGCTCAGGAACCCATTACAGGTGTTAGGGATTGAATAGCTATTGCACCTTTTCACAATATTCTAATTTTCTGAGATTGTTAATTTGGGGTTTTCATCAGCTGTACGCCATAATCATCACAATTATAACAAATAAAGGCTTGACATATCTCGCTTTGCATGTCATGTGTCTAACTCATATATTAGTTTCACCTTTTAAGTTGAATTACTGAAATAAATGAACTTTTCCACGATATTCTAATTTTTTGAGTTTCACCTGTATGGACAGTTCTCATTCTCATTCCTGGGGAGATTTAAAAGTAGCTTTTCAGTGTGAACCAGGAGATGAGCTATCCAGACAAGTAGAAAACAATTAGAAAGTTCTTTGTACACTTTTAGTATGCCAAGTGTCTCCTCTTCCCTTTTGAGTCACTCCATTCTATTAAACTTCCACACCAGTGTCAGATAGGTCACAGATAGTGCATTACATGTTTGAGGCAGTCAACCTCAAAAGTGAGTGGGATAGACCGGAAGTTACGGACAGAGGAAACAACTTACTTATTTATTGCATTTATATCCCACCTTTTCCTCCAAGGAGTTAAAGGTGGTGAACAGGATTCCACCCTCTGCATTTAATCCCACTAACGACCCATGAGATAGGTTAGGTAGTGACTGGCCCAAGACTATCCAGTGAATTTCATACTCATGTGGGGATTTGAACCCTGGTCTCCCATGTCCCAGCCTGACACTCTAACCACTACAGTGTGCTTGAAAGAAGTAGGAGTCAGAATGACAGAGTGTGAAGCACTGCTTTCTTTTATCCCTTATATATTGAATTCAGATTGTAATGCAATACATACAATATGTAAAAAATAAAAGCAGTGAGAAATCATACAGCATCTAGCACATTGCAATGGTTACAAGAAGTAGAAAAATCTTTAAGTGGTCTGCCCAGGTCCTCAGGAATTTTCAAGTGGTGCAAGGCTGGGGGGAGTTGGGAACCACTGGAATAAACTCAATTTAGATTTTCCTCCTTTAGTACCCGTGTCACCCCGGAGAATTTCAACCTTTACAAACCAAACATTTTCAGGGAATCTTAAGATCCCTTCCTTGAGAATAGCAGCATTTCCTATAAAGCAAGCTGCTTCAAAGCGGTCCACAATGTACAAAAAATGTTCTGGGGAGAAGAGGAGACTGTAGGCTTGCAGGGGTTCATCCTTTGGTGCAAGAAGGTGGTAAATCCCAGCAGATATGCTTGCACAGGAACAAGCTGTAATGTTCCCACCCACACTGGCCGTAGCCCACGAGTCTGAGGGCCCAGGTGGCAAGTGCCAGATTGGGCTGGTTGGGACCTGGGTTAAAATCCCTGTGGAGCCCTGAAACTCACAGGGCACATCCAAGATGAGTTTTGGCACCTGAGGCGGAAAATCCGCGCTGTTTTGTGAGGAATGAAGCCGCCTGAAATCTGGCGCCCAAACCTGCTGCTTGAGGCAGCCCTCTCTCACTTTATCAAAGGTGTCAAAGAGAACAACAACTACCAGACTTTTAGAAGACATCTGAAGGCAGCCCTGTTTAGGAAAGCTTTTAATGTTTGATGGATTACAGTATTTTTATATTTTTTTTGGAGGCCGCCCAGAGTGGCTGGGGAAGCCCAGCCAGATGGGTGGGGTATAAATAATAAATAATTATCATCCTCATCCTCATCTCCTGGCAAGGCTGATCCTGCTGCCGGGAAACTTTAGCGCAAGCCCGTCTCCTTCCCTCCCAGCCAGACGATGATGGGCTCTTACTCCCCGTGAAGCCCCCGCAAGAACCGCCGCCCCCGAGCCCCGGGGCCGAAGAGGCAGGCGGCGCGGAAGGAGAGAAGCGGCGCAGGCCCACCTTGGCCCGCCGGCGCCTCTCGGCCCGACGACCTACTTCGCAGGGTTGTTGTGTTGCGAAGCGGGCGGGTGAAAGCCGCTTGCCAAGAGCTTTTCCGAGGACAAAGCAGCGACAGAGCAAGAGGAAATCCTATGGCTACTGGTGGTCCTTATTCCACAGCGACCCCCATTGCCAAAGAAGGCGCCCAGGACAGCACCACACGCGCAGCCGGCTGCGTGCACACGTTCGCTCTCCTGCCCGTGTCACCTACCTCACAAGCGGCTTCGCCAGCTCCTCTCCTCGCGGAAGACACCCCTCCCCTCCCCCCCAGCGGCCCTTTCGCCAGCCCAGGCGACCCTTTCCCTCCGCCTGACGGGAAGGCGACGCACCCGCCCGTCAGCCGGGCCCTCGGGCCCTGCCGCTCCGCCTGGCGGCCAGAGAGGGCGCTGGCGGGAGCGCGCCGGGCCCAGCCTGCCGCCGCCGCTAACTCGGGGGACGTTTCCCGGCGTGCCTTCGAACCCGGAACTGGGCGTCGGTTCGCGTGAGGGGAAAGGGGGCGGGCGGGAGGAAGGGGAGGCGGCGCAGAGCCAGAGCCGACCTCCTCGTCTTCCTCCTCTCCGTGTCGGCGCCCGCCCGCCCGCCCGCCCGCCCAACGCGCACTTCCCCTGGAGGCCGGGGGGAAAGAGAGCCACAGAGCCGGAGCGGCAGGGAGACCGAGCCACCCACCGCCTCACGCCCCCCCCCCCCCGCCATGAGAGCTGCCGCCATCTTCCCCGAGCCCGGCGGCCGCCGCCGCCTCCTCCTCTTTCTGGTGAGCTGAGGGGAGAAGGAAGGCGGGCGGGGGGGGGCGGGGGGCAGAGCTGCCTGAGGCGGAGATACCGGGGGGGGGCGGGGGGTGTTGCTGTTCTGTGGGGGCGCTGGGCTGCGGGTCCTCCCGGCTCGCCCGGTATCCCTGTGGAAGCGGGTCGGGGTGGGGCGGCCGCTAGCGCTGGTGTGGCTCAGCCTGATAGGCTGCCGGCTCCTCAGACCCGGAATCGGCCCGGCAGCCGGCGTGGGGGCCCGGCGAGCTGAGGGGAAGGAAGGCGCCTCGTTCCGGGCTCCCCAGACCCATCTCTCCCGGGGGGGCCCTGGGGGCTTCAGAAGAGGGTTAGGGGAAGACGAGCCACGGCGACTGTGGCATGGCTTACACAGCTGGAGGCAGCCACGCTGAAGTGTATTTTATTGTGTGTTTGCGGGTCTCCTCTCTCTCTATCGCGTAACTATGGCACGAAATGAGTTGCGCTGCTTGGATGCCTTTGGTCCGAGATGTGGTTTAAGAGCCCAAGAAGGCGTCGTGCGAGGCCTTGGTCTACAAAGTTGCCACCTTCTAATTTGCTCCAGACCCGGAGAGGGTAAGGGCCGCTTCTGCACCTGCAGGGTGTAGGTGGCTGTCCGTTATAGGGATTCAGACTTCACAACTCCTCAAGGAACCGGGATCCCAGCTAGGACTTGCGGCCGAGAAAAACCGGGGTTGGGGGGGGGGAGACTTGTTTCGGACACACCTCCCCCCCAGCCCCAAGTCCAGTTTGAAGTGTGAAAGTCAGGCTATGTCAACCTGTGGAACTTGCTCCGACAGGAGGCAGTGATGACACCAACTTGGATGACTTTACAGGAGGATTAGAAGAATTTGTGGAGGAGAAGAGGTCTATCAAGGGCTACTAGCCATGGTGGCTATACTTTTCCATCCACAGTTGGAGCCAGCAATGCTTCTGAATGCTAGTTGCTGGAAACCACAGGTGGTTTGTGTGTGTGTGTGTGTGTGTGTGTGTGTCTGCCTACCTGCCTGCCACTGTTCTGTATCACTTAACTAGTGCATAAAATAAGTGATGCTGCTTGAATTTTTTGGTCAAAGCTCTTTTGCTCTGAGGTGTGATTAAAATACCAAGGCAGTGTTAAATGATGTCTGGGGTGCAAAATGCCACTATCTAATTTCCTCCAGACTCTGAGAAGTAAGGATCACTTCCATATCTGTTGAGTAGGGATGGCTTAAGGTAGGCCCAAGACATTTTGGCACCTGAGGCAAACCACAAAATGGTGCCCCACCCCTCTCCAAGGAAGAAGGGGTGAGGGAAGATCTACATCAGGAACATGGAGGGAATAAAGATTGGGATTTGCTGCCCCTGGGGATGCTGCCAGCTGAGAGATCACCTTACCTCATGGGTGAACTGGCCCTGGAGAGTGCTTTCTGTTACAGGGATTTAAACTTTATAACTCCCGAAGAACAATGGTGCTCAGTCTGTTCTGGCAGGAATTGGTTTGTGTGTGATGCGGAGTTGGATAAATTTAGAATTATTACTATTCTGTGCTTAAAATGAACGATTTAAACTGTCTGAAAAGATTATTTGATAACAACTCCTTCCTGCTTCCTTGTGTCCCTGACTGACCCTTTTGATCATTCTTTGTCTGAGAGGTAATTCTACTGTGACATCCCTGTACGAAAGATGCAAGTATAGAGTTGGCTGGGATGTAGGGAACAGCTACAGTTGGGGGACTTCATCACATCAGTGAAAATCAAATTTTAGTCTGGTGCATAGATCTACAGAGTTCAGCTTCTTGAAATAGATCTGCAATATCCATATATCGGGCTCTTTTTTGGCCTTTTATAATGATAGCTTTTTCTGTACCTCTTTCTTTAAGGTTAGATGAACTTGGACTGTGACATGAACAAACCAATAATTCTGTTATTGCTTCTTTCAGTGAAACATTTGGGAACCTCTTTAAGAGGTGGATGATAATGTGATGGTTGGCTTGTCAATGGATAGGAATTACTGATAACAAAAAAGAGGAGTGAGAGTTGATGGCCCTTAGGTTTGATTCCCTAGGAGTCACACAGAGCTATATTAATTTATGGAAACTGCAGTTGCTCATAAGAAGTTTTTAAACAATTTATCATGACTGCTTCTCTTATAGTCTGATTCACACATGCATGCTTAGAAGTCCAATTGATTACCTCTGGGCAAGTATGCTTAGGATCACAGCTGTGGTTGCACCAAAAAAAAAAAAAAAAGGAGTTAGAATGGCATTAACTACTCACTCCTTTCTTTCCTGTGGTTGCAATGTGCTTTGTGTAATTTATAAATGATACTACCTTGTTGAGTTTCCTAAATCTGGACATGTGGGAAATCTATATTTACAGTATCTTAATGCTGAATCACCTTCATTTTTCTTAAACCGAGTAGTATTTACACAGAGCACCTGAGACAGGTGTTGAAAACTCAGATATATAAGCTGGGCACCAAATGACTCCTTAAACCAGGGCTATGGTCATCAAAAAGGAATGTCTACTTGCTGTTTGGGATCCAGATGGCTTGAAAGTCATATTTTTCAATAAAAGTTTTTGGTTCCTGAAATGTGTTCTGATTGTGCAGATAAAATATAGTGGATCGAATTCTACAGAATGTGTTGTTAGTGTGTGAAAACAGGCTAGATCCAAGGATTCCCAGGCATACACCTCCAGATGGTGGAGACGTCTGGTGCTATTCTGGCGCCTGGGCATCTTGGTCACAAGTGGCCAATAGCCAGGTGCAAAATGTGCCTGGCGGATTTTGAATGCTGCCTTAGACATGGGTCTACAGTCCCGCAATCAAGTATGGTCTTTTAACTTCAGGTTTGTAATTCAAGGTTGTTTATTAAAATAAAGCAAGAAAAAGGAGATATCAGAAAGAAAACAGTAATTTCCTAACTGATTCTTTCTCTAACACCTTATCTCACTGTGACTTTCATCAGGCAGCAGCATCCTTACTTCATGCAGAGTGATTTGGCAGTGGCAACCAGGGTACCTTAAGCTATCCACTTTGAAGACATGCACCAAGTGATTTGATTGACAAGGGGAAAGTTGACACCCAAACAAATAGGTTTCATTGTAAGTTCAGAACTTACTCATTCCTTAGCCCATGAAAGTAGTTTTAGGTGGCATAAATTGGGAAGGTTGTCTCTTTGGTTCCTGTCAGACAAGTTTAAAGGGCAAAACAGCCTTGTGTGTCTATGTATTGTTAACCTTGTCTAATGGAAGATAGGTTTTTATCAGACATAATGCTGAAGGAACAAAGTGTTGAAGCAGCTTTGATTTTCATCACAGGTATTCATCAGATTAGTACAACAGGAGAATCCTGTAAAAATTGACTGGTGCTGTTTCTGTCTTTCTTACTCAACCAAAACTAAGCCATCTAATTTTATTATTTCTCATGAACAAGCAGAGAGATAAGTAGCACTTAAATGCTGAAGGGGGTGGGTGGGATGGAATATGAATCCGCCCTTTTCAAAAAGACTTGGCTTGTTTCAAATCGGGCCACAATCCTATCAAGTTTGGGTCTGACTCAAAATGCTTTCCTTTCTTGAGCATAAAAAAACAGCTGCTGAATCAAGCAAAACCATAAACAGTGTTGCCAGAGGAAACAAGAACTGGCCAAGAGATTTTGATATCTGGTTTGCACTTAACACTAAACCACATTAGAATGTGCCACACCCCTTCCCCCTTATCTCACATCGCCATATTAAAGGGCTTTGCTAGCATTTAGTTTCCCTTTCAGAGAATCATAGCTTAGCATGTACAAACCATAGAATCATAGAATTGTAGAGTTGGAATTGACTGCAAGAGTTAGCTAGTCAGCCATCTTCATAACCCATGGTTTGAAGTTGGCTTGTTTAAAAATCGTCTAGAAGATTTCAGACTACATTCTGTGAGTCTTACGTCATTTGAAGCCAGGATTATTTGGAAGTGAACATGAACTCTAGGAAAGTCCTTTTTCCAGCTGCATAGGAGAAGAGTAGGGGAGAGCACAAAAGTTGGAGGCTTCACTCAGGCCAGTTTGGCTCACGCACATAGTGCATGGTTTAATGTTATATGTGAACCAGAACAAATTGTGCTTGCCAGTCCTTTGTAGTTGAAAAAGACCAAATTGTATTTCTCAAGTTCCATTTCTTATTCATATGGTTAACAGAACTTTGACTACAAATTTTTTGCAATAGAGACCAAGGTATGGTGGGACTGAGTTGTATTAACCAGCTTCTGTAGTTGCAGAAATATCCCCAAAGATAGTAACATAAGAAGCTGTCTTATACCAAGTCATTAACCATTGATTCACCTAGCTTAGTATTATCCACACTGATTGGCAGTGGCACCCCAGATTTTCAGTCAAGGGATCTTTCCATGTTTACCTGGATATGCTGGAGACTAATCCTGGGACCAGTGTTCTTCCACTTATACTAATCTCTTTATCGTTACCACTATACTCTACTCTTTATTGTTAACATATACTTGTTAAGGATATACGTACTCTATCCTTAACATGTACTTTGAGGCTTCAAAGCACATACATTTCAATAATCCTTGAGTGTAAGCCAGGCACAAAAAATGGCACCCAGACTTTTAGAGGTGCTCACAAATGGAGAATCTTCAGGCACAAAATGTGCTGGAGTCCTGCTAATTTCAAACTCTGTACACATCAAGGCGACCTCAACTTCTTACAGCTTTTGTATCTGGATGCCAGGGGAATAATTATATGACATAGATGACCAGGCAAGTGGATAGTGAGCAAATGGCCCAGTTTGCATTTCAAATTAAATCAAACCTGAAAATGAAACAAAGTGTGGTTTAAATGAAGTTTTCATTATGGGCCTCTCTGGGTGCCAGAGTCTGCCTTGTTATGGCAGGCTTGTATGTCATGATAAGCCAGATTCTGGCTTGTTATGAGGCAGGTATGGGGAAGAATCACAACAAGAACTTTTCAGTAGTGTGCACCAGCATTCTGCATATTCACATTAAATGCTGTTGCGTTTTTTTAAACTGTGATCAAATGTGATGTTTGAACCAGCTCAATGCTTTGAAAGCTGTTGAGCAAATGATGCAGATTAAGATTCCATTTAAATATTGAGTGAGCCTTTAATTGAGTTATTACTGTGTGTTTTCTGCCGTCTCTTGAGCTGTGCAGTCACCTGATGATTAAAAACAAATTATGGATTTTATGGTACATGGCTCTGGTTTTGGAAGGCAGTTCCTGTATTAATTTCATTAGTGTATGGATTATGTTTCATGTGGGATACACTTAGGAAAAATGATGAATTGGGGGTATCTGAGAGGGTAAGGAGAACAATCAAATAGTGAACTTATGGAGAAAGCAAAAATTATAGAAGCTAGAAGAATAGGGAACAAAATAATTAAGAGCTTGTTTTTATTGATGACTGATCCATGTTGATCAGATCAAAGTACATTTAGAATATACTTGTATACTGTTGTATTAACATAGCTGGAAAAAAATAAAAATCCTGGTACTAGCATCAAATAGTATGCTCCATTCTAGTATTCCAGAGTTAGAAAAAATGCTAGTATTCAGCGTTATTTTTAAAGCCCAATATAAACATATTGTGTGTTTATATAAACTGATACAAACTTGCTGTGTGAGTTTTGATATCTGCAAGTACTGAATAAGACAGAAGCAACTAGGTAGTTTTGGTTTTGGATGGTGTTTTAAGTGACGCTTAAAGGATATCATAAATTGAGCTCATGGTATTTTGAGCAATATTTGTATATTTAAATGGGTACATGTTGCTTTGTGCTAATAAGTATGTTTGTAATAATGTGAGTACTTCCCTGTTCTTATTTCAGTTACCAGTTTCCACTCAGCAGTTACTGGTAGAAATTTTTGTGTACAGAGATCAAAGAGATAGGAGTCTACTTATAAAATGTGATTGTGGAAATTAGCTCACTGTTGTTCTAGGACTGCTGTAGTACTTAAAGGAGCATATTTAATAGTAGCAAAAAGCATGCTAACTTACAAAGGTTTATGCTGTTTGTGTATATTCAAGGACTGGTTTAACCCAAACATTCAGTGGAATCCTTGACACACTGCCTGATGAAAGTCTGAGTGACGTACAAAAGGTGAAACCAGGGAACATTGCTGAAGGGAAGAAAATTGACATGGAGACTTCTTAGGGAAGCGATAGATTTGTGGACTGACTCTTCCTGTTCATGTGGATTCTTGAGACGACTATAACAGCATTCACACATCATGGTAAACTGTATAGTGATGTAGTGTGCACAACCTGATCTCACCCACTTTGTTCATCCTTGCTATTGTGGGGAAAACAAACCATGATCCCTAATTTAGCATTGTGTCTAAACTGGGAACTGTGGTTTTGCTTCAAACAGCACTAACCGTTGGTTTGGAGCAAGACAAAGCACAGTCCTTGATTCCAAAACAGTAAGCTTCTTTTAATCTTCAGGGTAGAGCAAAACAGCTCAGCTCAGCACATTCATGTTAAACTGTTAACTGTGACATGCATACTGAGCCTCTATATCTGATAGGCTGCAAGGAATTAGAGTACAAGAATGGAATAAATATGTCTTCTAATTCTGTGGCTTCAATCTGATGCTACCTTTGGCCAGATCCTTAACTGTTGTTTTTTAATACAAGCCAACAGTTGTAACAAAAAGTTATAGTTAAGTAAAAATGTATCCGTTTTAGACTCCTAAGGAGTACAGTAACAGTTTTCAGGACATTGCCCTGTTCACCTTACATCCTTATTTCAGACATTGTGATACGTATCAAAATATCACAATGTTTAGCTGGTGATATATCATGATGTAGGAAGCCAGACATTGCTCAGCCCTAGTGAAGTGTGAGAGCAATTTTCAAATGAAAAGTGCTGAACCCTTCCTCTGGCCCACCCGTCCTTGTAACTTTTCTCTTACCTGGGCTTGTATCTAGTCTTGAAGCCCATGAGAGGGGAATGGGTGGACAGAGCTTCCTCAGCACTGCTTCGCCACTTGAAATTCTAGTACCATCACCCATGCCTTACAGCTGTTCAGCAGCCTACTTCTGAAGACTTACCTTTTTTATTTTCTGTCATCCCATCTTATTCTGCTGACCAACTTTGGTTTGCCCTGATGTACATAATACAGTCAATTGTAAAAAGGTTTCTGACCCCATTTTGGATATGTTGTAATTTCTAATTTTGTGTCTAGTAGCCCTTTTCACTTCAGCAACACCTTTTCTCATTAAGCTTGGTGACAGGAGGTTGGGTTTCTATTTAGGGCTAATTGAGAGAACTGTGCTGGAAATGTATGTAAATGGCATTTAAGAGAGGCTTAGGAGTAACGATTTCATGGTATGAGAGTTTCTGCAACACCGCTGTATTGGAGATTATTGATTTAAAGATGTTCACCTTAGATAGCCCCAGATCCCTTGTGTATGTACATAGTCATGTCAGGTTATATGTCTATCAATGTTCATATAGTACTTAAAAGCATAACTTTTGTAATACAGGGAGGTCAGGACCAAGTCCCATGCCCACCAGACTCTTTCTCCACAGAGCTTCTAGCAGGTAGTACCTGACTGCCCAAACGATTGAAGGAGCCCAGGGTTATGTTTTCAGTACTGATCTTCTTTATTCAACCAAATTTGTATATCACTTGATGTATTGAACTTTTAAGTGGTTTACTACAAATGAAATATTAAAATTACAAGCAATTCCATTCAGCTGGTGTTATTGATAAAAGGGTTAGGGGAGATCAATTGGCAACACTGCTTAGCACTGTTACTCTTTATTGTTAAACTCCTTAATATATTGTCTATCCTCATACTTCGAGGCTTCAAAGCGCATACATTTCGGTAATCTTTGAATGTCAGCCAGGCGCAAAAAATGACACCCAGACCTTTTGAGGTGCTCACAAATGGAGAATCTTTAGGTGCAAAATGCACCTGGCGCCCTGCTAATTTCGAACCCTGATACCAAGGAGCCAAATGGGCTCCACAAAAAGGGAGAGAGTGTTCATGTCAACAGCCTGAGTCATTCAGGTGTTCCAGGGAATGCCCAGGGCTTCAAAAGTAACACCAGTCATATCAGTTGGAAATTCCCTCAGAGCCGTCTGGAAACCCATTGAATCCATCTGCCCTCGAGGGTGGACCATCCTAATAGGTCCCCCGCCTGTTCAGAGGGGGCATAGTTCCCAAGCCTGGACCTTGGGGAAAAGTTATTTCAAGGGATGACCTGAGTCTGTCTGTCCATCTTAGGAGACGCTTTTTTTTGCATGCCACTACTTTCTGAGGTGGTTGATGGTTTTTCTGTAGTGGGTTCAGAGGGCTTTTTCTGTGGTGGTACCCACGATGTGGAATCCTCTGCCATGTGAAGTCAGATTATATACTTTTCCAGCAAGCCTTGGGTTTTCTTGCTACTTAGATTTCTCTCTTCGACTATAGCTTCTCTAGCATTTTATTGCTGCTCTTGTGTATTTTTTTATATTGCAAGTGTTGCTTCACATTATTGCTGATCATGAAATGTTTATACTACTAGCTGCTTCGGGTATTTGAACTGGAAAGATAAAGTCACTCTAAAGAAAATAAACTAGTTTGTGTGGGATTTTACGTGCACCTTGTTAAACATGTAGCAGAATTACCATTTTTTGCAGAAAAGAGCTAATGCAAGAGAAAGTGTTGTAATCCTGTTTAGTCAAGGCTAAACCACAAACGAAGTTCTAGCTAGGATATGCTAATGAAAACTACTGAAATATATTTAGCAATTTGGCCTGCTTAATGAAAGGAAACCTAACAATGTGTATTGCCTTGACTATCAAAAGAAATGCATTTTTTAGGTAAAGAGAAATGTCATTGGTTATTGCAGAACAAAAGTTTAAATTGTTCCAGTATTCAGGACATAGAAACATTTGTGATACTGCAGAATTGTTCTGTATGCCCACTGCATTAACCTTTGATTATCAGATGAATTTGATGTCTCGTTTAACCTTAATTAAGCACACTTCCCCATTCTGTATTTCAGCAGTATGTCTTTTTAGTTTTTCTAATAAATCTTGTTCAGACTGCAAGCTGCAGTTAATACCTTGCACCATAAATTAGTTATCTGTCCTCTACAGTACTGTACTTAAATTTTCCTTTCACTTAAATTGCTAGTAGGCTTAGAGTAAATTCAGCAGTAAAAGGGATATCAAGATTAAAATGAGAAAAAGAAGCTATGGATGGATTATAATATGCAGCAGCAATTGATATTTGGAGGAAACCATGGAAGGGTGGAAGGGAGGTCAGTGATTATAATGTATTGTTGTTGTTGATGTCTGAAGAACTGTATTGTTGAAAAAAATACAAATAACTTATTGGGGTTTTTTTAATCGTCTCAGTAGTTTTGCTCAATTTCTGCAATTTTCATCCTGTGCCAGGTGTGGGTGGGTGGGTTTAATGTAGGAAATTCCAAAACTTTTCATTTCATTCTTAACCAAAATGTTTTAATACATTGTTTTGGCATTTGCTTTATTGGCAATGATACCTTCTTAACCTTAAAAAAAGCTTCTCCTCCTGTGTTTCCGTTTCCTTTTTCTTTCATTAGGTAGATCCAGCAAAATATTTAAACTAATCCTATGCTTTTGGGAAGGGACGCGGGTGGCACTGTGGGTTAAACCACAGAGCCTAGGGCTTGCCGATCAGAAGGTCGGCAGTTCGAATCCCCGCGATGGGGTGAGCTCCCGTTGCTCGATCCCTGCTCCTGCCAACCTAGCAGTTCGAAAGCACATCAAAGTGCAAGTGGATAAATAGGTACCGCTCCAGTGGGAAGGTAAACGGTGTTTCCGTGCCCTGCTCTGGTTTGCCAGAAGCGGCTCAGTCATGCTGGTCACATGACCCGGAAGCTGTACGTCAGCTTCCTCGGCCAATAAAGCGAGATGAGCGCCGCAACCCCAGAGTCATCTGCAACAGAACCTAATGGTCAGGGGTCCCTTTACCTTTACCTTTATGCTTTTGGGCATGTTTTAATTTTATTGAATTAGCATAATACCTATTTTGACCATATCTGTGTATCTCCTATTTCCACCCTTATATTTTCCATGGTTTACTACAGTTCCCCCCTTTTTTTGTAACTTATGTATTTATGTTCTTAATTAATATATTTATTCATTAAAATTTTATCCCACCCTTCCTCCCAAATGAGCCCTGGGCAGCAAACTTCAAAATGCTAAAGGCCCCACTATTTTAGTTACATTAAACCAGAAAAGAGTAACAAACATCTCCAGACATATATGTGGAGATCTTTCGCTTAACTTTAAGATTTATTTCTAAAGTAAAGCCTGGCAAGTCTTTTAAAATACATAAATGAATTGCCAGACTTAGCATTTTGCCCTTGCATATTTGCTCCTTTTCCTGGATATTAGGATGGACTTCCGTTGTGCCATCAACACTGTGGAAACTTGGATTGTGTTTCATATTTCTTGAGCTCACTGCACACGTTGAAGCAGCAGTGTGGATGTTTTGCAACAAAGAACCGTACACACGTGGACCTCTACCTGGGCTGGAACCCCTACAGTATCATGTAGATGTTCATGCTGAATATGTGAGAGTCACCTACATGACCCACCCTGTTCTTTTAATGCATGGAGCTCCCTTCATTATAATACAAGGAGGAGGAATTGATCAAGCAAGAATGATATGGATAAATGTCAGATTATTTATTAAAACGTGTGTACTTTTGCAGGTGTCCTGGTTTTTTAATCCAGCAAGAAGTGAAATAACAAGCCTTGATGGTGGGAATATAGATGATACTTTAAGTAAGTGTGCAAACCTTTGCCCTGTTGTTTTTTTACAAATACATTTGCTTTTCTCAAGCAATATATTCTTGAATTCATTTTTGGTATGTGTCCTGCCAGCATTCAGAGTCATAAGTAGACTGGGGAGAACACTGAATTGCTTTAAGTATTTCTTTATTTTCAGTTTTAGTTTGTTATGTGCATGTGTACTTTTGTTGGTTAGTACAGTATAGGACAAGATGACGCCTAAAGAGAGCTAATTTAATAATCCTAAATTGAGCACAACAGTGACAGATAAAAATTGCTTAAAAACTGCTTTTATCTTTGGAACTCAATAACACTGCTAGAAAAGCCTGGAGAAGCTTCCATAACACAAATCTAAAAGTAAAATCAAAGTTACACTGCAGTCCTAGGCACATACGGTATATCCAGAAGTAAGCACTGAGTTTAGTGGGGTTCACTTTCTCATCAGTATCCATAATTGCAACTCTTACTTCCCAATTATAAGTTTGGTTTTGTGTGTGAAAAGTGTGACTGTGTAATGCTAATTTTACCAGGACAGGTTCAAGGTTCTTACATTAATTTACAAGGCCACTTACAACTGCTGTCCAAATGTACGTACCTTTTCAGCATAGAGCAACACATTCCAGAAGAAAGAGAGAATAAATGGGGAGGAAAGTTAGCCTAGTAATTCAGGTTTTGTAACTGAAGCTAGCTCAAACTTTGAATTCATATTTGCTCAAATTCTCCATATTGCAATTCTGGGAGCTGTAATGTCAAGATTGATTTTTTTTTTGTTTGTGCGTGCCTAGTTAGGCCTTGGTTTTCTGCTGTCGCAACATTTAACAATAAAATGTCATTCTTTCCTTTAGACAATGCAGATGTTGCTTTAGTGAATTTTTATGCTGATTGGTAAGTATTTCTTTCATTGGACAGTTATACCAACACAGTACTTTCAAACTTCTGCAATTGTAAGACTCAAAACAGAAATTAGACAATGTTAAATTTATTATATTTAATTAGCAAAACATACAAAATATTTTCTCAATCTGCTTTTAAACTTCTACTAGATATATTTTCTTTGTGTCTAATGTAGCCTATCAGCATGGCCGGGTGATACTTCACAGGATTAGACCCTTAGAACTAGAAACTGCCTTGGGCTCCCCCGCTTGCTCCCCTCCGTGTGGGTGGGAATGAAAATCCACAGTAGAATTACTGCTTCAAATGGTGCTATATATGGAATCTCCAGATATTTTATTTTCAGTAATTGGACCTTTTTTTTGTATTCTCCCTTTCAACAGGTGTCGTTTTAGTCAAATGCTGCATCCTATTTTTGAGGAAGCTTCTAATGTCATTAAAGAGGATTTCCCAGATAAGAATCAAGTTGTGTTTGCCAGAGTAGATTGTGATCAGCACTGTGAGTAATCCTTTTTCATTCAGCTGTTACCATTTTAAATGTCTTGTTGTGCAAATGCAAGTCTTGAAACCTCTTTAGAGCAAGTACAAGCTTTTGCAGTGGTTTAAAAAGGATATCTAGTAAAACGAATTATATATATATTTCAAAAGAGAGGAATTTCTACAAACCTTGTATGTAAAGGCTGCCCATAACCTGCATTATTCAACACAGTTTCCCCAAGCTTGAAATTGCATTCTCTTGCAAATATGTTTTTAAGAAAATATAATAAAATAAAATGCAGGGGTTTGTGGTATTGGGAAAAGTAGGTCTGTGTATACTTTCCCTAATCTAAAATTGGAAAGAAATATACAGAAATCTCGTTACTTGTGAGGTGCTTTTTCAGCACGAAGGGGTCTGGTTCTGTTTTACATAGAAAAGCAGCCCTAACTCAGTGTTTGATACACGGTCATGATTCACGTTTAAAAGACAATGGCTTGGATCCTAAGATAAATGGATTCTATTCAAGGAGGTTCATTGAAGCAAAATGTCCCATTTCATTCTACGCCCAGCATCTTCCTTCTAGGGAGACATTTTTGGGCATCACAGATTACTACAGCAGGAAGAAGGGGGCAGGAAACATAACATGAATTTAAGGTATCTTGCAATCCAAGCCTTCAAGTGTTGGTTTGAACATGTTTGGTTTCTATTTGGCTTCCCTTTAAATCAGGATATACCGTATTTTTCGGCCCATAGGGCGCACCGGCCCGTAGGGCGCACCTAGTTTTTTTGGGGGGGAAATAAAGGGGGAAAAAATATTTTCCCCCAGGCGCAGGGCTGGGGCGGGGGAAGCCCGAGCTTCCCCCGACCCCAGCCCCCAGAACAGGCAGCTCTCCGCAAGCCGTGGGAGAGCTGCGCGACTTCGCGCAGCTCTCCCACGGCTTGCGGAGAGCTGCGCAGCCCGAGCCTGGGGGCGCTGAGGTTAGCACGCCCCCAGGCCTCGGGTGCAGGCAGCTCTCCCAAGGCTTGCGGATAGATTCCTGAAGCCTGGAGAGCGAGAGGGGCCGGTGCGCACCGACCCCTCTCGCTCTCCAGGCTTCAGCGAAAGCCTGCATTCGCCCCATAGGACACACACACATTTCCCCTTCATTTTTGGAGGGGAAAAAGTGCGTCCTATAGGGCGAAAAATACGGTATTTTTAAAAACCCTTAACTTAGATTTTTAAAAAAACCATCTATCCTCCAGTACACATGAGTGTTACTCTCTGTGCATCATAATGGGTACAGTTCGTTATGCCTGATTACGCCAGTAATGGGTATGGTTGACCCAGCCACAGAACAGCAAATTGAGCCATATAATGAGCTGCCATTTAAACTGTCTCATGTCACCTTCTGTGTTTACTGTATAGCATCACATACTATAAAGATTCTGAATTAAGTATTCTTTCCCCTTAACAGTAGACATGAGCTTTTTAATAATAAAACTCAACACCTTTGGTTTCCGAGTGTATAGTATACATTGGCTTTTAGTGGTGTTAATTGGGCAGAGGCATCATTTGCAATGCAAATAGCATTCCCCTTGTGAAACTGCAGTCTCTGTAGGAAGCAGAAGTAGCTGCTTTCACATTCTTAACTGCATTCACAGTGGTCAGGCTCTCAAATCTATCTTCTGTTTGTGCACTGGTGCTTAAGCCTACTGTGGGCCCTGGCAGCTCCATCCCTCCACTCTTTGAGGCCCAGCAAATTAAAAAGAATTATTGATGTCCTGCACAATGTTTGATACCTAATGACAAAATGTCATTTTACTTGCCCTCACAACCAATATAAAGATGTTCTGTTGGGAGGATGTGTAGATTCAATTCTTAAAATTCTGAAGGCATTAGTGCTTTTCTGTTTTACCATGCTTCTTAAAAGAACAAAAAAGCGAGAAGTGTAGAAAACTGGGTGCTGAGACTGTGGTTGATTGGAAGGGTCCAGATTTAATTGGTGAGGCTGCCTGGAAATTAAATACACTTTAATTTTTGGTTAACATGATTGTGCAGTTTTGTTGTAATACTGTGGGAAAGGGTTGGAAAAGAAAATAATGCCTTCTTCTTCTTATTATTATTATGGCATGCTGCAGATATAATGAAAGGAGTCTCTTAACAGTGATTAAACAATCAAGAGCAGCCTACCAAATAAAGTGCTTCCTTTCCTGAATTAATATGATCTGGTTCCTGGTAGCAGAAAGTTGCAGGTGTCTGCTTGAAACTGTCAGAGCCGTCTTTCCCATTGGTCTTAGTGGTTTGTTGCGCCAGGGTGCCGGCCTCTCAGGGGTGCCCTAGGGAGTGGGGGAGCTGCACGGCTTTGCCGGCAGCCTCCCCTTTCCCTGCGTGCCCACCAGCTGCGCCCCGCCAACTATATGGCTGGCGGGCGTGCAGCTTTCTTCCCAAGCCTCCGCAGGAGGAGAGCGATCCCTGCAGAGGCTTAGGAGGGAAGCTGCACGCAGCTTCCCTCCCAAGCCTCTGCATCTGCTAAAGACGGCCCTGCTGCCGGTCGTTGTCCTCCTCCTGCTTCCTGGCAAAAGGCGGCGTGCAGCCTTCCTAGGATGCCTTCTCGGGCGCCCCAACGCCAGAGAGCGTGTCCACCAGCATGTTTTCCTACTTGATCGCTGCCACCACACCAGGGATCGGGGCGGTGGGGGAGGCAGAGGACATGTAATGGGGTTTGCTAAATGTACACCTGTAGATCCCCCCTCCCCCCATTATATGTTTCAAATTATTCATTGTGCCAGCTATACCAGTTTCAGGTAGGAATCTTTTGGAAGTCAGCAACAAGTACTTTGATGAACAACACATGTTGTTGATGAATAAAAATCATAACATTGTTTGCACTTTTATGTTTTCAATTTTAGAAGTATATTGTAGTAGCTATAATTGTGTTGACTCCACTTGTATCACATGTCAAGGTTTAATGAAATTATTTAAGATGTTCACTGTTTGACTTGTGAATTAGTTCAAACAGCATTTCATGTCTTTGCATTTTTTATACTTTTCTGAAAGATAATTTCCAAAGGCACTGCTGATGGTATGCTAACCCTACTGTCTCTAGATGGTGGTTTTGGTAGTCTGTATACAGTTTAGGAAAACGATTCAGATGTTTGTCCATAACTTCATACATCATAAATGTCCCTCATCAAATTGTGTTCTGGCTTTGTTGCAGCAATCCTAGTTTGCATTAATTCTGTTGTTTCCTGATAATATTCAAACTGAGGAGCTCTGTTTAATGTTGGTTAGCAGACCAGGATAACATTGAACCAGAGTTGCTTGACTTAGCTATAAGAGGAAATGTTGGCTTAATGAAGCAGGATGAAGCACAGAGTGGGAGTAGGAGAGGAAGCTGCAAGGGGGAAAAACATGAATGAGGTTTAAGAAGCTGTTATTTACTATCTGAACATGGCTACTCTGAAGCCCCCTGAAGCGGGTAGGTGGGTAGGAGGCTGCAGACCAGGCGAATGTATTCAGAACTGCCTACTGTTCTTGCCATGGGATATTTGGATTCATCCTCCATTGATCTTGCAAGCTTACTTTACAAACTATCCGTTGGTATGGCGCTGTACTTCAGCTGCAATTTTTGTTTCAGATGGTTTTAACCTTTCTTGTCACAAGCTATTTTAATTGGCTGTTCACATCCCAGCAGAATATGATGGTTTAAATTATTTCCAAAATCTGGAATAACTTGTTCTGCCTTCTACAAGGGAGCAGAATTGGTTGTTTTGCTCCTGAGTTATTAGCCTTGGCAGTGTTCAGGTCCGTGTTCACTACAATGGCTCTTGCTCCCTTTGCAAGGGCAGATGGCCCAAAGGAAGCACAGGCACTAGCATTGACTGCATTCATGCAGAGGTAGCAGATAATGTTTCACAAGGGATGCAGGTAGAGAAAGAGTGGGGAACCCTTTCCAGCTAGAAGTCTGGATCCTAAGCTACTCCAGCCCTCATAGGCCATTTTGACAGATAAGCAAGGCTGGCTACCTCTCAGTCACCTGGTGCCAAAATGACCCTGATGTCATATAAGCAAAAAGTAACCCCCCCCCCTTTGTGGGAATGGCCCAAATTGAATTCAATTTAACAACACAAAGGATCTTCCTCTGCATATATAGTCAGCAGTGCAAAGAATATTTGCACTAAGTGCAGGCCCCACTTTGGATTGAAATTGGCTGCACTGTAGTCCCTAGTGGGCTACCTGTCATCAGGTTGCCAAGAAACAAATGGGAGCACATTTTAAGGCTTCCAGTTGTTTGGCATCAAGGTGTAGGACAGGTGGTGTAGTTTGAGGGAAATGACCTGATAGAAGAAGGGCCAGTGCACCTGTATCTTGAGTAGTGAACATCATATACCAGCTGTTTGCCAATTGTTGTGCTGTTTTCCCAATGAGTTTATCAGCGACTTCTCTGACATGGAACATGGTGTGACAATTATTTTTAGGTACTCCCCAGCATGTCCACAAACATTTGCTTTTCTGGTACTAAAGCTACATGTTAAAGCTATGGGAGATCCATAGCTTTAATACTGGCATCAAAACCAGTGGCATTTCCATAGTATTCTTTAATATAGGTACCATATTGACCAAGCACATCCTCACACATTCCCTCTTTTGTCCATGAAGTAAGATGGACATATGATGTTGAGACAAGGAGGAATATCGGTCTTCTTCTATTGTGCTCCAACAGGATACCACAGTTCATCTCAAGATACGGAAGCAGAAAGTGTGTATAGAGAGAACACATGTGTATTCCCTCCCCTGCCATTGATTGCATGGACTTTATGCAAAGTATAAGGTTATCAGGCTCTGGTCCTCAGATGCCTGTAGTTTTCAGAGTTGATCAACTTTAGTCCAGGTTGAAGAATTCCTAAGTGGTTGGATCTTCTTACCTTGTTCTCTCTTCCTCCACCCACAATCTAACTGGTTACGACTTTGCCTGTGGCTATTGAACAGGAGCACCTCTTGGAATTGAGCCCATCTGAGTAGGTGGTTCAGATAATGTAGACATCCACAGATCTTCCATAAATGTCCATAACTTGGACAGGGTTTGTTTGCTGTATAGTGTAGGTGTCAGACAGTCACCCCCATTGCTATAGAGGTACCTCATGTCTTTAGAATCATGCAAGATGGATTGGGTCAGGGTTTGATACACACACACCCCACACACACTAAAAAGGCAGCTGTTGGCAGTAGAAAGAGTTCTCCATACCAACATCGACAGCCCCTTTGCAGGGCACCCTTTTGTCAGACACTTATTCAAAGGAGCCGCCATTGTGTCTGAACCAATGAAGCATAGGTCCCCCCATTGAGATTTACTTTTGGTACTTGGAGGCCCCTCTTGGATCCATCTTTATAATGGAAGTAACCTACAAGTGTCAGATTCCATCTTTTGAGGGAAACAGCTATCACTGCAGCACTAGACAGTAATACACATCTGGAGTATGTACAGGGCAGCCATTTGGGTGAACCTTACCTCATGTTAGAAATAAGTTAACTCCTCTTGTAAATGTCTAACGACTCTAGTCCCCTCTGACTTAAATAACACTTGAGTCCAATTTTCAATTCTCTTTCCTATTTTGAGTTTAACTGTCTGATTCATATTTCTCTGGGATTGTTACTACCATAATCACACGAAGTATTTAAAAAAACCCTACATATACAAAATTACCTTAAGAGAAGGTTTAAAGAAAATTAAAGGTAACTGGAATTAGGTATGTCAGCCTCTTAAAATGTAGGTGATTAACAGCTAATTTAGCTAATTGGTTAAATTAGGTTAAGTGCTAAATTACTGCAGTCAAAACCCAATTAATAGTATGAGGTTCTTGAACAAGGGCAAGTTTGTGTTAAAAGTGTTTTAAAAGGTGCTCGTTTGCTAAGAAGCAAATTCTGATCAGATTCCTTAATGTGTGTACTGTACTTATTACCTCAACAACACTGGACTGACTGGACATCTGAAGTGCATATTGGGAAAACAAAACCTTCCTACACTTGAATTACTAGTCTAGCATTGGGGTTAAACCCTTCCCATGTTTCTGACAGTGACTACATGTCAAAACAAGGCATTTTGTTAAGGATTACTATTTATAGTACAATATTAACGGTTATTTATAGTACATGGTCCCAACTCCACACATTGGTATTTAGGGTCTGAAATACCCCATTAGTTAAAAGCAACCATACATAGAAAAAGTTGGGATTCTGACTGACCCATATTCTGGAATCTTGTGGTTTTAAAAGTATAAACTTTAATTACTTCTCTCATGATATTTAAAAGAAGAGGATAGCAGCATTATTGGTTAAAGAATACTAACTCTATACATTTAAATTTGCATATTTTCAAATGTTTTTTAATTATTTTTTCAGCGGACATAGCTCAAAGGTACAGGATAAGCAAATATCCAACTCTAAAATTGTTCCGGAATGGAATGATGATGAAGAGAGAATATCGGGGTCAGAGATCGGTGACAGCCATAGCAGATTATATCCGACAACAGAAAAGTAATCCTATTCGAGAAATACTCAGCTTGGAAGAAATTAAGTCTCTAGATGTGAGTGCCCCCTGCCCCCCGCTCTGTCTGTCTGTCTGTCTCCCTTTCATTTCAGTATGTTAAATGACAATGTATAACTTGGGAAATGCATGTTCACCACTTAGGAAGTTCTGCCTGTTTCATAGCTAGTGACAACTGTTACACAAATGCTCTATATTTGTGGTATTAAGCCACATTTGTATGTAACGCTAAACAGTGGTTGACTGTTCTCCACTCTGTGTGCTCCACTCTGTTAAGAATCCTGGCTCAACATGGACAAGTCAAATGAACTCTGAATTAAACCAACTGTGGTTAATTAAAGAAGTAAGCTTCATAACCCATGGTTCGGAGTTGCCTTGTTTAAATTGACTTAATTTAAGGGTTTTTTGACTCACAATATTTGGTTCATACTTAATGCTAAACTAGCATCCTTTGAAAAGGAAGTCGAATCCTTCTGGCTGCCTAGCAAAGCAAGGGAGAGAGGTGTGATTTTCTCAGGTTTCTTCTAGCATGTGCAAAAAGCAGTGAACCTATGACTTAACATGCAAACCAGCCCTTAGTGGCTTATTTTTTATGGCTTTCTTGATAATGTAATCGGATGTCAGATATGCTAACTTTAAACAAGTAATCCATTTTGCAACAAAGAGGGACTTTGTATTCATTATATATTCATAAACCTTTAGCGTATTCTGACACTCCATTTGGTCACAAATTGGAATCATTTCCCCCCCTGGCTCAAGGACTGAAGGTTAAATGAAAATTCGAGTTATAATGCCTCATGTGTTTTTTGTTACAGCACAGTAAAAGAAATATTATTGGATACTTTGAACACAAAGACTCTGATAATTACAAGACTTTTGAAAGAGTAGCAAATATTTTGCATGATGACTGTGTCTTCCTTGCTGCATTTGGGTAAGATTGTTGTTGTTGTTGTTGTTAAAAAAAATACAATGATATATTTGGGTAGCTCAAATACTACTGTATTAAATGCAGAAGAGTAGCATTAATCCACTGAGACCACACATCAGTGAATACATGATTCCATAAGTTATATTTCTCTAGCATCCCTCCAGAAATCCTGCTGACAGGAATCTTAAAAACTAGGGACACTTGCTTCCAAAATCTGAATTTGAAGGTACTATCTCCTCAAAGAAGCTACCCCATGCCCCGTTTTTGTAATCTGCTCGTACTCTGCCATGGGGAAAAACTATCTGGCTTGGTTTGCAGTAGAGACTGGGATACTAACTGTAAATCTGCTCCTTGCCCTGTATTTTGTAAGTGTACTTAACCTTGAGTGTACTTAACCTTAATAAGAAGATAAATTGTAACTACCTGTCTTAGGTCTGTTTCCAAACCAGAACGATTTAGTGGGGACAACGTGATCTATAAGCCACCTGGGGTGAGTTTAAATATTTTTCTATCCCTTATCCTTATATTTGATAAAGTAGCTAGCCCAAATCATGTAGTCCTCATATTAGATTTGGTGCTTCCTGCCAATTGGAGCATGTTAAAGTTGCAGTTTTCTAGTGAATTCAGCTATAGGTGTTTGGGATTTTTTACCGCCTGATTGTGGAGATGCCCAAGATTGAAACAGGCAATTAATATATACTCACCCAACAATATGCACATAGATATGACACCAAATATATGGTAGGCACCTCTGGTAATGGTGTTCCACAAGTTGCTTGCAACACACCTATTCATCCGCACATTCTTGAGCACTAGTTTTTAGTTCTAGCTCTATTGTAAATTCTATGGTAATGGTGTTTGTTTAGTATTTTACTGTTTTATTGTGCTAATTTTTAATCCTATAAACTGCTTTGTTTTGATTGGAAGCTGTTGAATAAATGTTTAGATAAATGAGATAAATAGATCTAAGTTATTGATTGTCTAGGTGTTTCAGAAATCTAGCAGTTGAAACTTCCAAAGAGGAAGATTGTGTAGTGATTCTGGAATTCCTCAGTAAAAAAAGAAAGCTTGGATGTGTGACAAACTTTTGACATATTAGCTACAAGCTCCACATTTTGAAGCCGTTTTAAAAAACAACCATATAACAGTGTGTATTGCAGAAGAGATCATTCACAAATCCGACTCCTTAAATTTAACAAAAGATGTAACCATTTTCTTCCTTATAGCACTTCTGGTTTTGAAACTTGGATTTAGCATTTCAGAACTAGTGTACACCTCCATAGCTGCCTTGGGCAGGGTGGGGGTGTCCCTTGGAACGGAATGTCATGAACAATACATACATTTCAAATTCTATAGAGAGTTAGAAAATCTTAGTAGTAAACACTGTATTATTGGTCATGGTACTATTGATGGTCCAGATCAGCCATCTATGTCTGGCACCTTTTTAAAGAGCCAAGCTTTCCCAAGTCTCAAAGATGCTTTTGAAAACAGCATCCTATTGAGAACTTACTCCCTCCTAGGTGTAGTGTCTAGGTGTTCTCTCCATGTGATCTTGCAGTATCATGCCCTGCTTTCCCATGCCCCTGCTTGATGCCTTTGGCGGCTGCTGGCAAGCAGGGTGTGAGGAACCTTGCAACATGCTGCTGCCTAGACTCTATGTCAGGGGTAGAAGGAGCTTGCCACAGGGTGCTGTGCTCTATGGCATCTCCATCACAGAACATTATAATATGTATATTTTAATGGTGCACAATGTTATTGTTTTTTCCGTACTGGTGATTTGACAAAACAACAATCCCCGTTTAACAGGAAAATGCTCCAGATATGGTTTACTTGGGCTCTATGACCAATTTTGACTTGGCTTATGCATGGACTCAAGATAAATGTGTTCCACTTGTTCGTGAAATTACATTTGAGAATGGAGAGGTAAGGAGTGTCTCATTGTTCAATATTTCTAGGTATTTAAGTGAGAAACTGTGATAAACATGTTTGGGTCTCAAAAAACCACTTGTCAAATGCTCTTCATTGACTTTATGATATCATAATCCCAAAGCTATAAAATCCCAAAGTCTGGTATATTCTTAAATTAGAGCAAATATTGTTTGTACAGAATGATGGCTTGTATTTGAATAGTATATACTGCATACCCTACCCATATGGTTATGCAGTGGCGGGAGGAATGGGGGTGCAGGCCGCCCCGGGTGCCCTCACTGATGGGGGGTGACAAAATGACAAAAATATGAGTTTTTTAAAAAAAATTGGGCTCATGAAAGTTCAGTCAAAAACATAATGAAACGTAGCTGGCACTGGGCACCACACTACGGGGGCTGGCACATACCATGGGATCTGCAGCGTGCCCGAGCCATGCGTGTCTCCTGGTAGTGACGTGGTGGCTTGCGCGTCTGCAGGCTCCGTGCTGCCTAAAACGGCAGCGTGGGACCTGCGTCTGTCCTCCGCCTCTCCCTCAGCCACCCTACAGCTGAGGGGGAGGCGGCAGAGAGGCTCCATGCAGCGCCCCCCGCCCCCACCCCTGGCTGCAGGGTGCACGCGTCACGCACAGCACCCGGGCGGCTAGCTCCACCGCTATGGTTCTGCAGATTTTTGTTGTGTTTTCTTGGTTGCAGCATAAGTAAATGTGTTAGTGTGGTGATCTAGTGTAAGAGTATACAGGAACTGAGGAGAAAAACAAGCTATTAGGTACAGGTGTCATGCTCTCCCCTCCCCTCCCCCCCCCCCCATTTATGTGCGTCGACTCATGCATGACTATGCTCAGAAATAAATAAATAAATCAGTTGGCCGCTCCTACCTACTGCCAAGATCCTCACTCCCTGTGCAGTGGAGCATGTTTCCATATAAACACACCAGCCCAGCCCCAGCTGCACATCAAACTCAAGGTGTGAGCAGGAAGGCAGTGTTGCCACACCCCATATGTACTTGCCCATGTGCCGCACAAGCTGCGCATCCCTGCCTCGGCCGCTGCTACCAATGCCAGGCCGCTGAGCCTCAGACAATAGAGATAGGCAGGAAGAGGGGACCAGAGAACATAGTTTGAGCTATATATAAAAATATGCCCAGTGAACAAAGCAACACATTAGAGCTTGTTGGTTTATTGGGTGGCTGGTAGGCGCTCAATCCATGTGCTGTTGTCCTGCTGGAATGGAAGGAACACCTGGAATAATTTAGGACTGAGGTGGTTAGCATGCAGAGCAGGGAGAGCACCTGAATCCTGCTTGAGGCCAAAACCTTAGCTCCCTTACCCCCACGTGGGTTACTTCTTCAAGGAGTTCTCACCTATCCAGACGGGCCCGAGTTTGGTAAATAAGTTAGTAAAAAGCACCCTGACATATCAGCCAATGTGTGCTTTTTGCTGTCTCCTGGGGTTTTGAACCAGTTGCTCATCATTGCTTTTATACTGATCCAATTATACCTTTTAACTACTGGAACAAGTAAAATTTTACTCCTCTGTTTTTAACAAATGATGGCTTTCCTTATTTGGTCAAATGTATATACCATGAACCTGATAAAAACCTGATTCTAGCTTACACTTGGTATTTTAATTTCCCCATTAGAAGTATCTGAACTCCCAGCTCATGAAAATGTTCAGCCTTTTTTTTGTTTTGGAGACTGTTCCCATGTTAAAACAAAGATTGATTTGAAGTGTTGCAGGCTCATCTGGATAGTTATATTTTGTACCGTGAAAGCTCTGTCCACTCTAATTTGAATACTCCTTTACATAATATGCCAAGAGTTGATAAACATGGAAGTCCTGCAGATTCAGCTGAAAATGTAAGGAAAAAGTGGTAGAAAACGGAAATCACTCTTTGCCAATTCTTCTCTCTCCACATAGGAATTGACAGAAGAGGGTCTTCCTTTTCTTATACTCTTTCATATGAAAGATGACACAGAAAGTCTAGAGAAGTTCCAGCAGGAAGTTGCACGGCAGTTAATAAGTGAAAAGGGTAGGTGTGTGTTGTTGCCTTGCACTTTGCCTTTAATTCCGTTTGTGTGTGTTGCCTTTGAATCCAGAAAACAATATTAATTGACAAATCAGAATTTATTTTTTTTGCTGTGAGTGAAAGAGATCCTCTTGAATGGGGAAGGGTAACCTGTAACCCTCCAGATGTTGTTGGACAACAGCTCCCATCATTCCTAATCCTTGGCTATGCTGAGTCCAACAGCATCTAGAGGCCCAAAGGCTCTCCAGCCTTGTTCTACATCCTATCTTCATCAGTGCCCACAGTGGCAGGTTTATGTTACAACCACTCAAGTCAGTAGACTACAGTCGGTCAACTTCCACATAAACGGGTTAAGGGTCTATAAGAATATAAAGACAAAAGAAGAGCCTTTCTGGATCATACCAGAGTCTCATCCATGGCCAAGCAGATGCCTATGGGAAGCCCAGAAGCAAGATCCAAGTCCAGGACATAACATTTTCCTGTGCATCATCCTCTGCAAACTTTGTAGCTCTCATATGTGATTAGGGTTATGTCCTCAGCAGCATAGGGCTGTTCTTTGCATTTTTGAAAATGGGCTTGGGGATCTTTAAAATTCATGCCTCATGTGCAGAGCTTTAAAATTCATGCTTCATGTGTAACGTGCTGCTATTAGTGGTAGCTGACTTGCTAGGGTTTGAGTCAAAATGGGGATGTGGGGAATGGAGCTACTTTAAGCAACACCTGAGGCTGCAAAACAGGTGCATGTGTGAAGGTGTTGAAAAGTGGTGAAAGCTGATGAAATGGGACATGGGATGAGCCTACTGATATCACTGCAAGGTGATATCTAACTCACACTTGCAGTAGATCAACTTAAATCAATGGACTTCAGTTACTTAAGTTACTTGGCCAACTCTTAATCTCACTAACACTGGATTCACGGTCTAAATTGACAGACCTTTTTTAAAAAAAAAGGGAAAAAAAGAACTGAGCTTGAAATGGAGGAGGTAAGGACAAGGCTAGAAGAAAAGCAATTGATAAATGTTTCTGACGAGTCCTTGCTTAGGATAAAGAAAGCTCACATAGAAATCTATATTAGGGAACATTTCTCCACCATGCTTCATCCCAAATTGAGAATGGAGTTGCATTGGACATGTGTAATTATTTCTACAACTGATGGCAAAAAATGGCTGTTTACATACTTTGCAGACACTTCCAGCTGTATTCCATGGCTTCCTAATGCATTTATGCAAGTATAATATGAATGTATGCAGTAGTTTCATGTTGATTATCTACGGACACTTTGTATGGTTTCTGCTTAAGTAGAAAATTCATCACCTTTGTGGTGGCGCAAGGTTAATAAATGGATGTTATAAAAAGAGTTCTTTTAAAATTGGTCTGTTGTGGATGTCAATCACATGGAAATATCTCTACCAACACGTGGACATATCTCTAGCAGTCATTATCTAAAGACCTGTTAAATATACTGTTGTTTGTTGCGACTTACATTTTTAAAAAACAAACTAAAGCTTGCTTCTGAATTTCAAGGTACGATAAACTTTTTACATGCTGATTGTGACAAGTTCAGACATCCACTCCTCCACATTCAGAAGACTCCAGCAGACTGTCCTGTTATTGCTATTGACAGTTTTAGGCACATGTATGTCTTCCCAGACTTCAGCGATGTGGCGTGAGTAGATGATTTCTTTTCTCTTGGCCGTCCAGCCTTGAAAAGAGGGAAGGGGCTCGTGTGGGGAGAAGGAGAGGGTGGACAACCAATGCCTTTTTCATATTACGTAGCAGCGTGTAAAAATAAATGCTTACCCCAGTCCCACCAGCCACTCTGGGTTTGGATGTATTAGAACAACACAAAATGCAATCAGCATTCAAGGCCCCTCATCCCCCAGTACAATAATTGAATGCTAAAATGTGCTGGATTTTAGAGAGCCCCCTGTGGGTATTCACACAGCTACCATGCATGCCGTTTCCCCCTTCCTGCTGTAGTTTCTCTGCACTGCTGGATTCTGCTCCACCTGGTCCCCCTGAGTTGCAGCTTTGGGCAACATACAGTGCTACAAAAGGAAGGAGGGGCTTTTGGATTCTGAAAAACAAGGGGCTTTGGATTCTGACCATTTTTTTAAGGAAAAGAAAATGGATTGTTCTGAAAGGAGCACACAGTAGATTCTCAAAGTAGCATAGGCAGGGAGTTGATGATCAGATGCTTTTGAAGAAGAAAACAAATATAAATAACTGGAGGGATACGTCCCAGAGGTTGCCTCTCACAGTGATGCCATTACCCAAATCTATGGTGCAACCACCATTGGAGCACTGTGCACAGTTCTAGTTGCCTCACCTCAAAAGGGATATTGTTGTTGGAAAAGGTTCAGAAAAGGGTTGCGAAGACGATCAAGGGGATAGAGCAACTCCCCGCTGAAGAAAGGTTGCTGTGTTTGGGATTTTTTATTTTAGAGACAAGACATAGCATGATAGAAGTCTATAAAAGTATGCATGGCATAGGGAAAGTGGGTAGAGAAAAGTTATCCCTTTCTGATAACACGAGAACTCACAGTGAAGCTGAATGTGGAAAGATTTGGTACAGGTAAAAGAAAGGATTTCTTCACGGAACCATAGTCATACTGTGGAATTTGCTCCCCCAGGAGACAGAGATGGCAACCAACTTGGATGGATTTAAAATAGAATTAGGCAAATTCATGGAAGAGGAGAGGGCTACCAATGGCTATTAGTTGGATGCCTATGCTCTGCCTTTACCGTTGGAGGCAGCAATGCTTCCAAATACAGGAGCAGAGAAATGCTTGTGTGCTCATGTTCTGCTCCTTGGGTGCGCACTGTGAGAACAGGATTCTGGACCGCATGGGCCATTGGCCTGTTCCAGAAGGCTAGTCTTACGTCCTTATGAAGTCTCACCCTCTGACTTGAACCATGATGGGGTGCCCCTCCCCCATGGACCAAGAGGGTGCAATTCATTTGCAGGACCAGTAGCAAGGGAAGTAGAGGGTTGTTAGCCCTGCCCTTATCTTGTATATTGTCATGATAGAGACAAATGTTTTGAGCCTCCTGGTTTGGGCTCCCTTCATATTGCAGTGTTATACTACTGTGTTTCCTAGATTTCTGTATTTAGCACTTAACATACTACTGGCTTAAGCCCCTAATCTTCAGCGTTAAGACACTGACAATATACAAAACACTGGTTGCTGTATTCAAGCAGTCTTTGGTGTGGGGAAACAGTAGATGATCTCTGAAGAATTTTAAACTGATACGCCATCAGTGTTCATCTCTGGTGTCTATGCAATTACTCAAGCACTGGAGAAGCTTTCAAAGGCATTTTTGTCAATACAGCTACCTGACAGTCATTTGTATTTGTGAACTGTGCATTTGGCACCTGCTGTTCTCTGCTGTATTGTAGTAAGCAGGGGGCTGAAGGGAACATACAATGAAGTTATTGGGTTGGCCAGCTCTGTGGGAATTAATGAAGGGAATAAATGCTTGCTGTGTCCTCAGGAGCAAGGAAGAAAAAAGAGCTATTGGAGTAGTTTGCCCCAGGCCCTAGTCTAGCTCTCAAGCCAGTATTATTGACTTTAAAAAAAAACTTTGGACATATGAAATATAATCATACATTTTTTATTTTAGATTTTGTTTAGGATTTAGCTATTTTCGAACGCAGTTTTTATATGAAAGGCTAAATGCTTTTTTCAAAGGGACAGGATGATTGTCTTTTGTAAGTCTAAATGCAAGCCTCCCATCCTTTTTATTAGCATAGAAAATACAGATTACATAGGCAAATAGGAAAAAGAACAAAGTGTGACTGGGAAAAGAAGATTAAATTGCTAGGAAAAGGATAGCTGGAATAATGGATAATGGACCAAAAGTAGAACCAGCAATACTGCAGTGCTCAGTGAATTCCATATGAACTTGCTTGATACTTGTACTCTCTTTGCCAGCATTTAAACATGCTCTTAGAACTATTTTTTTATTCCAGAAGGCAATCATATTGTATTGTGAGCAGCCTTAGGTTTGATTATATCATAGAAAGGCAGAGTGCCTCTTGCCAGACCCCAGAACAAAGGTGTCGTGAGCATTCTGGATTTTGTTCAACTTTATCATTTTTATTTGTGTGGATTTTTTTGTCTTTGTTTCAGTACTCCAGGTAAACTCAAGCAATTTGTACTAGATTTGCACTCTGGGAAACTGCACAGGGAATTTCACCATGGCCCAGATCCAACTGATGTAGCACCTGGTCAGGTAAGAGCAAGACCTTTAGTCCTGCCCTCCTGGGCGAGGTCTGGAATTGGCAGTATTAAAGCAAGCATGAGCATTCTGTTCTCCATGGGAAGACTGTGTGGTTCAGAAGGAATTATTTGCCATTTGCGGGGGGGGGGGGGGGATATTGATCTTTACCACATCAAAAGTGAACTTAAATTTATATATTGAATATAAGTAATTGTCATTAAAACCTAGTAATTTTTAATCCTGTACACACACACTATTTATTTAAACTACTCTTTTTTCCTAAGGGGATCAGAAAAACAGTAAAACAATATAAACATACAACAGTCAACACTCAGTGTCCCCAAAATACCCAGGAAGGCTAAGAAAGCCTTGATAGTGTTCTAACTGCCCTAAGCACAGTGAAGGGAGCCACAAAAATTTCCCAGGAGGAGACAGTTCCAGAGACAGTGAGCCATCCCAGAGAAGGCCCTCACACACATGGTCACCTTGTGAAAGGGGTTCTCTTAACATCATTGGGTCCAGCAATATTTTTAATAGATTGATCTACCATCTGCTTGAGGCTCCTGATAGTATTGTTCTCTGCTAAAGAGTGGCATTACCACTGCAGCAACTCACACTCCCTGTGTGTCAGCTTTGGCCAGGATGGGTAAAGGTCTAGGGCAGGGATGTCCCAACAGGTTGGTCGTGATCTACTGGTTGATCGCGGGGGGTCCGTGGTAGATCACAGTCAACCCCCGCCCCAATAATAATAATAATAATAATAATAATAATAATAATAAAATAAAAAAAGCTCAACAACTTTTGTCAATCCAATGGGTAGATCGCTGCCAGTTTTTTTATAGTAGGAGTAGATCGCAGTCTCTTGTAAGCTGAACATCCCTGGTCTAGGGCAAAGGTAGAATTCAAGTAGAACAAAATCCATCAAAACAGGGCATCCAAATGCGAGGATTTTGTCTACAAAGTGTATTGCAAAAGAGTTACAGCAAGTTGTCCCCAGGGAATTGCCTCCACAGGGAACTTTGATCTCCTGCAATGGTTCCTCTGGACCATTCTGTGTAGATGCAGTGATGGTGGGAAGAGAACTCTTGGCCACCATGGAGTAGGTTCTATAGTGGGCTGGAGCCAGCTGGGGGCCTGCCAATTGCCCCTGTTTCCGGTCGCATCCCAACAATTGCAACAGGGAGTTCCATTAGCGTGAGCAGTTTCTGAGCTCTGGGCACAATACTGCGCCTAAGATTTCAGATTAAAAGTGCAGAATGGAAGAAAAGGAAGACCTTTTTCTGCCTCCCCACTTCCAGCTACTCTGATGACTGGAAAAGAGACACTCTTAAGAATAGTGAGCAGGGGGCTGGGCAGGGGAAGGACTTGACCATGTGAAAAATGAACATAATATTTTTAGCTGCAGTTCATTCATTTTCAGCTTTGTATTATTATTATATTAAAAAAGAGCTCCTAGATGGTCCGTTGTTGTGCCCATAACCTAGGTTTAAGGTGCCATTTAGCTCCTAGCTTTCATATCTCAGTTTCTAACACTGGCATGACCTGTTGCCTGGGAGGACTTGGATGAACTGGAGTTAAAAACAACAACAACCCTATTAGCATACTTCACTCAGTAATAGTCTGGCTGACAACCCCCCACCATACCTTCCTGCTACCTGAGGCAGCTTCTGTGGCTGAATCCCCCAGAGCAACTCCCCTTCTCCACAAACACATTAGGCTAGTCTGAAGGCAGGTGAGGCTTTCATCTTATTGCAGCTAAGTAGTTCTGCATCTTGTCAGTGTCTGGATGGATACCAGATGTACACAACCTTGAGTTCCAAGGTGGAAGAAAGGCAGGACATAACTGTAATAAAATGCCAGCAGTCAATCCAGTTATACAGCAGAGGACAATACCAAAATCAGAGCTATCCAAACTAAACAGACATTTGCTTCAGAATAAGAGGGCCAGTGGTAAAGGTTGTGTTTAGAAGGGTGACTTGGGGAGAGAGGGTGTGCATGGGTGTCGTTTCCTGAAGACGCTTGAATGTGTTTGGGGGGGTGATCCAAGGGAGGAAACAAATACTGAGCGTGGGCAGGAGAGATGAGCTTTCTGTGAAATGGGTGCTCTGTTGGAGCAGAGAACTCGTGGGTTCAAAAGAGTGATGTTGAGTTTTGGAGTTCAGACTCCACCTCTGCTGAGCAAGTTTTTGTTTCAGTCTTGCCAGTTTCCCTTTCGGGAAATGGGTGTGTGACTGATGGCAACCATTCTGTGACAGTGCCCATGACATCATCAAATTTTCAAATGGGTCCAAAATGGTTAGTGACTCCTAGTCCATATCTTCTTTATAGCATATCTGTGATTTTGTTCTTTCCAGCCACTTCAAGACATAGTAAGCAGCCCACCTGAAAGTTCATTCCAGAAGCTAGCACCCAGTGGACATAGATACACCTTATTGCGGGAAAAAGATGAACTCTGAAAGCTCGAAACCATCTCATAAGCCTTTCAAAACAGCAGCCGTGACTCCTGTGGGGTGGAAATAGGAAACCTATATTTTCATAAATTCCCTGTGTTTTTATTTTGAATCTTTTTTTTTCTTTGCTCCCTGCGGTTTGTAAATACGTTAGTGTCATTTTGGACAGGATCTTTCCAAAGTTCTTATTTCATCAAACAGTTAAGTAAAACTTTTTTAAAAAATCCAAATGAAGGTGTTGACATGGCCAGCAACATGCTGTTAACTTGCACTATCCCATTAACAGGACTTCTAGGTTTCCTTTGGTGTAATCTGACCGCCTTATCCTTTACTTCCACATGAACATCATTTTGTTAATTTGTTTATTGATGGGCTATTCTGGATACTTGGGAGGGAAATAAATTACAATTTTACATAATTTGTGTTGTGGTTCCTTACTGTGTGTGTGTGTGTGTGTGTGTGTGTTTAAAGGAGTGGGAAGAGAATGGAGAAACATTCATCGGCCCTCTTACAAACTCAGCCACTGTGAAAGAGATGCTGGAAGAAAAGAAATCAGCTATGGGATAACTGCTTTAAAATAAAATAAAAAAACAGAAAGATGAGAAATTTTGAGAAGTGTACCTATAATAGTTATGCTTTGTAAGCATTTAGAAAATGTTTACAAGGACAAAGATGTGTTAAACTATTAAAGATCTTCTGACACTTTAAGCTAGTGAAAGAAAGAACTTGCCTGAGTGCTGCTTACTGTTAACATATCAGTATTTTCGTACCATTATTTTAATCTGATAACTTTTCTGTAAACTGCCCTGTGGTCCTCGAGTGAAGGATGGCATATAAATTTAATACTGGTTTATAAAAAGCCTGAACCCGTTCAACAGCTACTACTTTCATGACAATCAGTTTCAGTACAATTTGTTTGATAGCTGCCTTTTAAAATCTAATTTCCATAGCAATAGTTTTAATTGCTATCCAGATTGATTGGTAGACGTGACTGAACAGTTTGGAATTTCACACATTCAGAAAAAGATTGTGACAGGTCTCTTCTAGGGCACAGTGTGAGGTGTGGAAGAACATACAGTTCAAGTGGTCTTCCAGCATAAAAAATGTTCTGCATAGAAACTAGAACACTAGGGAACAGTTTTCACTAGAACCTGTCTTTCTGACATGCTTCCTTCCCATCTACAGGGGAATTTTGCTATGGGTGGGTTGTTGAGTAATCCTCAGATGCATCTCAAAGTAGTACAGTCTGAAGGAGGAGTGGGGTTTGGCTTTGAACTCCACTGCTACCATTAATAGTTTGGGAACAGTCTATCACCTGGAGCTCCATAGAATTATAGAATTGGTAGAGTTGGAAGGGACCATGAGGGTCATCTCAGTCCAACTCCCTGCAGTTCAGGAATCTTCTGCCCAAAGTGGGGGTCAAACCTATAACCCTGAGATTAGGAGCCTCGGTCTCCGCTGACTTGAGTGGAAAGGCAGCATGTAGATTGTTCCTCACCAGACTCTGAAATACAAATGAACAATTTTGCTTAATATTCAGTTAAAGTGTTTTTTTATTAAGGTAGCTGTACTGTGGTACAGATGGAGAAAAGACAGCTTGAGACATGGATTGCATGATGTTGTTTCAGACTTTGGTGGGGTCCTCACATAGAGGCAATGTATCATAGATGTGTCACATAGAGGCAATGGGTATCGCTCCTTGGGTTGGGGGGGTGATACGTTAATGCTGCCACCATGTAATGGGGGGGGGCGGCTTGTGTAAAGATGAGGTGGGTGGAGGCACTGGTTGCAAAACTTTGCTTTGTGCAAAGTCAGCCTTACATTTGACTCACATTTCAAGCAACCTATCACATCTTTAAACAATGGCTGATCTAATTGAAAATTGAGAGTAAATATGGGGTCACCTGCCTGTGCTTACAGTAAATTGTAGAAACTACTGTTAAACAATGGTAGGATCACGCTAAAGGGATTCTTGTTTGTAGTGGTGGTTTTTCATATGTGCACAACCTTTGGCAAGCAACTATACCAGATCAGGCAAAACACCCAACATTCTTACCAACTTCTGCTTGTTCAGAAGAAAGGCTTAACTTTCCAGCAGCATCTTTCCCACAGTGGCTAACTGGGTGCCTCTGAGACCAGTCCCCCCCCCCAAGAAGCAAAAGCAGGACATCAGCACAGTAGCCCTCTCTTGCTCTTCTTGCTAATATTGCCACAATTCAGAGGCCTACTGCCTCTGTTCCTGGTTGCAGCATAGAGTCATCATAACAGCCATGAGTTGAGTAGTAGCTTGATAGCCTTGTTGATATGAGCTAGTTTGATCTCATTTCCTCTTAAGAAAATAGCATACAAGTATTAAAATAAAATGGCCTTTCCACCCATTAATTTGTCACATCCTCTTATAAGGCACTCGATAAGTTGGCAGCAAATATCATAGTTTAACTATGTACTGTGTGGAGAAGTACTTTTGTCTGTCCTAAATATCCCACCATTTAGCTTCATTGGATGGCCCCCAGGCTTGCCAAAGCCCAAAGATCATCTGGAGGACTGGTAAGAACTTTGTTTAGTCAGACTTATTATTCTTTTAGGGTTATTTAATTATTCCTTTAAGCGTCCTTTTAAAAGATGGGATGGAGGAAAAAGAAGTCTAGGCCATCTGCTGCCTTGGTTAGAAGCAGATTAGCAGTGGCTTCTTTCACTGTTTTGTTAAACCACATTTCTTAGTTAACCCTAATTGCATTGTCAGACATGCCCCAACCATTCTATGAAGATTGGTTGTATTCAAAGTTTAGTGATGCAAAGAGATGCCTGTCTAATATGGTTGGTTTTGCCCCAGGAAATGAGCACTAGTACTACAAAGGAACCTGGGCACTTGGACACGTCAATCCCTGGCCTTAAATCAACTGGCCTTACGGAGCGTACTTGGAGCACAATCCAGCCACAGTTAAGCACTTTAAGATCTCATTGATTTTAATAGCGCATGCTTAACTCTAGCGCTGCAATCAATGGAACGCCCATGTGCTTGCCTCCCTCTGACTAGAAATGAATTAAGGACTGCCCAAATGGCAAAGTGCCTCCTAGATCAATATCCACTGTAAGAGTTTTACTAGATGTTTCATCCAGAGGAAATTACTGAAGAAACTCTGTCCATACCTTTACCTGACTCTGAAGCCCATAATAATGTATTTTGCTCCTTAATCAAGTGAAGACAACAAGCACAGGAAGCTCAACTCTTTCCTTCCAAAGTGAATGTTTCAGCAGTTTCTACACAATTTATGTATGCCCTCAAATATATGGGAGTTGGTTGCATATATTTTTATATATTATATTTATATATGGTGACCTCTATCATTAATTGTCTCATTAGAGTGCTCCTCTCTATTTTTTAAGTGGGAAAGGCTGTGAAGATTGGGCATTGTTGTACAGTCATTGTGTAACATGAAGCTTTGTGTGACAGTGATCTGTGGAGTGCAAATTGTGTTGCTCTCCCTTTGCCTGCCTCCAGCTGGCTGCTTGAGCGAGGACTACGACTTCAAAGAGGCTGGTTATTCACCTCTTTAGGAAATAAATGCTTCTAGGTAGGATCACTTACCTTACATGGATTAATTGCAAAAACAAAACAAAACAAAACAAAATCCACACTTCTTTCTTAAAAACCATTGCTTTAATTTTATAAAATAATATTTAAAACATGCTAGTTTTACTGTCATGAAGAAATCCCACTGATTAAAATGTGCCCACCAAAAGGGGTTTTGTGCTCAGTTCAGTAAGTTGCATATAATATATGGTCACCAAACTCCTTGGGGACAGAAGCAAGTGTCATCACCAACCAGTTAGTTACAATGATGTGAAGACCAGCCTGTTGTTTCCCAGTGTTAAAAGTTGGTTTTTATTCAATCCTTCATTGTGTTTAGGTTGTGTAATTTCCCAGAAAACTCAATAATGATAGAGATAAAATGGACATGTATGTATGTATGTATGAATTAAAGCCGAGACAGTGACATATCTGGCATGTGACTCTTGCTGGTATCTACCCTGTAGAGAAGTTTAGGAGAACCAATGACAAGTGTAACACAATGACATATTTGGGCACCAGGCCCCTTGCACTCCTAAAATAATACAGGAATGTGTTGGCAGCTCTTAATTTTCTCCATGGAAATACTTTGTGAATATTAAATACTGATCCATGCATTAAAATGAGGCGATTAGGTAGTACTGCCTCTCCTTTATTACCATTAAAGGTAAACGTAAAAAGGTAAAGGATCCCTGGATGTTTAAGTCCAGTCAAAGGCAAATAGGGGGTGCAGTGCTCATCTCGCTTTCAGGCCGAGGGAGCCAGCGTTTGTCTGCTTTCCGGGTCATGTGGCCAGCATGATTAAACCGCTTCTGGCGCAACGGGACACCGTGACGGAAACCAGAGTGCACAGAAGCTCTGTTTACCTTTACCTCACCATTGCTCTATGCTGAAAAGTATAATTCTTTGTTTTTTTTAGAATATCTTCGGGTATAGGGCGGTATAGAAATAAAATAATAATAATTTGTTTTAATTCAAGAGCACCTTTCAGGGCTACCCAATCTCCTTCCCTAACAGGGAGAGCCCTAAGGCTCACATCCAACTTAAGTGCAAGGGATTGTGGTAATATAGCAGGTTGGGTAATGTAATTAAAACAAAGGCAATTTATCTTATGTAAAGTACTGTATTTTATTTACAAGTGCCATTTTATTTAAAATTATGTTCCATGTAAATTTGCCACAGCTTTGGCTTTTTAACGGCCCTTGCTATTCCACTATGTCCACCAGGTTATCAAAATTTTGACAGGTACTAGTATAGGTTCTTAACTGTGACTCTCCCTCCCCTCCCTCTCTCACGCGCTGTGTGTGTTTAATTCACTAATCTGTAAGGCTTATGTAGGCACCAATTATCTGGGGAATATTTTCAAGCCCCATGTGGGAGGTGCGTTGCTACAGGTGCCTGCTTTTAACAGGCTTTCCCCCTTAGAAGCAGCGAAATACAAGCTGCCAGCTCTGCCTGCGGCAGGTGCGCTTATTGGTAGAAGAGCGAGGTGCCCCATTTGGACTTCTAGCAGGTTTCAAAGTGCCATGAGATGCAGCTGCTTCACAGGTCTAAAACCAATGCAGAAAAAGAGAACAAAGAATGATCAAGGAAGTCTCCACCAGCTGCCCCAAATAGAAGATGCAACGGAAAGCTCCACAGTTTTTACCCAATTGTCCAACATAAACATACCAATAGTAGCATGCCTCAGTTTTTTGGTCCAAATTTCATGGTTATAGGAAAGGGTCACACCTATAGGTATGTCTCTCAAACCCTATAATGAAATATTAAAATGTTACACATACAATGGTTGAAAGGTTTTATTTAAGTTGCATAACAATGTGCCAATTATTACTTTCCAACTCGCCAATTTAACAGTTTAAAATTCCTGCATGGGTTCCTGATCTTCACAAGACACACTAGCAGTCTCATCCCTGGCATTGCTCAGGGATTGTAAGAAAACAAAAAATCCGTGCGGTTTTCAAAGGTTCAGTTTATTATATTGATTCAAAAAGTCATCATGTTAGCCAGATGAAAACCTGCACCTTGAGAACCATCATGCAAAGTTTAGTTATGAGATATTAAGAGGTGTCCAAATGCACAGCAGACAAAAACTTTCCAAAATATATGTTGACTTGAAGTGTCATGTAAAAAAATAGAAAAAAAGACCAACCTGGAAAAGCATAAAAGCCCTCTGAAAAATATTATATTTTTCCTGCTTTTGAAGTAAAAGTTGTGCAGTTGGCAAAGTGAAGGACTTTGGACCACCACAATTTGGTTGTGATCTATCTGAGGTTTCTGGGGAAGACAATGGGAAATGGGTGGGGAGGGAGGGAGCAGGAATGAAGGGGCTTGGTCTATCTCTGCCATTAATGTTATGATTGACAATAAATTTAATTTGCAACACATTTCTTAGATCTTCAAACCCAGGAGTAAATTTCATTCGAAATGTCCTACTGGAACTTGTCAAAGAGCCTCGATTCCAAACACTCTGTAATGAGAACAAGAGTCCTTATACAGGATTGCTATGTAATGCAAAGCATATGTACATTTGTATACGGAATGGGGCCTACTCCATTTTTTTAAAGTAAGTTTTTAATAGAAATGCAACATGATGTTCATATAAAACTATAAAAATATGAAAAACATGATGTTTGTCTATTGTTTGCATCAAAATGCTACTACTCAAAATAATACCGATTTCCCACAAAAATAAAGATCTCATGCTAGGGTTTGTTAACATCAACATTTCCCTAAGCAATTAATTAAACATAATATTTTAAACTAATATTATTTAAATATATTTAACTGTAAGCTTGTATGATCAGAAAATAAGCTTTCTGGACAAATAGAACCCTAGTTTGGTACACATGTGGTTACCAAATTATACCTTTGTGATGTATCTTATTACACTGTCCTAAAATCCTTATGAGGTAAAGGTAAAGGGACCCCTGACCGTTAGGTTCAGTCGTGGACAACTGTAGGGTTGTGGCGCTCATCTTGCTTTATTGGCCGAGGGAGCCAGTATGACTGGCGAACTAGAGCAGCACACGGAAACGCCGTTTACCTTCCCACCGGAGTGGTACCTATTTATCTAATTGCACTTGGATGTGCTTTCGAACTGCTAGGTTGGCAGGAGCTGGGACCGAGCAATGGGAGCTCACCCTATCGCGGGGATTCGAACCGCCAACCTTCTGATCGGCAAGCCCAAGGGGCTCAGTGGTTTAGACCACAGCGCCACCCGCGTCCCTTATGGGATAAAGGAGGTATATAAATATTTAAAATAAAATAAAATCTCTCTTCATCAGAATCGTCAGTCTCTTAGGGCACCTGACCTCTGTTGCTATTCCTCATCAATTTGTGTCTATTCATTGCATCCACATGCTAGGCATTTATTCAGTGGCTATTACCTGCAGAGTCATGAGATTTGGTCATGAGTTGCAATTATATGGCGCCTAATAGAAGAGCTGTGGGTGCAGGATTGGGAGTGGGTCAAAGCTTATTGTGGTGAGAACACTGCCAGTTCAAAAGGGGCAGAGGTTTGGGGTAGTTGCAAATCTCTTTTTTAAAAAATTGGTTACCTGGCAGTAAACCTCCAAAAATGCTGAAACCCCTTTATTTTCCTCTAAAGAATCCATAAACATCCCTGCAGTAAAACCAATATTAATATTCCATATGTACCAAGCGAAACATAAACAAGCCCCACTAACAGCTGACCTTGAGTGGGACCCCGGTCTCAGTTCTGCAAAGTCTCAGCCTTCTGCTGCAGACCCTCAAGTGTCCCTCTTTTCCAGGGACGTCCCTGATTTAGAGAAGCCGTCCCAATTTCCGATTTGAACCCGGAATGTCCCACTTTTTCTTAGGACGGCCTTATTTTAATTGGAGAAATGTTGGAGGGTATAGAGTTATCCGACCCCCGAGCTGTCTGAAGGGGAAGTTTTTTAAATGTTTAATGTTTTATTGTGTTATTATATATGTTGGAAGCTGCTCAGAATGGCTGGGGCAACCAGTAAGATATGTGGGGTATAAATAGTAAAAATATCATTATGGAATGGGACATCCGACCCCCGAGCTGTCCTATTTTCATTGGATAAATGTTGGAGGGTCTGCTGCTGCTGGCTGCACAAGCGCAACCTCTGGGCAAAGCAGTGGTGTAGGAAGTGTCTCCCAAAGAAGGGGCCCAACAAGCCTTTCCTTGCCCGACTGATTGAAAGGTCCTGCCAACAGTGGTGCTGCCAGGAAGGAAGAGAAGGCCATGAGAGAGCCTGCATCCCTCTGTCCCAGTCTCCCTGCTCCTGAAAAAGGGAGTGGAACAACTGGGCACTCGGAAACCCCCAAAATCCTTGAGCATTGTTTAGTTCTCCTCGAGGTGCCAACTTGATTCTTAGACTAAGCCACATGCTTGCTCATCTGTGCATTTTTGGACATTTTATCAGCTGCTGAGCTTTATTGTCACACCTCTTGAGGTGGTTCTTAAGGAAAGTGGTCACCGTAACTTTGGTATGAAAGAGAGCATTAACATTTATTACCTGTCTTGCTTGAGATGTGGATTTTCAGATGTAGGTCGTCACTGTTGTCTTCTCCAAGATGGTAGCCCAACTGGTCTAAGTGTGTTAGCAGAGGAAGATGAAGGAGGCGATGTTTGCCTATTCACCCTGCATCCCTCTGCAATAGTGTAGGGCAGATGTGCCCAAACTTTTTTCAAAGAGGGCCAGATTTGATGAAATGAACATGTTGAGCTTTTTTTTAAGTTGCTGAGCTTTTTTTAGGATTTTACCCCAGGACATATACTGCCTTGGGGACCGGGTTAAATCAACTGGCGGGCAAAATTAGGCCCCCGAAATGGACTTTGGACATGCCTGGTGTAGGGAGTAGCAGAAGAGTATGGAGGGGAAATCAGAGAAGAGCCCCAACTCATTTGCCCTGGTCCACTGGATCAAAGGGCCTTGTGTTCATGGAAACGCTCCTTCAGATCCAGCTCATTGTTTCCCAACCTTTGGTTAACAGCAAGGTATGCTTCACTGTTGAAAGTGGAAAAGTAATTTTCAGAGGTGAGA